ATTAAAAACTCAATACATCAAAATTAAAATTAACACACCCAACTGTGAAAATAGAAAAAGTTGATGTACTAAACATATCGCTATCACTAGGAAAAGGATAATTATAGCCGCATTCTGCCCATTTGATATATGCCTTTAGGCCCTGACAAACGTAGGCAGAATCGATTCCAAGGCCCAGTTTAAATTTGTTTTGTATTTCAAAAGATATCTGGGTTCGATTGGATTGAAGCTAACTTCGTAAAACACTCACCAGCCCACCTATATTTGAATTCAATTCAGGGGAAAAAAAGAAAAAAGGGCAGAAGAGTAAGAAGAAGGGGAAAGAGGCCTGCCGAACTTCGTGTCTCGGATTCGTTCTTCAATGGAAGATCACAGAAAGACTAAAAAAACCATAACCTTAAACCTCTTATGGTTCTTTGGCATATCAACATGCGTGAAACTCTTATTAATCCCATCATACCACAGCACAGATTTTGAGGTCCATAGAAACTGGCTAGCTATAACACATTCACTCCCTCTCTCTCAATGGTACATCGACAAAACCAGTGCTTGGACTCTTGACTACCCACCTTTTTTTGCTTACTTTGAATACATTCTCTCTTTTTTTGCCAACTTAGTTGACCCACAAATTGTAGACCTTGAAAAGGGACTCAATTATAAGGCAGAGAGTGTGGTTTTGTTTCAGAGGTTAAGTGTGATTGTGTGTGATTTGGTTCTTTTGTATGGGGTTTATAGATTGAGTAAGAATTTTTTCGTGGGGTTTAAAGAGAGAGTTTTGTTGTGGGTTTTAGTTGTTTGGTCACCTGGGTTAGTGATTGTAGATCATATGCATTTTCAGTATAATGGGTTTTTGTTAGGGTTGTTGATGTTGTCGATTTCGTATTTGATGGAAGGAAGGGATTTGATGGGTGGAACTTATTTTGCTGTTTTGTTGTGTTTTAAGCATTTGTTTGCCGTGGCTGCTCCTGTTTATTTTGTTTATTTATTGAGGCATTATTGTTGGAAAGGGTTTGTTAAGGGTATCGGAAGGATTTCAGTTTTGGGAGCTGTTGTTGGTGCCGTTTTTGCTGCTGCTTATGGTCCTTTTGTTCATCATGGGCAGGTATTTTATTAGTTCCTATGATCACAGTTCTTGTAAGAATTTACTCAATACCATATATTGTTTTTATAGTTATTGTCATACGTTGGTATAACTGTTAGAGAGATTGATGCAGTTATATTATCGTTAGAATTTTTTGGTTCTCATTTCACATTTTTGTTTGATTGTTTCTTGGTTCTTGCTCATGAAAGAATTTGGCTACAATTATTTTAATGTAAATCATCATGGCCTGGTATGCGACTTTGTTAGTGATAGAACATAGCTGAAGATGAGGATTTGCTAAAAAGACCGTTTGCAATTTTTCTTATTTATGAGCACTGAATTGAAGATGGAGTTTATACATCCACTCCACTGCTAGGCTTGTTCAATCTGTATTTCCAATGCATACACTTGCACACAAATAGTTCCTTGAGTTATAGGAAGAGATTCTAACAAACTCTGCAAATTTAAACTTGCTGTCTCTGATGTTTTGAATATGTAGTGACTAGAATCTTGGTGGTATACACAATGCTTTTATCAACATGTTTAATTTGTTTCCTGTGTTATTATAATGTACTCAATTGACTTCTCTTTCTCGCTCAAACACACAATTACACTTGCTTGCACACAAATGATCTTTATAGAATTAGGGGTAGTGATCGATAATTGATAACTAACAGCTGAAAGTCACAAACTATCTCTTGTATTACTTCCACTCTGTGCATTCATATATAGTTCATACTTTGCAGATGCAACAAGTCATCAGACGCATGTTTCCTTTTGGCAGGGGACTTTGCCATGCATACTGGGCCCCAAACTTTTGGGTGTTTTATATTTTATTAGATAAAGGGCTAGCTTTCCTACTCAGAAAACTTGGGCTGAACATCCCAGTACCAGCAGCCTCTTTCACTGGTGGGCTAGTAGGGGATTCGTCACCATTTGCTATACTACCGCAGGTAATTTTGTGGAATATTCTTGAAGATGTAAACAATGCTGATCCCATTAACCACATGTAACCTGATGCCATTGGTGGCATTTATCATTCTTTACTCAGCATCAGCGCCACTATAGTGTGCAATCCATTCTTGCTTGATCTTGAAAAATATGACCTGGCAATGAAAGGAGGCTGACGTGCTTCCATCTTTGTCATCCAGGGCATGCCTGTAGGATAAGCAGTTCTGTTGAACATATTTGATTGATTAAATAATGTTATTTACAGCATTAGGAGATTGATCTTAACTCTTGAACATATTTAATTTGGTTATTTTTCTTATTTTATTTTCTAACTGCTGGCTAGATATGGTTTTCTATATCTAAAGTCGATCACATGGCAGGTCACCCCCTTGACAACCTTTGTCATGGTCCTGCTTGCCTTATCTCCTTGTCTTATCAAGGCCTGGAAGAATCCTCGGCCAGAATCAGTTGCTAGATGGATAGCTTATGCTTATACATGCGGCTTTTTGTTTGGGTGGCATGTTCACGAGAAAGCATCACTCCACTTTGTCATCCCTTTTGCAATTGTTGCAGGAAACAGTTTGGAGGATGCAAGACACTATTTTTTGCTTTCTATAGGTATGCTAAATTGTGTCTTATTTGTGAAATTTTCGGAACAAGCGTGGTCTTGGTAGCCTTATTATATATGTGAGTCAGATTTAAGGCAAACATGGTAGAATTAGGTTTGGGAAATTTAAACAGTTTGGATTGAGTTCCAAACTACTGTATGTACAGGAAAGGTTGAATTGTCATACCCCTTAAACCAGTGTCCAAACCCCATAACATGATGCTTGCTAGTGTAAGCACATTTTGTTTCACTCAGATCAATTCCACTAACTTTTCCTGTTTTAGAGGATATGTTCATTGTTTGGTTTTTGTTTGCTCATACAGTTGCTGTGCTTAAATTTAAGCATTATGGCTAAGAGCAGCCAACACAAGATGAAGATAAGAATGGTTCCACGAGCATAAAGCATGAACCCTAATTTTGTTTGTGTGTGTTGTTTGTCAGTGCTGTAATTGTGGAAAGCCCTTTTTTTTTTTTTTTTTTCATTACAGACTACATGCATTTTTGAACTGGCTAACCAACCAAATCGAGGGAAATTCTTTAGAGCATTAGAAAATGGAAGAATGGAGCAGCTGTAGCCAAATTTAGAGCGGTTTCAATTTCACTTGCAATTGTTAGTTCTTGCTTTCTGTTTTTACATACTGATTCTGTTTATGCATCTATATTTGTTATGCAGTGTCTTGCTACTCGTTATTTCCCCTTCTATATGAAGCCCAAGAATATCCAATCAAAGTGCTATTGCTGCTATTACACTCAGTCCTAATGTGGCACGGTTTTTCTGCACAATTCACCAAGGATGCAACAGCCAAAGCGACTGTTCCAGCAAAGAAAACAAGCAAACAGGTGGGTTTGAAGGGAAGTTCCGGTGCTACTGTTGAGAAAGGAGGATTCCGTATTGGATGGATTGGCAGGTGTTATCTGTTTGGTCTGATGGTTGTTGAGATTTGGGGTCAGTTTCTGCACCCTTACCTTCTCGGGGACAAGCTTCCTTTTGTACCACTTCTATTAATTTCTACATATTGCGCACTGGAAATTATGTACTCGTGGATATGGCAGCTAAGACAGATCATGGTATCCAACTGATTCACAATCCCTTTAGTATACAAACATTGTGGGCTAACATTTCAGTGTTTCTATCAGAAAAGTTGCATTGTGTCGGAATGTATACTAACTTTGATTAGCGTAAAGTCTGTTTAAGGTTACTCAATTTCTTGTTGACTCGGAACTTCTTTCGTATTTGTATCTGCACGATGTGGTTTGGAAGATTTTAAACTTGGAGGGAGTGGCTGCAGATGATTTTCTGGGATTTTGTGAAAATACAGAACAGATAAACTCCAGCTTTTTAACCTCGTTTCGTTTTTCTAGGTGACTGTTTCTGAACTTTCTGACTTCTTGCGTTCCATTGAACTTGGCAAATCTTGAATTGAAAATTTTCGTTGTCAGGGCCGCATACCATTTTATAAAAAACAGATTACGTGCTGTCTCGGTACTCCGAGCCGAGGGTATTCTCTTCCTTTGCGTTCGTGCGAAGTTCGAGGTAGTAATGCTTGCCAAAAAAAAAAAAACGAAGACGTATGTTCTATGGATCAATGTGCTAACAATCATATATGGATTGGATGTTTCATCTTTGACACATGATTGGATGATCATTAATTAAAATTGGCAGAATAATTTTCTTTAAAAAAGTAATAACAAAACAAAACACAGTCCTGCTACAAAACAAGAAAAAATTAAATCCATGAACTATTCACGCGCGAAAATAATGGCACTCGCAGTAATTTTATTCAAGTTTGTTTATTATTATTTATTTTATCAGTTTATTCACGATTTTTTCCTTAAAACAAAATTCGTGACATGCATCTTTATCCACAATTTTATGTTTTCTAATCTATGATCAAATTGAAAGATGGTTTCACCAATTTACAAAAAATTGCTGTGTAAATAGATTTTTGGCATATGCAAACAGGGACGATCATACCATAGGACAAAATACAGAAACTTTCGTAAGGCATCATAAATTTGCGAGCGTCATTTTTAATATAAACTTCACGCAATTAAATGAAAAATATCTTATTTAATAAAAAATAATAATTATCAAATTCAAAACACACATGACACGACAACAAAGACGAGTAAAAAAAAAAAATCCATACTTTCATGGGCTGGATTTGGATCAACAACACACACAAGAAAGGAACCCCTAGGCCCATAGTTCAAAACCCTAGTAGGGAAGCCCATAATGAATATCGCCAAGTATAAATTGCCACACTTCCCAATCTCATTTTAGCCGACTAGGGTTTTCCTTATTGTAGTTCACAGCCTCCCCCTCGCAGCAGCAGCACACATCGCTCCACAACCGTCACCATGGCTGAGCAGGTGTTCTTCTCTCTGCTCTTCCTTTTCCTTTGCTTATGAAATCAAACGACGTGTCCTTTAAATCTGGTTTCGATCTGATTTGTTTTTGTTCTGTTTTGTAGACGGAGAAGGCATTTTTGAAGCAGCCTAAGATTTTCCTTAGGTAATATTATATAGTCTGCTTCTTATTATGATGTTTATGATGTTGTTTCTTGTGGGTTTATATTAATGTTGTTTTTGTTGTTTAGCTCGAAGAAACCTGGGAAGGGAAAGAGGCCTGGTAAGGGAGGAAACAGGTTCTGGAAAAGCATTGGGTTGGGATTCAAGACACCCAGAGAGGCTATTGAAGGTTAGCTTATTTTTTGTGAGGCTGTGCTGTATTTTTCTTTATGTTTGGAGGAGTGTTTGCCCTAGAGCTCAAGGGAATATTGATATTGCAGTCACTTTTGTTAGTTAAAACCCTGCCGATGCTGTTGGTTCTATGACCGCTTCGACACTCAGATCCTCTGAGTGTACCTGGATTTCCACTACTTAGTTTATCTGATTATCTATGCCTGTGTTGATGCAGAGCCGGCAGAATCTCTGTTTGTTTCTAATATTACTAGGCATACAGCAGTGCAAAGCATCTTTTTTGAAATCTTATTTTTATTCACCTATAAATTCTACTAGCTGGAAGGCCTTTTCTCACTGAATCATTATTGTTTTGAAAGCTGTCTTGAATTTGGGAATGTCCCTTGAGCATTTTCTTACATCTCGTTGGCTATGTATTCATTCTTTGGCTAGAGTTTGGATTGTTAAATAACTGATGGATTGTTGGAGTTCAATATTTGTTATTTTGTCTGGCTTATGTTAAATACACAAACACTTATAAATGGTTTAACGATAGGATGACCTGCTTTGTATCCTTTGTGGTCTGATTTGGCCTGGCCTTGAACAGTTGAAGGGAATTTATCCTCTCTTTAGCTGTTATAAATTGCAATCTCTTTTTGTTGCCAGTTAGCATTCTGCATGAAGTGTGCTCCAATTGATTGATCATTTAGATATTATGCATCCGAAATTGATCATGTAGATATTATGCATCTGAAATTGTTAGTAAGCAGGAGAAAGTGCAGCTATTGAACTGTCGTGCCATTTGACATTGCTTACTTCTTCTTGAAGATTCTATGAAAACTGCATTTTCTCTGATTGAGGTTGCATATTATGTTTTCAGGAACATACATTGACAAGAAATGCCCTTTCACTGGAACTGTTTCTATCAGAGGACGTATCTTGGCTGGTATTTGCCACAGTGCAAAAATGAACAGGACCATTATTGTTAGGAGGAACTACCTTCACTGGGTCAAAAAATACCAGAGGCAAGGACTAGCACATTTCAGTTTCCTGCTACTGTTTTTTGTTTTTTTCCAACAAAATGGCAACTAGTCATCCTCCCCTGCCAAATGCTAAGTTATATATGTTGTTTTGCTGGTGTCCTTTAGATATGAGAAGAGGCACTCGAACATCCCAGCACATATCTCCCCATGCTTCCGTGTCAAAGAGGGAGATCATGTTATCATTGGTCAATGCAGGTCAGTATTCTCCAAAGTATTCCATTTCCAATCCAATTACTACTTTTCATTGCCTTCGCAAAATCTTATGAATATATATATATATATATATTTGCCCTTTATTTTGCAGGCCATTATCAAAGACAGTGAGGTTCAATGTGTTGAAGGTCATTCCTGCTGGATCTTCTGGTGGTGCAAAGAAAGCTTTTACAGGCATGTAAGAGGTTTGATTGCCAAACGATTTGATGTTGCCAGAGTGTCCTTAGACCTATAGGCGATCTTGGCTGTTTTATCAGCCTTTAGATTAAATGAATGTATGAACGCTATTTCTTTTCTTTATGATATCCTAGATTTTGTTCTATTTATGTTACTATTGACCGGCGACCTAGATTGTAATTTTGAGGATACTTGTTTCTTTATTTTGTTGGATGTCGTCATTTGTGTGTTCTGTCATCAATACTCGTTCTTTCTTTTGTCTCTCCCTCCAAGAGTGCTAAATATCTCATTTTCTTAGTTTGGAACAAAGTTTTCATGGTTTTTTATTTTTTCGAGTTGCAATTGCTCTGATAATTGTATTTCAGGATGCTTATTAGTTTCACGATTGCTCTGACAAATTTTGTGCTCTTTGGCACATGTGTAATGTCATTGCAGCGGAAAAATCACCCCAATCCTTGATTTTGGCCAAGGGATCACTAGTTTTTTCATCATAAAATTGTTTTAAAAAATTATTTCAGTTTGATAGTTATTTTATTTTATGAATTTATAAAAATATATAAAATTAAATGTGAAAAAAATTATTTATAATTTGTTAATAAAAAGTATTTTGTATTTATGTTTTTTATAATTTTTTTTTAGAAAAAGGATTTATCATGTTAATACATGGATTATTAAGTAAAAAAATTAAATAATTTTTTAAAAAAGCTTGAGTATTTCATAAAATTATATCGAAAAATAGAAGTAATAATTATTAAAAATTTACATAGAATTGAATAAATATTTTTTTATTTAATATTAACGAGAATATCAATTTTTATAAAATGTGAATTTAATTTTTATATATTTATTTACAAAAAAATAATAATATTAAAATAAAAAACTATTAATTTGAATAATTAAGTAGTTAAATTAAAATATTATTTTAATTATTTAATTTAAAATAAGTTAATTTTAAAATATTCAATAATAAATAAATAAATAATAAATGTTTAGTGTAGCAAGAGTTGAACAGTTAATTTTTTTAAAGAACAACAATTCAATATTTTTTTTTATATAATTCAGAGTTTTTAGTCTAAAAAAATATTATATAAAAAAAATTAACTTGCAAGGAATTTATTTATTAAATTTGAAGTTAATAGATTAAAATAAAAATAATTACAAATTTGATTTCGATTATATAGGAAATAAACAAATTAATAAAACATGTTAATTATTTTTTTCTCCTTTTTAAATATATTTTTTTATTTCTATGCTATGCATGGCTAGTCATTGAATACAGCCATATAGGCCTCAAGCACATAGCAACCATCTTGTTTTTATTTTTCACATTTGACTTTCTATCATTAATTAATTAATTAATTTGAGTTTTTTTTAAAAAAAGAATTAAGAAAAAAATTATTTGAAATACACTTTTAATCTAAAAATGTATTTTAGATAAATTATATATATTAATCATGCTATTATAATTTAAAAGTTATCTAAATTTATTTTTCGAAAGAAAAAATAATCATGTTCTAAAAATTTAATCCAAAATCTATACATACGAAAAAAAAAAATCAAAACTATCAGTAGATATAATTTTAAATTAATTGGATAAGAATTTTAAAAAAATGACAAATTAAAGTAGTAAATTTTAAATAATAAAAATAATTAACAAAAAACACTAAAATAAAATAGAACAGAATAACAATATAATCAAAGTTTGAAATTGAAAAAGAAAAGAGAATTTAAAAAAAGATAAATTAATGTAGTAAATTTTAAATAATATAAAAAAACTAAGTAAATTTTAAATAATAAAAATAATTAACAAAAAACACTAAAATAAAATAGAACGAATAACAATATAATCAAAGTTTGAAATTGAAAAAGAAAAGAGAATTTAAAAAAAGATAAATTAATGTAGTAAATTTTAAATAATATAAAAAAACTAAGAAAAAATTATTTGAAAAACACTTTTAATCTAAAAATATATTTTAGATAAATTATATATATATTAATCATGCCACTATAATTTAAAAATTATCTAAATCTATTTTTCAAAAAAAAAATTCATGTTCTAAAAATTTATTCCAAAATCCATACATATAGAAAAAAAATCAAAACTCGTCAAGTAAATATAATTTTAAATTAATTGGATGAGAATTTAAAAAAAAATTATAAATTAAAGTAGTAAATTTTAAATAATAAAAATAATTAACAAAAATTACTAAAAAAATGGAAACAAATCACAATATAATCAAAGTTTGAAATTGAAAAAAAAAGACAAATTAATGTAGTAAATTTTAAATAATATAAAAAAATAAAGAAAAAATTATTTGAAAAACACTTTTAATCTAAAAATGTATTTGAGGCAAATTATATATATTAATCATGCCACTATAATTTAAAAATTATATAAGTTATTTTTTTAAAAAATAATAATCATATTCTAAAAAGTTATTCCAAAATTCATTCATATAAAAAAATAAATCAAAACTCTCAGTAACTATAGTTTTAATTTAATTGGACAAGAATTAAAAAAAAAATGACAAATTAAAGTTGTAAATTTTAAATAATAAAAATAATTAACAAATTAAATTTTGAAACTAAAAAAATAAAAAGAGAATTTAAAAAAATAAAAAATAAAAATAGTAAATTTTAAAATAATAAAAATAATTCAAATAAAACATTCAAATAAAATGGAACCAAATCACAATACAATTAAAGTTTAAAATTAAAAAAAAATTAGAAAAATTTAGGAACAAAATATTACAAAAATGACATGAATATTGAGAGAAATTGTGTTTTGTGACTTATAAATAGTCATTTGTGAATGTGTGAATAGCCTTTTAAATAGTAAAAATAAATAATAAAACTATATTTTATTTAAGTTTGTTTTATAATTACTTTCGGAAGGAGCAATTTTGTTCCATAAGAAAATTCTGTGCAGGTGTTATAGATTTCAAACGTGTTTTATCTCCCCACTTTTCTGAACCGGTTCGATTGATAACTAATGGAATTGGAAACTTCAATTCGCATTCAACGGAATCATGATTGTCATACACAATAGAGCGTCTGATTCGTTGTCGTATTTTGCTCGATCGCTTGATGATGCAAGATGGTATTTCAAATTTCAAACGTGTTTTCATATTTTGGAAATTACTCGCAGTCTATACACACGTACAAAGTACAATGATTTAGAGAGAAGAAGGTTAAGAGGTTGCTAAAACCAAAAGAAAATGAGAATTTAAGCTCGTAAAATAGAATGTTTTATCATATCTGTATGAGCTTAGCATAAATAGTGTGTAATCCATCCTTTGCTGAAACATCGAGTTGGAGCAGCTTCCTAAAAAAGAGAGTTCATGTCCTGCCGTTGAGTTTGCATCTTTTGATGGTTAATCGTGAGACGTGGAAAAAGGAGAATCAAATTTGTGTTTTTTAAATCCAACCAGTCTTTCAAACTGCATTGCTGGACATCATAATAATAAATCTGTGTTTTTCTGAATCCAACTGCGCTTTGAAACCGGGTGTTACCAAACATGTTTTGATACGCACGCAATTGTATCTACTTGTAAATAAATTAAAAATATATATGAAGCCTGTATCTACAAGAAGCTTATACCATACAAGACGTCAATCCTACTGTAAAATACGAATCCCGCGTTACATCAACTTGCAAAAGTCATCAACCTCACATCTCCACCTTCCAATGTTTCCTCCACATAATCTTTAGCCGTTCATTACCATTACCGAACCTCATAATTAAACGCTGAGTACCACTACTAATCTACTATTGATTCAGAAGCTCCATTTGTTTGTCTTGGCAGTTGATAATTTGACAGCAATAGCCAATACTCGCAAGTAATTAAAGAAGGGCACTTTAATTTATTCTCTTCTAATGCAAGTGCAACCTGTGCTAGTGCTTCTTCACATTCAAGCTAGAGTAAACTTCGTGGAAATCCAAGCTACGATGGGTCCCGCTTAAATTTTCCAAAATGTCACTTCTCGGTATTGGACCGTCTGATATCAACATCAGCGGGCCCGATTGCTTACATGTACGCCCCAGATTCCCTCGAGTAGTTTCTGTGACATAGTAAAAAGGCAAAGACTTTTTTTTTTTTTTTTCGTGTTGTTCTTTGGCAATTGGTAAAGTCTTGTGCTTTCTTCTCCGTGGTTTCCTTCCTCTGCATAAATTCAGAGTGTTTCTTTCGCTCTTTCTTTGTGTTTTCTCTCTAAAAATTACTTATGGGTTCAAGCAACAGCAGGTTAGATGGGTCAAGCCAGTCATGGACTAACAGGTTCAAGCGCAGAGCCCTTGCTTCTCTCTTTTGTGGCGGTTCTGTTTCTCAAGCTTCTATTGAGGTTCTTTAACGATCATTTCTCTCTTTTTCTTAAGCTTTTTATGTATCGGTCTATTAATTTGATGTTTTCAAATTTTAGTACTGAAGACCTCTCTCTGATCAATTAGTTGCTAAACTGACGAAAATAATTTAGCATTAATGATTTTGTTTTTAATTGGGTTATCTTTAGTTTTTTGTTCTTTTCTTCGGTTGCTTAGAACATATTAGAATAAAGTGAAAAACAAATGAATGTAATGAAAGGATAGAATCTTGAAGTAGACCTCCAATGTTTTCATTTCTTTTCATTTTCTTTTTCTTTTTTGGGGTTGCACGCAAATGTTATGAAGTTATTATCTCACAATGTGAATTTCACTGAACTTAGAAGTACTTATCCACTGTATCGTGACGATTTCTGGTTGCAAGTTACAATTACTCCAAGCATTTATAAGTTGAGTGAGTTATAGCTGGTGGCCGGTTATGGTAGATGTTATTCTTACATTTTTGTACTTAGTTATAACAACAACAACAACAAAGCCTCAATCCTAAATCAGTTGTGGTTGGTGCTATCGATCCTTTTGTGCCATTCACGTACTGGGTTATGGTAGAAAAAGGAAAACAGAAAAAAAACTATCTTGGAAATCGAGAATTGACTGATGTATCTTGTAATGGGGTAATCCTGAGACTGATTTTGACTTTCAGATGGGTGATCATGTGGATGAATCATTGACAGGATCTCTTCAAAATTTAGCTACTTGTGTTTCAGCGAGCTCTAAGCAGGCCTCATCTTCCAACTTTGGTTCGGATACTGGGTTAAGTAGTTCCTGTGCTGAAAGTGGGGAATTATCTGGAAGTAGTAATGGTAATGTTGAGGATACTTCTGCTTCTAAGAATAGCGAGTTACAATCTCAGCAGCCAAATGTCAATGACAGTCTTATGGAAGCTGAAGCAGCTAGTGCTTCAGTAAAAGAACAGACACCAACAGCATCTGTCTCTGATGATGAAACGGTGGCAGGTGTTGTAGGTCAGGATTCTGAGAATCAAGATTCGAATGGGGAGTCCATTTCAGATGCAAGTATAGATTTGTCTAATACAAATTCTGTTATTCCTGCTTCCTTAGCATCTGGCGGGGAACAAGAAGCGAGAGCAGCAAGAGTGCTTGTTGTTGATGTGGTGAGCATACATTCCAACATTTTGTCAAGTGGCTTTGCAGAAATTAGTAACCGTGAGGCAAGAAGGAATAGTAGAAGAATGTTTTGGGATGCTTTTTCGAGAAACAGTTTGAGGAGGAATAGAGATTCCCCAACCATAGTTTTTACAACTAGTCATGCTGATGATCTAGGATCCCATGACAGATGGCTTCTTGATTTTACTGGCGATTTACATTTCGATGGAGTTGGTCGTGAATTTAGATATCCTGGAACTCGAAGTCGTCAAAGGAGCGAACGGCGATGGCTATCAAGATATGAGGTAACTGCTTATGCATTTCCTTCTCATGCAAGCTGTTTATGGGCGAAATTGTCAAAAGACCCTTGAAAGTTTTTTGTGTACATAGAACTTAGTTGATCATATAATCAAATTTTATGAAAATGGAGGTTCTTTCACACAGGCAATTCATTTTAATCTCCTGCTATTACTTTTACCTGGTTATGCTTCCCAGATTAGTATTTCCTGTTTATTATTTTTTAATTGCATTTCATTTAATATTCAGAGAGAAAGGTTTCATGATGTGCGTGATGAGCAAGGTTGGGAGGCTTCCTTGTGTCCGGGTGGGCTTCATCCTAATGGTACATGCTCATGTGAACCCTCTTCTGTGGCTGAGGATTCCAGCAGCCGTGCAAGCATTTCACAAATAATTCTGCTGACAGATGCACTTTTTGAGGTAAATAGATTTCTTTTAAGGTGACTATTTTCAAGGTACTCTACTAGTTTCATGTCTTGAGATATGCCAATGGCTTGCATTGTGTGATGACATCTTCTTTTCCTGTATAGGAGCATGATTAGTGCAAATTACATCTTTTAGCTTTCATATGTCTTCCTTTATTGAAAGCATTGATACACACAAACTTAAACGATTCCTTCATGGCATCTACAATCTACTGTCTATACACCTTTACAACTGCGTTAATCAATACGTAAAGACTTGTGAAGTGGAATAGACATGGCATTTGTAACCTTTGTCTAATGCGAAGCATTTTCATAATCATCTCCTATGCAGAATACTCCTATGCTCATACTTTTCATGGTTTTTTTTTATCATGTTTATTTTGTAGGTTTTAGAGGAAATTCATCACCATCGCATGTCCCTTTCACCTTCTATGCTCTCACTTCCTGCTCCTGAAGCTGTTGTAAATTCATTACCTCTGAAGAGTTATAAAAAGTCTCATGGAACTGAGGACGTGGCACAACATGAACAACAGTAAGTGCTAGATTTTTTTTTTTTTTTTTGGGGTATGCTTGGAACTATTTTGCCATTGTACTTTGATTTGATTTATGGAGATAAAAAGCAGCTTGGGTATCATAATGTAAGATGTGGAGTTAAGAAGATTTCATCACTAAAACAATTCATTGATTGAAATGTTAATGGCATTCATAACTTGCTATATGATGGGAGGGCTCTCACACACTGCAGAAACAGTGAAAGTTTGAGAAAACAATCCAAGGCTCACAGGGGAAGTAGTTTACTAACCAAAATAAAGAAAGGAAACCTGTAGGAAGTAGATGTTTATTGTTACTCCCTAAAATGAATGCCTGTAGTCATCTGGGAAAAACATTATATGTATCTAAAATGTTCTTTTTAACTGTGCAAAATTGTATAACGAGCCATCTTCGTGCTTGGTCAGAGTAGTACAAGAAAGATCCATTTATACCATGGCTTCTTGTATCTGCTTGAGACATGCTCTCTCTCCACATTTGTACTTGCTTACTGGATCTGCTTTTACATGTGGTGAGTTGGTAACAAAATTCTGACCATGTGGATTATGGTACTGGATTGTGCTAACCAATGAGTTTAGCTCAATTCAAAAAGGGAAGCAAAAAATGTAGATAAAAAAGAAATGAAAAAAATAAAATAAAATAGACATTGATGTTTGCCAAGTAAGTTAGTGTGTTTGAACAGCTATCATTTAAACTTGAACTTTCTTGAATGGAAAAACACTTGTAAAAAATTTAGATAAAAAAGAAATGAAAAAAATAAAATAAAATAGACATCGATGTTTGCCAAGTAAGCTAGAGTGTTTGAACAGCTGTCATTCAAACTTTCTTGAATGGTAACAAAAATCTGACCACGTGGATTATGGTACTGGATCATGCTAACCAATGAAATATTGTTTAGCTCAATTCAAAATGGGAAGCAAAAAATGTAGATAAAAAAGAAATGAAAAAAATAAAATAAAATAGACATTGATGTTTGCCAAGTAAGCTAGTGTTTGAACAGCTGTCATTTAAACTTGAACTTTCTTGAATGGAAAAACACTTGTACGTTGTGAAGAACCATTACACGGATCTTCTGTTGCAATTTGGCTCTACATCACCGCACTTGTAGGATCGCATTTGCTGCCCTTAGGTTGAATTTCAGTTCTCTTCATGTCTGGACTTGTCAGTTCTCTCTTTCTCTTGTTGCAGTAGGAGTATAGGAGCATGAATCTATGCAGGGGCCCTCAATAAATATACTTCTATTTGTTTATCTTTTCAGTTAATCAATTGTATGGAACTTAATTCATGCATAAATCAAGAACTTGAAATCATTTATCTATTGGTCATTTATGGTTCTGAATAAATCTGTATTGTCAACATGTATGCTCCTGTTTTACAGCAATATTCATTTCCCTTCAAGCGCCTTTTGAACTGAAATTTTCTTCTCTTCAATTAAATCCTGGCCAGTATTTGTAACTATTTTTGTTTACAGGTGTCACATTTGCTTGGTTGACTATGAGGAAGGAGATAAAATTCGAGTTCTCCCATGTTCTCATGAGTATCACATGCCATGTGTTGACAAATGGCTCAAGGAAATACATGGGTAATCTATTACTACCATCCTTGTTGTTTTAGTTGACTTGGGCTGATTATGGTTTGAGTTCTTATTTTCCTTTTTTTTTTCTTATGTTGGTTTTCAGTGTATGCCCTCTCTGCAGAGATGATGTATGCAAGGACACTGTTGAAAGTTTAGCCCCAAACCCAGAGATCACATCACTTTGACGCATCATGTATAAAGACTTGTAAATAAGGCAAAGTTTTTCCTGAAATGGTTTGTGGTCTTTCCACAAGACCACAAGACAAGGTTATATGCTAGAATTTTCCTTTTCTTCTTTATGATATCCTCCTCTTTAAGCCTTTCAACTGAAGTTTAGCTTGCAGTGTAATCATATGCTGTCAACAGTTGTATAAATCTAATATTATTGAAGGTCCACGAATAAGGTTATGGAAAAGTATGGGACATGGGATAGGATTTTGGTTTGTCTGAGCCCCCTAACTTTTGTTTTTCCTATTAATATTATCCCGCATGCCCTTATTATAACTCTAGCTAGCTAGCTACTTAACTCACGCATTTATTTTCTTTCCTGTCACTGAACAATTATTGTACGAAAAAGTTAATCTTTATTATCAATATAAGCAAGGCACCGACCGAGCTTGTGAATGACATTTGAGTTGATGAAAACGGTCGATCTGTTAGCAAATGGTTTGTGGAAACTGGATGGGGTATTCCTGTAAATGCGAACTGCCCAGATGGTTAAAAGTTGTAAGTTGAATCTTCTAAAGTAGACTAGTCCAGGTGAAGCCTTGTTGAAGATAAAGTTGGAAGTAGGAATTTCCCTTTAGTAATTTTTGGGAATGTACGACTTTTGGATCTTAGCCGAAAGGTCAATTGAAATCTTGGAACATGCAAGCTTACTGCATTCTGCTTTGACTATCTTAGGCCTTTTGATTCCTATGCTACATGGAAGGGCATTTGTGATTCTGCATGATTCATTCCATCTGGGTTTCTCCTTGGTCATGCTTTGCCTGTCTTCATGGGCCATGAGCATTTACTTGGAATCAAAAGCTAAAGCTTTTTTATCCGACTCATGGGTCCTACATTCAATAAGTTTTTGGGGGGCAGGCATCCATAGAGTGTCGATGAAGCAAAGTGACGAGCAGTAATTGTGCCTGAGAGGGTCGCTCTTTTTAAAATCTGTCGGTGTTGTTATGTTTTCTTAACCATTTCTTTGGGTGAAAAAAAAAAAAAGAGGAAAAATCACTCATTTTGAGAACTGTGAGAGGATGGATCACTTCATTCTCCAACATAAATGAGGTTAGTAGCAAGTTTCAATTTCAGGGTTAAATGTTCTGTTGGACTGCAGGACACAGTCCACCTGATATCACTTATTAACATATGTACCAATATATATATATATATGTATGTATGTATGTATATATATATATATGTATGTATGTATGTATGTATGCATGTAATATGTTAGGTTTTAGGAAGCAAGGTCTGAGGAATTAAATGCTGGATGAGCTGCCCACGAGTTTTATGTATACATAGGCAGGCCATTATGTCATCATACACTATAGTATATACTTGTCATATTAATTTGTCATAACAGAAATTCACCTTCCTGTGGAGCTTGAGAAGAATCAACCAAATTTATTAGGCTCTTTATTTTCTTGTGAATTTCTCTTTTATATCAACAAAAACGAAAGAAGAAAGCAGTTCTGCCCAACTAGAATATTGTATTATCTAATTCCAGCTTTTTGCAGGGAAAGAGCCAAGATGATAAATATTTATTTGTCCATGTACACATAACTTCTTCTCTATTTGCGGCTGGGGGGTTTACCTAAGTGCCAAAGTTTCGTAGGACACCCTTGTTGTGCATAAGAACAGACTTCAAAGCTAAATATATAAGAGCTTTACATTTAGCTGAGCTAATCCATTAATGCAGTGGCAATATTAGGTGAGAAAATTCAGTAGCCATTCTCGTTCTCATCTATCTAGACTATGACGACAAAATAACACATGCCCGCCAACTTTTTTTATGCCTCGTCGACACTGTCTATTTTTCTTACCTGCCAAAAAGAAGAGAATCAGTACTAACTAATTGGTAGTCCCTTTGAATCACTTTTATCTGGTTTAACTTTGGTCACTTACCTTGCTAATTTGGAACTAAAACCTATCATTTTAGCGTTGACAGAGCCAACTAATTGGATCAAAAGCTCTTCCTTGTTTGACATGCAAATGCTGAATGTGGTTATTAGGTTGGGATATGGGAAACGAAAGAAAAAGGCAAGGCATAAATCATTACAGATTTGTGCAACTAATTTATATTTGTTGGTGGTAACGAGGCCACACCTGCAGTCAACAAGGTGGAAATGTTTTGTGAGACGAAGCATTGCTCAGTTTGTTTTTGTCATCAGAAGCATGCCAAGAGTATGCATGAAGCAATGCAATTGCAGCGCGCACAAAGAGAAAGATTCCCCTCGCGCCAAAAAAAATAAAAATTATATTATTAAAAACAGATGATGGTATAGTTATGCTACTTAAATTCATGCATTAATCTATTAAGTTAAGGAGAATGTTATGCTAATATTTTATACAATGCAGTACGGTACAGTAGTAATGCATTATCATCAGCAGCTTGCATCATTAATCCACGATACATATCCAAGTAAGTGTAGCAACTCCTCGTAACCCGTTCCCTTAAGTCAACTAATCAAAACAAACCTTATTTTACTATAGGATCGGGGCAAGGTTTCTAAGTTGGGAAAGAAAATTATTATTATTATCTTATGTAAAAGCCATTACTTACTTGAACTAGGAGTTTTGTCATGGATTAAGGATATTTTATCCCTTTGTCACAGTGAAACACCCAATATTCTTACATTTATAACAGACTCTCATCTTAGGCAACAGCGGTAGTGGGGCACAACCCTCCCTCTTCCTCTTTCAAAAAAACTCTTGAGCATTTATTTACTCAGAGATCTCAATTCAATGAATTGGCAGGTGAAACCCATGCCATAAATGAACATCACCACCACCACCACTCTCTTTTATTGTCCGCATCCACCACCACCACCACCCTCCACCACAATTATCCACCTCACGTGCAATTACCATCCTATACAGACCTGCACTTTAAAAAGCCAACCCGCCCATTTAATCAGCCCCTTCCTCTCCCTCTCTAAAAACTGAACCTAACTATGTCTGCTCCTCCAACTTCGCTCGCAGCAACAGCCGCCGATACCAGCGGAGGCACCAAAACTTCTCCATTTCAGAACCTAAACTCAAGCATTTTGATCATCATTTTGATCCTCTCCATCACTCTCTTAATCTCGGTTTCTCTTTGCTTCCTCCTCCGCCTCTTAAACCGCGGTTGCCTCCGTCACCTCTCTCCCTCTAGAACCACCGCCACAGCTAACGCTACAACAACCTCCTCCTCTAACCGCCACTCAGGTAGCAACAATCACCGTGTTTCACCAGAAACTTTAGAGCCTTCCATCGCGGACTCACTTCCTCTCTTCTCCTTCTCCTCCATAAAACGCCGGTCGTCATCCTCCCCTTCTATATCAGGCGGCGATTGCGCTGTTTGTTTGTCGAAGTTTGAACCGGATGACCTCCTGCGATTGCTTCCTATTTGTTGTCATGCTTTCCATGCACATTGCATTGACACGTGGCTCAATTCTAACCGCTCATGTCCTCTTTGCCGGTCTCCTATCCATATATCGGAGTCCGACCTCGCCAAAGCTATCTCCGATGGCGGCGCTCGTGGTGGTGATAGTTTCCGCCTTGAGATTGGCTCTATCAGCCTTCGAGAACATACTGCCCCTAACTCCGCCTCCTCTCTCTCCACAGCCGCAGCCTCTGCTGCTGCAGGCGAGCATCGGAGCTCGTACTCAGTTGGTTCGTTTGATTACGTCGTGGAGGAGGAATCGGAGGTTACTATCAGTCAATCGCACAGGAGGAGCATGTCGAAGGAGAGTGGTGGTGGATGTTCGACATTGTCTGAGCAGCCGATTTTGGCAGCGGAAGTGGCTGCGGTGAGAGGAAGTTGGTTAAGAGAATATGTTGATAGGCTATCGGCTTCTCTCTCCTCTCGTACGGCATCCTTTAGAGGTTCTGGAAGGTTCTTTACAGGCAGCAGTGGTCGGAGCGAGATCGCCAGCGTCGGAGATTATGATTTGGAGGCGAGTCGTGTTGGAGAAGAAATTAGCGAGCTGTTTCGTTGGTTTTCAGGGGTATGATTCGCAAATAGATGAATTGCTTAGGGGCAGCTATGGAATTTAAGATTTCTAGCATTTTTTCCTGGTCCAGTCCACTTTTTGCTATGTCCGTTCTAGAAGCTACAAAAAGACAAGAAAGGGTGGGAGTGGATAAAGCAAAAGACAGTGTGCAAAGTACGGAATCAATGGTTCCTTCCTTGGCTTCTCCTCAATCTTCTTTTGTAGATAAAGAGTGACATTTTTTGAGGCATTTTGGAAGACGATGCCAAGGGAGATAGATGATGCATGGATGGATGATCCATTAAGAGGTACATACATACATAGATGATGATTTGCTACCTTTTTAGAAAGAACGGATGGCTTGCATGTGAATTGTGATTTTATGTTTTTTCAAAGTGGGTAAGATCTGAAACTCTAGAGAAAAAAAATATTAATTAGTAGTATTAGATTAGATTTAGTAAATATGGAGTTGTCATCATGTGAATTTTGTGATTGTTGAATTGAATGTTGCTCTTCATTGGTTGATGGTAAGTAGATCAGAAGCATATTAGTTTAGTTTTATTGTATGTATTTACTTCTTCCCGCAAATGAATCACTTTCACATGAGGTCACATGGAGCTTAAGGAGATATAAAGTTCATGAATTATGACCTTCGAGGTTCTTTCCGATGACCTAAAAAGTTTCTAATGTGCGTCTAATCTGTATCTATACTTGCCATGTAGCCCACCTGTGTGGTGCAGTCTTGGCATTTTATATGTTTTCATTTCATGATCTAGCCATTAGAAAGTACTGGATGCTAGGCTTGCTTGCTTGGTTGAGAGATTCATTATGCCATCTTGAATAATTTGAGATTATATATATATATATAGGATTGTCTTGTTGACAGTTTGATAAACATCGGAATATAATTATTGTGTTTTTGTTAAAAATTTATATATTCAAACGGTTATATGTTTAATTAATTTTTTTCGTGAAACAGGATTTGAATTTGAAATTTTTTTTTATAATTATGTAATGAAAAATAACTATTTTGTAATTGAAAAATCTATAGAACTCCGATTAATAAAAAAAAAATTCTGCCAAGTATTTATTTTTTCTCCCTTCGAGTCCTCTCCATCTTGACCTAGTTTTTGTTGGGGCTGTCACCATTTGGACATCTAATCTAGGTGCCTGACCCAATCTGCTGTCTTGGCAATTATGTACACGTAGAGGGTATGGTCAGACCAGTTATGGATTCGCTATTGAACGATGAAGCAATGGCCACTTTCGCACGTTCCTACCGCCACAGCGGGCTTCGAAACGATTAATTTTTCTGTGTTTTTTTTTTTAACTGACACATCTAATATGAACTAATCTATTGAGATAAAAATCCGTGATTTTTTATCACTATCATTAAACTATAAATTCTTCGGTATGTGTATTTAGTATTTTAGTCATCTATTATTTAGGAGTTGCTATTAAATTTTATTGATAGTGTGATTAATCACTTCATTTATTAATTTTATACGAATTTAAATTATTAAAACTAGTAATATTTTGATAAGAAAAAGGTTTTTTTGTGCTCAATCTTTCATTTTTTTTTTTTAATATCCAGCAATTGATTTTTCATGGTTGACTACCCAAACTTTGATTTTACTTGTTTTGGTGTTTGAATTCACCTAAATCTTGATTTTGCTGTTGTGTCTTGCGTGGCAGTCAAAAAATACCATGTGATTGTCAACTTTTGCCACATCAGCACCTCATGCTGTCATGTAGCTATAACTACTAAAAAAAAAAAAAAAAATCAAAAGTTAAGCATTAAAACAGAAAAAAAAAATTAGGTATCAAATATGCAGTGTTTTTAAGAAATTTATTATCTCGAGATTACAAAATTAGTCCAACAATTTCTAATAAATATTTTTCATATCATAATCATGGTATTTTTTTTACTTATCGATGGTAATTTTTAGTACTCTTTATCAATTAAAAATTAGTTTTTAAAAATTCTAAATAATTTTACATGTTTAAACAAATTTTAAATTATGTCATTTAATCCATATATATATATATATATATATATATATATATATATATATATATATATATATATATATATATAAGATTCAATTAAAATTAAATTTTAAAAAACAAAAGACAAATAAGATCTAATTATGATTGTAATTTACGGAACAAATGGTTGATCAATGAAGAAAGTTACAAAAAAATAAAAAATTACTTCCTTTGTTTAATGAGAAAAATTGGCAAACATATCATGGGTGACATAACCTTATTGCAGCAATAACTTGTTGAGCTTCTTATAGTAAATTGAGATGGGATAGAATCAACAAAAATAAATTTAGGGATCAAGCTTTTTGATTTAAGAGTTTGATGTGTAATATGTTTTCAAGCGTTGATAATAATGATAAAGATAATAAATAAACTATGAATTAAGTTAAAAAGTAAATGCATTGTTAAATTTTTTTGTGCAATTAGCATAATAATAATAAGAAAATAAGCTTCCATGTAATTGTTGATGTTTTTAAAATTTAAAATTATATGACTTTTAATATTGAAAAAAAGTTTTGAGAGATTATATATATATAAAGATTATGAAAACATAAGAAATGCATGAAATCAATTTATAATAAAGAAAAGATATATCGAGTACAAGAAGAGGATAAATATTTGGTATGAGAAAACTAAAATAAATTTCTTGTGAAAACTATATTTTTTGTGTCTAACCATTGATATATATTTTTTTCTATTTAGGAGCTCATTCTTTAATTTTTTCTGTTTTAATGGCTAACCTTTGATTTTATTTTTTCTATTTAAATGTTCGTGATTACATGAGAGTACGTATGAGGTACCGATATAGCGAGAGGTTAATTGTCACGTGGCGGATCTCGGTGGACGCATCATAAAAATTAGGATTAAGGTGAATTTAGTCATCAAAACAAACAAAAAATCAAAGTCTCGGGTAATCAATCATGTTCAATCATGGAAAATCAACGATTGAGCATAAAAAAAAAAAATTGAAATGTTACCAAAAAAAGCCTTTCTCTCTATTTTGATATACGAAATAGTTTTAGGTTTGGGAATTTAGTTATACGTTGGAAAGGTTTAAGCACCTCTACAATGCCCATTCAGTATTAGTAGTCCAAATTAATGTGGTGTTTTTAAAATATGACTTTTCAAAAATTAATTAACTGTGACACGAGTTTTTTTAATTATTTTTATTATCCTTACGTTACCGTCGACTTTTGGGATTACCTCTAAAATTTTCGTATGTAATTAAACTTGTTTTGATTTATGAGTATTTGTTATTATTATTTTTTCAGTGACGTCCCAAAAATAAATGGTAGGTAATTAAATGAATTATTAATTTAAATTTTTGGGTTTTCCCATAGAATTCAATATTTATTAAAAAAAATTATTATTTTTATCTTGAAATATTGGGGTTTTCTAGTGATTTTGTTGAGTTGATTTTATTATTGGCTAACATAGCAAATTTATTTGATGACCATCACAACTATTTTAGGTTCAATAATAAGGGTGTCTTCGAGATAGTTTTTGTGAACATCGAAATTAATTCATTTCTGAACATAGTTAAAAAATACTTTCAAATATACGAGTTTTAGATATTTTGACAATAAATTTTCAAAAGTATTAGTCATAAAAATCTAATCCAGACCTGCTTGATTAGTTTTCTAAATTATTTTTGTGTTTTTGAAAAAAATAAGAGTATAATTCCTTGGTTGACTGAGGTGCAAAGAAAAAAAAAGTTTCTTTATGAAACCCAATTTGAAAAAAAGAATAATAATAATTTAAAAACCCATTTCCATTTAAGGGTGATTTCAGACAAGGGTTGGTTAGCTTGATGATACACTTATTATTTTTGGTTATTGGAGAGGCTCATTATGAATTTAGTTATCTCAATACATACATTTGGTTGAGACTAAAGTCGTCAGTAGACTCGGTACACATGATGGGATGCATATTGCAATTGCTAAGCAAGCACAGTTAGGGAATAAATCAGGCAATGTTTGTTTCTGTTTGTTTTCTTGTTTTTTTTTTTTCCCAAATACTTTAAAAAGGAGACTCCTTAACCATGCCTAATTAATGGTTTTAAAAATTACAATTGTTATCTCTGCTTTTTACATTTTGTAAAATCAACTTTTGCTTTAAATTGATTCAAGTCAACCCCTCTACTTCCAACTAATGGTGATTTGAGTCCTTTTATTCCACTCTTGTACTGGTTTAATGGTAAAATTTGTCTTTAAACCACTACGATTTGATAATTTCAGATTTTTATTAACAATATGAGTTAACTAGATCCTAAACTATTATTTTCTAGCAAAGATGATATTTAATCATCATCTTTAACTATCAAAGAATTGATTGTCAATAACCAATCTTTTGATCATCAACATTACATTTTTTTAAACTAATAATTAACTTAATTAAAACATGATTATGATTAATAAGCCAAAAGTCATCCCAAAGTACCAAATATTATTGTACAATTCCAGACAAATGATTAAGGTCATTTGACTAATTATCAGGGGTTGGCACTTACTATCATCAACTTTAGGGACATAGAATATATTCATTGAATACAAACACGCTTCCAACATTATCTTGTTCAGTTGACATCAACCATTTCATTATTATGTTTATTCAACAATAATTCATCAACATCTGAAATATTTACCCTTTAATCATAATTAGTAGTAGATGTTGATAAAGTAATAGACAATTCTATTCATTCTTGGCTTTTGATTGTATAAACAAGCAAAGAGTTTTAAAGTTTCAAGTTCTAAGTCTTTCTGCTAATAATTAATATTGATTATTTTCTACAAACTCACATTATTCTACTATTGTCTTCTCAAATAATTATTCCTCTTTATATACTATTTAATTATCGAAAGGTCCTCAAATCCATAAAGAATGAAATAGTTAATGTCGACTGAATAATTATCCGTTCATCATAATTAGTAGTAGATATTGATAAATTAATAGATAATTCTATTCATTCTTGGCTTTTGATTGTATAAACAAGTAAAGAGTTTTAAAGTTTCAAATTCTAAATTTTTCTATTAACAATTAATATTTATCATTTTCTACAAACTCACGTTATTATACTACTGTCTTCTCAAACAATCATTCTTCTTTATATGCTATTTAATTATTAATAGGTCCTCCAATTTATAAAAAAAATACTTATTTTATAAGTATTTTAACTATCTTGATATTCATCCATCTTCAAATTCCACAATGGTATTAATTTAAAAAATGAACTTATCACACATTATCGATGAAATTCACGAATTCATCACTGATTATCCGAAATCTACCGTGTTGTCATATCACACATTATTAATGGAGTTCACGAACTCATCACTAATTACCCTAAAACTATTATGTTCTCTTAGGAGTACAAAATGGCATTAACCTAAGCACTTCACTTCGGCAACATACAAAAGAATTGGTTATGACATGCCCTAGCACGTGACTTACCAACAACAGCGCTGTAAACTGAAGATTGCATAAGCATAATGTGGTCCAATTAATACTGCATCAAATCCATAGACATTTATGAAGTAAGATCCAAAAAAAAACTTGATGAAATTTTCGGACAGGTTAGAATTTTTTTTGCCAAAGATTGCATACATCTATATAAAAAGTTTAAAAGAAAGATATGTAAAGAAGCAGGCAACAAATTCAAGAAATAAAAAGGTCCATGTTTGGTCTATCAGTTCATCATCCAACACAAGACAAGTTTGTTGGATTAGCTGTGTAAGGATTTGTTTCCATCTTGCATTACGTCTTTTTGTCTAACTTTCCATGCAGTACGATCCATGAAATCGGATTAAAAAAAGGAAGTGATATGAAAGAAAAATCTGACATTTTGTCAGGATTAGAAATTGATCGTGACAAGCTATACCGACGTCTTGAAAAGCAGTCATCGGAGTGCGAAGGGTAAGTCTTTCCTTTTTTACACGTGATTCCATGTGAATAACAAACTCCTATTTTAAGGACATTTCTAGGGTTGCTATTCTCTGTAAGTGTTGCTTGTAATTTTTTTAATAAAATAATAACATATAAATGGAGGGAAATATATTCCTAGAACCTGAGATAATTTCTCATTAGTGATATGATAATTAATATTTTTTATTAGTTTTAGGAATTTATTATGAGTTAGTTTTTGGATTCAAACTTCAAATCCTAGGAAAGTACCTAAGATTTTTTTTTCTTTTTTAATAATGCCTCTGAATATTTACACGGCTTACTTAAAAATCGATCAAGAAAAAAAATAATTTTGATACATAAAAAAATTGACTCGAAAATACCTAATGGTTAAAAATAAAAAAATACGCGAGTACTGTCTCTCTCGTTTTCTCTTCCAGGTTTTGTATTTGTAGTCGGGCTTGGTCATATGGAACTTGCCCAAAAGCCAAGACTCTAACCAGGCCGGCTCGTAAACCAAACTTTATTTTCTATCCATCTGGGTTTCTGGTACGAGGTCCAATGTAAAAGGGGTTGCCATATACTTTGAGCCCAAAATGATGACCGAAGAAATGGAAGAAATTGAGAGGGATGAATGGGTTAGGTGGTGATTTGGTGGGTCCAGGTTTGCAAATGTGGATTCTCAATGTATCTTGCAAAATTTTACAATCAACTTTTGAGTTTGTTTTATGCAATAATTTTCTCTTCAAAAAATTTCCATATTTGTGTGTTTGGTACTCATTTTGAGTCATTCTGTCGCCAATCTCATGTGGCTTGAACATGAATCTGGAAAAAAAATTCAATACTAAAGAAAGAGCTGCACAACCAAACACTTTAACGTCTCGTCTAATCACAATTCAAACGTATCTAATTTAACCTCGGATCAAATGCCTTCAATTTGATGGATTGAGCTTCTGAGTTTAGACCACAAAATGAACTGTGGCCCTCTTGATTTTAAACATAACTGGATGATCCTGCATTCACAACATTGCGAGTGATAAATGAAACCCTTACATCACAGAAGCAGATCTTTTTCAAGATTTCTAATCTCTAAAATATGGGTTTTTCTCTTTTGTTCCTATAGTAGTCTCAGCGCATTCGACCCAATAAAAAATGAAACAGACAACGTGTAAGCCCATACATGAAAGGCAGAAACAAGCAGGCCCATTAAGAAGGGCCTGGAAAACCACTAGCAGTCAGATCATTAGAAAATAAGAAAAAAAGGAATATTATTAGAATTACAAGTACCGTGCTCTCTCTCTTCCCAACTTCCCGAAGGCTTCCGTTGTTAAATTTCATTTCTTTTCTTCTTTTTTTTTCAAATATAATTTTCTTCCCAGCAGATTCTTGAAATTATTAATCTTTTCTTCAAGTTGCCTTTATCATTTTGCAACTTGACGCATACAATGAAAGAAGATAGCTAGAACAATTACCCTTAGCCATCCACAATCACGGGATTTTGGCGCTTTTCCAGCCAAGATTTGCTTTGAAAAAATTAAAGGACGGAAAGTGATAGGGTAGCGGGGAGGACTATGCCAATAAAAGGATTAAATTCCATGGATGTATGTAAGTAGCATGATAGACTGACTTGAACGCCTAATTCATGCTGACATGATAGTAAAGTGCGACAATTTTTTTGCCAAATGAGGGTTAATTAATTTAATTTTTGGTTTGGTTTTACTTATTATGCAATAAATTACCTAATCATGTTAAAAAAGTCAATTTATTTTAAATAAATATTTTCAATATGTGATTTCTTTTTATCATCCATACTGTTTTTAACATGTCATTCTATCGTTTTTTTTTTCTCCCATGACACACTCTACCTTTTTTTCTTTTTCTTTTGATGTAAAGTAAGGAACTAGATAAATAAATGGCTGGATAAGAATAAATAGATCATGAGAATAGGAAGAAATGGTTGAGGGCAGTGTATCTCGGTGGATCTTGTCCATATATGATTCTTCTCTTTTTCAAATTATTTTCGTTGATACTCTCTCTATATATATATTTTGTATTTTGTATTGATCGAATCCTTTTTCTCTTTATTTTGTTTTTGTTTATTCGTTATATCGTTGTTAATTATGAGCTTACGTGAAATGTCTAATTCCGAATGAATGACATATGTTATATGTGAGATTTCATCAAAGAATATGAGATTTCAATCAAAATAATTTAAATAATACATGGATTATTTTTTTTTAAATTTTCATGTTATTATGTTTTTAAAACCTCATTTTGATTTCTCAAAGCGTATTGTATACAAGACATCATCATAATAAAACTCTGAAGATTATTTAAAAAGAAATAATTATAATAACTTAAAAATAATGATGCTTACATAATGAACTTAATATGCAATTAAAAAAAAATAGAGTAAAGATATGTTCATCAAAATAAAAATAAAAACAAGAATAATTAGTAACTAATTATCTAGCTATATCAAATAAGAAAATACAGTGCAGTCCTAAATTTTTTTTAAAGAGCAATCCAATTTTTCACTTTGAATTAATTGGTCAAATATTTGAGATTTTATACTTTTTTATGGAGTAGAACCATTAATTAGGAGACTATGAATGATCAATGTTGTACATCTCTATATTTTTGTTCTAATAATAACAAGATTTTTTTTTCAACTATTATTTTATTATTTTTAACTCATTATAAAATTTTTGTTATTAAAAAGAAAAACACTTCAGAGTTTTATTGTGTTGAAGTCTCATACACGATACATTTTGTGCATTTATTAAGACAAGAACTTACAGTTCCTTCAATTTGGTCAAATTAGCGAGAGCCAGGGGTAGCTCTCTAGTGACATTGTTGGCACTAAGCGTTCTGCAATAACAAAAGAGAGAACAATTGATGTCAACTTAGTCTAACTGTATTCATCACATGAAATTTAACATTCACTAACCGGATATGGATTTCTAAGATAAAACGTTGAATGAACTGACATATTCTCTAGGTTAACCAAGTTTCCATGTTCAGTGGGGAAATGTTCCCTGCATGAATGCCAACCCTCAATATCACTACTGGCTAAATATTTTAACAGCTTTAAAATGAAAAAAAGAGAAGAAACTGACAAATACAAAATGCATACAAGTATCTAAGTGTGGTCGTCTTTCCCAGATAGCTAGGAATTCGTCCACTTAAGCAGTTTACAGCAACAGACCTGCAGCAAATGCAATCTATTAATTCAGTAAGACTGAGCAATTCATTGGCTAGAAAAACATGAAAATGCTGCAATTTCTTACAATATTTCCAGCTTCGAATTAGCCCATTCCGGCAGTATGTTAACAAATCACTGCAGAGTTTCTAATTGAATTGAATCATATGTTTGAAATCATGATTGCTAAAATCTAAAGATGTAGTAATTGGAAGCACTACTTCAAGATTCTTAAGGTGAGGTAATGTCACGATAGATTTTGGGAGACTGCCTGCAAGATCTTGCCTTTTGAGAAACCTGCTTTGCAAGAAAACTCGGGACCCATCAATTCCCCGTTGAAAGGTAAAAATTCCAAACTTCAAACTTTGCATATCAACTTCCTAAAACAAAAAAATACAAAATAGTAGACAATTAATGGACCCAAAATCTTTTTGATACCTTTTCTTCAATTGATTCTAAAGCCTAAAGTTCTAAAAAGGGAAATTCTCATCTTAGATAAAGATCGTTTCTTTGCAATTCACTACATTCTTGGCATGATTATTATATATTTATACTTCTTAGAAAATTCTACTGTACAATTTCATCTGAATGTCCCAACTTCATCTCAATCTTGGTTCACCCATCGGCTAAACCAACAATTCACAAACTTTTGCACGTTAATTCAAAAGGTTCTGCCCTTACAGATAACTACCAACATAACTTTGGAGAAATCCCAAGAAAATAAACAATCTAGCATTAACAATTCAACTATCTAGAACTCTAATTATAATTATAAATATACTTTCTTGCTCCTAATTTTGCCATTTTCAAACACGGATACTACAAAGTCAATCATTCAAAAAAGGAAAATCAAACATAAACAAAACTAGCATGAAGTATTAAGTGAAGAAACGTACATGGCAACAATGTGGCACACACCCCCAGGAAATGAGCAATTGCAAACAACTTTATCATCATCTATTGGCCTTCGAGATAAAGTTGATGTTACCCAGCTTGTCTCATTAATGCATGGATCCACACTATTATTCAAGTCCTCCTTCCCCAGTTGTGTTGCTATTTCACGCAAAGCATCCAGTCTAGAAATCAAAACGCACAACTTGTAAATTCTGGGGTGGTAAAAAATTACAAGGTAGAAATTATCATTACCAAATTAAACATTTTCATGTCCCTTCATCAGGAGCAAGAAGCCCAGCTTGTGCCTCCAGTTTTATAGCTTTCATGCAAAACATGAGTACCATAAGCATAAGTAAACTGAATGTCATCCTCAAAGTATCAGACCAGCAGCAGCCATCTTCTTTCTCTGTAATGAACTTGGTATTCTCTCCTCGAGCGCCTTAAACCTTGATCGGCTATCTGAAGAGGACGTTTCACTTTTCAGTATAGTTTATGAGTCAGCATGGGCCTTTCTCTTTTTTAATAATTTTGGTGTAAAACTAATAGTACTACCCAAGTAGTTTTTAATTTTGAGCCCTTCTCTTTTTAATAATTTTTGTGGCTAATAATTTTAACCAGGACTTGGAGGTTTAGATTGATAGTTCGATTCTTTGTGGTTAATAATTTTAAGAATTTATTTTTATAATATTTGAGTTCATGTATTGAAAAGTATTTTTTAATCATATTTAGGGAGAAATTAATCTTATAATACGTGAAAATTGACTCAATAACATTTTTATTGCTGAACCAAAAAAAAAAAAAAACCCTATAGACTATTTGAGATTTGCCTAAAAATTTATGTGTACCTATTTTTTATTTTTTAATATTTAGAGGCAGTGAAATATTTTTGTGTTAGTTTTTGTATTAACAAAAACCAAATATATTATTTTTTTGAATTAAATCAATATTAGAACTCACATAAATTTTAATCCATCACTTAATTATTTTTTAAATCAAATTAATTTAAATATGATATCACTAAAATGTAATTATAGTTATTTTCCATGTATACTACATGCATCTGGTTACGAAATATAATAATATATAATTTACACTTATCTAAAATATAAAGAAAATTTCCTTCTGTTTATGCTAGGATCGGATCTAAAATGTCACTAAAATACAGGTTAAATACTAATCACGTGCATGGTCTATTGCTAAGGTTTTGATAAGAGTCGAATCCTTAGATGTTATCTTGTCGGAAGTTATCATAATCACTAAACTAGTATATTAGCTAAGGACTAGTCATAACATGATTCAGATTTCGTGGGCTGTAAAAGTATATTTTCCTTATCTCACTTTCCGATAATGGTAGGCTGTGGATTTTCTTTTCGAAATATACAAGTCAAGGCAAGTTTTGTCGAAAGTAATCAAATTTTGGTTTTTGAAAACTTGTACAATGATTAAATAATTTGTGAAATTAGCTCGGAGGAATAGAAGATAGAACGAAATAAAATGTTACATTTTTCTGTATTTTGGGAGGTTGTTCATTTTGATCATTAATAAATTCATTCAATTAAACCCAAATATCCTTCTAAAAAAACAAAAACAAAATTAGGATCTATATTGCAGTAGATTTTATAATTAATTAATTCTATTAAAAGGAAGTAACAGAAGATGAAAATTTGCATGTGGAAATCTTTCTTCCTTGTCTCACTCGTATATGATTGTATATTTTTCAAACTTTTTCAAAAATTAATTAAATTCTTTTTTTATATATAAAATTAATTAAATTCGATGATTCATGTTATTTTCTTTAATATTGGGATGGATCTAACCGATCGGCAGGTTTAAAAATGCAAAAGTTTATGGTTCTGCATCACAACATCCAGTTACCAACGAAACAGACGAGAACTGTGGGCTTTAGCAAGATTTTGAACATTAAAAAATATGGGCTTTCTCATTTTTCTTTGTTTTTGGTTCTAATAGTAAATCAGCCCATATGGTCCATTATAAGTTCATAATCTAACACAGCACAAATTTGTCGGGTTAGTTTTGCACGGTTTTCCTCTTCTTCTCCCCTTTCCAAACTGTTTTTAAGTGTCAGCTTTCAGGGTATTGTTTATTAACGTAGGGCATGCTCACATTCCTTCCAATTCCATTTTATATAGGTTCTGTGTATTAGGTGCAACCCAGAATGGAAGGCCCAACCAATTAGTTTTTGCCTACAAGGAAGAGCAAAAAAATAAAATAAAAAATGATGCCGATGAATGGAAGTAAAAAAAATTATTAGGGACTCCGGCCCGACTCAATTGATTTATCCAAAAAAAAAAAAAAAAAAAAAACCCTGAAACGGTGGAGTTTGACCAGGACGGATTTCTAATAACACCTTCAGACTCGAACACTGTATTCATCTAGTTGATCTGCCCAAGAACCTCAAGATCCACATGACCTTTATAGTTTATTATTGATTTATTTAAAAAGATAAAACGTCATTTGTGGGTCGATCCGATTATCTGTGTGTTGACTTGTGGACTTGGGAGTTGGGTCTTTGTCAAGTTCTGGGAGTGGGCTTGACATCTGTGTGGATGTAAGTCCTAAAAATTTTCCCATAAAAAAACAAAAAACGAGAAAATTGGCGAGACATGACGTGGCCAATCTGACGTGATCCGTTGGATCCACTGATGCGACTGCAAACGTCATTGTTTGGCTACGTTTTTCTTTTTTCTTTTGTTTTTTTCGATAAAGGTCATTGTTGTGTAGCTGGAACGGGGTACTCTCAAATGATTTGGTTTCCTGTCCGACCCCTTGTATTGCCCACTGTTCACATTGAATAAATTCGTCCGTTTACAGATATTGGTTTCCTTTATCATAATTATTTTTATATGACCATATATTTATATCTTATTAGTTTTATATAAATACAAAACTTTCTTATATTTCGACTTGGTGTAAATACAGTGAAGTGATTCTTGATATGTGCAAAGTATTTAAAAAAACTAAATTGTAAAATTATCCTCTGAATTTTGGGGAAAAATAAATATCTAACAATTTTTTTTATTTTTCTCTCAAAACAATATGATTTTTTTTTTTAATGCCTAAGTAGTAGAGATTGATTTTAAAGAAACCCATAAAACTTCTCTCATTTCCTCTATTTCTCTGCAACTTGTAATAGAATTTTTTTTCTTACTCGTCTTCATCTTCCCTTTTCTTATCTTTTCAACCACTGATTCTAAGCTACTAAGCCATGAAAGAAACGAAAAATAAGAAAAAAAAACTCCCATGAATTCCTACAAAAAACCTAAATTAAAAATCTCAATCAAATCATTCACTAAAGTCTAAAAATTTTCAATTCTAAAAGAAGGCACTCTATCTTTCTTCGTTGTTGGGGCTGCTAGTGCTGTTGCTATCGTTTTTGCTGTCGGTGTCGATGCGTTGTTTCTGTTGCTACTAGTGGTGTTGCTGCTCTTGTTGTGGGTGTTAATAGTGATGGCTGGCTATGTTTCAAATAAAGTAAATGGGCCATGTAGATACAACTCGCAATAATGTTTTTTTTTTTTTTTTTTAACGTATGGATTTTGTATGCATAATTTATAAGAATGTTTTTGTATTTTTAATTTAGTTTCATGAATGATAATTGTATGCATGTATTTCAATAAATTAAATGAGTTGTAAAAAATTCAATTTTTGCTTGTTCTTTGTATCAAAGATAGAAGCTCTTCTGTAAATAAGTTCGATAACACAATTTTTGAATGAAATGAAAAAAGTCGCCCGATTTCTCCTCCGTCTAACAATAGGTACAATTTACAAGAATTTTTCTTTTAGTGTCATGAATAATAATTTTATGTATGGATTTCATTTTAAAGATTAATATTTTCAATTTTATTTTTTAGTTTGAATCTTGATTTGGATGGCCAGATGGAATACACACATATATATATTAGCATAGAAAGAGAGGAATTATAAGGGTTTTTAAGGATTTTTTTGTCATTTTTCCAATGAAATTTTAATAGAAGGGCAAAATAAGAAAATCATATTGTTTTAGGATAGGAAATCATGATTTTTTTGTCCAAATAAGCAGTTTTTTTTTCCCTTAAAATTTAAGGGAATACTTCACAATTTAAACTATAAAAAATGCAGAGTGTTTTTTTCAAGGAGTATAGTTTAACATATATATCCAACTGCCCCCAAAATTTCTGAGTAAAAAATAAGCTGCAACTATGGCTGTAATTCCTTCTATTGCTATTTGAAATCAGAGAAATCAAAATTTTGAAATCCACTAGTTGAATTAAAACAGAAAATTTGTAGCACAAGACGAGTGACAGTTAAGTTATAATGCTCGACACAAACACGGCTAATAAACTTGAATAGACGTCCCTCTATTTGCTTAGTACTAGCTTGGATTGAACTTGGTAGCTCTTGAACTTAGCCATTTGAATTCGAAGTTAAAACCCCGTTTGATCCCTTCACGACATTTTCTCTTTTTAGAGAAGAGAAAAAAAAAAAAACCCTCAAAAACCTTATCCCTTTCCAATCTTTTCCTTTCTTTCTTGTCGGGACTAGTCCCCATTTGGACCCCTATTAATGAGGCTATGAAAAGCAGTTGTCCCTGAATTAATTATGAAATGAAATGCACGTTTGCGGAACCAAGTCACCAACAAACATCCGAAATGTTAAATAGCCCCAGCAGTGGGTTTAAGTGGTCTATATTTACTCAGTCTGCTAGTTACCGTCCGAGCCATTTTACTAGTAGGTGGGAGATATAGAGAGAGAGAGAGAGAGAGAGAGAGAGAGAGCATTCAACTTATCGGTATAGCATCCAGGAAATCAAGACCCTCTGCTTCTCAGGCTAAGGTACTTGGGTACTTCATGCATTATCTTAGTTTTTTTTCTTTTTTTTTTCCTTTCCTGTTCATGCTCCTTTGTTTCATTATTTTTGTTCCAACACCGAAGAATGTTTAAAGTTCTCAAACCAGTGAAGCTTTCTTAATTTCAGTGTTACAAAGCTCACGTCGTACGTATTAACGATAAAATTCACCTGTTACCCTGAAATGGCCAGGATATTGTCCTTTTCCCTCCTTGAATTTGTCAGGGATGAAGTTCGGTTATTATTATTATTTTTTTAATCATTAAAGTTTGGTTTTAGTTATTCTCCGTGTAAACTCAGTGGGATATATGCTGTACTGTAAATGAGTAAATTAGAAATTATTTCCTTTTAGTTTTGAAAATCAAATTAATTAATTTCTTTCATTTTATACTTAATTTAATATTAATTTATTTTTTAAAAAATATGTGGTTGCTTGTTTGTCGATATACAATATATAGCTAGGTTGAGAAACCCCCACCACCGTCCACGTTTTATGGAGCATTATGCTATAAAACCAAGATCCATCCATCTATTTTACTGGAAAATCTAATATGGATGGCTTGTTTGGTTAGTGGAAGAAACCGAGCAGCAGGCAACTAGATGAAAACAGATCAAGCAACTAGTTGCTCCAAACGAGCTGTTGTGACATATTTCAGAAGTTGTGATTTGCCTAAAAGTCAGACTCCTAATAAATTTGATGTTAGACAATGGTTTTGTATAGTATATTGGAGGCATCATTCCATTTTTCATAGTATGCTTAGACAAAGTTTCAATAGATATGGTAGAGCTTTTGCTAACGAGCATGCATAAAATTAATTACATTTTCTTTTTGAGAAGTTAATTTTTTAGCTAGCGATGACTGTTGTTTGGTCTGTCATGTGAGCAGAAGCTTTCACAAATGGGAGACGCTGAATTAGCAAGCCCTTCGACTCGTATTCAAAATCCACGCAAAGAGATTGCAATTGAAATTCCAGAACGCTTGGAGACGACCTTTCGGCCAGACGAATGTATCTATAAAGCTCCAGCTGCACTTCACGATTCAAACAGAGCTGCCTACACTCCTCGGGTCATTTCTATTGGTCCTATTCACCATGGTGATGGAAAACTGAAGCCTATGGAAATTCAGAAACAGAGATATCTGAAAGAATTTTGTAAGAGATTGGGAGCGCAAACAGAGGAGCAAGAAAGACGAAGATTTTTTGAAGAACCTTTGAGCATCATTCAGAAGCAAGAAGATGAGATACGCGGTCGTTATGCAGCTGATGCCTTTAAACTTTGTGGCGATGAGTTTGTGAAGATGATTCTGTTGGATGCCGTGTTCATTTTCGAGCTCTTCTTGAAGAATGATGAATACATGGAAAATAAAAACGCCTATCAAGACGATTTCATCATAGGCAAACCATGGCTCAGATGTGCGATTCAACGGGACTTGATATTGCTTGAAAATCAGCTGCCATTCTCCTTTCTCGAGAAATTATACAATACCTTTGACCCCAGCAAAGCAAATCGGCGTCCTTTTCTGGAACTTTCCTGCCAGTACTTTAAGAAGTATAATGAGGGCAATTCCGAGCCACCAACTGGAACCTTACATTTCACTGATTTGGTGAGATATTTTCTATCTGTCAAGCACCCGAAGTTATCACCAGATACAGAACCGATAAAAAATCTTTATAGTGCAACCTTGCTGCACCAAGCAGGAATTAAGTTCAAGCCATTGCGGAAGGAATGCTTGCTTGACATAAGAGCCTGGGATTGGATTTCTGATTCAAAAGGAAACGGGAATCCAGTCAAGAAAGGTGAGTTACATATGCCACCCCTTGAAATCGACAACAGCACCGAATGTCTCTTCCGAAACCTGATGGCCTTGGAACAGTGTCATTATCCAAGAGATGAGTATATCTGCCGTTATGTTAAGCTATTGGATTTTCTTGTGGACGTTGAAAAAGATGTGGATTTGCTTATTGAAAACAAAGTTATTGTTAGCAGGCTTGGTGACAGTAAAGCTGTGGCGAAGCTTCTTAACAGACTTTGCCTAGAAATAGAAGAAGTTCCTTCAAGTTATGATGATCTTTCCAAACTGCTGAATGATTACTATGAGAGCTCGTGGAACAAAAACAAGGCATACTTGGTAAGTGTGTATTTCCAAAATGTTTGGATTGGTACTGGAACTGTTGTTGGATTAATCATCCTAGCCATCACTGTGGCAAGGTTTATCATGTACTTTTTCCGCTAATAGATTAGGTTTGTGCTATAAATGAGAAGCTGGAGCTCCAGACTTCTTGGGAGAAGGAAAACACAGATGCTAGTTGAGCTACAAGATCATATTATTGGCTTCCTCTAAATAAATTAATCTGAAGCCTGTGTGAATTAATGTGTAGCTCCTACCGTTGTGTTACGTGCTTTTGTGCCTGTAGAATTTTGGTTTGCTTTGGAGTTAATAAAAATTCTGTCGTTCTCGTTGAAACGTAATTGAACTACAAGGTTATCTAGGAATGTCAATGAATTGCGGTTTGCATTATTTCCACATCTTTAATATCATCATTAAATAAAAGTTGTGCGTGAAAGGTTTTCGTCCTTTTCTTTTAGTTGTCGTACCGAAAAACAAAATGGTGCTAAACACCTGGCCTGTGAAAAAGAACAAAACCAGGTAGGAGGTGAAGTTGGGCAAGTTCACTTTAACAGAGGTGTCAAATTAGTTGATCAAACAATGAATGAAAGAAAGCTTTGTCAAATATACTGCCAATAATGCACTTTCACTACGTCTTCTTCATTGGCTTCTTGATTGCTTGGTGTTGAAAAGCTACGACCCCTTTACAGGCTACGATGCAAAACCGAACTGGATGCTAAACACAGAGTACAATAGGCCATGGTATGTACTTATTTTGAACGTCTGAACATATCGCAACTCATTGAATTTTTGAGTGGCTGATCTTTTACCCAAGGAAAAAGAGAGAAAATACCCAATAACAATAGTAGTAGTTATGGGGTTTGTCAAGGAAAGAGATCAGGAGATGATCCTAAAGAAGAGAAATGAGGAGCTGGAGAAATCCCTGAAAGAAAGCAAGCAGAGGGAGGAGAAGTTGAAGTCGGAGCTACAAAGGGCATTTGAGAGGGCTCAGAGTGGCTGAGGAGAGGCTCTGTTCCCAGCTGGGTGAGCTGGAGGCTGAGGCTGTCGATCAGGCCCGTGCCTACCATGCCCGCATTCTCTCTCTCTCATGAACGAGCTCTCTCAAGCCCATAACCTCCTCCACCTTCATCCAGTCACCAATTAACATCGTCATCTCCCCCTCCTCCCCAATTTTTTTTTTTTTCCCGTCTTTTTGGCTCCTCTACTAGCATATGTAAAAGGTGGAACTTAAAAGACCGTTTCAGAAATGTTTCGAAATCAGTTTGGATCGAATTTTTTAATGCAATATTCAGAATTTCGAAACTATGTCAAGAGACACTCTCTCTTTCCAAAATAGTCATTTTACAGACAATGTCTTTGCATATGTCAAAAGGCACCCAAGACAGTGATGGCCGTTTGCCCGAGAAAGTAGCTAGAGGTTGGACGAACCTCACTTTAATAGCGGTCCCACTTCTTCTATTGGCAATGTCTTTTTCCCATTTCAAGTCCTTGTCTTTTTGGGCTCTTCTTTTCAGGTGTTGCATTACCACATCCAAATACCTCCTCGCGTTTCGTGCTCTGAGGATTTCTCTATCAGTATTTACTGGGAAGAAAATTGACAGGACCTAGTCTAAATCTGATAAGGGAGGTGTCGTATTTGCCCTTTACTGCTCGACTGGATGACGTTGATAAATGGGGAAGTCTGGACCACCCAAAGATGTTTTATTTAAAAGGAAAATCAATGCATGATGTTAATTCGCTTTAAAACACAAATGGATAATTCTGCATCGCAGCCTAAACTTGCTAATTAAATTTTTAGAATTCTGACAATAACACATGTAACAATTTGCAAAGTGGATCAATGGTTGGTATTTGGCAAGAGACTAACAGCTTGAATATGGGTCGTTGCGTAGTCTCAACCCTCACGGGCCATTATAGAGAATCAAATTAAAAAACAAGTGGGCTCATTCCGTACAGGCCCAATCCCATTGAAAAAGGCACAGAAATTTGCTAAGGCCCGGCCGGTCTCTCTAAGAAAGCAAAAGAAAACTTTAAGCATTTACGAGTCCTAATTATTATTATTATAATAATAAGACCCAAGTAAAAAAAAAAAAAAAGGTAACAAGTAGTTATCTTACGTTGGAATTTGGAATAGTCAGCCCCCAAGCCTGTATTAATTCTAAGCTTTTTCTTCTTTTTTTTTTTTTAGAATTTTTCTTTTCTTTTGTGTTATTTGGCCACCGAATCAACTCAATTGTTTAAATTTATTTTTATTTTTTTTAGGGTTAAACTTTTTTAAAATTATCTTCTTCTTTAAAATTAATTTTATGATTGTGTTTGTTCAAAAGGATTTTTCTAAATCTTGAGTTTGGTTTTGAATTCAATGATCTGGATTATGTGAGAAAAAATAAAATAAAAAATATTTAAGGGTTAAATTGTTGTCATTTTTATCATGCACTAAATCATATCCATTAAATTTAAATTTAATAATTCATATTTAAGGAACATATGATCATATTCAAGAGGAACCAAAAATTGATTGACTTACCCTTTAACCTTCAACTAAAATTCAGATACTAAAGGACGTGGCTCAGAACAATTAAGAATACACGAATCACAAAACATAATATAATTAAATAAAAAAAATGTCTATAAAGATGGAATAACTTTATTGTGATTAAATTATTCACAGCCATATTTCGACTTATAAGCTATCGTTCTTTAATTTGTCAAGATATATTATTTCTTATGGTTTTTGTGTGATACATAGTAAAAGAACTTGTGATAGGTAGCTCGTGGTTTGGCTGAAATGATTCTGAACCTATATAATATGGACGCTCGAAATACGGGCATGACACAAGATGGATACGTGAGGGATACATTACTTTATTTAACTAATTATTTTATATGATATATAAAAAAATTATTGTAAAGGTAAATAATAATCAATACTAAAAATTAATATAATGAATTATATATATATATATATATATATATATATATATAGAAAGTATAAATAGATTTCATGTTATTTATATTTTCTTAATTTATAATCATAAATAAAATTTTGATGTCTAAAAATTAATTTATCCTGAAAAAGATTACAGTAATACTATAACCGTATCATTTACAATTTCCTTTTTCACTTTCAAATTCAACAACGAGTGCTACTCGCCTTTCATTAACTGGAAAAAAAAAAAACATTAATATATAAGTAATGATATCGTATCTTATTATAAAACTTTATAAAAAAAATAATGATGCTTATATTTTTACTTCAAATAAATCTCATATAAAAAATATCATCATATCAATTTTCATTGTTGAAAATTTTAAAAATTAGAAATATTTAATTGAAAAATATTGAAAAGGTTGAGTTTAGTTAAATGTTTTTTTTTCCCCTTGAAGTTGTAAAACTGAAAACCATATTTGCGCCTTTCTTTAAAAAAAATTATAAATTTAACATAAAAAGTATCTCTTATGTATTCTTCCATATCCTAGCCATATCACATATTAAAAAGTAGATTTTCTATTTTTTTTATTATTATTTATCATCTTTCTAGGCATCTCGTATGTATCGTACTACATTACATCCAATCTTATAGTTTTTTGTTATTTAACTCAATAAATAATAATTACATAAATAGTTTTATGATAAAAATCATTCAGTGAGATTCATATGGAGTTCCTCGAGAAATTTGGTATTATTTTCTCTTTTTCTTGATTTTTTATATTTTTAATGTTCAAAAAATAAACTAATATAGTTGTCGATTCTGAAGAATTTTGGATTTTTTTCTACAAAATTGATTGTATTTTTCCAACGTGAGTGTAAAATTTCATTTTAAAATACCAAAAAAAATTAATTTTTTAAAAAGGAATATGGTAGCTAAAAATAATTAGATGAACCAAAACTCAAATAAATAAAAGTTTAAAAATTCTCAAAATCGATAAAAATTCAAAAACTTAATCTCAGACGACTTAAAATTCAGAAATGATTATTCCTTTTTAGCAAAAATAAAATAATAATAATAAAGATAGGAATGTTGAGATAACTCTCTAGGTCTTATTCATAGATCCTAGAATTTCATTTTTACAATATTTTTTGAAAAAATTAAAATAGCATTGATTTTAGAGGTAATAGTTGCCGAGTCCTTCTATTTATTTTTTCTTTTTTTGTGTTTTTCTATTATTTTTCGATTTAAATTCATCTTTTTACGTTTGATTTATACTATAAGTTCATATATTCGTTAACCTTTTAAATCAATAGTATTAAATGACATCATTAATTTTATAGGATCGAGGCCTATGTCAACTTATTTTTTTAATTCAATACTATTTTATTTTAAATAATATTAAATTAAACACAATCAATATAAATTAATTTTTGTTTTTCAAAACACAACTTAGCAAAAGGTGCGACAATTCAATTGCATCATTAGATGATCTCCCTCGTTCATTTCATCACCCACTCAAATTTATGTTTTACACCAATACTTGAAAAAAAAAAAAAAACGAAATCTTATTGTGTCATTTCCATAGTATCTCTGATATTAGATAGCAGTTGTTTTTTATTCCCAAAATATTACTTTTATTATCCACCCATACTATAAGTAGGCAACAGTGATGATTTTAGTGGGATAGGTAAACAAAACATAACAATGCATTCATAACTTCATTACAATTTTTTAACTTCATTAAACAAATAAGATACATGATAATTTTACAGGCTATAGTTCATTATATCATTACAATTTTATTTTATTTTTTGAAAAATTCATTAAAAAAATGTGCTACCTAGAATATTAATGCATTCATAACTTTTTTTTTTTTTTAAATGCTTTGTCCGAAGAAAATATATTTTCTTTCTATTAAATGAAGAACATAATGTCTCATTCACGAGACAACCATACTATTTTTAAATAATTACAAAGCACATAAAAGAAATAAGATTTAATTAAAGTTACTTCAGATAACTAGTCTAATGAGAAAAGAAATATATTTCTTCAAATATATTTCAGTCAGCTCCAAGTCTCCAAACGCGTCTTCTCTTTTGACCAGGACTAGAGAGGATTAAAAAGGCCTCGTACCCATCCCCAGTGACTTGTCTGATCCTAAATAGGCCGGAAAAAAAAAAAAAAAACGAAATCAAGTATCATCAGGCCTATATGGTAAAGGCCCAGAAAATCAGACCCATTATTCCCCAGGGCAAAGAAAAGAATTCGAAGTCAAAGGGGGCATCCAGCCACTGAGCGAGAGGAAGAAATGGAGGATGATGGAATGGGTGGCGGCCCGAAGACCCAGCGGTGGTGGTGGTGGGCAATGGGAAGCATGGCCCAGTTAGGGTGGGGCATTTCATCATATAAAAAAGGCCGCGCTGGTGACCCTCGTCACGTGCCTTCGAAAGCATGCATCGTTGCCTCCCTCTTTTTGGGTTCCGTCGCCCAAAAAAAGGCCACGCTCGGCCATTGGAAACTTCTTCGAATGTACAATTCGAAATATCTTGGCCTTGGAGCAGTTCCATTACCATCCAAACGCAACTTACATATGCGATTGCTTTATGTCGATGGGCCGTCTTGTCAAGATTGAAGAAGACGTGGATTTGCTTGTTGAAGAGGGAGTTATTGTTAACTGACTAGAAGACAATGCTATGGTAGCAGATTTTATTAACCAACTTTGTGGAGGAATTGGCCAAATTTATACTCGACATCGTCATGTCCGTGAAGGATTGAATGCTTATTATGAAGAATTCACGAGGATTGAATAACTCAACCATAGAAGAGTAACGAAGAAAGTAGAAACTTATTGAAAAGAAAAATGAATGATTGACTACCATGTTGGAGGTCTTAAGGAATGTTAAATAAGGAGAAGAGATGCTTTACATTTTCGTTTTCATGACACACATATTTAGGGCAACAAACAGGAATTTTCAACTTCCATAACGCCCTTAGGTCCACAGTTATTAGTAAAACCTACAACCAAAAGAGTTAAACTAATTAATTGCATTTTTAATTAAACATGACTATAAGATTAATATATTATCAATAATAATGATGATGAAATTAAAAGTGTTAACTTGAGTAAAAAGAGCTCTAGTTGTTGAACTTAATAGTTTCGGGTTCTAATGTTTGTGTATATAAAAAAACTCTTTTGAATAACTATCCCTATCTTGTATATCCGACAGAACCAAAACTGACATAAACTACTTGGAAAACAATCCCGCTATTACAATAGTTTTTAAATTCATGATTCGAACCATAGAAGCAACTCTATTGAAAGCATATAATAATTAAACGATATATGGGAAACCATAAGCAGATATTGACTGTAGTAATAAAACTAAAGCAGTTACTTCGGACATAGAAGCGATATTATTGAACACATAGCCTGTATCAAAGGAAGGATCAGCAGGACAAATACAGCAACAGTTTTGGTACCACTCTGAAGATTGCTAGAAATATACAACTTTCAAGCTGATTACTTTTCTATGGCTGCACCTGTTCTCGTAGTAGGCATTCAAATCAAAACAAATATCATGATAACGAGTGAAAAATTCACTAATTTGTTCACAAAGATGGTTATTCAAATCTGTCAACATGGCGTTGTTCCCTAGCCAGTTATAAATCACTCCCTCTATAGCCAGCAAATTCACATCTTCTTCAGTGTTGATAATATATGGTTCATTAACATAAAGTAATTGCATGTGCATGTGTAAGTATTATATGGGTAGTTGCACTGCTCAAAGGCCATTGAGTTTCGTGTCAAGTATTCGAAGCTCTAATTAACTTCAAACCATGGCATTTTCAAAACTCCGTTAACAACTTTTATGTGAGTACACAACTGTTTTTAGTTGCCTCAAACCTCACTCCTCCCTTATGAAGCATGATTGCACTGTATTTTAGTTTGATGGTACAAGGATGACGAGGATACGTCTCCAAGGAATCATTCAACATAACATACCTTAGAAAATCAGTGAAATGCTTTATTCCTACTGAGTTGATTTTTGGTCTATGTGAACTTTTGTAGTAGTGTCCAAAGTAAATGGCGACGAGCTCACGAAAAGTAAGGCTAGTTCTATTTTAGGTCTAGAAAAAACATTTTCTCTATAATGAAATAAGGTAGCTGATTTCAAGTAGTATCAAGTCCACTTGTAAACCAAACATCCTCAAGGGCTCAGGTATTATAGGAACTTCATCCCAGAAAAGGTTAAAGAACTACAACAACAATTCAATGATGATGACAGCATCCAGTAGATTCATCTTTACAAGATCATCGCTGCTAAGATTGAAGTTATAACAACTTCAGATATCCATTTCACTTTTCTGAATAATGGTCACAAAATCATCTAATGTCACCTTTTTATTCCCATCCATGTGAACTCTGCTAAATATCTCAATTTACTATTTCTCCATTGACATTAGTTTCTTATTACTGTAGAAAGAAGGGCCTGTTGGATTTTTTTATATGGCTAATAATTTATAAAAAATAAGTGACGGGTTCTTGGATTATTATTTTATAAAATAAACTTATAATAATAATAATAATAATAATAAAATATGCAATGCATAGTTAATAAGATACATTAAAATTTTATGGTTACAATAGTTATATTTATTTTAATAAATTAAGAAACGATTGCATCATTTATAAACGAAGTTTTTTTTATCATTTTTATAATAATTAATTGCATTTAATGATTGTAATTTTTTTTAAAAAGGATTTCGTAGAAAGGCAATATATAGAGGCTATTGTTTCCTTGGTTGAAAAACACAACAAATTAATATTTTATGTACTTGCTTATTAAAGAGGAAAATATAGCAATATTTTCTAGCTAGTAGAGAAAAATATTTATTTTTGTGTTTTTTAATCTCTCACTATGAAGCCATACAATTGTTTATTTATATTATCTTTGGATAAGAATGATGCTAATATTTTTAGAGTTTCAAGTCTTATAAATAATACAAATTTGTTAAGACACGATAAGATGGTTGAACTTGTTGTATTCTCGAGATAACGTATAATATATTTTTGATTTGATGCATCGGATAAATTCTACGGATAACGCGTATCATCTCAAAAAAGTAACATGGTTGGACTACGAGCTAGTCACCTAAAAATCATGGTAAAACTATTTTGATAGTTCGATCATTTTTATACAATAACATATGGTAACGTGATTTTATCTCGAATTCTTTGACGATCAAGGTAAAAATTCCAATTCTTTTATCTATCTTAATTTATGATAAATTTATTTATTTATTGTGTTAATTTTTATTATTTAATTATGTTTTTTTTTTTTTTGTGCTAGTAACAATAGGGCCTACTGAAATTACTTTCAGAGTGTAGGCTTTCATTTCTATCCTTCGAAGTGAGCAGGTTACCTCATAGATACAGTACTCTGGACATTTTTCACGATTGATGAACCTTGCTATGCTAGATCTGCCAGATCGTTCAGAATATTTGAAGCATTTGCCTTATCAATCCTATTTTCAATATTTGAGCATGTTGTCATGCTAATATCCTTGTTTGAAGCACTTGCAGTATCAATATCATTTTTCATTTGCAAAAACATTTTTGTCCTAGAAAGGTATTTGATTCGTAAAATATTATATTTACTATCCATCAATTATAAACAGGCAACTATGCTAATTTTAGTGTGAAAGGTAATAAATAAATAAATAATAATGCATTCATAACTTCATCATAGTTTTTTACACATTTTTAACCAAGATAAACAATAAGCAATAAGATACATAATGTTATAAAAAAATGATAGCAATACCGAATTGAAGAGAAAGATGATAGAAAAATAAATTTACTATAAGATAAAGTGAATACAAGAGATAACAAATTCAAATAATATCTCAATTTTTACAAAATACTTATACACAAACTAATAAACAATTAAACCCATGTATAGGCTTTAAGATTAGGAAGAAAGTTGAGAGGGACTATGAACCATTAAACGATGCATAAATAATTGAATAAATTACATCACCCTTTTAATTTCTCATATTAAAAAGAGAACTCGAATAAGATAAGTAGTAGGAATATGAAATGGATATTCATTATTTCATAACACTCCCTCTTGAATTTTCATCATACAAGGAACATGCTTTGTTAAAACCTTACAAAAAAAAAAAAAAAAAAACTCCGATGAGAAAAAAAATCATAATGAAGGAAAAAAAGTATAATATTCCTTGTAGACATTAATCTTAATGCTAGACTTTTCATATTGAAAGCATCATGTAAAATCTTTAATACGATACATTTCAGTTTTATAAACCATTTTCTCAAAAATTGTAGTAAGTAATGCCTTAGTAAATAAGTTCATTGGATTGTCACTTTGATATATTCTTTTTTTAATAGAATTATGTAAGAAGTATTATCCTCATATAATATTATTGAAGTTTCTTTGTTGCTAGATAAACCGTATGTCTCTCGCACATAATAGATCATTGATCTTAACCAAACACATTCTTAACTTGCTTTGTAAATTGACATTTTTGTATGATAATTTGAATATCCAACGATTATAGTTTGCTTCATAAAATGTCATAGTATAACTATATTATCAAATGTAAATACGTAACTAGGTTAATTTAATAAAATAGCTAGTGATATTAAAAATTCAGTATTTTCAAAGCGGATCTTTAGCAAGATTTTTAACATAAAACATATAGGCTTTCTCATTTTTCTTTATTTTTTGTTCTAATAGTAATATCAGCCCATATGGTCCGTTATAAGTTCGTAATCCAACACAGCACAAATTTGTGGGGTTAGTTTTGCACAATTTTCCTCTTCTTTTCCCCTTTCCAAACTGCTTTCATGTGTCAGCTTTCAGGGTATTTTTTATTAATCACTCTGCTAGTCGTCGTGGTCGTCTTCTTCATTTTTACCTTCTTAGTCTAACTATATTTTACGTAGGGCCTTGGTGGGGGAGCCGACGCAGTCACCATTCACCATGCTCGCATTCCACCCAATTGCATTTTATATAGGTTCTGTGTATAAGGTGCAACCCAGAAAGGAAGGCCCAATTACTTTTTGCCCACAAGGAAGAGCAAAAAAAAAAAAAAAATGGATGCCGAAGAATGGAAGTAAAAAAATTATTAGTGGCTCCGGCCCGACTCAATTGGTTTATCCAAAAAAAAAAAAAAAATCCTGTAACGGTGGAGTTTGTCTAGGACGGATTTCTAATAAGACCTTCAGACTCGAATACTTGATTAATCTAGTTGATCTGCTCAATAACCTCGAGATCCACATGAACTTTATATTTTATTATTGTTTTATTTAAAAAGATAAAACCTCATTTGTGGGTCGATCCGATTATCTGTCTGTTGACATGTAGACTTGGTTGTTGGTCTTAGTCAAGTTCTGGGAGTGGGCTTGACAACTGCGATGGACGTAAGTCCCAAAAAATTTCCCAAGAAAGAAAAAAGAGAAAATTGATGGGACATGACCTGGCCAATCTAACGTGATCGGTTGGATCCACTTTATACGGCTGCAAACGTCATTGTAAGGCAACTTTTTTATTCTGTTTTTTCGACAAAGGTGATTGGAATGTCAGTGGAATGTGGTATTCTCAAATGATTTGGTTTACAGCCGCCCCCTTGCATTACCCACAGTTCACATTGAATAAATTCGTCTGTTTACAGATATTGGTTTCCTTTATCATAATTATTTTTATATGACCATATATTTATATCTTATTAGTTTTATATACAAAACTTTCTTATATTTGGACTGGGTGTATATACAGTGAAGTGATTCTAGATATGTGTAAGTATTAAAAAAACTAAATTGTAAAATATTCCTCTGAATTTTTGGGAAAAAAATAAATATTTAATAATTTTTTTCTCTATAAACAATATGATTTTTTTATCCCTAAGCAGTAGAAATTGATTAAAAAAAATCCATAAAACTTCTCTCATTTCCTCTATTTCTCTGCAACTTGTAATAGAATTATTATTATTATTATTATTATTATTTACTCGTCTTTATCTTCCCTCTTCTTATCTTTTCAACCACTGATTCTAAGCTTCTAAGCCATAAAAGAAATGAAAAAAAAAAAAAACTCCCATGAACTCCTAGAAAAAACCTAAATTAAAAAATCTCAATTAAATCGATCACTAAAATCTAACAATTTTTAACTCTAAGAAAAGGCACCCCATCTTTCTTTGTTGTTGAGGCTGCTAGTGCTGTTGCTTTCGTTTTGGCTGTTAGTGTTGATGTGTTGCTACCGGTGGTGTAAAAATCGCAATCAAATCAATCACTAAAATCTAAAAATTTTCAATTCTAAGAAAAGGCACTCCATCTTTCTTTGTTGTTGGGGCTGATAGTACTGTTGCTTTCGTTTTTGCATTCAAGGTTGATGTGTTACTACTAGCGGTGTTGCTGCTCCTGTTGTGGCTGTTAATAGTGGTGGCTGGCTGCTCATGTGGATACAATTTGCATGAATGTTTGGGTTTTTTTTTTTTTTTTTTTTTTTTTTTTAGTTTCATGAATGATAATTTTATGCATGTATTTCAATAAATTAAATGGATTTTGGGTTTTGTACGTACAATTTATAAGAACGTTTTTTAGTTTTAGTGTCATGAATAATAATTTTAAGTATGAATTCCATTTTAAAGATTAATATTTTTAATTTTTTTTTTAGTTTGAATTTTGATTTGGATGGCTGTTGTTGACGATGACGTTAAAGTGAAAGGAGATCGAATATGTTTTTTTATATATATTTTTTATTCATTAGCATAGAAAGAGAGGAATTATAAGGACTTTTTTGTCAATTTCCCAATGAGACTTTTATAGAAGGGGCAAAATAAGAAAATCGTATTGTTTTAGGATGGGGAATCGTGATTTTTTTTTCCCAAATAAGTAGTATTTGTTTTTTCGTTGAAATTTAAGGGTATATTTTACAATTTAAACTATTAAAAATGCAGTGTTTCTTTTCAAGGAGTTTAACATATCCAACTGACCCCAAAATTTCCGTGTAAAAAAAAAAAAAAAAAGGCCACAATTATGGCTGTAATTCCTTCTATAGTTCTATTGCTATTTGCTTGAAACTGAAATCAGAGAAATCTAAATTTTGAACTCCACTAGTTCAGTTAAAACAGAAAATTTATAGCACAAGATGAGTGACGGCTACATTATAATGCTCGACACGAACACGGCTAATAAACTTGAATAGACGTCCCTCTATTTTTAGACTTGTTAGCCTTTGAACCTAGCCATTTGAATTCCAAGTTAAACCCCGTTTGATCTATTCATCACATTTTCTCTTTATAGAGACAAAAAAAAAAAAAAACTCGATCCTTATCCCTTTCCGATCTTTTCCTTTCTTTATTGTTGGGACGAGTCCCCATGTGGACCGCATGCTAATGAGGCTATAAAAAGGAGTTGTACATGAATGATTAATGAAATGAAATGCTTCTTCGTAGAACGAAGTCAGCAGCAACCCTTCGAAATGTAAAATTGCCCCAACAGTGGGTTCAAGTAGTCTTTATTTACTCAGTTTGCTAGTTTGAGCCATTTCATTAGTAGCTAGGTAGAGAGAGAGAGAGGGCGCGCGCGCGAGAGAGAGAGAGAGAGAGAGAGAGAGTTCAGCTTATCGGTATAGCATCCAGGAAATCAAGACCCTCTGCTTCTCAGGCTAAGGTACTTGGGTTCTTCATGCATTATATTAGTTTTTTTTTCCCCCTTTGCTGTTCATGCTCCTTGGTTTCATTATTTTTGTTCCGACACCGGAGAATGTTTAAAGTTCTCAAACCAGCGAAGCTTTCTTAATTTCAATGTTACAAAGCTCACATCGTACGTATTAACAATAAAATCCACCTGTTACCCTGAAATGGCCAGCGCTTTCTCCTTTTCCCTACTTAAATTTGCCAGGGATAAAGTGCGGTTATAATTTTTTTAATCATTAAAGTTTGCTTTTAGTTATTTTCGTGTAAACTCAGTTGGATATATTCTGTGTAAGTAAATAAGAAATTAATTCCTTTTAGTTTTGAAAAACAAATTAATTAATTTCTTTTCATTTAAAAGCTTTTTATTTTATACTTAATTTATCATTAATTTATTTTTTAAAACATATCTTTTTTCCCATCAATTTTTCTATAATATTTATTTATTTATTTTTCTGAATTTCAAAGCAAAAATAAATTATATAAAAAAAACATAAATATCAAAAAAAGAATTAAATAATTATTTTTTCAAACTTGAGAAGTAATTAATTCGTTTCTCAAAACTAAAAAGCTTAATTTATAATTTAATTCTTTGTACCCTCTTGTAATGAGCGGGCTTGAGCTTTTTTTAGATCAGAACTCCCAAGTACTGCGTACCATACCAAGTCGCTAGCTGTTTGTTTGTTTTAGTACCTATCCCTTCTGCTGCCTAATGTGGAGCAACTATACATGATTCTTGAGCTAGTTGAACTCTTTCTTGTTATAATTTTTCAACAGTACTGCGGCATCAAAATTATCTAATGAGTTATTTTGGAGCAACTAGTTACTTGTTTGTCGATATAGGTTGAGACACCACCAACGTCCGCGTTTAATAACATTTTCTTTTTGAGAAGTTAATTTTTTAGCAAGTGATGACTATTGTTTTGTCTGTCATGTGAGCAGAAACTTTCACCAATGGGAGACGTTGAATTATCAAGCCCTTCGACTCGTATTCAAAAGCTACGCAAAGACATTGCAATTGAAATTCCAGAAGACTTGGAGACTACCTTTCGGCCAGCCGAATGTATCTATAAAGCTCCAGCTGCACTTCGCGATTTAAACAGATCTGCCTACACTCCTCGGGTCATTTCTATTGGTCCTATTCACCATGGTGATGAAAAACTGAAGCCTATGGAAATTCAGAAACAGAGATATCTGAAAGAATTTTGTAAGAGATTGGGAGCGCAAACAGAGGAGCAAGAAAGACGAAGATTTTTTGAAGAACCTTTGAGCATCATTCAGAATCAAGAAGATAAGATACGTGGTCGTTATGCAGCTAATGCCTTTACACTTCGTAGCGATGATGAGTTTGTGAAGATGATTCTGTTGGATGCCGTGTTCATTTTCGAGCTCTTCTTGAGGAATAATGAATACATGGAAAATAAAAGCGCCTATCAAAACGATTTCGTCATAGGCAAACCATGGCTCAGAGGTGCGATTCAACGGGACTTGATATTACTTGAAAATCAGCTGCCATTCTCCCTTCTTGAGGAATTATATGATACCCTTGCCCCCAGCAAAGCAAATTGGCGTCCTTTTCTGGAACTTTCCTGCCAGTACTTTAAGAAGTATGATGAGGGCAATTCCAAACCACCAACTGGAACGTTACATTTCACTGATTTGGTGAGATATTTTCTATCTGTCAAGCACCCGAAGTTATCAGCAGATACAGAACCGATAAAAAATCTTTATAGTGCAACCTTGCTGCACCAAGCAGGAATTAAGTTCAAGCCATTGCGGAAGGAATGCTTGCTTGACCTAAGAGCCTGGGATTGGATTTCTGATTCAAAAGAAAACGGGAATCCAGTCAAGAAAGGTGAGTTACATATGCCACCCCTTGAAATCGACAACAGCACCGAATGTCTCTTCCGAAACCTCATGGCCTTGGAACAGTGTCATTATCCAAGAGATGAGTATATCTGCCGTTATGTTAAGCTATTGGATTTTCTTGTGGACGTTGAAAAAGATGTGGATTTGCTTATTGAAAACAAAGTTATTGTTAGCAGGCTTGGTGACAGTAAAGCTGTGGCGAAGCTTCTTAACAAACTTTGCCTAGAAATAGAAGAAGTTCCTTCAAGTTATGATAATCTCTCCAAACTGCTGAATGATTACTATGAGAGCTCGTGGAATAAAAACAAAACATACTTAGTAAGCGTCTATTTCCAAAATGTTTGGATTGGTACTGGAACTGTTGTTGGATTAATCATCCTAGCCATCACTGTAGCAAGGTTTATCATGTACCTTTTCCGCTGATATATTAGGTTTGTGCTATAAATGAGAAGCTTGAGCTCCAGACTTCTTGGGAGAAGGAAAACATAGATGCTAGTTGAGCTACAAGATGATATTGTTGGCTTCCTCTAAATAGATTAATCTGAAACCTGTGTGAGTTAATGTGTCGCTCCGATCGTTGTGTTTTGTGGTTTTGTGCCTGTAGAATTTTGGTTTGCTTTGGAGTTGATAAAAATTCTGTCGTTCTTGTTGAAACGTAATTGAACTACAAGGTTATCTAGGAATGTCAATGAATTGCGGTTTGCATTATTTCCACATCTTTAATATCATCATTAAATAAAAGTTGTACGTGAAAGGTTTTCGTCCTTTTCTTTTAGTTGTCGGACCGAAAAACAAAATGGTGCTAAACACCTGACCTGTGAAAAAGAACAAAACCAGGTAGGAGGTGAAGTTGGGCAACTTCACTTTAACAGAGGTGTCAAATTAGTTGATCAAACAATGAATGAAAGAAAGCTTTGTCAAATATACTGCCAATGATGCACTTTCACTACGTCTTCTTCGTTGGCTTCTTGATTGCTGGGTGTTGAAAAGCTACGACCCCTTTACAGGCTACGATGCAAAACCGAACCGGATGCTAAACACAGAGTACAATAGGCCATGATATGTACTTATTTTGAACGTCTGAACATATCGCAACTCATTGAATTAAATGTTTCGAAATCAGTTTGGATCGAATTTTTTAATGCAATATTCAGAATTTCCAAAACTATGTCAAGATATACTCTCTCTTTCCAAAAAAGGCATTTTACAGACAATGCCTTTGCATATGTCAAAAGGCACCCGAGAAAGTGATGGTCGTTTGCCCGAGAAAGTAGCTTAGAAGGCGGACAACCTCACTTTAATAGCGGTCCCACTTCTTCTATTGCCAATGTCTTTTTCCCATTTCAAGTCCTTGTCTTTTTGTGCTCTTCTTTTCAGGTGTTGAATTACCAACGCACAAACACCTCCTCGTGTTTCGTGCTCTGTGGATTTCTCTATCAGTATTTACTGGGAAGAAAAGTGACGGGACCTAGTCTAAATCTGATAAGAGAGGTTTTGTATTTTTCCCGTTACAGCTTGACTGGGTGACGTTAATAAATGGGGAAGTCTTGACCCCCAAAAGATATTTTATTTAAAAGGAAAATCAATGCGTGATGGTAATTCGCTTCTAAACACAAATGGATAATTCTGCATCGCAGCCTAAACTTGCTAATTAAATTTTTCATAATTCTGATGATAATACATGTAACAATTTGCAAAGTGGATCAATGGTTGGTATTTGGCAAGAGACTAACAGCTTGAATATGGGTCATTGCGTAGTCTCAACCCTCAGGGGCCACTACAGAGAAACAAATTAAAAAACAAGTAGGTTCATACCATAAGGCCCAATCCTATTGAAAAAGGCACAGAAATTTGCTAAGACCCGGCCGCCGGCCGGTCCCTCTAAGAAGGCAAAAGAAAACTTTAAGCATTTACAAGTCCTAATTATTATTATATATAATAAGACCCAAGTAAAAAATAAAAAATAAAAAAAGGTAACAAGTAGTTATCTTAAGTTGGAATTTGGAATAGTATTAATTCTAAGCTTTTTCTTCTTGTTTTTTTTTTTAAGAATTTTTCTTTTCTTTTGTGTTATTTGGGCACCGAATTAACTCAATTATTTAAATTCTTTCTTATTTCTTTTAGGGTTAAACTTTTTCAAAATTATTTTCTTCTTTAAAATTAATCTTATGATTGTGTGTGTTCAAAAGGATGTTTCTGAATCTTGAGTTTGGCTTTGAATTCAACGATCTGGATTATGTGAGAAAAAATAAAATAAAAAATATTTAAGGGTTAAATTGTTGTCATTTTTATCATGCACTAAATCATGTCCATTAAATTTAAATTTAATAATTCATATTTAAGGAACATGATGATCATAGTCAAGTAGAACAAAAAATTGATTGACTTACACTTTAAACTTCAACTAAAATTCAGATACTAAAGGACGTGGCTCAGGATAGTTAATAATACACCAATCACAAAACATAATATAATTAAATAAAAATAATGTCTATAAAGATGGAATAACTTTATTGTTGTTCATACATTCACAGCCATGTTTCGACTTATAAGCTATCTTTCTTTCATTTGTCAAGATATATTATTTGTTGCTTTTCTGGTTTTAGTGTGATACATAGTAAAAGAACTTGTAATAGGTAGCCCATGGTTTGGCCGAAATGATTCTGAACCTATATAAAATACGGGCAAGACACAAAATGGAAACGGTGATAAGACAATCTTAAAAAATTTAAGATATGATACGTGAGGGATACATTACTTTATTTAACTAATTATTTTATATGATATATAAAAAAATTATTGTAAAGGTAAATAATAATCAATACTAAAAATCAATATAATGAATTATATATAAACAAATACATGAAAGTATAAATAGATTTCATCTTATTTATATTTTCTTAATTTATAATCATAAATAAAATTTTGATGTCTAAAAATTAATTTATCCTGAAGAAGATTACAGTAATCATTATAACAGCATCATTTACAATTTCCTTTTGCACTTTGAAATTCAACAGCGAGTGCTACTTGCCTTTCTTTAACTGAAAAAAAACATTAATCTATAAGTAATGATATCGTATCTTATTATAAAACTTTATAAAAAAAATAACGATGCTGCTATGTCTACTTCGAACAAATCTCATATAAAAAATATCATCATATCATCAATTTTCCTTGTTGAAAAATTTAAAAATTTAAAATATTTAATTGAAAAATATTGAAAAGTAAGATTGTGTTTAGTTGAATGTTTTTTTTTTTCCTGAAGTTTTAAAACTTAAAACCATATTTGGGCCTTTCTTTAAAAAAAATTATAAATTTACCAAAAAAAACTCATGTATTCTCCCATATCTCTTATGACGATGACAGCATCCAGCAGAATCATCTTTGCAAAATCATCGCTGCTAAGATCGAAGTTATAACAACTTCGGATATCCATTTCACTCTGCTGAATGTGGTCACAAAATCATCCAATGCCACCTTCTTATTCCCATCCATGTGAATTCTGCTAAATATCTCAACTTTCTGCTTCTCCGTTGACACTGGTTTCTTACTGCTGTAGAGAGAATGGCCTAATGAAATTACTTGTGTGGAGTGTAGGCTTTCGTTTCTATGCTTCGAAGTGAGTGGGGTACCTCATAGATACAGTACTCCGTACATTTTCCAGGATTGAACCTTGCTATGCTAGATCTGCTAGATCGTTCAGAATATTTGAAGAACTTGCCTTGTCGGTCCTATTTTCAATATTTGAACATGTTGCCGTGCCAATATCCTTCTTTGAAGCACTTGCAGTATCAATATCATTTTTCATTTGTAAAAAGATATTTTTTCCTGGAGAGGTATTTGATTCGCAAATTATTATGTTTACGATCCATCAATTATAAATAGACAACTGTGTTAATTTTGGTGCGACAGGTTAAAAAAAAAAACATAATTTGCATTCATAACTTCATCACAATTTTTTTACAATTTTTTAACCAGGATAAACAATAAGCGACAAGATACATAATAATAACGATTAGTCAGGTCCAAGCCTCCGAATTTGTCCTCTCTTTCGACGAGGACCAGAGAGGATTAAAAAGGCCCGTACCCATATCCAGCGACTTGTCTGATCCTTAATAGGCCGACAAAAAAAAAAAAGACATCAAGAATTATCAGGCCTGTATGATGAAGGCCCAGAAAATCAGACCCATCATTGATGATGGCAAAGAAAATAATTCGAAGGGGGTCTCAGCCACTTAGCTAGAGGAAGAAATGGAGGATGATGGAAGGGGGGCCGGCACGAAGACCCAGTGGTGGTGGTGGTGCGCAATGGCAAGCATGGCCCAGTTAGGGTGGGGCATTTCATCATTGAAAAAAGGCTACGCTGGTGACTCTCGTTACATGCCCTTGAAAGCATGTGCCGTTGCCTCCCTCTTTGTGGGTTCCGCCGCCTCTGCTTCCATTGCTGTCCTTAAAGCCTCGGGCATGCACACGGTGGAGGATTTTCTAGAAGTGGGAGCAAATATGAGGACCGGACTAGGGATTCCTCCAAGAGTACCAAAGGAGTAAGTTGCTTGCTCTCTTTTCTATCCGTATAAGTTATTCTTTTCTTGAATCCTAAAAAATTACTTATGTGCAACCATTGAATGTTGTTTTACCTTCTGTTTTGTTAGAAAAGCTGATGATCTATGAAAAGCGAAGCGGCATCGAGAATGTTGAAGATTGATGCAATATCACATCCTATTTTTTGTAATGCTAGAATGCAGGCTGTAGATGTTAAGAATATGTTGCACTTCACACCACTTTTTTGTAATAAAATCTTTTCTCTTAATTATTGTTTGAGAGAGCACCATTTTTCTATAATCAGATTAAAATTCTGTTTTTGTAAAACCTGTTTTGGTTAACTTGCTTTGAAGAGACAATTAGCATGAATATAAGCTTTCGAGGTTCTTGGTCTTTGCTTGATCAAATGTTACTAATGCTTAGCAGAGACATTGAACAAACCCTCGGCGAGTCAATTATTGTGGTTGATCAAGAACATGCTGACTAGAAGTTAAAGATTTTACAGCATGTTTATGGTGAAGGTACTACTGTCTAGCTGAACAAGGGAGCTAGCATGGCTTGGGATCTTCTTCAGTTGGTAAATAGTTATTGCATTTTGTATCAGAATATATCTAGTGATCCCTTGTAATTTATAGTTTTGGCTGCAAGGACCCCTTAATTTTACCAGAATGTGTCTGATAACTCATTAACTAGGATTAACCCTCATCTGATTATTGACACGGTTGATTATAGTGAGGCTTATTTTAGCAACAAATAGTGTAATTAAAGCACAGTCAGAATTCATTATCAAGGCAATTCATCAAACAATCGAGGAGCAACTACGATTCTCATAAAGTGTTTCAAGGTAACTATCTGAAAACTACCAAACCAAAACTTGCATAATAAAAATCGTACTGAATATTAAAAAATCCTTATTTTAAGGTTTTGGTTCAGGTGCTTTCTCTGCCATGGACGTGGACTGTACTCAATTTTCAAGTCATGACAATGAGATCATTTATGACTTCAACTTCAGGCAAAGTAAGTTACAAAATAGGCTCAATCCCAAGGTAAGCCAAGATCCTTACCCCTAACTAAAGTACTGGAATTTGAAGCTATCATGCATTATTATTCTCTGAAAAACACACCAAATATAGATCCATCCATTCTGTAAATGTGGGTTGAGGGAAATAAGGGTTTTGTTTGGTTGTCTAAACTCAAAATGAATAATTCTTTAAATAACTTATTCCGAAAGGATGCAAGTGACGAGTGTTTCATATCTATTATGAACTGCATACGAGAGATGGAAACAGCCAAATGGAATGCCCAAAATTCCCCCCAGTTTCTAGTGAGAGTGAGACAGTACGTTACAGGCCGTATGCAGTAGGAATCCGCCCTCACAATCATTTGCTATATAAGTTGGATCAGCCTAGCATCAGGGAAAAAATGTCATGGCAATTTCTCCAAGACCATTAATATGTACATTGAAGTCCCTTACAACACCGTGGCAGAGCTGGCCAGCAGTGCAAGCAAATCTTATGGCTTGAACAATAAAAGTACCATTGACAGGTATTTCAGGGAAAATCTTTTTCTCGATGGCTGCTTCATTATTCAATTCATCTTTTCTTTCTTGTGCAAGTCTGAAAATCTGAATACTATTCCTACTGAGGACGTATCTTCTGTTAAAATGGACTTGATGTTATTCTGGAACCAATACCCATTCCAAGTCTTTCTGTCACTGGTGAGCTTCAGGTTCAAAGAAGAAGGGGAAGGGAAGAAACTGCTAAATGCTTTCGCCGACACCATTTGAGTACACCTCCCTCAACAAGTTTCATGCAAATGATAAAGAATTTCATCAGCAATTATATTTGGTCATCACAAGCACAAACAGAGATAGGGGAGAAAGAAATTGAAGATGATCAGCCAGCCTGCTCATCTCCTTGAACTTTTTCACAGGGAATCAATCAAGAAAAAGAAATTGATTGATCGTCCTCAACAAAGAAGAATTTGGTCCGCATATCATTGTGCTAAGGACCTTAAAAAGGCAGACATTCACTTCTGGCCAAGCAATACTAATGTGGTCACAGATGTCAAGTTCAAATCAAAAGTCCTTGGTGGCATGCTGAAACTTCCTCAAATCACCATAGACGACTCATCCAAATCATTGCTCTTAAATTTAATAGCTTACGAAAGATGCGTTGATGCGTCCGGTGAACTTTGGGCCTCTTCTTACATCTGGTTCTTTGATCCACTAATTCAGGATTTTGAAGATGCGCAGGTGCTGCAATCAGAAGGCATACTTGTCGGTAATCTTGGATGTGACCAACAAGTCGCTGATCATTTCAACGAGATGGCCAGGCATTTGATGCCCAACCCTTATGTTTATAATGATGTTAAATGGTTCCTTGACAATCATTATAAGGGCATCTTTAAGAAATGGATAGCTGAATGGCTGCAGGTTTATTTCAGTGTTCCTTGGACCTTTATTGCATTTGTTGCTGCAACTTTTGGTTTGACACTTACTGCCATCCAGTCCTACCTTGCAGCATTCCCATCAGGGGGTGATGCATCTGTAAAGAAGCCATCTTTGTTTATAACAATGCGTATTATTTGGTTATTTGTACTTTTCTGCTCCTCTTTATTTGGCTATTTGTACTTTATAGCTCTCTCTGCGCAACAAAGTACCTTATTCTGAAGGAGAAGAATGTACGGAAAAGAGTGCTGTGCAGGTTCACATACGGATATTGTTATTGCTTATTTTTCATTTATAAGTGAAAGATGAAGTCTCATGGAGTGTACTGAAACTTAACTGAATTTATCTATATTGTAGCATGTCTAAGTAATTTAATTGCAACGATTTTGTTTTTTCTGTTATTAAGCAAAATTTCCTCTCTGGTCTTTACGAAACTAGAGCCGAGCCTGTGCAATGTGCAACTGCCCACTGGACTTCCCAGTTTAAGGTAATGCGAACAGCATGCTTGTATAAATTGTTAATGAAATTTGCATGTCAGGAAATTAATGAAAGCAAAATGGCAGTAGAGTTGAAGAAAAAATGTTGGAACTAATGGAACCTTGGTCATTCGGGTCACCTCACCTACACTAGGCGTAATGCTTAGATACCCTGGCTCTTTTGGTAACAAGTTGCTTCTGCAAAATACGAAGTTATGAACTATATGCATCATATGGCAAACCTAAAAACTGCCCTTCAATTTTTTGTTTGGTATCAATTTTGCTAACAAATTTGATTTCTTAATTGAGACCATCTCTTATAATTTTTTGACATAAAACATTAACTTCCCTGCAAAAAGGCATCAGTTAATTGGATTGAATCCATGATCAAATATGAATGCAAAGACTTGATATAAACTTTTTGAAACTCAGGAGACCCAATTCAGAAAAAAATTGAGAACAACTAAATAGTTTTGAGGTTTGTAATATACTGCAAAATATAGAACGCGTGGACTCTCTTTTTGTCGGCTCCACCTCCACCGCCTCTGCTTCCATAGCTTATTTATTTTTTTCGAAATTATGCAGGACAAATTCTAGCTTTTTTTTTCAAACGCTTGCTGCCTCCTATTTTTACCGTTTATCCTCTTACAAGCTCTCTTTTCTCCTTTTTCTATGTTAAGATGGGTGTTTTGAACCCTCTACCCCAGTTAGAAAAGAAGATCTTGACAGCTTCATTGATGTTCGCCGTTACTTTGGCAAAAAATTGAATGTTTCTGACAAGAATGGAGGTGGCCCTGTAACTGTTGCGGATACAGAAGCTGAAGAAGCTATAGTTTCCATCGTTCTTGAAAACCTCCTTTCCCATGCAGTTTTTGGCAAAGAAACCAGGAGGAATTCGGAAGATGTCAACACAATAACATCAAGATTCCAGACTTTGTTTGCGTTGTGGATCCCATTGATGGAACAGACAGCTTTATTTGTGGAAGGTCCGAACTTGGAACCCTTTATCGCTATTTTTTTACAAGGGGAAGCCTGTCCTTGGCATTATTGATCAACCTGTTCTGAAAGATGGATGGATAGGATTAACAGGGAGGAAAACAACCAAGAATTGCGAACAAGTGTCAGCCAGAGCCTGTCAGGATTTGGTTCGTGCACGAGTGGATGTAAAATCCAGGCAATATAGTGATGATGCTGAGTTTGCTTGTGATAGGATTGTGGGTGCAGGTCTAGGTCAGATATTGCACGATGTGAGTTGTTTTGCTTATGGTTCATTGGCTTCTGGATCTGTTGATCTTGTTGTTGATTGTGTGCTTGATTGTCATGATTTTCTCGCATTAATTGCTGTTCTTGAAGGTGCTGGTGTGGTTATTTCTGATTGGGAAGGCAATGAGCTTTACCTGGACGTTGATCCGGAAGTGTATGCGATTCCAGGAGGGTATTGAGCTCTGGCAGCTGGAAATAAAGGGATTCATGAGATGGCTCTGCTTGCTTGGTCATCTTAAGTCTAGTCTTTATGTTTTTATTTCCTTCAGATTCAATTTTTGTTAAGTAGGTTGATTTTGAGACTATTCGATTTCAATATTATGTTCAGTATTGCCGCTGCCAGCCTGACTCCTAATTTACATGACGGGTGAGGGATCGAGAGAAAGAAAAGATAATTCTTGTCATGTGATTCGCCTCTCACAGAAGAAAACGTTCTATGTTGCAATTACTGGTTCATTAGGATTCAGAAGACTCGATGAGACCTTGAGTTCTCCTTTAAATCCCTCCCTCCCTCCCATTATTAGCGTGAGCAAGATTCAACCCAATCACGGGCTAGGATCCTTTTTGTTCAATCCACATTCGTTTCATCAGTTAACGAGGCCAGATTGTAACTTGCGTACCTGATCTAAACAAGTGAATAAAAACAATGTTTGACACCAACAAAACTATTTTAATTCATATGACCAACAAACAAAAAAAAAAAAAAAAAAAAAATTCAGAGATCTTTGCTTTCTCAGTGAACAAAACATTTATCAGGTAGGAAGGACAAAACTAGAACTCTCAAGAAAACTAAGAATCAATCTCACGAGAATGTTTAGAAATAATTCATATCTATCGAAGAGTGTTAGTAACTCCACTCCAGATCAAATTGGTACAAAAAGAAACCTTATCGAAGCTCTGGTATGCTTGTGTACATGTTTTATGCAGCCAATGGCGCTGGCATATATGACTCCAGAATCAACTGTGATCGTGAAGGTTGCATGATCTCGACAATTAGGTATGTATACTTCCACTGCTTGTCCACTTTGTCTTTGAACATCTCAGCAGAAACCTTCCCAGCACCATGCGGCCCACGAATATAGAAATTGATCTACAATCAATGAGGCAACATGCAAGCAGAGATGAAGTTACACATAAAATCAAAGTTATCCATAATTTCATTTGTTCTAGTAGAAGTTTTTCTCTTTATTTTTTCCAAAAAGTGGAAGGTGGTTCCGTAGATGATTCACATATTTATATACAATCCTGGAACCTTTTGCGTTTCTTGGATACAAAAGACAAATTTCATATGGTTATTTTACCTGGACATGCTCCACACCATCTTCATCCGTAAAGATCCTATTGGGAATACGTTGGCGAGCAGCACGATTTCTACTTTCCTGACCATAACCTGTAATAGGGGATCCAATCCTCACCCTGACCTGATTTTCAAAGCAAATATAATCCAAAGTGAAAAAGATTGCAAATCAACATATGTAAAGAATACCATTAATGTCACTCAGCTTTCAAATTTTGAAACAGCCTGCAATCATGGTCTTTTATAGTACAAGAACATACAAAGATGGCATAGCTTAGTTGCCAGTGAGAACCCTTATGACCATTTACTACCAGATCTTTCTGGATTTTACCTATAACATTCAAAACCTCCCTCACAACTTTGTGATTACATTTTGAAAGGCTTTGATTTCGCTAAATTAGTTTTGCCACTAAACTGTACCTGACTGCTTGAAGTAAAGCATCCACTACCTTTCTTATTTTTAGATGACAGTTGATAATAGCCAAATGATATATTGTAACTGCATAATCAGTCACTTTAAGAATTTTTATCACGTTTATTCATACGAGGCTTGACTTCCATGCTATGAGACTCCTGTTACATACTCAGGGTTTCCGCAACAGGCAACCTCAGATGATTGGCCCCTTGTAACATAATGTCTCCTTTTCAGGTCCACTGAACATCACGATAATATATAGAAAAGGAACGTGTGCTTTAAAAATTGTGAGTCCAAGACAAAGAAATGTCAATTTTCACAAACCTGACTGTCATCTTGAATCCTTTTCAGAGCCTTGTTAAAGATCTTGTACCTATCACAGACCATGGTTCAAATCAAAGTTGAATCACGGAGAAAAAAAAAAGGCAACACCTCAAATAATTTATTCCTAACCATACTCGTACAATTTAATTAGAAAAGTCGAGTCTTACTCTTTTGGTTCAAATATCAGCTCCTTGAAAACAGCATAAGCTGCAGCGGCCGCAACACCAAGTCCTGCAAGAATTATAATGCTGTAGGAAGCACCCTCTGTAAATGTCACAGGCTTCTCTGGGATATTGTATGTTGGAGCATCAAAAGGATCCTCAACAGTAGACACATCTTTTCTGGTCTGTCCAGAGTGGCAGAACACAATTAATAGTGTCAAAACATGAGTTTTCAGAAAAACATACTCTGTGAAGAGAACACAAAGGGAAGCCAATATATAAAGCAAAAACGTAAAACTAAAACAGTCAGGAGTCAGGATGGTTCAGATGCTGCTATGTTGGAGTACATAATCTAACGGTCACACTGAAGAAATATAAAACTTTCCTCTTGAAAGAAACAATTAGTTTCAACAATGAAGTATGAAGCAAACATATATTTCATATATAAAAATCTAGTACCACCCAGATACTGAAAGGGTCCATATAAAACACTATATATATATACACTCCATTGTTTATCATTTAATAAAAAATGGTTGACAGCATAGCAAACATAAGATTCATTCAAGTGTTCAACTTGAACTGTAATCAGACTAATCCAATAGCATGTGGAAAAAAACATAAACATGCAAGTTCAAGAACTTTCATTTGAATTCAAACCTCAGATTGATTTCGTGTCTCTTTATTTGAAGCTTTTGATGCAAAGGATCTAGCAAAGCAAATATTAACGGTGCTTCCTTCATGGTTCTCCAAGATTTGAAAGGATGACCTAAGGCTAACCAGGCATTCTCTGTTACGCTGGCCTCCATGCACAGCAGGAATACCTGCCAAATATCATGGTCGATAATTAATTTGTAAAAAGAGAGAAATCAATAAGCAAAACAACCTTGCTCCAGAACCAGTGGATGTGCATGTCTGACACTAAATGTCGGTAAAATTGTAGCACTTTGTTCCTGAATAAATTATGGCACCAAATGCTTATATGACTTGTATGGCTACAACTCCTTTCCTGCCATGAATTTGGTTACAGTATACCAAAACTGTTAAGTTTTCAATTATTTCTTGCAGGCCCTATCATTAAGCCTATCCTACTATAGTTTCTTTAAGATCTTTCAGCTAAACTGCCAATAAGACATTTAAGGATTCAATAAAATCTGCACATTGTCATATTCTTTGATATACCTTTTATCAAAAAGGCTAAAACACCTCCATTACAACAGCATGAAATAAGAGATTTAGACTGAGAACATGCAAACTACAAGGCAACTCGTGGTGAAAAATTCATATGAATAGACTCGATCACCATTGATTCAGGAGAGCAGCATACTTTGCATCCTGAAACTTCCTTTTCTACCAAAATAAAAAAATCTGGACAGGCTGTGGGCCACAGGATCCATATCAGAAAAATGAAACCAGCCGACAAAACCGATTAGTATTTGAGGATCTTTGATCCTAGTATAAATTCTCTTTCAAACAAATAAAAAATGAGATCCAGGATGAGCAATAACGCAGTAAGCAAATAAAAGTTCCTCAGATCACTATAGTCCAAGGCACAACTCTCAAAAAAGCGCACGACCTTTTACTGAAACATATGCCAAAAAGGCAGAGGAACAACTCTCAGAGACAAGAGAGAAGGCAATACTAGATTTGGGTGTATGAGAATTACACAAGCATAATAATTCAATAGCAGAGCATAACAATCACTAACCATTATGCCGAAGTATGTCCTACAAAATAGAATGAGGTAAAACAAAATCAGTCAGCAGTTACAAGCTGAGGGAAAATGAAGGTGAAAATAACTAACTACCTCACCTTAGTCAAATGGTTGGCATTGGAAGCAAAACATCTCACAGAATCTGACTTTGGCAACTGAGTCAACATCAGAATGTAACTTAGATCAAATACCAATACATCACATTTAACTAATATACTTCAAACAAACAGGATTTCAACTATTAAAAAGATATCACCCAATTATACCTACTTGCCACCACAAGTTCATCGTAAAAACAGTTAACAAATTTGAACTTATTGATATGACATTTCCAGAAGCATTGAATAACCAAGGTAACAACTGGAGCCAACAAATAGAACAAGGGTAGCAATAACAAGGAACAATTAACTGGTTGAATAAGTTGCTTGGTATAAATTCAAAGTCGGGAAGGGAAAGGAGGAAGAGTGATTTTCAGAAGAAAACAAAAGGAAACAGAAAATTATAACTAGAAAGAGTATCATTGGGGCTTCTATCTCGTTTCAGACATGGGAACTCTTCTAATATCATTGAAACTAGTGTTGCCTCCTCTTTTTAAAAGGCCAGAATCTGGAGAAATCTACAACTCCAGGATGTCATTTGCATTGTTATTTAGGCTAAGAGCCAAAAATAAGGTTCGGCAAATCTGGAAAAAAAGCCAAGATAAATTTTTCGTCCAGGAGGTTAATTCATTCTTTGCAATGCTTTGGTACAATGAGTTGAATGGGATTCAAGTCTCGTTATATACCTCAAAGTGGCAATACTTCTAGGCAACATACATTACCACCACATTGACATTCAAGTTCTATTGTATTTAATATTAAACAAGAGCAAGTTTCTTCAAAAAACCATAAAAGTATACAAGGCACAACCTAAATTTGAACTAAAGCCACAACAAAAGCAGTAAAATAACTGACTTTAACTCCGAAGGCAAGTCGCGGTGTCTCAAAGGTACAAAACTGAAACTAAAAGACAAAAGGGACAAAGACAAATATTTACCCTAGTGGCTGAATTACCAAGTGCACTTCTTTGTGCAGCCATGGATGTTGAAAAGGCCACCAAACCCACATCAGATAATCCATTAACAAGCTTTCTCTCCAAATATAAAGACAATCCATTTTGTGATCTTAAGAGACCCCTGCATCTACTAATATGTTGCATCTTCCAATACTAAAAGAAATCTCAACTTTTCACCTCCTGGTAACAAAAATATCAGAACTTTAAAACAAGAACAACTCAATCTCCTCGTATAAACAGAAGAACCTATGTAGTCCAAAAAAAGTTCACAAAATAAGACTCAGAAATCATAAAGTACTACACTGTAACTCTATTAGAGAGATTGAGAGAGACCCAAACCAAAAACCCAATGGCAAGCAGATTGGGGTTTTGTTGCTGACACGTGCAAGAAGAAAACTCACGTGCAAGAAACCCAAGAAGGGAAAAACCCATTTTTATTTGGGCTCACTCATCAGAGCTTGGCCCATATTTTAAAAGCCCAAATTTGAACTAATTGGCTTGTTTTACTTTCCTTCTCAAGTTCTCTCAAAATCAGAGGGGAGCTACATAGCAACCAGCAGCTGCCAGAGCGGAAACAAAGCGACAGTAGGTAGGCAAAGAAGAAAGAAAGGAAGGAGTTGAATTTGTTAAAAAAGAAATCTTCTTGGCTTGTCTTTTTAATACGACTTTGGAGCAGCCCAGTTTTGTTGCTGGTAAGCTCTCTCTTTACATAAATATGAAGAAACTCCAAGGCACCCTCGAGACCTGGAGAAAAGAAAAGTTGGAATTTCTTCACACTCAATTTAGTGCAGTTTTGTTTCATAGTGTTCTGTTAATGGGTTCATTTCTGTATAGAGCTATTTATTTAGGAGTTGTTAAAGAGAGAACATTTTCAAGGAGTAAAAGTACTTTCAAGGATTTTATAGGTTTTGGGTTGTTTGCCAAAAGTTTAGACACTAAGATTGTGACAGGAAAATTGAACATTGATTCGTGTGTCAATAGTCAATGTGTTTCAATTTTAAAAGTAATTATCGCCGAGTTTGTATTTTTTTTATGCTTGTTTTCTATGTTTACCATTTTAAGATAAATTGATTTCAGGAGTTGATATGATAAAATAGACTGCTGGTGCTATGATTTATTCTAAAATTTTGATAATTCCAAGATATGTTGGTCAAAGGACTTGATATGCTGCAATATACTGATTTGTTCCGATTTTCTAGTAGTCTAAAGAATAAGGAATTTTTATTTTTGTAAGTTTATCAAACTTGGTTTGATGAGATATGACTTTGTCTTATAACCCTTCAGCTCTTCACTGAGCTAATTTCTGCTATGTGCATTTTTAGATGGCCAGATGGGATGAGATTCTGTCCCTTCCTGTGCAGAATCCTCCAACTTTGGAATTTTCTGCTTCTGATATTGTGTGGTCAAAGGTTGAAGGTTGGCGTGACAATTTAGATAGACTCGCTCTTATTCCTTTTGCTAGAGTGGATGATTTTGTAAGAGGTGAGTCTGCTAATAAAGACTGTCCAACAAGATTTCATGTTGAAGCTAGAAGGCGTCGGCCTCCACAGACATCTTACAAGCAAAAGGTTGATGGCATCCTCGAGTACATATTGTAAGTTTCCTCTTCTTTTGGCAGTTCCTAGTTTCCTACTTACGGCTGCCAGTGCTATGACTTAAGTAATCCATTATTCTTAGGTATTGGTGTTCTTTTGGTCCTGATGATCATCGGAAAGGTGGCATAGTACGGCCCAGCAGAACAACTTATGTTCCAAAAAAGAAAAATGCTGGTAGACCAAATACCAAGAGGGGGTGCACCTGTCATTTTATTGTGAAACGTTTAATTGCTGAACCATCTGTAGCACTGATCATCTATAATCAGGACAAGCACGTGGATAAAAAAGGGTTACCGTGCCATGGCCCTCAGGATAGGAAGGCTGAAGGAACACGTGCTATGTTTGCCCCATATATATCAGAGGATCTTCGGCTTCGTGTTTTATCTTTACTATATGTTGGGGTCTCTGTGGAGACCATAATGCAGAGACACAATGAATCAGTAGAGAGGCAGGGCGGACCATGTAATCGTGATGACCTGTTGACTCACAGGTATGTGCGTAGGCAGGAAAGGAGCATCCGCCGTTCTACGTATGAACTGGACACTGATGATGCAGTTAGCATTAACATGTGGGTTGAAAGCCACCAGAATCAGGTATTCTTCTTCGAGGATTTTTCTGATTCAGAGCCTTTCACTTTGGGAATTCAAACAGAGTGGCAGTTACAACAACTGATTCGGTTTGGCAATCGTGGTCTTGTGGCTTCTGATTCAAGGTTTGGAACAAACAAGTTGAAGGTTTGTCATTTCAGTTTATATGGTCCAAATCCTGTTTAACCAAATATCAATAGCAGTGCCTGGATGGTTCTTACTGACCTTGCTCTTTTCTTTCATTTTAATCAGTATCCTGTTCACAGTCTTGTTGTGTTCAACTCAGACAACAAGGCCATCCCTGTAGCTTGGATCATAACACCAAGATTTGCTAGTGCTGATGCACATAGATGGATGAGGGCACTTTACAATAGAGTTCGTACAAAAGATCCTTCATGGAAGCTGGTTGGCTTTATAGTGGACGATCCTTTGACAAACATCCTCACAATAAGGTTGGCAATTCACTTTTTTAAATGTGAATTGAATGATTATATGCTTCTTGGTCATTTTTAGTTGTTTTACAAAAGTATTCCAAGGGTCATAGGGCCCATATCTATGGGTTTTGCAGGGTTTGGTATTTGGTAGTTCTGTATTCTGGAATTTAGGAATCAGTACAAGCAATGACTGATCCCTTGAGATCGCTGGTGCCTATTATATGCTTGACATGTTATTGCTTCAGAATGTGTGCTTAAGGCACCAACTCTTGTCTACCATTGTGATCTTAAAGGACATTTAACAATGTGCTTTTTAACACATCTGTAGAGCTGAACTGCAACGCTTGGTGAAATGCTCATATGAATTTGTAAGATGAGGTTTGTTGAGATTACTTTCGGATTCTCAATCTGAGTAAAGATTGGAGAATTGGCAGTTAAGATAGAGTGTGTGGTGAACGTGATGCGTTGGTCAAGGCAAATACAGAATAATTTTAGGGCTCCTTGTTTCCTTTTTGTTTAATATATATCTAAACAAAAACCTTATTTGTTTATCTTTCTTGTTCTCAGGGATGTGTTTCAGTGCTCTGTTTTGATATCTATTTGGCGAGTTCGCCATGCATGGCATAAGAATCTAATAAAGCGGTGCATGGAAACAGAGATGCGTGTTCAGGTATCAAGACAGCTTGGACAGACAGTAGATGATATTTGCAGGGGACAAGGAACTGTAGGTTCATTTGAAATTCTCATGGAGGATTTTGTTGATGGCTCTAGTTTTATGGATTACTTCAAGGCAACCTGGTATCCTAGAATAGGTTGGTCAATTTCTCTTCTTTTCTTTTCAATATTAATTAAGATAGCTTAAACAGACTGCACACATTTCTATCTTTCTTCTCAATTTTCCCGAGTTGGTTTGTAAATGGGCTTGGTATCTCAATTGGGAAGAAGATCAGTGGGACTGCATGGGATAAATATGTGAAGTATTGCCGTAGAATCCTGGATTTGGTTGGGTTTTTTAAACGAGAATTCTTTATTTCAGAAAACTAAAAATAATATTTCAATGTATCAGGGAGTTGGACTACTGCACTAAAAACGCTTCCTCTGGCAAGCCTAGAGACTTGTGCAGCAATGGAATTTTACCACAACCAATTGAAAGTCAGGCTCATGAATGAGAAGAATTCTGGTGTTTATCAACGTGCTGATTGGTTGGTTGATAAGTTGGGTACAAAAGTGCATTCGTACTTCTGGCTTGATGAATACTCAGAAAAGGATGGTTTTGCAAGATACTGGAAAGATGAGTGGGTTAGTGGTTTAACATCTTGGCGCAAAGCATTGAAGATTCCAGACTCTGATGTTGTCGTGGAAGGTAGATGTGCAAAAGTTACTGACCAGCTTGATCAAGATAGGGTTCATGTTGTCTGGAACCCTGGTTCGGAATTTGCTATTTGTGATTGTAGGTGGGCGGAAATGGGCAACTTGTGTGAGCATGTCTTTAAAGTTATTAAATTATGTCGCGATAAAGGGTGTAGGAAGTCATCTATTAGCCTATTTCTGTATAATCAGGCCCTGATCAACATGCTACACTGCCCACCTTATGACTGTTTGATTCGTGATCATGCTGCTTCTCTAGTAGTTGCTGTACAGAAGCAATTAGATGGATTTGTTAATTTTCATAGCAGCCAGACTAATGCAAATACCACAAAGAAAAAAGCTGCAAACACACTTGAACAGCAGCTGGTCTGTGGGACCAATTCCTCAAATCAAGATAGAGAATTAGCGAATGAAAATCATCATATTGACAAAGATCTGTCAACTCACAATGAGAATGATTGTCAGGACAGAGACAGACATGAGGTTTCTCATGGCGTTACGGGTGATTTTGTTGGGAGTGTTAGAGAAGAATCTGCTTGTGCTCAGATGGATGTTGACCCATCATCCAACTGCATTTCTCCACCCGGAATACATTCTATTGATGATGTCACTCAGAAACAAGTTGTTATAGATAGCAGCCAGCATGCTGTGGATGCCACTCAGAAACAAGCTCCGAACTCCCTTGAACAGCAAATAAGTGGGACAAACTTATCAGATCAAGCTAGAGAATTAGTGAATGAGAGTGATTGTATGGACAAAGATGTGTCATCCCTCAACAGGAATGATCGTCAGTTCAGACATGAGGCTTCTGGCAGTCATAGAGGTGATTTCGTTGATGGTGTTGCACACCAGGTTGACTGTGCTCAGATGGATGTCGACTCCCCAGCCACCCGTATTTCTCCACCTGGATCACTTTCTGTTAATGAAGTTGTATCTAATGAAAACTTAGAAAATCGAAACAGAACTATAAATAATGCAGATTCTGACACGAGCAAGAGCCCACCTTATGATGATGTTTCTACCGATCAAGTCAGGCACGAACACAATAGTTTAATGGACATGGAAATGTCATCCATCTATATCCCTCAATCAGTGGAGGAGTCCACGGAGCAACATGCAGTGGCTAATCAAAATACTGCTCGCAACAAGGATCCTAAGCCATCAGTAATTACTAATACAGCAGATGTAAATACTGACAAGGCTTCTGAATTAAAAATGATTGATACAGTTCAAACTTTGATGGGAACTGCAGATAATGAAGTGACGAAGCCAAAAAGTGAGGGTGGAACCAGGACAGAGAGCCACAGTTGTGATGATAATTCATTCTCATTAAGCGGGGTTTGTGATAGCAAGACAAGTAATTCAAATCGTCATCATGATGGTAAACCAGTTGACAGCTTGAACTCGGAATCATTGCCATGTTCCTCATCAATATCAAGGTGCATGCAAGAACAACCTTCTGCTAAGGTTGAAACTGAAGGAGCTGGTTCTTGCAAGAAGCCATATTCAAGTGATAAATTGGTTTTTACTAGACGTACTCGTCAAAAGTGTGTTGCAAATGGCAAAAGTGATCATTAGATTGCCAATACCAGCCAATTGGTTACTGTAAATGATATCATTTCTGAGGGAACTGGCTGAGGACAAATTGCTGATGGCATGGTGGCAAGTAGTACAGTCTCTGATAAAGGTCATGAAGCTGCTTGTTTTGTAGCTAGTGATGGCTTGCACTTGCTGGTCTGTGTAATCAATTTTCTCTCTCTCTCTTTTCCTTTGTATTTGTACATATACACCAAGGCAACTCTTTGTGAATGATGTTGATTTACGTGTTGAAAGAATTTAACATATTTAGAAAGAAGGTTTGATTCGTAGAGTCATTGTAAAATTTTGTTCTTGGCAACAAATAATTGCTTGAAAGGAGAGTACATGCTTGAAAAGGTATGTAGTTTATGGGTGGTGGAAGCGAGAATAACTCAGTTGCATCCAAGGAGGTGATGTTTTTGAAAAACAAGCAGAAGAAGAGAAATCTACAGGTTTTCCCACCCACTTCTGAAATTCGCCATCCGTCCAAATGCAAGAATCTTAGTACGGTCATTACATTGAAAACTTGAATTTGCTAGTCTCCTTTGCACAAGTAGGAGGGGGTTTCTTACCAATAAGGTTTGAACTAGACAATGAAGTGTTTTGAACGATGTCTATTCTTTTCCAGTGTCCTTTAGAAAATCTGTAGTGCTTTGGCCATTTCTACTTCTTGCCGTTTTGCCAATCGCTTTTGAATTTTGAATATTGAATAATCCAGGCATAACGTCACATGGTCAAGATGTGCTTTTTTTTTTTTTTGGTGCCCTAATGTAGTCACTCACGCAAGGTTTTCTCGTCTGAGCTTTGATATATTATTGAGATTCAATCCTTCTTCGATAAGGTTTTAAATAAGTTATCTATGTTAGAATGATTCTTTTATATAATTTTTTTCACAAACATCTTTTGAATTTAAATATGAAATTATAATATGGAAGACAAAACTATTTACCATCTAAACTGATACGTTTTTTTTTTTTTAATCTAAGAATATTAAGAATCATCTGACTTGCAGCGTTATTATTTGCCCATTTTAAATCAAGATAGTAAAAGGATTTTTAATTAGTTTGCAAAATTTTCAAAAAAAAAAAAAATGGTTTACTGCAAATTAGGGACTGGGCCTGGAACTCAAACCAAATTTGGACCCATGGTTACAAGAAACAGGGACATAAACGTAACTTCATTTCCAATTTGAACTAGAGAGAAAATTGGAGAATGTGGGCATATTAGTGGAGGGTAGTGGGAATAACCGCCTTAACCGTCACTTCCCAAAAACAAAAATAAAGGGAAAAAAACACATTTCTTCCTCATCTTCAAAAACATCATAGAAACCCTGAACTTCTCTGTCACAGAGAACCAACAACAAAAACAAAAAAGAAAGAAGAGAAGCAAATGTCTTGCAGTCGTAAAATGGAAGGATTTAAGAAAGAAGAAATAAGAAAAGGGCCATGGAAAGTAGAGGAAGATGAAGTACTGATTAATCATGTTAAAAAATATGGTCCTAGAGATTGGAGCTCCATTCGATCCAAAGGCCTTTTACAAAGAACTGGAAAGTCTTGTCGCCTTCGTTGGGTTAATAAGCTTAGACCCAACTTGAAAAAGTAAGTACCAATGTAACTTGACCTCTTTAAATACTACACTTGATTAATTACATTTTCAACTTGTTTGCAATTTTACATGCATGTAGTGATAAATTATCAAGATTTTGATCCTGGGTTGTTTTACTTTCTCCTTCTTTGTAGTTTATAATAGTAATGTGTGATTGCCCAGAGATGGGTATTAATGGTGGTTTTTTTTTCTTGATTTTATTGTTTGTCTCTGTCTGTGTCGTTTTATAGTGGGTGCAAGTTTTCAGCAGAGGAAGAGAAGGTGGTGATAGATTTGCAGGCAGAATTTGGGAACAAATGGGCAAGAATCGCGACCTATTTGCCTGGAAGAACCGATAATGATGTGAAGAATTTCTGGAGTAGTAGACAGAAGAGGCTGGCTAGGATTTTGCAGACTTCAGGAACACCTTCCTCTTCTAATCCCAAGCAGCAGAAGAGTAAAAATAAAGTTCCTGTCTTTCAGGATGTTCCCACTTCGGAGGTAATTGGAAACGTCTTCACCATCTCTTTCTTTCAAGAAACTTTGGAATTTTTTAGTTGATGCAAAAAAAAAAAAAAAACCAAAAGATTCCTTTCTGGTTACTGTTGAGGACTTCTGGTAGCATTAATTGACTCTATGAAAGGTTTTGTCGTTAATTTTTTTCACCTGCTGTGGAAAGATAATTTACTGTTTTTCGTTTTTTTTTTTTGTCATTTGTTAAGGCTTCAATGTTCGGTTCTTTAATGGAGGAAGAGGCATCCTCAAAGGCTTGCTCGTCATCCTACTTGGAGAACCCTGAACAGATAAGAATGATGCCATTACCGCCACTGGTTAAGTCTGAGTTGCCAGACTGTGATGCAAATCTTGTTCAATATGAGCCCTTCTTTCAAATCCCGCAGCCTCAACCAGACCTTGTATTTTCACCAGAAAGCCATGAATTCCTGGCTAGGCTGGACGACCCTTACTTTGTCAATGTGCTTGGACCAGTAGATGCAGCACAATTTTCACTTGGGCCTCCATTGTTTGATCCAGTATCAAGCTGTATGAATAGTGCAAGGGATGTTAAGAATCCTGTGACCCCAGATACCCTCTTCGATGAGTTTCCACCGGACATGTTTGATCATATCGAACCGCTTCCAAGTCCTTCAGAGTGGTGAAGGATTGATCATAAGCTATTTTTATGCGGGTGTAGAAGGATGAACTCTTGAATGGTTTCTTCAGGTGAAAAATTTGGCATGGCTCTTGTGAAATTGTTGTTCATTTGACTGCTATTCTTTGTACTAAGCTCCAGAATTATTATCTATGCGATAGTTTGCCATTTGGTTCTCTCGTGATAAAGATTCGAAGTTGGCTGCTAATCATGAAATTCCAGCCCATTTGTGCTTAATTTCAATGTCTTGCGATCTTCTCTTCTTCTTCTTCTTTTCATTTATTTTATTTATTCATTGGCTGTTCACTGAGTCGCGGATCCTGAGGTATAGAGCAAGTGTTGCCCTGTGGGGGTTAGCATCACCATGTCTCTTGCACTCACTTTTACTCAGATATACCAGCATCTACATCCGTTTGATGGAAAGGTTGTTGAATTGTAGGCTGATCTTGAAATATAGAAAGACCCCATTTTCTTTTATGATGGTTGAAAGCAATGTTTAAAAGAACTAAAACAGCTTCAAGCTTAAATAAACTGTATCCATCTTATAAAGTTGGGCACAGGAAGCCCCTCAGTCACATCACCTTTATATTAAAAGAAATCACAGAGGTGAGCTCAACCAAGCATAGCCTATGGTAATTTGTCAAGGGAAAAAAAAAAAAAACCATCAGAACTACGAATCCACCATTTTCCACACAAAGGGAGTTCAATCAAGATTCATTTATAATTCTCAGGGTAATGGTTAGCCACATCAAAACCGAAAGAAAATTTCTGCAGGGGCCTCTTTTCTGTTGTTAGCAAACAAAGCAATAAGAATTCAATTCTCTGATGGAACAACAGTATCTAATTGACTTGTATAATCAATCAGCCCTAAATCAAGAATCCCTTCGAAAGGAGGAGTTCTCAAAAAAACACAAGCAAATGTGCTTAAAGCAGCCCCAAAGATTGACAGAAGACATGTTTAAAATGGTTTTTGGCATAGAAAAAAGGTCACATAGCATCATCATCCACAGCCATAGGGATTCGAGAACAGTAACTGATGCCAGTTCGACCATTATGCGTGAGCACCTCAAACTCTCCAGCAGTAAATGACTTGTTTTCGAGGAAAACAGGTCTTCTTAGTTGCGAATATGCACAGTACTCTACCTCATAAACTGTTACGTCGTTCAAGAATTCAGAAACTGAAACTCCTACTCCTTCCCCTGAATTTACAAGAAATAGTTACATCAGAAGACCTTACATGAGTATTCCTTAAGCACATAGGAAGTTCTAAAGACTTGTTCCATACATTTCCTACCATGCCTAGAGGGCATTGATATGACAGACAAGGGGAGGTGGGGTGGGGTGGGCTGAGGGGTGCAGATTAGCAATCGGGGGGAAAAAAAAATAGAACTAGTCCAATCAAATACTGATATTACCATGTGTGACAAGAAGCAAGTTTTCTGAAGGGTATTTATCTGCAAGCGCCTTAATGATTTGTTCATATCTAGTCCTTGCACCCATCACAGTCTCTTCCCATTGTGGCAACTACAATTCCTCAAGAAAATAACCAATATCAGACATGATGACATACACATTAAGGCACGCACCTTATTACTCTCTACTGCTCTTTTTTTAACCAAACAGTGTTTACCATACTTACCTCTTCATACACTGGTTTCACAGCATGATCCAGTGTTCCAGCTGGCAGCATGGCTTCAAGCTCAGCGATATTGAATCCAAAGCTCCCGTCTTTGGGCACGCAATCACGTCTGATGGCTTCCCTATTCAACATCTCACACAAACCATACTCAATAGAGACCTGAAAATGTACTATAAACAGTCAAAACACAAAAGCCTTCAAACAAATGTAGATCCAGTCAAACACCAAGACCCAAAATAACTACAATCAACTATACCATCACTCTAACGAACAAGATACAGGACTCCAGATGAAGAACTACTCAGATGACATGAACTTTCAGAAAGATTTTTTTTATTTTTTTAAAAAAGTCCCAAATGGGTTTAATCAATGCTATTATCTTCTTTCATGAACATTTTATACAAATTTAGAGCATACATAGTTTTACAAAACCTCCACTAGCAAATAATTTATCGCATGTACGAGGAATTATTCAGCACACAAGTGCCTAATTAATCCTAGCTGTCATCTTTAAAGAAAAAAGAAACGTAAAATTACTTTTTTAAAATATTTTTCCAAAACAATTAGTAAAAATTTATCAAGTCCTTTAAGATTGTTCATGAAAATAATCGAACTTTAAATTTATCTTGAGCCGAGCTTGAGTAGCTTAGTTCATTTCATCGTACTCATCAAAGTACATTGGTCTCTGTTTCATTGATTCTAACTAAAACCCGACCATACAGGAAATTCGTCTCCGTTCACGAAAGCTGACCAATGATAGGCATTGAGGGTAAAAAAATTAAGTACTTGATAAATGAAAAACAAAATATAATTAGAAGTCATGATCACTTTCACTCATCATCTTATCTGGCTAATCATTTCCTTATTCTTTCTAATCTAAAACAACGCCGTATTACAAATAGAGAAAGGAAAAGAAAAGGAAAAACCACCGACCTTGAGTTTAGAGGGATCGATTGCGACACCGTGGCTACTAACAACGTCAGGGTCATCATTGACGGCGCAGAGGGCGGAGACAGCCTCGGAGGCGGTCTCGATACAACGGAGAAAAGGAGAAACAAAGACCCGATGGATCGGGAAGCCAAGATTCTTTTTAAGTTTCCGACCCGTACAAAAAGCTCTGACCCGACCCGCTTCCACAAGAGGTGGGTCCCATGGTCTACTGGCATTTGTGATCCATAATGGCTCGAAGTTGTCGATTCGGTCACCGTGTCTCATTACAATAACGTTTTGGTGGTGTTTAGCATCGTTGGTGGTGTTATTTTCTGGTAAGGGAGCGTCCATTGTTGTTTGTGTGTGCGTGTGTGAGCTTGGACCGTGGAGCTTTTAGAGGAAATGCGTGATTATTATATAGGGAAAGCGAGGAGAATAATTTTATTTTTTTTCCCCTGTGTGTTTCGCGGAAGAATACTATAGCGTAACAGTACTTCCATCTTGTTATTTTCTATTCCATTTTCCATCAACTTTGCCTCTTTGATATATAAATATTGTGTGGAAAATGATTATTTAGATTAGTTTTTGTTTAAGAGGTCTTGGTTTGCATAATTGGAAATGATTATGCTTTTCTCCAATTTGTCCTGTTTTGAAAAGAAAGTTAGATCAGATGAGGTTGGAGGTTTGTTTTACATCAAGAATAGTAAGATTGGATCCAACTCTAAATTATTTGATCAAATAAGTTTTGATACATTTTGAATTAATCATAAAGTATTACTTAAAATTTTAGAAATAATTTTATATCAATCTTTAACATATATATATATATATATATATATATATATATATATAATCTAGGCATGAGATTGAGTTTTTTCTTCTTCTTTCTTTTCCGATTGTTTTTAGTTAGTCAATTTACATTTGAAGTGTTGTATTAAAAAAAATAAAAAATTCTTTCTTTCTCCTAGTTTTTATTTTAATTAAAATTATTGTGCTGCTGCCTTTATATATATATATATATATATAGCTAGGGATATTTTCATTATGTATCAATACCAAATCCGTGTGCTCAAAATAAGTTATTTGCGCTGAAATCAAATACTCAATTAAATTTATTTGTTGATGAATAATGTTATCAACTAGACTAATTGATAGGCATTTAATTTTTCAACAGGATGTCAAAAATTATAAAACAATCCTTCTAGAAGTATCCAATTTTAAAAATATTGAATATTCTTATTAGAAATTATCTATGAATTAATTAGCCAAAATAAATTGCATTTGATCTGTCTTTATTCACATTGCTCACCGGTTATAGGGATCTTTCTTTGGCAATTATGGAGCTTGGTACATCTTTTTGTGAGAAGAGTACTATACATGCTATTGTTTGAATAGTTGTGGCAGTGCAAGTCATAGATGGATGGCATAACAAAGAAAAAGTAACACTGAAACATCCAGGAAGGAGGAAGGAGGAAGGAGGAAGGAGGAATTTTCTTTCCTTTTTTTTATCAGGAGATACAAAATCATTACAAATTTCCGATCTATGGATTCCGTGTCTTGTCGGCGGACGCAAGGAGATGACTTCATTTGCTTACAAGATAATTTAAATCAATTGAGTAGACTCGGTCACTTGGAAATTGCTTAGATGTTGTTGTGTTGATTATAAATTTCTACTCTACTTTCCTTTTTCTCCAGATTCCAATAAAATTAGCAACTCTTTACTCGCACGCCAGTGCCCAAAAAAAAAAAAAATTGATGCTTTTTTGTTATTTTTTTATATTGAAATATTTCTGTTATATTTATATCTTTACTGTCAGTTTCTATCACCAACATCGTTAAAAATTAACACATGTCATATGATCGCAATATTGTTGAAAATTTTATTACGGTTTCTATGTTGTATTTTTCTTGTAAATAAGTTCTTAATTAAAAGTTTTTTGCTCATTGTGTTGTTTTGTCATGTACAATTTAGTTTCTACTTGATTTTTTTATTTTAAAAATATTACATGTCAAATTGAAAATTTAATCAGAATTACTTAAATAATTTAAATGTATTGATGGATAAGGTAAAAGTTAAATATATTTAGACGGATATGTAATTTAGTTCTTATGGTATTATTTGATACAACGAGTTGATATATGAGAAAAAGAAAAATAAAACATTTAAAAATGATGACCAAAAAACTTAAGGAAAGAGTTAAGTGAGTTTGACATATTATATTTTAAATGTTATATAAAATAAAATATTTTTTATACTTATTTTTTATACCATTAAAAAAATGAAGGAAAGAAAACATATGAGAAAAAGTTATTTATATCATTAAAAAAATTCTCATAATGTTTCTTCCTATGATATCATAATTTTCTTTAATTAAAAAAATCATTTTCTTAATTTAAGCCCAAAAAATTAAGACAACAAAAAATAAAAAAGATAAAGATTTTTTTTCTCATAATAGATATTTGACACTTAATGACTTAATTTAAAAAATATCATTTAAGTACCAAATTGTATGTGACTAAAAAATATTGTGATAAAAAAATTTTTAACTAAAGACTTATTTGTAAATATATATATATATATATATATATATAACACATGGATAGAGTCTAATATAAAGTACCAATAAGAAAAACATGAGTGTATGCATTTACGGCATATTTACATGACAACTCACACGAAGGTTTAGTACCAAAAATCGATGCATAAATGAGTGAATGGTAAAGAGCCGAGTATGAAGCAGTTATTCACATATCTGCATCATATTTTAAATGCACTTAATGGACAGTACGATAGGTAAAAATTAGAAAAATTTATACTCATCGTATTAAAAAAGTAAAAAATTTCAGATATTGACATTTACTTCAAATCATATTTTTATCCACTATATTTTGATAAATTACATATAGAGACTTAATTGAAAAAACTCAATCTAAAGACTAAAGTGTTTTTGCCGAAGAAAACGTGAGGTTCAAAACTTTCAATGGAGAATTTATTTTTCTAGTAATATTAAATATAAAGGTCCAAATAACTTCTTCTTTTTTCAAAAAAAAAGAGGGGCTAAAATGAATGACCAGACATTTTTTTAGCTGATGTTAGATAAGCAACAGTTGGCTTGATGCTTCTTCAATGGGTTACTACAGGGTAAGGCATGTGATCGGCTCAATACAGCAGATACCCACCCATGTGCCGTCGTTATCGATAGTCGGCTTTTTCTTTTCTTTACGCAGCCTCATGCATATTGATTATTCACAAAACACGCGTAATTTCTTTATAATTTCGTGGTAAACAGTATCCATATTCGTGCTTGATGATATTAATTGTCTCCGCTACCCACCCAACCACAGAACGGGCTAGGCCAGACCATGGGCTTTCAATTTTCAGTGAGCCCAATAAGAACTTTTCTTAGCAGCAACAAATCATGGCTGGTATAAGGCCGACTTCCCAGAGATAATATTATGCCAGCTTCTTCCAAGCATAACCGAGCTATCGCCATAGTATCTCTCAATTCCCTATCCTTTATGGACGAGGGGCAGTACCTTAAGTGAAGCTACTGGAAAGCAAGTCGTGCCCCATTTGAGAATATCTCGAAGATCGTCAGCTTGCTTGATGGTGGATATATCTTACCAATAAGATCCACTGGCCATACACGAAATGGCAATGGTTTGACTATAGGATGCAGTTTCTTATCCGGAACCCGTGGTTCTACTTCTGCGTCTTTAATTTAAGGCGAACCGTATGGCGACCAAAAACGACCTCACCTTAATTATCGTGGCAGATGGGGTTCGCATGGGCCGATTTTATAATATATGTGATTTTAGGAAAAATAATATTTTTCTTAACAATTTTCAACTATATTTTTATTTAAATCTTTATCTTGTTCTTCTAGTATTTAGAATTTAATATTAGTAATAAATCTATCAAGTGCATTTTTTTGGGATTGAATTAGTTCTTCTATCTTTCTTTTTTCTTATATTTTTCATATCTAAATTCATACTTTCTAATAGACATTTTATTCAAATAATAAAATTAAAATATAATTATAAAAAGAGTAAGAAACTTTGGCACCTAATTATATTTGCTTGCCACACTTAATCAAGTAAACCTGGAGAGAATCACCCGAGAAAATAAAAAGAAATTTGAGAAAAAAATAAAATATTATATGATTTATATACATAATTTTATTTGCATAGATTAAAAAATTACCTTCGATTCTTACGCCAAACTAATTAGAAAAGGTTTTATAAGAGATCCACGATTGTTTGGAGAAAAAAGGAATATAATAACAAAATTTGGAGATCTAAAAATTGTTTCACTCACAAATATTTTTTGAAACTATTACGTAAGTAAAAGTGTCTCACTAAAATAAAAATTGAAAGCTTTTATAGGTAGAAGGTAAGCGAAAAGACATCTAGAAAAAGGTAGAATTTTTAACGTTGAAATAATAATATCTCCGAACAATGGGAGCCTTTTAATGCGGGAACTCTAATACCTATGACCTCGTTAATAGAGAGAATAATGGTGTCTCATACTTAGGTGGAGACATCATCTTTTAATTTATATCATTCTTCACGGGTGTAGGTTTAGGGTAAAATTTTAATTAGGGTCCCCCTTCTATGAGGGCCCTAGGCATAGGCCTTAATGGCCTATGCCTTGAGCCGGCACACGGATATTCCTCCAAACTCAAGACACGAGTTGGAGTCGGTTGCTTGAGGTCTTTTACAAAAACTTCTATGCCGAATTAGTAAGAAAATGGATATGATGCCATTGTAAAAGACTTGGTAGAAAGATACGCTCCGGGAGTTGTCCCGAAGTCGAGCTCGAGTCGGTGTTCACTCGTTGTTGTGCTCTCAAAGCTTGCACTTGCCTTTTCGCAGTACCTAGGCATACAACGTGCCATTGGTAATGATTTTGCTACGGTGCCACAAATTCTAAGCTTCTTTGTTTGGTGTATACCGCTTTGTCAAGGTCGAAGTAGTCTTTTAGCATCTACAATAAAGCGGGATTTAGTTACGAATTATATTTCATCTCTAAGTAGCAAGTTAATAGTGATCGAGCAACATATGTGGGATTTAGCAACAGCATAGAAAGGGTTTGATGACGATTTATTAACGAAGGATGAAGTTATGTCGGTATTTGTTGTGCCAAAATATTCTAGGTGTTTTAACAATAAATTAGCGACGACATTGCTACAAAAAATCGGTGAGGGATTATTAAGTATGTCACCATTTTTTATATTTGAATTTAGTGACGAAATATCCATCGCTAATAAATTTTTCCCTCTTAGAATTAGCGACAAATTTATCCATAACTAATTCTAAAAAATGGTATAATGATTTAGAAATGAACACTTATGTCTGTTGTTAAATAGGGATAAATCAATGACGGGATCGCTTCAGTCATCGATTTGAATCCCTAATTAAATCTCATTTATTAAATTGTTATTTTTTATTAATTGTTAGGTTAACTATTAATTAATTATTATTTAAATTTAATTACATTTGAATTAGGATTAATTTTATTATAGCTTTAAATTTCATTAGGTTTCAATTAGAATTAATTAAGTTAATTTAACTTATTTTTATTTAAATAATTGGGTTAATTTTGATTAATCGGTTTATTTTTAATTTTATTTATATTAGAAATTGTTAATTATTTTTTATTTTAAATTTAATTAGGCTTGAATTAGATTTCATTAAGTTAATTTAATTTAGGCTTAAATTTAATTAGGTTTGAATTAGAATTAATTAAGTTAATTTGATTTTGGTTTAATTAATTAATTAGGTTAATTTTGATTAATTGGTTGATTTTTTAACTTTATTTATATTGAAAATTATTAATTATTTTTTATTTTAAATTTAATTAGGTATGAATTAGATTTAATTAATTTTATTTTATTTTGGTTTAATTTAATTAGGTTTGAATTAGAATTATTAGATTAATTTTGATTAATTGGTTAATTTTTAATTTTATTTATATTGGAAATTGTTAGTTATTTGTTATTTTAAGTTTAATTATGTCTAAATTAGATTTAACTAAGTTAATTTGAATTAGATTTAAATTTAATTAGGTTTGAATTAGAGTTAATTAGGTTAATTTGATTTAGGTTTAATTAATTAATTAGGTTAATTTTTATTAATTGGTTGATTTTTAATTTTATTTATAATCGAAATTATTAATTATTTTTTATTTTAAATTTAATTAGGTTTGAATTAGTATAATCGAGTTAATTAGATTTAGGTTTAATCAATTAATTAGCTTAATTTGATTAATTGGTTGATTTCTAATTTTATTTATATTGAAAATTGTTAATTATTTGTTATTTTAAATTTAATTAGGTTTGAATTAGATGTAATTAAGTTAACTTGATATAGCTTTAAATTTCATCGGGTTTAAATTAGAATTAATTAGGTTAATTTTGATTAATTGGTTGATTTTCAATTTTATTTATACTAGAAATTATTAGTTATTTGTTATTTTAAATTTAACTAGGTTTGGATTAGATTTAATTAAGTTAATTTAACCTAGGTTTAAATTTAATTAGGTTTGGATTAGAATTAATTTGGTTAATTTGATTTAGTTTTAATTAATTAATCATATTAATTTTGATTAATTTGTTGATTTTTAATTTTATTTATATTAGAAACTATTAATTTTTTTATTTTAAATTTAATTAGGTTTGAATTAGATTTAATTAAGTTAATTTGATTTAGGTTTAATTTTAATTAGATTTGGATTAGAATTAATTAGGTTAATTTGATTTAGGTTTAATTAAATACTTATGTTAATTTTGATTTATTGGTTAATTTTTAATTTTATTTATACTAAAAATTGTTAATTATTTGTTATTTTAAATCTAACAAGGTTTGAATTAGAGTTAATTAAGTTAATTTGATTTAGGTTTAATTTTAATTAGGTTTGAATTAGAATAAATTAGGTTATTTTGATTTAGGTTTAATAAATTAATTAGTTTAATTTTGATTAATGGTTGATTTTTAATTTTATTTCTATTGAAAATTGTTAATTATTTATTATTTTAAATTTAATTAGATTTGAATTAGAATTAATTAAGTTAATTTGATTTTATGTCACGACCCTAGGAGTGGGCCATGATTGGCATGAGAATCAAGAGAACCGAGAGGCCTACGTCGACCTAAGCAAGCCTCAAATACTTATATTATAATCTTCAATTATCAATATCACTTTAAATCATAATTTCGAGTGTATACTTCTATCTTATTAAAAACTTTATTTCAATTCCGCAACTTTAAATTAAAAAAAAAAAATCAATCCAACAATGATAAGGTGATGATCATTAAATTATGATTGTTGATGAGGTAGCTTCTAATCTAGGATGATCATTAAGTAGTTATAACTTGATAGATGTTGGTTTAATAATGAGTACCTACAAAACATATCCTTTTTTTGGTAATTAGAAGACCCTCTAATGGAAACATTAGCTTTCGAAAAGAGTTTTTTAGCCCGAGTAGGCTGTAAGAAATTGGTCATGTATGTAAGAGATAGTTGATAATATAGTTATTTTGATCTTAAAAGGTAAAACTTATAACTTTTACCTTTTTACCCTTTATATAAGAGAAATTGATGACCAACTTGTATAAGGTTGGAGTAGAATTGTATTTTCTCTTGTGCTCAATAGTCTTTAACATCCACTTGAAAAATATATATCTTTGACGTCGACCCTTCATCATTAGATGGTTTGGGAACCTTCATAGTTATGATCGATGGGATTGATACTATTTAGAGGGCATGTTTTTGGTGAATGAATGTATTTTTTATCCATTAATTGATGGAGACTTATGAAAAACACCTAGAACTCGCCCCAAACAATGTGTCTAGGTTTTTCTAGACCTATCAATAAAACTTTAGATATTAGATCGGATACGAGTATAGAGATTGGGATTCTTTCCCTATATGTCGTTTACAAAGAATCCCATTATTTTTTATGGGTATATCAATTATCCCATAAAGTCTTTGGCTATTTTTATTGGCAAAAACTTGATTTGTACCCAAGATTTAAACATATCCTCGGACAATATGCCTTTCTAGAGTTTGTTTTATCTTTTATTTGTAAAAGACTGGAGAAGGCTATGTGTTGCCTCCTAGATGAATAAAAGTCATGTCACATCGCTTTTGTACTTGATGATTAAAGTAGGCTAATGATTATTTTCAATCTTGGAGATTATGTTGTCTTGTTAGTGAGGGGTATCTTGTCTTTTGTGTATTACTCTATTGGTATTTTTCAATCCTTTTAAACGAGTGCCTATTCCATAGAGCCTACCATAAGTTTATCATTTTCATCAATGCTAGGTTTCTCAAGAGTTTCAATCTAGACTTCGAAAAGATATTTATTGGGTTAACACTCGGCTAATTTTGAGAGCATGTCATCTCCTGTATTCTCTTTCTTAGGGATATGAGAGATGTTTATCACATTTCCTTATTCTTTGGCGCCCTCTAAATGTTCTATTATTAACTAATGATGTTTGGATATGGTAGGTTGTCTAGTCATACAATTCACATTATAATGTCCCATTATGAGCTCGAGTTGTTGTAGAATTGGTATGTTTTTAATGCTTTTATTAAGTTAAGAATGACCATTATTGCTTCGTACTCGGCGACATTATTGGAGGAGGATACATCGAAGTAGAGATCGTACTCAAATTCTTTTACTTAAGCTTATGGGTAGTATGTCATCCCCATTCCTATGAACATTGGAAGCTCCATTTACAAATAAATTTCACCCTTTGAAAGATGGGGTCTCCATTGGAGTATGTCCTTTTATTGATTTTGACTCTCCTATAAAGGTTCGTTGAAAGAACACTTGACGATGAAGTCCGTCAAGACTTGGCCCTTAATAGTTAGTCAAGGTTTATATTATATCTCGAATTCTACGATGCATTTGGCTTATGGAGTATCTTCCGGAGCGAGTTGGTCGGTTAAGACCATGATCGAGTGAGCTTGAAAGTGAGGCTTAACTTCCTAGAGGCACCGACGAGCTTAAGCACTCACTTCTTCACTTTCGAAATCTAGTCTTTGCATCTTGGAAAGTCTTGGTAGTATAATAGAGCGATCGTTATATCCGTCTTCTTTTTTATCAAGACGACACTCGCTATTCCTTGCTACATTATTTTAAAGAAATTACGACAACATTCCTTTAAGAATCTTCATTACTTTGGAAAAATGTTCCTTCGAGAACCGATAACTATGATTTCTATATATAAAAAAAACTCATGTCGTCCGAACAACTAGTCAAAGAATATAGCCATACGGTTCAAATCCGATGAGTTGCACCTCTAAAGTCTCGGTTTACCTAAATTACACTATACCAAAATATCATCATATCTCAAATCGAGTGAGTCTCGTTTTAAGATAAAGGGTCAACCGATGAGGTATGAAATTTTGATTCTCTCACAAAGGCCACCAAGTTGGGCTTTCTCATAATTATGAGCTCTCTCCATCGAGGCTTCATAGCTACTTGACTCAACACTCTAAAGATATTTCTTATACCTATTGTTTTTTATTATATACGGTAGCTTTCTTTTTCATAAAATGCAAGTCAAATAACATCAATACAAATATATTTTGAGAGTGCATGCTTCTCTCTCTCTCTCTAAATACTTATACAATATGTTTAAAATACTCGACTTAACAATTAAAGTAGTTTTGTCGGACAACTCTTGACACCACTAACTCAATGTTCGCACTTTATGATTGCATAAATTCAAAGAAAATCGCCATTATTTTTTCATTTTTTTCAAAAAAAAAAAAAAAAAAAAAACTGAATATCAAATATAATAAATTTAACTATTGAAATCTCACGCATATTAAATAGCATTTGTTCTTATAAAGATTTGATCTTAAAGGTTTATTAAAGACAAGTACATGGTTTTTTTTTCAACAAATAAGAATAACACAATTTTTGTAATTCAACAAATAACAACATGCACCACAAAGTTTTGTAATATATTAGGTGTTAGACACAACAAAATAGTCATCTGCTCCCACTCTTCTTTTTAGGCTCGAACCTCTTGCACCAAAGAGGTTTAGAATCGACCCAAAACTTGGCTTCAGTTCGGCCATTCAAGATAATGGCTGGTATATAAGACGCAGTGAAAACTACCTTCCCGAACAGCGGTGGCACCTTTTGATACTTCGGCTGTGCCCCATGCACGTACACCCTTTCCACACATGACCCATAATTCCTGCTTAAGTTATAAGAACACAACTTCCAATTAATGATGAATTATTTAATAATTTAAAGTTGTGAAAACACAACTGCCAATCATCAATTATTTAATAATTAAGAATGTATTAATGGTGATTTTCCCTAATGCTATCCACAGGGCTATAGATTGGATAGGAAAAGCATGCGATGACATGATTCGTGGCAAAAAAAAAAAAAAAAAACAAAAAAACAAAAAAAACAAAAACTGTGTGCATATGATGGAAAATGGTTTGTATAACAAATAAAAGATAATGAAAAAATAACGAAAAGAAACAATTAATAATGGACCAAAAAGTTATTTATAACTAAGCCATTATCTCTATTTAATTTTTTTTTATTGATGTGATACAGCATGCATCGCTCATGTATAAAGACAACCTTCTCAATTTTTATGTGATCTGAAATTCGTGTAATGTAGCATGACTTAATTAAAAATATATATCTCAAGTATTTCTACTTATATTGTATCCATAATTTAGATATCATGATCTTATGATTTTAGGATTTGTGGATTCCACATGCAAGGGTCATGCATTTAATTAGTGCAAAAATGATAAAAAGAGAACCATAGATTTAATTAATCCTTCAAGTGAAAATTTAAACTTAACATACAAGCTTCAACCATGCATAAATTTAAAATTTGTCCATGGTCATTAACGTAAATTCAAGGGGATTAAAAAAATAAAAATTTTACGAAAAATTAACATTTTTTTTTAAATCTCGTTTATTGAATAAGTGGAATCCCATTAGTGGGTTTTACAAATCCAGTATTTATGATTTTTTTTCTTTTAAGAAATGATTTAGTACTAACCTTTTTGGCATTACGATTTGTTAACATATATTATATAGGACTGCATATCTAGTAACTACAAGATTTATTTCTTTGTAACAAAATCCTCCGATTAATTGAAATACTTACAGCGTAAAAAACCTGGAGATTTGACTGTCAGTGAGAGGGGATCCATTTGAGAAAGTCAAGAATAAGCATCTATTTTCCTCAGCTGTTCTCTCTGTCACAGGATGCCACTCCTTGGCTGAAGGGTTCAGCTTGAATCCAACATATGGTGCAGTTGGTTTTGCTCCGGCCCCATTATCCTCGGAACCCAATTTCTTAACTTCTTCCAGGGGACTAACATTTCCCTCGGCAATTTCCTTTCCCATTCTTTCTAAAATATCCTTAAAGACCACACAACAGACTCCATTATAGATCTCTGTGATACCCTCTAAGGCCTTTTCTTTATCAGCAAGGATGGCATTGAGAGACAAGAAATATTGTTGGGCTAACTTTGGAGTGAAACGTATCAAATCTGATGATATAGGAGTTGTTGACAATTGTTTCAGAAATGAAAGAATATCCTCGGCTTCTTTCAAAAGTTGAGTCAAGAAATTATCATCTTGAAGTGAGATCTTTCTTATAATTTCTTGAAACCCTTGTGTCTCTAGCCACATCCAAAATGCCATCACCGTCATTGTCACTTCAACTTTGATTCCCAAATGAACCATCCGAACAAACAGTACGGACCTTTGATTAGTCTCATCTGATGATGATGCAGCCATATTGTGATTAGAGAGGGAGACCGTGTGTGTTCTCTGTAGGAATATAAAAGATAAGAACCAGTGATTTCTGTGCTCTGTGTGCAGATAAGAAACTGTGTTCTGTGTTCTGATGAGAGAAATAAAGACGGAATGTGGGGTTTACATAATACATGGAAGGTTTTGATTTTTGAAGGTTTTCAATGATTCATAATGGCTTTACAAGGAAATTAAGTCCCTAATCTGTCAGGGAACAGACCCGTGTGTTTCTTGAGTAGGGGTGCAACGTTAGGAAAGTTGATGTTCTGTGAATGGTTGTGTCTAGTTATCCAGCCCTCCACACAGACTGGATATTGGACGAAGTGGAGTTGTTCGATACACTAACTACAAATTAATTCTTGGCGTGGTTAATTATATCCCAACTCTCGGATTTCACATTAATTAAGTTGCCAAGAAAACGCATGACATGGAAGGAAAATTATCAAGAGAAAATTGGCAGTTTTAGTGTTTTTTTTTTAATATACAGTACTACTGAAAGCATTGTACGAGTTGGATTCAACTTCATTTTTTGTAATGTTCGAGCAAAATTTTGGTAAAAGTGTATGTAATACAACTCAAATCTTTTCAATTATGTTCCAATTCTAAAAACAATATATTAATTTTTTATTTGAATTTACGCATGGAGCGTGTTGAGAGATAACACTAGAGATAATTTATGATAAAAATTTATCTACCAGAAATCGAGTTGCTTCAATTATGTTCCGAATATGGAGTCCTCAAATTGCATTTATTGCATATATTACATGTAGAAGTATAGAACTTTTTTTCGAGAGCTCCAACAAAAATCTCTATTTTTCTTCGTGTTTGACCAATTATTATAATAATTAAATTTCATTCACATTCATACGAGTTACGAGTTGGTCTTAAAAATGTTAGTAAAATAACTACAATCGTAAATGCTACAATTTGCTATAACATACTTATGAAAGAAATAATAATGAAAATAAGAATTTTAGACCAAAAATTAAAACAAACAAACATTATTTCGTTTTGAAAAAAAATTCTCCAAACATTCACGATATGGATGTAAATAAGATGAATTTCTTACTGAAGATGCATTCAGCATCCGAAGGGCGCAAACTTGGCTCGATCTCTATGGATATGCTATGATGCTATTAATGTCTATTTTACAATTTTCTAACCTAAATCATGCTAGCCCGCCTGGTGAGATTCACCAATGCACATGCATGAACCAAATAACATTCACCTTGGACTGTATATATATATATATATGGTCTATGATTTCAGGAGAAGATAATAAATGCTTTCATTTATTTAACTCAAAGAACATAAATGAAGAAAATAAAGATGGACAATGTCCATTACATCTTCTCTTGCATCCTCAATAGCAATCAAATCGTGATTTTTTTCACGGAGAGCTCTCTTAATTAACAGGAAAAAAAGAGTTTAATTATTGATACAAATAGTAGATTGACGATTTCAGTATGAGAAAATGGTGAAATTTTCACGAGAATTACTTGGAGACAGACAAGGTAAGAATTTCAACTTCAACAATTAAAGTGTCGTTCATAATATAGCCCTTTGAAACTTCATGGAGATCTCCTAGTGGCATGAACTTGTGGAAACCAAGTGTATGACCGGAGGAGGTCATCCAAAATGACACTGCAAAAAAATAATTTATGAGAAATTTTAGTTAATTAGAAATAAAATACCAAAAACTGGAAAAGAAGGAAAAATAATAAGCCATAAAAATCACAATTGTAGACATGAGTAATGCTAATTTTTCAAATACTTTTCTTGAAATTACTCTTTGAAAAATATCATGTATGGAATGATAGTAGATGATCTAATAATTAAGTTTAATAAACAAGATTTTTTGGGAAACGATTTTCGAAATATCTTAGAAAAATTGTTTCATTAGGCATTTTCTGTACGATATGCATTTTGACGATGTTGATTTTCTGTGCATTAATCAGTTGCTTTGAAAACTTTTTGTCCATTTAGTGGGTAAAGATGTTGGTTTTGGTGAAGAATGAGCCTTTTTCTTTGTGTTTTGGACAACTTTATGGGTATCTTTGTATTGGGTTGGCATTATTGGCAATTTGGCGTGCATCTTAATTTTTTTGCTTCTAGGATCTTGGTTAGTTGTGAGGGTTTTCTTGCAAGGGTATGATGTTGGATCAAAAGTCGCTTGCTTTTTGACGGTGCTGCATTGTTTCTCTGATACATATTTTATTTTCTTTGAATCTTTCAAACTCTTTAATAACAACATTTCGATTCTATTTATCCAAAAAAAAAAAAAAGTACCATATGCATCTATCTGTTTTGCTCTTTCTTCGATGGGATTTTTTCAGGGTGACCTTGTTAATTACATGGGTTTTAATAAAGTGGAATAAAGAAGCTGATGGTTGTGGTTAATTTACTAGTTTTTTTGACATGTTTGTCATGGCGCTAGTCCAAAACTCGCAGCTTTATTGTATTGTGCCCATGAAAGTTTTTTTTCGGTGGAAGTTTATCACTATCAACTAGTTCCAAGTACACATATAGTGTATCTCCCTTTTCTTCAGCATTTTCTTTGGAGAAAACTTTTATTCTCTTGAAACAATTGGAAAAACCAAAATTAACAACAGAATTCAAGAAAGGTTCTGAAATAGAGAAGCCTGTAATTATAAGCAGCTAGCATACTAACTTCTCTCTCCAACAGTAAAGGCTTTGGAGAAGTAAAAGCTCTTATCTAATTCAGAGAAATCTTCAATCTTCCATGTTAAAGAAGCATTAGCAGCTTTTTTAACCATAGAAACTAATTCCCATTTTCCAGTTGGTTTGATAACAAAAAGCTTGGCTCCAAAAACATAGCAGTCATCGACAAGATATCCATTAGAGGCATCATTGAATGTTTCAAGGGAAAGCCATTGATGGAAACCCCATTCGGTCTTCATCTCGTGAAATCGTTTTACTACTCCATCTGTATCTACAAATTAAACAGTGGTTCTCAATTTAAATTCATGAATATAAAGACAAAAAAATAAAAACTGATAGAATTTACCTTGGACAGTCAATTACTTGGCATTTATCAGATCAAACACAAACTATTTGAATTCGGCGTTGACCTCCCGCCGATGAGGAAGATCGCTTGTATTTTCTATTTCCCAGCATAGGGAAATAAAGTCTTTTCCGTTTCCTTCTGTGTTTCCATTTGGGTAGAGACACAACTTGCTGGAAACAAGAAAGATTATCACTTGATGAAGAGCCTAATTATTTTTTAACTATACATTTATTTTGTACGTATAGAATCAGGTATTAGTCAAAGGAAGGTGGTGAGAATTAACAAACCATTTGTAGTCTCCAGCTTCAAAAACATCAGATTCATACTATTCGACTTTTGTCTTCAGCAGTGAAGAGGATGAGTCGAATGACTCTGTCTTAAGAGAGCAATGCATTGGAGGAAGAGCTCTTTTGGATCTTGTGATTCCTGAAAACAAAAGGAAATATTAATATCCTTGGCCATCATTATATTACATTATTTTGCCAGATTAATTCAGTACTAACTGATTTTATGCAAAAACATATACATAAACACACATATATAATATTCTGGAGGCTGAAAATTCAGCTATGATTAACGAGAAGCAAGCAGCATATCAGAATTGCTTATGTTCAGCAACAGAATCAATAATTATAGGATTAACTTTGTAGATCATGGTATACAAGAGTGAAAAGATAGGACTAACAACAAAATGGGGAAAAAAAAATCTCTAAAATATAAATAAGAAGCATGTCAAGTCAGCTGAGCTCATAGCAGTGCAGAGATTATTGTTCTCCATTGCAGAATACATAATGTGACTCGTGACCAAGTGATCAATTATATAGACAGAAAGTTATAGCTGAGAAAACCAAATTGATGATAGCACTACCTGAACATGTTTACTTATATAGAAAATTGACGGATCTAGACTTCATACTTATAAAATGATTAATTTGCAAAATTTAACAATCAATGAAAGGCAAAAACTTAATCATGATTAATTAACAAGTACTTTTAAAGTCAACCCGAGACAAGTTCACAAGGCAACAGGACACTCGGAGAATAAAAGAATGAGTCTGAAACCTTGACATCGACATCAACAAAAAAATAAAAATCATTTCACACAGCAGATGAACTACAATGGATTAAGCAAAGAGTGCCAAGAGTTAGATAATGAATTTTGTTGAATCAAGGTTGACATGTTCTGTATTTGATTAATTGCAAGTCAATTTTCTTAGGGTACTTCGTCGATGATTGATTAATAGGGAGTGAATGGAGGATTAATGTCATTGAAAACTTTCACGCCAGGCAAGTAGCAAAGCCCACTTCATCCAAAGAACAAAGAACAAACAAACTAGATTAGATAGGATAAGTTCACGTGTTTATAGGACCCATCAAAATTAATTGTTCAATCTTGTCCTAGGAACTCAAAACATAACCTAAATCCACAAGGATGGCATAGTGGATAAAATATTAATGACGATTATTGAAGTTCTCTTTTCAACATTACAAGAAGGATCCCTTTCTTTCCTCTTTTCAGGCTGCCATATTTTACAGGCACCATTTCAATTAACAGTTATGCTGAATTGGTTGCGTATGTATTCAAAGTTTATTTAACTACAACTAAAGTTGTGGACCGGACAGGATCATTTAAAGAAAAAAATCTAACCTACCCTCTATCCTGGACAATCCAGTCCAATCCAATTGGAGAAACATGAACATATTATCCCAAACATAGAATTGGAAACCATTATACTTTTGCTATTGGCAGTCTGGCAAGAAGGTATAAGAAAAGCAACGTTAAAGCGCCTCGTACATCCATCTATTCTTTTGATTTCATCAATCTAGTTCCTCACCAATTCAATTATTTAATATGACCTATGTACGTCTTGATTTTTGTCAATGTGAGCTTTGCATCCACTTCCATCCAAGTCAAACATTAAGTTTAATAAAACAGCCACTCAATCGAGGGAGTCGTATGACCCACCTCGACTCAAGTAAGCTAAATATCTTAAGCTTAATTATTAAACTTATAGTAAATCAAATATGATCATTTCTCAAAATAAAATCCTTAATCAATATTATAACACAACTCTCATCTAATTCATAATATTACATCCCAATTAATCAATATCATGTCCAAATCCATAATACCACATCTAGATCACAATATTTAAGCATATTTGACATAATAATTATCAACCTATAACAATTTCTACAAATATAACTATAGAACTTCTAGAATATACAACAAATATCAAAATATAAGTTTAAAACATTACAAATAAATAAGTCTGTACGATTAATGTACCGACTTCAAAATAACAATTTTGAGGAGTTAATAAAAAATTCCACAATTCCGCAAAACTAAAATAGTGAAATGTGAGCAAAACAATAGCTTAGTGGTGTGAGTTTGTTTATGCTATCGTGTGCACCTAAATTAAACTCCTAAGCTCCTATAACATAAATGTAGTAAGAGAGAGTAGGGATCGATCCCACAAGGAATTCAATCGTGTTAGTCGTCACAAGTCTAGAGAAACATGAAATAAATAAAAAAGGGGTTTTGATTTAATTGAGATATAACTGAAACTAAACAAATTAAATTCAGAAAATGAGTTTAAAGTAAATAATCAAGTAAACGAACCTTGGTTCGAGTAACATCCACTTTTGGAACTTGAGATTTATCCTTGGTGCACGAAATATCGATTTCCATTCAAATATTTGTTGTGATATTGAAATCAATCTTTCCTTACGATTAGCCAACTAGAAACATGTATTCTAATCAAACCTCATTATTTAACAACCCTAGATACGATCTAAGATTTAATCAAACAATGGCTTTATGTATTAGAAAGATCAACAAAGCAAGACAACACAACACATGTAGTTGCATTTAATCTAGTTAAACAATCCTCCTAAGAGTCATTAGTTTCGACGCAACAAACCATACACTCCTAGTTACTACACAAATCAAAGGGATTGAACAATTATGGATTCAATATTCGATCTAGCTATAGATTATCTAAACTAATAAACTAACTCGTACACATTAGAAATTAACCCAAATAATCATGAAAATAAGCATAGAAGAAAGTTCAATACTTGAAATAAATAAACCGATTTACATTAATGTTTAAGCACCTCAAAATCTTTGATTTCCAAAAGCTTCGATTACCTTCACCAAGGAGAAGAGTCTAGTCGCTCATGGCGACCACCATAGCTAGAGAGAGAGAAAATAAGGTCGCCTCTTATGAGAATAATATCTAAAAGTTTTTTTGCCCTAGTTTGCTAGGTTTCTATTTATACAAGGTGTCTATTTCCCAAAAAGGGTACATAATATTCTCTCCTCCGGTGTGTGCTAGCGTCTTTTTTCCGGCAAATCACGCAAGTTTTGTTTCTTTACGCGTATCGTTGTCCGTTTCGCAAATTTCAACGTGCCCGCACCTTCGAGTCCTCGTGCTTCTATGTCCGCCGTATTAGCGTGGCCATGCTTATATTCTTGACGTGCCCACGCTTCGGTGTTTTCCAGTGGCTGAATTGGCTCGATCGCAAATCCTCTTTATATGATTCTTTTAATGCCATTTTTCAATCAGCTTCACACCTAGCACATAGAATACAAAAGAGACTTAAGTTTTATCATTTAGACATCTCAAAATAGTAAAATATAGGGGAATTTAGCAATTCAAACATATGTTTTAAGCATTATCACTTAGTGAGTAGATGTTTTATAACATATCTCAAAAAAGAAAATGGACTAACAAACAATAATTTAAAAATTGCTCAAATCAAATACATACTTTAAATATTGAATCGTATATCATACATTCAAATAATTCAAATTCAAATCAAAATCTCATATCAAAATACTTATAATCAAAATCATATATTGAATTACTTATAATCAATTCAAAGCATCAAAATCTATACATAAAATAATCAAATCAAATCAAGTATCCAAATTTACACCTAGGGTGAAACGAAACATAACATATCATTAGATTAGAACATCCAAAGCATGTGTCTCCCATGACTAGGTTTTTGTATATTAATCGATATATAGGCTAGTAGTACACGTCTCCCGCTAGTTGGAGCATTACGTATTAGTGGGCTCACGAGCTATACCTCCAAGTAGCCGAGTACCCCAAGATAGTCAAACAATTCAAAAGTAGAATAAACTTACATATATTCTAAAATACATATTTAACACATCAAAACACAATTCATACTTAAAAGCATTGGTAATGCAATTAATATCAAATCTCATACTCAAAATATAAGCTCAAATAAAAACTCATATTCAAAATTACAAATCAAATACGTATTTAATTAAATTATATGAATAAAATTAAAATCAAGAATCTTGATCAAAGAAGTAAATAAAATTTAAAATCATAGAATTAAATCAAACCTTAAATAAAACTATTATTCAAACACATAATCGGATCTTTTTGAATCATATCAAATAATTTTTGAAAATCCAATCATTTCAAAATTTCACAAGGATGTTTGTTCCCATCTAAATTCTAATAGATGTCATTTTAACATATTTTAAAATAATGATGCATGATGAAAATATTAAAGAAACTTAAAAATACGATATGTTATATATTATTCACTCACCGTGAAAGTTAGAAGATTATGCAAATGGAGTTGTCTATTTCGAAAAATCTAATGATACAAAATGATTGAATAATCATTAATATCACATATCAAAGAATTTCAAAAGCAAACAAATTATTCTAAAAATCGGAATACAAGACAATTTACAATAATAGAATTTATCAAAAAGACTCAAATCAAGAATTTTTTTTTTCTAAACTCTTACTCTCTCAACAAATCCAACTATTATATCCTAATTCATTCTACAATCTTTCTCTAACAATTCAATTTACATTTTAATATAACTAATTATCTATGATCAATTCCAATTATCCATCATCTAAACTCTTACTCTCTCAACAAATCCAACAACTATATCCTAATTCATTCTACAATCTTTTTCTAACAATTCAATTTACATTTTAATACAACTAATTATCCATCATCAATTCCAATTATCCATTATAAATTTTCAATTCAATTTTTACACAATTTGTCTATACAGATCCATCATAAATTTTCAATTTAATTTTTACACAACTTATCTATGCAATCAATTATTAATTTCCAAATTAGTTTTTTTTCCATAATTTACTCCGTATAATCCATCATCTCAACCAACCTCGATAATTTTTTAAATCCATAGTTTAATAATCAATTTCACATCTTCATTATCTCATTTCAAGCATCAATTAATATAAATAAGTGTTTAATCATCAAAGATAACCAAAAAAGGAAAGTGAACTTCTTTAACTACTAGGTTAACTCTTTAAGACTGCTAGCAAATCAATTTTAAAAATATTAATAACTGATTCCCAATCAACAAAAAACATGTAACGAAATACTATTAAGTATATGCTAGGCACATTATAGCAACAGCTAGCACTCGGTTTTATCCAAGTAAAGATAAATTATTTACACCCCCAATCTGTCAAAGAAAAATCTCATCTATATATTGTTTTTTTGTTTTAAGGTTACAAACATGGAGGTATTTTCAAATTAATTTTTATTTTAATTAAAATTAATTTTAATTATCACTATTTGAATTAAGTTAACATCAAATCATGTTTAATTTTTAATATATTTTTATCAACAATTTATATTCAATGCCACACCAATAAAATGAAAGAATTTTTTGTACATGAAAAAAATTTAGTCTTAAGCAAATGATATGCACTTCAACCGATGTATTAAAGAAAATGTCACTCGAACTTGATTCCGATGAAAAAAATCAACACACTAAACCAGAGATTGAAATAGTTACATAACCAAATTTTATATTGGGTTGGTCGATTTAGTCCCAGGATGGTCAAAACAATACAAGTAACTATTCAATACATGCAAAAGTTGTATTTTTTTTTTCCATAAACTTTTGAAGAATTTTGACGAGAGGAATACAACTGCCTCTTCCTAATAATTTCCCCAAGAAGAGAAATCAACTATGAAACCGAGACGACGTCGCTGCTTCCCCAGCTGTCATCCACAACCAACAAACACAAAACTTGTTCCCCGGTACAAGCAGCCTTCCAATCCAAGCAGTGCACTCCCCGCAAACAGCCGATATTTCCTATCGAGCGGCTACGATCACACACAGCCACAATCACTCACTCTCCAGCCGCGTGCCTCCTCCTCATCGCACGTGACCTAACAAGGCCACCCTCCACTTATAAATATTCCCCACAAACCTTACCATCAAAAGTAAATATTCCCACGTGCCAACATTCCCATCTTAGAAAGGAAACACTATTTCCAATCCAATTACCACTGCTTCCCCGACTCCAAGGCGGCTAGTCGTCGGTACACGTGTGGGATCGGTATAGGACATATAAGGTAATCGCAAATTTTCTCTTATCGTCAGCAAAAGAGAGAAGAAGTTTAAACGCTCGGAGCAGGAGGAGAAACGATTCGAGCGAGGGACCTTATAAATCACCCTCTCTCTGCCTGTCTATCTCTCGCTGAAGCTTTTTCTCTTTCTCGCCCTACCTGAAGAAGACGAAACGACAGCGTCTTCTTGAGTTTAACTGGTAATTTATAATTTATTTATCTTTCTTGATTATTTGAATCTGTTCTAGTTAGATCTTTGTTTTTGTGATAATCGATTCGTTAGATTTGGTGCTGATGTCGTTTTGGTAATAAATTCGTCGTTTCGTGTCCCAATTTCGAACTTCCGGTACTGGAAAGTTAAAAAGCTGTTATTTTGTTGATGTAAGGGTTTGTTAGTGGTTATGTTTGGCTAATCGAGGTTAGTTGTTTGCATTCGGTAACAAAGTAGTAATTTTGAATTAAGTACAGTGAATTTTGAGCTAAAAAGATTTTTTTATTAATTTTGTTTATTAGTTAGAGAAACGATGAGCAAGGCATTATGTTTTTCGAAGTCTGAAGCTTTATTTGGTAGTTGTCGGTAAAGCGTTGAGTAGATGGGCAATAAAGGCAATGTTTTTAAAAGCTTGTGTTTTTCTGCGTGCATGATTTAGGTATTTCTAATTATTGATATCTGTTTGCTTATTGAGGGCTTGGCCTTTGTTTCTTTCTCCTTGTAAACACGAGTCTTGCCTTTGTTTCTTTCTCCTCCGAAACATGAGTTTATGATGTTAGGCAAGAGTTTGTAGAATTTGTGTAGATGACTGTTCTTTGATTTACTGAATGGACCTAGTTTTGGAACAGCATTGTTGAGGTGTTGTAATCATGTTTGGGCGTGTTCCAAGGAGGAGTGACAACACTAAGTATTATGAGGTTCTTGGTGTGTCAAAAAGTGCAAGTCAAGATGAACTGAAGAAGGCTTATAGGAAAGCTGCCATAAAGAATCATCCTGATAAAGGTGGAGATCCTGAAAAGGTAGTTTCTTAAAACCGCTTTATTTTAGTTGCACAAGGTATATTTGATGCTTTTTCGGCGCTGAACCACATCTGAGTTGTGCTTGGTAGCCAAATACTAGAGGCACTAACACCTGCGTCTAAGCATTTGACTGGCCAAGGCACGGGTGCATTGGAGGCATGACATGTCAATTACGTCATGATGATTCTGAATGAATAGGTGCTGTCATGGTTTTCACTTCCTTCTTTTTAAACTTTTTGGTGCTTGTTTGCTATGGTTGTTGATGTTGTTCCCTTTTAGGAAGTCCGAAGAACTTTTATTTGGTATTACAACTTAATAAAGTTGCAAAAATTTTGATTTCATTTGTGGAAAGTCTGAATGTCTAAGATTGGCATACAAGAAATGTACTTGATATGTACAGATTAAAAATTTGGTTGCAGACCATGCAGGGATCTGTGTTTTAAACTTCCTTTATCTTGAAACTTCCTTCATCATCAAGATAAAAACACAATACTAAAAAATATGCAATGGTTTATAGTTCATAGTTTCTTATAATCATCTATTTTTAATTTCTAATGTTCATTGCGGAGTTGAAAAGTAAAGGTGCTCATTAGCATATTGTTATTGATCTAGTCGGTTTATGTGTGCCTTCTGACATTCATTTATGTTTCCAGTTTAAGGAGCTGTCTCAAGCTTATGAAGTCCTTAGTGATCCGGATAAAAGAGAACTTTATGACCAATATGGTGAAGATGCACTTAAGGAGGGAATGGGAGGAGGTGGCGGTGGCGGTCATAATCCATTTGATATATTTGAATCATTTTTTGGCGGAGGTGGTTTTGGTGGTGAGACTGAGAGACACTTGTTGTTTCAATTTTTGACTAATTATCTTAGATACAGTTCTCAAGTATCTGTATTTTGCAGGTGGTGGCAGCTCAAGAGGAAGAAGGCAGAAGCAAGGGGAAGACGTAGTGCACCCTCTGTGGGTTTCCTTAGAGGACTTGTACAATGGAACATCCAAGAAACTCTCTCTTTCTAGAAATGTTTTGTGTGCCAAATGTAGAGGGTATGTCCTTTTATCTTAACTTACTAGCTCACTTGAAAGCTGTTTGTGCTTGTGTGGCCCTTCTATTTTGAATTTAGTATGCTAACGTTTCAGACTTGTGTTTTTATATGTACGCCAATATTTCAGGAAAGGTTCAAAAAGTGGAGCCTCTGGGACCTGTCGTGGCTGCCAAGGTTCTGGAATGAAAGTTTCAATCCGACATATTAGATTGGGCATGATTCAACAAATGCAACATGTATGTCCAGAATGCAGAGGCTCAGGTTATTAACTGAAACAGATTTCTTCTTCTTTCTTCATTTTTGCTCTGTTGTCATTCTGAAAATGCATCTATTATGGATGCAGGTGAGCTCATTAGTGAGAAGGATAAATGTCCCCAATGCAGAGGGAATAAGGTAACACAGGAAAAGAAGGTGCTGGAGGTGCATGTTGAGAGGGGGATGCAACATGGCCAGAAAATAGTTTTTGAAGGTCAAGCTGATGAAGCTGTAAGTAAAGTCAACTTGCATTTTTTAAATTGAGCATGTGATTCGTTTATTAGTGTGCTCTAGTCTGACCTTTTAACTTTTTACCGAACAGAGAGGCGATATATGAATTTTAAAACATGAAAGATAGAAAGAAAGATAGGGTGGTTGTTGGTTTTTTTTTTTTTCTTTTGGGTAATAATAGGATGTCCTTTGACAAGATTTTAGTCTGAAAGAGTTTCAAGAGCCAGCATTCTTGAGGTTTTTGTTTTCATTTCTGGCTAACTAGTGCTAGAATGGACACATTTTATGATCATTCTTCTAAATTGCACATTGATACTGTTGCAACACTTCACAATCAATTTTACGAATGCATCTGAAGATAGTGGGTTGATCTGCAATTTAATTACTGCCATTGGACATTAATATAATTTTGAGTTCAACATTGTTCTAATTCTGTCTATAGTTTCAGTTTGACAGGATTTACTCTTATGCAATTCCATAAAACTTCGTCTTCTCGTTTGCAGCCTGACACAATTACAGGGGATATAGTTTTTGTATTGCAACTGAAAGAGCACCCGAAGTTCGAACGGAAATCGGATGATCTTTATGTGGAACACACACTCAGTTTAACAGAGGCTCTTTGTGGTTATCAGTTTGCTCTTACTCATCTTGATGGTCGGCAGCTTCTTATCAAATCAAATCCTGGCGAGATCATAAAGCCAGGTATTAATTGTAAATTTTTTTCTTTGAATTTCATTCCTAGTTCCTCATTCTCAATCACTTGAAATCTTTCTGAATTCAGGTCAATACAAAGCAATTAATGATGAAGGAATGCCACATCATCACAGGCCCTTCATGAAGGGCAAGCTCTATATCCATTTTGATGTGGAGTTCCCTGACTCTGGGAGTCTATCCCCTGAGCAGTGCCGTACTTTACAGACTGCATTACCCCCAAGGCAAAGCAAAATCTTGTCAGAGATGGAGATGGATAACTGTGAAGAGACAATTATGCATGATGTCAATATGAAGGAGGAGACAAGGCGGAAACAGCAGCAGCGCCAGCAGCAGGAGGCATATGATGAGGATGATGATGAACCATCTATGCCTCGAGTGCAGTGTGCCCAGCAGTAAGCCAAATATTACTCTGTGTAGTCAAATTCGGCAATGATGGGTTAGCATCTATTATAATCAATAGTGTTTCTAGTTAGTTCTTTACCCTCAGCTTTATGTTGCTATCGGTGGTTTGTGTTATTTTCTCTGGTTAGTCTGAAGTTTTTTGACAGTTAAATTAAGATGTACTAATATTCATAATGCATATAAATGAATGCTTGAAAATTTTATTTCGTGTTCTGTCTCTAATGTTTCTCCATCATCACTACTCGATCAAATCAGGTGCTATGCTGTTGCAGAGTTGCAACTTATTAAGAGAGTAAATGCTAGATGTCTTCCACTTTGATGATAAAGTGTTAGCTTGTTTACGCTGTCAATGTTTGGAAATGAACTCGTTAGACCAACTCGCCAAAGGCTAGTGGGAATTTGTTGTAAATTTTGTTTTTCTAGTTTTTGTGGGATGCTTGCAAGTGCAGAGATTAAGAGTACTCCTGGCTAATCTTTTTGTTTATCTGCTGTCCTGTTTTTGTCGTTTTGGTCTTTCCCAAATAGTTTGTTGTCATGATGTTTTATCAATTTTCACAATTTATTGAAATTGTGGTAAGCCTGATTCTTCGGGAATATGTCATCACCTCGTGGCATGTTTTCTTCCTTTAATTGTTCATGATATGCATGTATCTCGAAGCCATAGTCTGTTCTAAAGTCTCGAGTCACAGTCCTAAGCTAACATGTTGGTTCGTTGCCTGTATTTACTTTCTGATATTTCGGAGGAGGATGTAGGAGAACATTTACATGGTGTTTCCTTGTGGGAGATTTTTTGGTTTTCTGGAAATTTTTTCTAGGAAATCCGAAATCATAAGAACGCACAACTATTTGGGAATGAAAATTGTTTTCTTGAAACCTGTTTGATTCACTTGATTTTTATGTTGCACAACCATTTGGGAATGAAAATTGTTTCTTGAAAACTGTTTGATTCACTTGATTTTTATGTTCTTTTTTTTGTAATCCTAAATGCAAAAGGTGAGTACTATTCGGTTAAAATAAATAAATCGAATCAAATTAGTAATTTTAGTTTGGTTTTATAAAAATTAAAATCGAAAATCAAAATTATTTTGATTTAATTTTTATTTATTTATTTTAAATTCGGTTTTCACTGTCGGGTATGCCAATTGTCAAATAGCTCCTCGGTGCAATGTTGCTTGGTCCCTTAGCCTTAGTGCCAGTTACCACTTTTTAATTACCCCTAGATCCCTAGTATCGATTATCTAGCTGAACTGCAAAAACACAGAAAAAAAATCGCACACAACCACCACCACAGTCGCCCAGCCACTGCCCACCAGAAACGACCACACCCGGCTGAGCCACCTCTCCGTCGTCCGTCCTCCTCCTTCAGACTCCAGTCCTCTTTAGGCCTCAGCTCTTTCTATGGACACCCCGATCCCCATCTTCCTCGTGATTTCTTCGATCTTCCTTGGCTCTTCTTCCTCCTCCTTCTCCACCCACAGCCACAGGCCACATCCCAGTTGGCAGCCCAATTCCCACGGCCACAGACATAGTAAGATTTTTTTTGATTCGTTTGTTCTTACTCTTTGAAGATTGTGTATACCTGTGAATTTTCCTCCTTCCCTTTATTGATCTCTTTCTTCGCTTCTTCCTTTTGCAAAATTAAGAACCAACAAGAGTCAAATTAATTAAGATGAGCTGTTTATTAGTTAGTTAAAAACCACGCGATCTGTATGGGGCAAGTAATGAGATTGAATGGTTCTTATGTCGATGGTTTTAGTAACAGCTAGCTTAGTTCCATGAACTGCAGCTCTGTTGGGTACTTTTGCTGTCATTAGCCTCCTACTCATCCAAATCAGCAACAGCTCATTATGCTTAATCTTGTTGCAGATTCCATTAGCAATCTTTTGAGTCACCCACCACCAACCAGCCATTCCAACCGTGATCTCGGATTTGTAATACAAATGGGGAGTTTTTGTATGTATATCCTTCTGGTTGAACATCAGAATTCATGGAACCTCATCACCTGAATATTTATTCACTTTTCTTTCTTTTTTTGTTGACTGAATTACTTTCAATCTTTAGCTGCGTGTAACCACTGGTAAATATTTACTAGGTATACTAAATGACCATTAATTATATTAATTGGAATATTTCAATTAATCTAGTTGCTCACAAATGAAATTTTATCAAGATTAAAAATGACACTTAACGTTGTGCATATATTTTTTTGTATTTAATTTGATGTAATTCAAAATCAGTTTTGAATCGAAAATCGAAATATCAAATCAGAAATTTTAGTTTTTTAATCGAAAAACTGAACCTCAATTCGATTTGATTTGATTTTTATTTTAATCAATTCAATTAACTAAAAAAAAATAAATAAATAAAAAACGAACCAAAAAATCAAATGTTCATCCCTAATCCAAACGAGGTCCTCGTTAACATGTTTTTTTAATTTAGAGAGAAATCGTAAAAAACAAATATTTTTATGGAAGTACACAAAATTTCCTCTTCTTTTTTTGTTTTGTTTTAAACAATAACTAGCCGGTTGTTCATCCTTTGCTGTGGGTCGAACAAAATAAAATTATTTCAAAATTTTATAATTTTTTAATTAAATTTTTGTATTTAATTAAAATTTTTAATATTTTTCATAAATTTTTTACTTAAAAAAACATAATTTATTTTTTTATATTCTTAAATAAAGTAATAATTTAAATTAGAATATTGATATAAAATTCAAAAAAATTAAAATATATTTTTTTATAAGATTGTATTAAAAATACGAGTTATAATTAATGTATAGACTTGTATAAAATAATTTTTTTCTTATCTAATGTTGATGAGAAAATTATTTTTTTTAAATTATTTTTTAAAAATATATGCATTTCATTTATATTTATTTATTTACAAAATAATTAATTGTGTTAGTATAAAAACTCGTATTTGAATCATTATTTGATGATTTTTTTTAGAAAATTATTTTAATAATTTTATTTCAAAAAAAAATTGACTCTATTATATTAAAAATATAATAACAAATGGTTGATGTTATGTATGTAGATGCATAATTATTTTTCAATTAAATCAATAATTTAATATTTTTATACATTATGACTCTACCGAGTGGGTTGGAAATGAGCATGTAATACTCGAATTTTTTCTCTTTTTCATATTATACATATGTATGATTGTGTGTCTATATGTTTGATTATGCTTTTGTTTAAATATGTGATTGTTTCGTGCATTGTAGTGTTTTGGATAAAATGTGTTTTAAAGTTAAGGAAGAATTAGAGTATTTGGAGTTAGTTAGGCTTGTTTAAAAGTGGGATAGATCATAATGATGAAAATTATGAGACTTTAATGAGTGTGTAGAAGTGATTTTTAAAGGTAAAAAAAAAAAAAAAGTTTGAAAATATGGCAGCTTGTTTTGGAAAAGAACAGGATTAGCAATTTTCTCCATCTTTCTTCCTCCCTCTTTCTTCCCTCTCACGTCTTAACCCTCCTATCTCATCTCCATCATTCCTTGCCCATTTCTAATCCATTTTACCACCAAACTATATTAAATTATGTTAGTTTTTGCTAATAGAAGTTGAAATTAAGTAAGATTGGAGCTTGGAGAGTTAGTGTTCTTAAGCTTGAAATTTGTACCATAGAGAAAGGTATAATTTCTTCTATGATTTTTGTTTATTTGATGAATTCTTAGATGATTATTGAATGATTATGAGGTTAGATTAGGATGGATTAGTAATTTAAACTAAGATTAGTGAAGTTAGGGTTTTGAAATTCATTTGAGAAAAGTATAATTTAAGTGATTTTAATTGATTAGAATATGATAAATTATCTTGGGTTAATGATTTATGAAGTTAATTTAGAGTTTAATTGACTTGATTTTATTATATGAATTATTTTAGGATTTAATGGATTAAATTAGGGATTTTGTACATGTAGTATATTGTAGGGTTTATATTGGGCAAAATTTTTAGTATGTGATTTGTGGAAGTGTTCTTATGATCATAAAAACATTTTTGGAAAGGCTAAAGGTTATGAATAGTAAAATCCAAATTTTTAGAAAGGCCAAAGATGATGAATTATAAAATTTAAATTTTAGGATTTATTAGTTAATTGATGAGTAAAGAGTTAATTATGAATTTATTGATTGGAATAGATGATTTATTATGGATTATTTTAAAGATAGGAATTAAATTGCTTGACAAGGATAATTATTGAATTGCAAAGGAACTACGGTAAAAATGGTTTAACTAATCACAATGACTTTATATGTTTGATTATATTGTTATTGTGTACGATTGTGATCATGTGACTAAATGTATTTTGTGATGGAATATATATGTTATTGAATAGCTATATGAAGGTATGAGTCTATAATGTCTTTCTATGTGCATTTACATCATAGGCATTGATTTACATGTTCATGTAATGCATCAAAGACATGTGTGTTTAGCAAAGAGTTTTCAATTTTAAAGCAAAATGTGTTGACAAAAGCACACAATATTAGTATGATCCTACTAATACTATATGGTTTTATACAAGGTATTGGTGGGGGAATCAAAACAAACCCTACCAATATTACTCGCATGGTTTTACACAGAGTTATCGGGTTATCGGTAGGGGAATCGGATCAAGCCCTACCAATATTGCATGGTTTTGATTAAGGTTGTTGGTAGGGAAATTGACAAGACCTTACTAATACCACATATTTTATGGTATAGTTTGATGAAAATATTGTCTTACATCCATCAAGAAAAATGTATTCACATATATTTATGAAAGTTTATAAATGTCATGCATGATTATGATTATTGAGCGTTAGCTCATGTTTATATCTTGTGATGTAGGTAAAGAGCTTTTGGATGTTGATGATATTGTCGACGAGCTTTAAGTAAATTCTTATATAGGATCGGATCCTTGATATATATATATATTGACATTAGTCTATGACAAGTGCTTTTGTCGTGTACATTTATGATGGATGTTTGAAGTACTAACATGTACATAGTTTTATGTTTTGGTAAAGATGTTTAGTCATGACATGTGTTGAAAAGTTTGAGATTCTATTTTCTATATATAGTTTTAATTCATATGATGAAATGTTATGACCTTTGTTATTGTTATTGGTCTTTTATGTGAGTTAGATTAAATTACAAGTCGGGACATTACCTTATTTGTTAGATGAGTCATGTAATGTGCATAGCATCCTCTCACTTGCAATGATACCATTATGTATGGATTTGAGATAGGGCCTTTGCTTCAGCATAAAGTGACAAACATAAAATAAATAAATAAATAAATAAAAATAAAAATTCTTAGACAAATTATCTAAAATATATCATATATATTTCATTTTTGCAAGACTCGCATGAAAAAAACAAAAAAAAAAAAAGATTTTTCATAATTTTTTTTCCTAAAAATCCATAAAAAAACATCAACAAACTCATTTTGAATTTCAAAATCCATTTTAGTACATACAAACACACAAAAATTCAAATAAAAAAATTTAAAATATTTCAAGCTTCTGATCTACATTTTTCTACCATTTCATGACATTTAAGACAAACTTAAATGAGTATGGACGAATAGTACAAATACGTGTGCATGAACAATAAAAAAAAAAAGATTTTTGTTTTAGTTTACTAGTAATGTCACTTATGCAATCCCATGGGAACATTTGACAAATAAATGAGCACCTACCGCGTCTTGCACCCATATAAAAAACGTTTTAGTTAGGTCAAACATTTTATTTGTCGACATACAAAGTTTACTAAACTGTGGTCACTCGACGCATCCTGTACTTTCGGTTGCAACCAACCACGAGATTTGAGTTGGGTGGCGCTTCAGACAATCTGGCATATGAGTACATAGTCCTCTTCAGGTGTACGCTTGTAGCGTAGTCTGTTGAATGAATTAATCAAGTTGTTGGTTTTAGAAATTATTATTAGATTTTGAACTTAAGTGTTCATATTTTATGGTGTCCCAAACCAAGCATGTGTTTTTTAAAATATAACTTCAGCATGAGAACACAACCAAGAATTCAATAGCTGAGAGTGGAAGTCGTATATATGCTAGAAATTAAGGCAGGGATAGTGACTTTTACAATGGGCTCGATCCATAAATGGTCAATTCTAGTCGCCATAAATTGTTCACGACTTGCAGAATTGTAGATTTGCAGTCTTTACAAGCGAATGTTCTTGTGTGCTGCTGCTACCAGGTATCTAAGGACCTATGTCGGTGGGATTGACTTCTCGTGTTTCTTAACATGAACATATTTTGCATTAAAATTGTGAAAATAATAGATGGCTTGCGCGCAATTTACTGTAAATAAAGACCGAGAGACAATGGTTCTACTGCATGACTGTTTATCTTTAGGCCGTCTGATTGCATTCTTTTTGTTTAATCTAATGCGCTCATTTGATTTTTTTAAAAGAAAAATTGATGCATTTGCTTGTTTGTTGAATCTGGTGCGTTCATTTGACATTTTAGGTTGAATTTGGTCCCTTCGTTTGGATATTGCAAGTCGCCTATTCTCCTATCTTTTTTTTTTTGTCTTATTTTCTGTTTTTCCATTTGTTGGTTTTGTTCTATTATTTTTCTATCCTTTCATTATTTTTTTTATATTTCTGTCTTCGTAATCCTTTTATTGTAATTTTGTTTCTCGGTTCATTGTTCTATTACTTTTGTGTCCTCCCATTATTCTGTTTTTGCTTTTACCTTAGCAAGCCTTCTATCGTCATTTTGCTTCTCATTTCGTGCAGTATTTATTGTCGAGCATTAATGATGCTATACAATTTGGTTTTTTTTTTTTAATTTTTATTCTTGTGCTATTTGCTCCACACCCAACATTTACCATTATATAATACATCCTTCCTCTTAAGATTCTAATAAACGACTAACGAAAATTTTGCGTGCTATTTCAACATTATGTTGGCATAGATATATCTTAAAAGTATCAATAGTGATAAAATCACAAATTATACAATAGACTAAAAGAAAGGAAACCATGATATTCATTTATTTTTTATTTTTTTATTTTTTTCAATAATTTAATTAATTTTAATTATTATGAATTTTTAGGTAAAAATTATAGAAGATTGAATGTTAATTTTTATTTTCCTACGTAGAATGACAATGATGAAATATATATGATATATTTTTATATTTTAAGATGAATATATATTTTAGATTATATTTTTTATTATTTAAAATTTAGTCCTTCGGTTTGTTGTTTCTTATAGAAATTCTCGTTCAATTAATTTTTTATTTTGTACTTTTTTATATATAAAATTTTATTTATTAATAAATATGATTTATTTTTCTCTATATATAGATTTTAGAATAAAATTTTCAAATATGATTATTTTCTTTTTTAAAAAATAAATTGATCTAATTTATATCATAAATTCTTAAAAATTTTTAACACACACACACACATCTAAAGATTTATTTCAGATAATTTATCTCAAATTCTTTTAATTGTTTTTTTGCTTTATATTTCACACTCTCAACCCATCAAATACGAGTCATGATGTATAAAAAATTATTAAATCATTAATTTTATTAAAAATTAACTATGCATCTATACACATAATACCAACTATTTACTATTAATTTTTGTAATAGTATAAAATAATTTTTTAAAATAAAATAATTGAAATAATTCTTTAAAAGACCCACCAAATGATTTAAATTCACTTTTGTTAGTCTAATGTTATTGATTATTTTGTGAATAAATGCGAATATTTTTTTAAAAATAATCTTTTCATCAGCAATAAATAAGAATAAAAAATATTTTTTTGTTACTTTTTATACAAGTTTATACATTAATTATAACTTTATTTTTTGATACAATCTTATAAAAAATAAATATTTTTTTAATTTTGGATTAAATTTTTAGTTTAGATTATTATAAATTTTTATTTAAGAATCAATACATAAAAAAAGAATGAATCATATTTTTTTAAGTAAAAAATTTATGAAAAACATAAAGAATAATTAATTAAATACAAGCTTTTGATTAAAAAATTATATATGTGTGTGTGTGCGCGCGTTTTTTATTCTATATATTTTAGTAAATATATATTATAATTTGGATTATAGAACTGAAATGATTTTGTTTTACTCGATTTATAATATCGCATAGACAACTGACTAGTATTATCTAATTGGTGGAGAAAAAACCAAGAGAAATTTTTAAATTGCATTTATAGAGAGTAAAATGATGATACATGGACAAGGGTACTACAGTATAACCTCTGCTTGGTGTGTGTGTGTGTATATATATATAAACCCTGTTTGCCTGGTGACAATTACACGGTGCATGCGTATAGTTAACTAAAATTTCCTTTTGACCGGATGCGATTGATGCATTGGCACATTTAGCAACAATCAAATAAAGTGGAAAGAAGTAACTCGAAATTCGGCATGTTTAGAATTTTGAACCATATACAATGAATCTTGACGGCCTAACGACATCGGTAATTTGTCAATATAGAGCTTAAGGAGAGAAATTGATGGCTTTAGTTTAACTTCATTGAAATAAAATGATACAACGTAAATAAATACTTCCATTGGGCCTTTAAATATCTGATTAGACAACAAGCAGTTGCTGATAATTAATTCTTATGCTAATTAACCAGGTAAAGTTCCACTTTATAAGCAATAATTACTTAGTTGAGTTTAGACACAAACTTTACAAGCAATTATTACTTAACTAATGCTCATCGACGAAAGCAATCTGCTTCGGGAATTCAGCAAATTGAGATCTTGATTTAGGGCAAGACAACGGTAATATTTTCCTCCTTTTTCTTTCTTTTTTATAGTTATATATGGTGTTTCCCACCAAAACTTAGATAGGATATGCATATTTAAACTGATATATATATATATATATATATATATATATAATCTTACTTGCTTTTCTTTTGAATTTAAATTCAAAATAATAATATATAAAAAAAATTACTTACTACATAAGTCTAACACCTTAAGAATACATGTGCTGCTCCAATGGAAACCATTCAACACTAAAAATTATGCAATACACATCAAATTAGAGTAATCCCAGAAAATATAGAACACTTTGCAACTATACTATACTTTGATAGACCTGATCAGCTATAGAATCTCACCTCTAAATGGAACTTGACCAATTAAATTAAGTAAATTCTCATAAGCTTATTGTAAAACGCATTTCAAAACAGTGCAAAGCTATCCATTGAGGGGAAAAACAAATAGGTGGATTAGAAAATGGGATGGCCCAAAGCTAGGCTTCGATATCTAATATAGACTTTTGGATGATACCAGGTGAAGGGATGTGATTTTGTAAAAGATAAAGGTATTGCATTATTGTCTGTACTCTTCCAGTGGTAGCTTCCAAGAAGGATCTCTAAAAGTCAAGTCATCCAAAGAGCTCTCTCTATAATCATCATTTTTGTAAAGGTGGGACAATAAAATAAATTCAATGTTCACACTTAGAACGTGGGTTCAAGTTACCTGTGCGTGTGTGTAGAGATTTATAATACGTGAGAGTTGGCCAGGGAGTCTATTGTTTCTTTAGACCAACAGATTCAAATTTAGTTTTGGTTCCAAAAAATGAAATTTCTTTTGTGAATTTTAATATTAAGTAGATAGCATTTTCTTTTTCTTTTTCTTTTTTACCAATTTGAACGATAAATTTAATTACTCTTAGTACATAAAATGTGATCGATCTAATTAAGTATACCAATAGGCTGAAAAGCCAAAAAAAAAAAAAAAAAAAAGAGCAATAATTTTCATTGCCTACATGACATTTTGGTTTTCGTTTTCTGATGAAAATACCCCAATCCAAACTAGTAATCAAGACAGGTAGCAGGAGTGAAGTCAGTGACAAGGAAAGTTTTGGACGATCAACAGAAATAGAAATTTGGTTTGTGTACGAAATGAACTGACGCATACATAGCTGGTCCATGCTACTTAATTTAATTAAGACGATATGAAACGTCTTCTCGTTTCTTAAAGACTAGTAGCTTCAAGAAACGAGCTGACCTCTTTCTATTTATCCTCTTTGTGAAAAGTTAGGTACTCCCTTAAGAAAGCATACTCCGTTTTATTCTCTGTAATCAATGGCAGCTCTGTGTAATTGAGATGAACTCAACCAAATTCAGCCTCAAATATTGGAATATCTTGATATAATGCTATTCTAACAATATTCATGCATGCACATTGCCCTATTCACCCAATGGATTGGGATTGGGATGAATTGTGAAAAAATAGGCAAATAGCTTGACTTGATTGGTAGGAGTTTACTTGATGTGTATAAATTTCTTGGACAAAATCTAAAGGAGTAAACAAGTAGCAATTAAGGCCAAAAGAAATGGCAACAAAGCAAAAGATAACTTTCTTAAAGCTTAGGAAAGCCAACCCATCAATGTAAAATCATGGGGAAAAAAAAAGAAAGAAAAAAGAAAAACAATTGAATGATTTTAGCCTTCCAATCACTCTCGTTAGACAGGTTGTAAATTGTCTACAGGATTAAACCCTTTAAAAAAAGGCTAAGCGAAGAACAATTCCTTACACGGTTTATATATTCATTGGCTGGGAAACCTGGCATTGGACCCACTACCACGTGAGCCATCATGCGTAAGACCGTCATGTGTATTTCCTTTAAGGACATGCCTTGATTTTGATTCGTCAAAATTCCAAGAAATTGTTATTAGGTAGGTGTATTTATACATTTGCACTAGGAGATTAAAAAAAGAGAAGAAGTCAATTTGTTACTATTAGCTCATGTGTTCGTGTGTAGCTTCAATTGTCCTCATGATCACCCTCAAACTTCAGGTAACTGGCTAGAAAGTCCTTAATTTGGCACTCTATTATTGCTTATAAAAATCATCTCCAGTTTGATCAAATATTTTTATCTGCATGCATGCGTCAGATTTTCTTTCAGTTTGCCCTTCGTTACTTTATTTTGCAAAGTTTTAAAACTGTACCATGATTAACGTATGGTTTTCAACTACCACAAGACACACACATATAACTATTGAAACAGTGTGAAAAGTGTTAGCAGAGGCTAAACCATGTCGAGACATAATTGGGTCAAGTTGAAGAAGACATATCACCAAAGCATAACATCATAGTTTATAGTTTGATTTGATTTTTGATATTCATATTCTCTGCTACAAATACGACGTTCTATTTAAAAACAATAAGAAACCAAAGAAAGCAGAATCAGGGTAAAAAACATACAGGCCCCTTTTAATTAAGGGGTCGGTTTGCAAATATTCATCCTAAATTCATGTTATATGCGTGGACGAGCAAACAATATGACCTACCATAAATTTCTCAAGACAAAGAAGGGAAGATTAAGAAAATACAGAGGCAAAATGTGGGGTGTGCACGATATTTCTACGAAAATTGGAAAACGATGAGTCGTAAAACAAAAGAAAATTGAAAAACACAACTCTATATAGCTATAAATTGACATGGGGAGAATAAGCCAACGCAAGTAACAAAAATGTTGATATATTAAATTAATGAAGGGCTTAAAGCATGATGCATTATTGTTTGAATTGCCACACATGGGCAACAAATTAGCTGAACTGTAGTCCCTTTGTTGTGTCATGGACCCATAAACTTCTTTATATTAATCTTTTTTCTTTATATATATATATATTTCTTCTTTAACTTTAATATAAATCAATGAAAGAAAGAATCATAAAAAGTTATCAAACGCTTCCTATTTTATGTGACAATCACTCAACATTTTTCTTTAGCTCCACACAACTTAATTGCTACTATCTATAGAGCCTTCCCCACGATGGAAAAACATATCAACCTTGAGATTGATGCCCAGGAAACTTGCCTCACCTCATCTTCCACTGCCACCTCCGCCACCACTTCTTCCTCCTCCACCTCCTTTTCTTCTATCACCGTTTCATACATTGATCAAAGCTCAAAAAAAGAAGAGAATTCTATTGCTACGAAAGGATCAAGAAAAGCTCAAAAATTACAAAGCGGTGACGAGGGTAATAAAAGACGGAAGACTAGTACCGATAATGAGAATAATGGGAAGCATCCAACATATAGAGGAGTAAGAATGAGAAGTTGGGGCAAATGGGTGTCTGAAATCAGAGAGCCAAGGAAGAAGTCAAGAATATGGCTTGGAACATACCCTACAGCCGAAATGGCAGCTCGAGCCCATGATGTAGCCGCCTTAGCCATCAAAGGTGGCTCAGCTTACCTCAATTTCCCTGAATTTGCAGATGAACTTCCTCGTCCACTCAGCAAGTCCCCTAAGGACATTCAAGCTGCAGCTTCCAAGGCAGCCGCTGCGTCGTACCCCGAGACAAGACACTGTGACGCTGAAGGTGAAGGTGAAGCCGAACTGAGCCAAGTCGAGCCTAACCTTTCGAATTTATCAGATAATTTGACCATGGACAATATACGAGAATCAAGCAGTTCTCCTTCAACTGATTTTGATGACACATTGTTTGACCTTCCTGATCTCTTCGCCGACGGCGTTAATCATATTGATGGATTTTGCTATTATTCTCCACCATGGCAATTATGTTCAGCTGATACTGGCTTCCGGCTTGAAGAGCCATTTTTATGGGAGTAGTTCCAAAAGGTGAATACATTTGTCGCCAAGCCAAACTCATTGGAGTCTCTGGATGCAAAAGCCCATTTGTCTATTCGTGTTTTTGGTTACCAAAATTAAAGCTGGCGGAGGAGGGGATATTGTAGATGTCAGGTGATCAATGGCAGGCCAATTGCAGTTAATTTTGCTGTCATCCAGGTTGGGTTCACAATGGAGTAGCAAAAATCGAAAAGAGATCGAGTTGATTATTCCGTTTCTTGCTTGCTTTATTAATTACGTACATTGCCCTTCACAGAAGGGCCCTTCACAGAAGGGACTTCATGAACATGACTGCACTGTAATATATGAGAGCACAATAAAATATTATACTAATTGGTCTCTTCTTGCAGACAAGACACAGGTTAATCCTATTTTATTGTTCAAATTTTGTCTTACCCAACAATATCTCTGTTTCTAGAGTTCTTTCTCTTTGCAACTTGAGCATTGATTGCAAATTCTTCTTTTTTTTTTTTCTCACCCAAAGGAAGAGACATACGATTAGGATCTTTACATAAAGAGAATTTAATCCTTTGATTAAGTAGTGGCAGCAGTAACTATATTTATTTATTATTACTATTATTAATTATTTAGTGCAATTGACTTGGATGAAAATAACCTTTGCTAGATTTAGATACCCAAATCTTGATAGTGAAACTTCAAAACATTTTGACTTAAAAAGCTATCCTCCATCATAAATCTAGATATGCCCTTCTAGCTAGCCACTAATATTTTAATAGGAGACGATTCAAAGTTTGGATTGTATCATATGGCAATGATGTCTTTAGAAACCCCTCTTTTCTTTTTCTTTATTGTCTTTCCAAAATATAAAGATAAAAGAATTATATCTAGGATTATTGGGAATATATATATTATTTGCCGATAGTCTTTTTTTTTCTTTTTCGCTACCATGATTAGGGCAAAGAATATATATATAAATATAGATTCCCAATCTGTGTGGACATACATGTAGGTACCCAAATAAGGTGACAACACCAACATCTAAACTAAAGTGTTTTTTTTTTTTTTTTGTTGCAAAGTTCCTCTCTTTAGTGAAAGTGAAAGTGTAATTCTAATTTGAAAAAGCAAGGGACCCTCATCATGTATTCCATTAAACTTACCACTATCTAGCTATGTATAATTAATTAGTGATAACTGACCTCACCCCCTGAGTATCTCTCCTTCTTTTGTATTCTACTTCTCCATCATTTTTTTCAACGATGCTTCATTTAGCTATTGGCTTAAAATTTGGAACGTACAAAAACATGTAATATCTTGCCCCCATATACAAATCTTGAACATATGATTAACAACTAATTCTGCCGGACTAATCATTAGCCTAATTATTTGATTTTAAAACTAATTATGATTGAAAAATGGGTTTTCACCAATCAGGCAAACCTGACAACGAATGTGACAAAAGATGAGACAAAGAGGAAGACATCGTTCTCACGAATCTTACAGTTTGGGATCAAAGCTCAAAACCGTTGCCTTCAATTTAATTAATGTTTGTACTACTTTCCGTCCTGTAATTACTATCAAACCTTATTGAATGGTAGCCACCTAATCTTGACCCTAGAAAAATGATATTTAAGCGTGGATACAAGTATGGAATCTTGGTGATAAACTAGCTAGTGTACGTAATTAGAGAAATTATTATATTTAGGAGCCTGCTCTGATTTATATGGACTAAATCAATCATATTATAAAAAAATCATCACAAGAAATAAGATAATTTTAGTTCTGTTACGAAAAAAACAAAAATAATAGGAGAATCGAAGAGAAATATGATAAAAAAATAAATTCACTATAAGATAAAATGAATACAAGATTGATACAGTTATTCAAAGCGTTTTTTGTATATATAAAAATTCAAACTCGAAACTACTCACTTAAACGATTAGAGCTCTTTCTTTTCAAATTAATCCTTTTGTGTAGGGTTTAATATTTGACGTATAGTAAAAGCAAAGTCCAAATTGATGAGTTTCATCCATAGATACCTAAAGTTGAAAGCTTTTATGCCTTTTTTTGTTTTTGTTGTATTAATTTTCATCTTTTATTTTTATTTGTTTTAATTTTTTTTTCCCTAAAGTTGTCTTATTGAATATTTATTTGACTTGATCAAAAGCTATAGTTATCACTTGATCAACCAATAATTACACATGTCCAAATCTGTCTTTATTTCTTTTTCTTTTTCTTCTTCTTCTTCCTCTTTTCTCCTCTCCTCCTCTATCCACCATAGCTGCATGTACCTTCCTTTTCCTCTCCATTTATTAAAACAATAGCAATAGTAAGTAACAAAAGAAAGAAAGTGCTTCAAAGACAAGTTTGGCAATTCATTAATTGTAACTTTTATTACTAAAAAATTGCTTAACTTTGAATAACCACGTACGTAATACCAGTTATTACATTCTATTCATCATTTGATTTCATCCCCTTGTTATTATTATTATTATGACGAGAGTATTACTTTACTGTTTATTTTGTTTTGATAACTAGTCAATTAATAAAACATCATAAAAGAATCATTAAAACCCAGATAGAAGTACAAAACAAAAACTAGGGATTTTTTTTGCAAATTTGATGCACAGAAAGAAAAACAAACAAAAAACTCAAGCAGAAAAGATAAAAAGGTAAAAAATTAGGGCTTTTGATATTCATATTCCAAAAAAACAAAAACTCACACAAAGTCATGCAATATACTTATATTTGGAGTGGCGTATGATAAGCAGAGAACGGGGTGTAGGTTAAGAATGATTTTGGCTTAGATTCAATTTTTCAGATTATGTGTTAGTTGGGTTTTTTCAAATTATTGATTATTTGAATTCGTATGAAGAGAGAGAAGGAAGGAGAAGAAAACAAAAAAGAAATGAAAAAGATAAATAAAAATAATTTGAACAAGCGTCAACATATTAGGAGATCATTGGCCGATTGATTGATAATCATATTTTCTGTTAAATAAAAATCCAATCAAAACTAATTAGAATAAAAAATATATATTAAAAAAAATAAAAAGAAAAAAATAGTATAAAATCAAAAATAGAGAAAGGCTTAGAAAATTTTAATCAAATACACATGGCATGTTAGTTAGGCATAGATACCTATGGGTTTTTATGACTTCATACCTAATTTCAATTTCAAGGTCACCAATATTATAGCTAGCAATTATGAAAGTAATTAAAGTTTTCAGGAACATTTAGATCGTTAATATATATATTTATAGAGTAATGTTATATACCACGAATACACTGTCACGAAATTATAAAACACGATAAACATTGCAGGTTGCCATTTTTTTCAACTTTACGAGTAATAAATTTACATGTTTCTATATTTTTTACTGATCAATTCGTGACATCTAGCTTTTTATTGGAGTTATATATGTATTTATATGTTAGCAATATTCGACATAGATGAAAGAACATCCATTTAAATGGTTTCAGATTTTAGTTGGCCGATCGATAACCCCTTTGACTAATTACTAAAATATATCAATAAATTTCAAGATTTATTTCGGTTTCTCACTGACTTTTATTTAGATAGAGAATTTTAGGGCTGATTAGTTTAATTGTTGCAATCCTTGAAACTATATACATATATTCGATGTGGTTTGAAGTACAATATACAAGATTTTCCTAATAGCAACTTTGATTATGAACTAATTAATCACGAAGCATGGGGCATGAGATCAGTTTTGGCAGAGTTTGATAAATGAATAATTGGCTGGTGATCTTTGACAATGTCTAGAAGACCAATCTATCGATCAGATTGAGTGAATCTTTTTTTTTTTTTTTTTTTTGTCCTTCTTTTTTAAGAAGGAATTGTTAATTTGAACCTTAATGAAATAATTTATTAAATTGAACATCCTGATTACTTTTATTTAAACGTATAATTAACAATAAAATCTTGGTGATTCTCTTTATACCATAGAAAACTCGATCAGAAACTAAAGTGACATCTTGTCGGGCGATGCATGCATGTGGAATAGAATGAAGCAAGTAACATGAGGGACCATGACAGGAAGTATACAGAGACAATTTAGAATATAATGGAGTGTAGGCCGAACCATATGTAAGGAAGTTGCTAATCAACGATCAATTATAAATAAAAAACACGTGTTGTAATTAATATATAATATTTAAGAATTAAATTTTTAGGGTGGTCACAAGTCATGATGAATGGAGTACGTATAAGATCTACGGGCAAGTTACTAGTGAGAAAAAGGAGAGCAAAGAATCAAAACCTTATTTGTTCTTTTGAGTTGGAAAGAGGTGCAGCAAATGCTTTAATTGGCCTTAATCATAAGATACTTGTATGCTTTTGATGCATGTTTCCTTTCCTTTTCCTTCCTCTTTTCTTTCTTTCAATTATATATAGATAGAGGGACTTTAAATCATTGCCATTAAAGAACAAATTGTGCTTACTAAGACGAAAATCTGTGACATCTATGGAATTCTTCACATGCAAACTTAATTAAGTTATTATAAGCTAAAGTTTTGTTTGATTTATGCATTTGCAGCCTGGGCCATTAACATGTGATATTATTTGATAATAGTTGGTTGTTGCTTTTTTTTTTTTTTTTAGAAGTAGAATTTAGATTAATTTAGAGCAACTTGGGCAACAAGATGTTGCGAGATCTTAACACAGATTAAATAAATTAGTTGATTTTTAAAAAATAAAAAGAGTTGAACAAAGAGTGTAAATCAGAGTATTACTGCTTGATTTTTTGTTTTTTTTTAATTAAGCTTTAAAATATACAAACAACAGAAGGACAAGGACGGTACGAGTGACTGTCCTTGGCACTTAAATGCTGACGCAACTTGTGGGGTATTGTGTGTGTGGAGCGAATTGCAAAGAGAATGTGTGGGTGACACATATTTGGTACAATTATGATGATGGTGATAGTTTTGACAATAACTTGGAAGAGCCTTTTGCAAGTCAATTCACAGAGTAAATTCATATTTTAACCTATTTAATTAATTTTTTTTTCAACGATTTAGGTATTTTAGGGCTACCGTGCACAGAGACTAAGTCCTATTGGTTAAAGAATATATATATATATATATATATATATATATGCACATGTATAGATTGATCAGAAATTCCTTTCAGATTTTATTTGAGTATCCATGATGCATCTGGAATGGCAAAAAAATCCACAATTGCTGAAATTGGAATGCATAAAAAGTATTATGAATTCTGAGCAGTACTATTTTGTGGAAAAATGTTTTCACAAACTTGGCGATTCAACAAGGTTTAAAGAAGAACCAAATATTATTGAGATCATGAAAATCAACAGCTAGGCTTATTATGTTAGCTAAACTTAATTATGCCACGTGTGATATTTTCTGAGACCTACTTGCCAATTAGCAGTTATTTAACAAATCCCAATAATTATTTACCTAATTATATGCCCTGGTCTTTTGGTACAGATTGCTGTAACTGGTTTAAAAAGGAGGGGTTAACTAGAATAGAATGGCATGTGCCTAAATTGGGGGCACAGACTGGACCTTAGAGGAAATGGTTTATATTTTCTTTTAGTTCGTTAAAAAACGCAATTTGACGAGGAACAAAAAAATCCCCGTTTCTTTGCTGCTTGCATTCAAAGATGCAAAGACATGACAGCCATGTTCCAGATACAAGGGATATATATATATATTTTTTTTTTGTCCTGTGAGGAAAGGAACAAGAAATGGGGGAATCCAATGTCTTTTTTTTTTTCAAGTGGATGTTAACTTAAACGATTAATGCCAAAAATTAAAAAAAAATTACTGGTGCTAAAGCTATTCGTAACAGTAAAAAGAGGATATTAGTGATCCATAAATTGACAGGTGGATGAATTCTTTGCCCATATACCAAATTCACAGTTCGATTTTTTGGGTTGTCTTGATCGATAGGATAAAATTAATGTGGTATGGGACGGTTTGGATGTCGCTTGATGCTTCCTCCTGGGAGACAATAATTTGATTGCATCACTGTGAAATATTTTTGTCCTGCCATAACATTTATTTTTTACATAAGCTCACATGTTGATGCATAGTTTATTTTTTTGAAAATATATCTCCTTAACTTATGTGGTCAAACAATGGAAAAAAAAACTTTCAAACAAAATAATTCAGGAGAGCAAACATCGTCCTTATTTACATAATTTGTGGCTTTGAAAGGAAAAGGTAGTTCAAATTTCTCAACAACCCAAAGAGAGAAAAAAATAAACAGAAAAACCATATTGGGTCATAAATATTGACTTGGTACGATCTAAGTGCATAATTTCACGTTTAACAGTTTCTAGTAATAGGCAAAAAGAACGCGTAATGTTTTTGTTTTTGAAATATTGTTGGTCGCTTTTGTCAGCAACAGCTAGCTAACATCAAAGATCATGCCTTACACGTACAGTGGAAAGAACGTGGCAATCAAGTTTCTTTTTACCAAATTAATTAAAGCATTATTTTCTTCTCGTTCCTCTTCTTAATTTCAAATGAGAGAATCATTTTCAATGGCGCGTGAAATACAGCTTTTTCTTGGAGAAGAAATTACAATTTTCAAAGAAAGAATAATGAAACACGAGTCTTTCTATCTATTTTGCTTTAGACCATGTAAAATATCAATGGAGATTTCATTACAAAAAACAAGGCAAATGCCAATGTGCAGAGGTGGCTGCCGGACCATTAAAAAAGATAAAATTCTCTTTATAAAAAATGCTTTATTATATAATAGCATGTGAAAAACAAGTTGGGAATACAAAAATCCAACATATATAGATGCTAAATTCAACGCACTGTCTGGAGGATGACCCATGAAAAGAACTCGAGAAAATTAATGATGAGACCATGGAATTGATTGCAGTAGTACAGAAAGTACCTTCCGCGTAGAAGAAATATGCTGCATAAATTGTATCCAGGTTCAACGAGTTGAACCAGGTCGGAGAATGTTCCATTTCTAATTAGAGAGAGGTAGCTAGGTAGGCGACAAGAAAGCAAAGAAATAAGAGTTTGAGATAAGCTTTATAATGTTCGCAGCCACTCCAGAAGTAGATGACAAGCCAATGGGCCTTCAGCTTGTCAGTAACTTGTTGGTTCTACCAAGAATTCACCTGTTTCTTTATTAACAAATATTGGTAACTTATGTACACCTCATATAAGAAATATAAGAAATGATCAAAATTAACCCCTTACTTTTTATGTAATGGTCACATTAATTTTCTATCCTCACGAGTATTAAACCCAGCTCCCCTTCTTTTTAATACTAATGTCTATTGCCTTTTTTTAGGAAAAAAAATTATAAAAAATTAAAGAAGAAGTAGGTGACAACCAATATCAGAACTGCATATTTAGCGTTTTGTCAATATTTGGTATACTTCGATACTTGTCACCAACAACAATTACACAACTACACTGAACCATTGAATGTTACTTCAAAGTTCAAACCTAACACATGCCTAAGCCTAAAACTGCCGAGAACGTCTTCACCTCAAAGGAAGTAGAAGCTAGGGTGTGTTTGAAAATAGAAAAATACTTCTCATTTTTCACTCCATTTCCAGTTTTCATTCTCCAAATAATCAGGAAAAAAAAATTCGTTTTTATAGTTTCGCAACAACGTTACAAATTAAGAAACCAGAAAACATGTTGAAATTTGCTGCTATGTATCTCCAACTTTAGAGACTAAATTGCACATAACTGAAACTTTGTGAACCAACCTGCAAGCATGTCATCTTCAATCTCTCCACCAAGCATCTTGCCCTAACATCTGCTACACAAATTTGGGTCATCATGACTACCCATTTTCTTATCCCGAATTTTTAACCTCCCTCTAATTTCCATCACGATTTCATCAAATTCTTTACAATTACATTTCTTAAAAACTCTGAAAAGAAATGGAAATCCAAGTTTAAGCCAACTCAAAAGGGGTAACAATTAATAAATATATTAAAATAAAATGGTCTTTCACCTTAGCAAAGCTTCCTTTTTAGCTTCTAGTGACATTTATTTTTTGTTTTAACTCCTGTTTTTTTATTTTTTTTTGTCATTAAAATTTTATTATATTTGATTTTTATCTCTACAAAAAAATACTTTTTTGGCTTTAGTGAAACTTTTTGTTATTTTTACCTCTATTTTATGATTTATTTTATTTTGGTTATTGAAGTTTTATTATTTTTAATTATTATTCTTACTCGTACTAAAACTAAATAAAATTTCACTATCTAACTCTTTTTTTTCTTTTTTTAACTTTAATGATTTTTTTAGTCTTTTTTTTTCACTTTAAGTGATTTTTTTATTTTATTTTGATTATTAAAATTGTATCATATTAATATGGCGACTTTTGTTTCTACCTCATGTATAATGAGTTTTTTTTTTTTTTAATCTTATTGTTCATAATTTTTTTTTAACTTGTGATTTTTTGTTGTCTTTATTATTTTGATCATTTAAGTTTTATCCTAAGTAATTTTTACTTTTGCTAAAATATTTCAATTTCATCTATTTTTGACAAATTTTTCATTTTTTTTTCTTCTCTCTATCTCATTAATAAACTACACAAAAAACATATAATAAAAATCAATCATTCAAAAAATTATCACATAATTATTTTAATTATCAATTATTATACATATTTATATTAGACATCTAATTAGGAACATTATACATAACCAACCTTGTTGTTTTTTTTTTTTTTTTTTTTAACTAACCCCTCATCGATACGCAAAATATATGTTTTAATCCTTCTATTTTTGAATTTTTTCGCATGGTCTTTTTAAACAATTGTTTTGCACTCTGTATTTTATATAAATGCACGAAATACATTCTAATAAATTTTATATCAAGATCAAAACCGTGGGTACAAAATAAACTACAGGAAACCTACTTCAAATTGAGCCCACATAACCCATCCTTTATCCAAACTAAAACCACAACAGAAGCCATGGCAAACCATCTCATGTAAGCTTAAAAACCAAACCCGCTTCCCAACCAAAATGCAGTTTTTCTTCCACTAGCTTCAGTACCACACCTTTTCCACCAAAAGCCACCGCTGTTTCCCGTACCAAAAAACACATGCGTTCATGCTCACTGGCCTTTTTCAGCTAAAACACTTTTTCCCTCCGTTTTCCATCTCATTTTTCCATAAATTGCAGTAAAACTCGAATGAATTTTCAAAATTTTCAGAAAGAGTGCTAACTTGTGTCAACAACCACCCATGAAATAAAACACAAACATTTACTTTCAGCAGCTAGCGCATGAATCAATGCTGAACACATCAGGCAGGAACTATTATTATAAATGTCATTATTTTATAAGAGAATGTAAACTAATATTTCTAAGATCTAATGTATGTACTAAAACCTGTACAGTCAAAAATTAAGTTCCACACCAGGTATTTTCACTGGATGGAGAAAACTGACATCAAATGCAAGAGCTAACTCTCATTGCTATGTGCCAAGATGGTCTGTACAACCTCCAAGGCCCTCAGCAAATGGCATTTCATCAATTCTGATCATCTGCAACAAATCTAAACACCCCAGCAGCTCCAAGCAGTTAATTATGAGACCAACATCCAAAATACATGGAAGTCAAGAAACTAAATGAAATCAACCTAGAATCAAATCTAAAATGATTTGCACAGGGAGGATATAGACAGGAACTGCACTGGTTCCTATCACTATTCTCTCAATAATACTCTAGAATAGGCATGCACCAGCAGGGCATGCCAGTGGGTATCCACAGGTAAAGGTTTCTGATCAGGGCAGACAAGCCTCACTGGAACCCGACTTCAACAATGAGCCTCCTCATCAAACAGCATGGCACACCTCATTCCCATTCCATCAGATATAAACAGGCTTCACGTCATTATGCCCAAAACTCACACTGCATACTGGACACTTGCGATGACGACTTTCAACAATTCTCTGTACACAGGGATTGCAGAACAAATGATAGCATTTTGTAATGACAACCTGAAGAGGAAACAAAAATATTAGAATTGCTATGCAATATATAATGATAAACACTGACAAAAAAATCAATCATATTGATTGATACGTGTATCACAAAATCTTGGAGGACCATTAATCAATTTCAATATCACACTAACAGTTCAATCCTAATATTGAAACCTTTTTGCCCTATTAGCAACCCAGCCTGGATCCCAAAGAAACTCGAGCACCCACTATGAAGAAAAACACTGATTAAATTACCAATAGTTTTTTAGAACCTCTAGGCAAAAACAGCAGAGAGAATAAAACACCAGTTTAGTTTCAATAAGCCTCTGTGCTAAACTAGCTGGGGCTGCTTCCAAGAACCTCTTCCTCCATTCTGTTCTGTTTTAGGCCACTTTATCTTGACAACCATTTTTTACCACTCCAGACGAATTTTTGCCTAATTTTCTATTCCTTCAATTGAACTCCAAGCCATCATTATGCCATTTTCTGTTTACCCCTCTGTCAACTCATCATTCCACTTTCCAGCAGATTCAGTTTCTTTTTCTAGCCCTATTTATTAACCTATATGTTTTGCTCATTTAATGAAAATGTTACAACACAAAGCACTAACTACCACAGAATAGTTCCTGTTCATCATGCTGCTTATCCTCCCTATTGAGATAATACCACTTTGTTCTCAGTTAAAACCATTGCTATTGCCACCCAATACTAAAGTTCTTGCAAGAGTAAGACCATGCTGAAATATGAGTTTTCTTTGGAAATAAGTTGGATGAGCAGTAAGACCAGAAACTTATAATTCAACATCATCACTTCATAAAATTCAGCCCCCTTGAAGGGATGCCTACTAGTTGGACAGCGAACATTCAAACTCTAGACATTTTAGTGAGATATGACTGATTTAGTAATTTCTATCTTTCGTATGAGAACCAAGAGTTGCATGTTTTCCATTACATCATGTTGATAGAATTATTTAACTAATGGTTTGCTTATGCTTTGCATGCCCTTTTTATACATCCAGTTAGCCAACTAGTAAGGCTACTTTCATTCATCAAAACTTGCTACAGAAAAACAGGACACTAAATCCCATAAAGTACAGAACAGGGATTAAAAATTACCTCTTTAGGTCTGTCAAGGCAGATACTGCACTTAACTATTTCCCTGTATTCTCTAAGTTCCTGTTGAAGCTTTTCTACAATCGAAGACCCCTCTGTCTGTGCTTGAAGATGTGAAACCTTTCTCCTTGCAACTTCCAATTCCTCTTCCATTCTTCTCTTGTCAAACCTGATAAACAAGAAACAACGTCAATGTCTACACTTGGTACAAATAGGAAGTGAGGAGGGATTTATTTTGTTACCTCTCTTTCTCTAGATCTATCTGCAGCTCCAAAAGAGCTGCTCGACTTCTTTCAACTCTAGATTGGGAATCCTCTAATGACTCTCTTGCTTGATTAGATGATCTTCTCACATCTAGCAATTTCTTTTGTGTATTTTCCAACAAAACTGACCTTTGAAACTTATCTTCTGCTAGTCTATGAATCTGGTCTGAACAACTTTTTAACTGCAAGGCAGAGGCATTCAATACTTTATTATACACACTCTAGTAAAGTATACTCTTATCACAAAATGATCCACAACCATATATGAACTTATAAATACTTTTGATCTACTATTGGGCCCTTTAATAATTTAAGCTTATGACTAAATACCTTTATTATCAATTAATTAATCTAACCTAATGTTTATCCTGGAAAATCATCAACATAATACTAATTCTTCCTGTAACTTGGAGACATGCCTATCCTTATCTAATCCTAAGAGATGTAGTGAAGTACCGAGGCTACAATACCATATACGTAGTGGAAACATCTACACGATGCTCCTCGATTCTTAATCTAGAGAAAAAAATGACATGAACGAAGAATAGAATAATAGCATATGGCTAGCCTGATGCCAAGATACATGTTCTTTTCTTTATAAGATATCCATCTATGTTTATTTTTATTTAGAAAGCAAAAATTGAAGGGAATAATTGAATGAAAAAACTTGTTTTAATTAAAAGATAATCTTCTAAAGTAGACATACATAAAGAAATAAAAAGAATAAGAAAAATAAAATACATGTTGGTTATTTATCAATAGAAAAAAAGTAAAATTTTCATATTAAAAGTTTTTTTAATCACATACTACGAGTATTTATTTATTTTATATATATATATATATATATACATAAATTTTTATACTATATTAAAAGCATATGCCAACATAACTACTACTTAGAATTACCTGATCTTCTATTCTTGCAGCTTTCACATCAAAGAAATCAAGGGAAATATTGGCTTGCTGAATCTCCTTTTCCGCAGTTTGTTTGTCCATGAGCAGAGAATCTCGCAGCTGCCTTGCTCTCACCCCCTCTAAAACAAGCTGAAACAGGAAGAGCAAGACCCACTAAATCATACTCTCAAGTACATATATGTCACACAGAACATGTTATATCTTTACTTGAACTGTAAGATGAACTCATTCTCGCATCTGGAAGAAAGTGTAAGAGAAATGCATGTACAAGAATAAAAGAAGAGCAGCATCATGACAGGCAAGAGGAAAATTATGTTCAGTTTACAATTAATGCCTGTTAAAACCATACAAAATAGCTGAAGTTGTCACGTGTTACAACTAGCTAAGCGGATGTCTTAAAGTTCTAGGATGAGGGAAACTCAACCAAGATATCAGGGATGCAACAGAAAAAAGACCCTATCCCAAGCTACGAACTACTAGTGCCTTTATTTTCAGTTTCAGATATCAAACCAGTCCATAATTGGTCCTCCCATAGAGATTACAAACCAGTAGCGATTACAAACCAGTAGTGCTGAAACATGTTACCATGCCTATGTAATCAAGAAAAGCAAGATCAATATAGGGACTGTTAAAAGACATGAAAGGTCAGATATTAACTGTTTTCCAGTTTATATAGCAAAATATAGAAAAATGATCCACAATGCAAGTCTTGAGAACTTGAAAGCTTGCATGATTGTGAAAGTTTCAAAATACAAGTTGGCAATGCAAATACAATGTCACACAGTAAAGCAAACATGGAACCCACAAAGTAAGACCAAATGTCTCGAGCACTAACAGCTGAAAGGCACCGAATGCAACTTAAACAATCTTCTTGAAGACAGATTATGGAATATGCTACCTTAATGTTGTAGTCATCTCTCTCTGTGATTTGCTGCAACAGATGTTGATTTTGAGTTTGCATGTCATCATATGCTTGCCCAATTGTCTGAAGCAAAGCCAAATAAACAATCTTAGACAGATTCTTTATTAGATTGTAAGAAAGCCTACAATGAAAATGACAAACTGACCTCTATTTCAGACAAGTAGGCCTCATTTCCTTCATTTTTTGATTTCAGGACGACAGAAAGTCTAGACGTATCCCTGAAAAGCAATAAATCAACATTTTTCACACACTGCTCTCCCATAATTATTAAGTTAGAATTTAAGGTAAGAAAAAATATTAGGCCCACCAATTAACCAAAAACAATTCAGATGAAAGGATGATCGCTGAATTAAAAGGTGCTTAATTGACAATACAACTTCAAAATGTTGTTCAGGATAATGATGGAACCAATGAAACAGCGATCTTCTAGTAAAAGAATCACATGGTTGTTTATCTAAAAGCATACAAAGGAATGTTTCTTTTGTTCCCTTTCCAGTGTTGCTTATGCATGCATGAGTGCGCAAAAGAAATATCAGAACTTCACAAGAAAACGGTGAACATGGCATCTTGTATGGGACAGATAACAATAAATGCAAAGAAGTTTCAGCTTGGTGGTATTCATGCCAAAAAAATATATTCCAGCCAAATAGAAAGGAAAAAAGGACATTCAAAAAAATAAAAAAGTTCACCTCAAACAAAAGATTGACATTAGCATCTAAATCAGAAGTTCTACAATGATCAAATTAGTCCCAAAACTTCATGAGTTTACCTTCTAGAAGCTTCTAATCTCTGTCTCAAATCAGCAATCTCAGCTTCTGCAGCAGCTAGCTTTTGCTGCGATATGGCCTCAGCTTCATTTGCTGTCTTCACTCGTAATTCCAAGGTTTGCTCATCAAGAGAGGATTTAAAACTTTGAACTTGAGCCCATGCCTTGTATTCCAGATCCCTAGCTTCTACGACATCCCTACAGTTGCAGAATAAATTTCTAAACCACCATATAATTTCACACAATCTCTACGTCAATACCAAGAAAATGGCATGAACAGGAACATGCTAATAAATGATTTGATTAAATGCTTTAACATAATGACAAGGGTGACCCACAGCCAGCATTGCTTGGCTGGTATCTTAAAAATAATGATTATATACAATTGCAAAAACTTGGGACACCAAATTTAAACAGAGCATAATCATTCAATTTATTTCAATTTCCAGCATAAAGCAACAAACATTCATTAAAAACTTCGGAATATACAAAATAAAATACATGTAGTAGGTTGAACATAAGTAACAGTTCAACTGACCAAATCAGTCATTATGAATTTAATTGCTAGTATGGAGAAAGCAGAATGTACAGATAACTCAGACCTTGAATAAGTGGATTCACGTCGATACATGTCCAAAATCAGTTTCAACTCCAGTTCACTTTCCTTCAGATCTTGGACCTGCACCAAAGGGAAAAAGGTATTCAATTGCTAAATCAGATCATATCAGTTTAGTACCCTCAAAATAGGAAAGCAAGGCATTATAAATCCTTCTAACCCTTAGTAGGGAAATTTCCAACAGACCTTGGCAAAATGGTTATCAGAGCCGTTGTCAGAACGTAGACTAAAATTTATCAGTAACTTAATATTTCTGAAAAGAAGATAAGCTCACGAGTAGAGAATTAAACTTGATCCAGTAAAACAAGGTCAGCTGTGAGATGAGATGAACGCATGGAGAGGCATGGTCTTCTATACAAACAAAAACATAATAGGGATATATCTGTAACCAGATTTTGGGTTTCTTGGAAGAAATGGAACATAAGAGCATTCAACAGGAAATAATCTAGTACCTACTCATTTAAGCATTTATTGGTTAACACACCAGGAAAATCAATTTGCTTATTTGGGTTCTCAAATTTTATAAATTACATTTGGATGTAGTTCTTAAGGCATAGTCAACGAACTTGGCTTGAGTTTCTTCTGATGGAGTAAATGAAAGTGATGCCTATATAATTTTAAAATTTTCTTTACTTTGCCTATAGAAAAGAACCTACAAGGCAAGTGAAGAAGGGATGCCTAATTCATGATGTATCTATTCCATAGGTGGCAAAGACACTCGAACATCACTAACTAAAAATTTATATCTGAACCTCGTAATAATATGGTGATATAAGAAATCACGAAAATAATTGAACAGAACATTATGATATATACAACCCACTAAGGTCAAATCTAGTGGAGAAGTTTCTAAACAACCAATAAAATAAAAACAAATTTGGTCATTGCAAGCTTGTAGGGTGTTCAAATCAACTACAACAAGAATTTATAAATGCAGCAAAAGCATACCACACAGGAATGCACTTTTTTTCCTCCAAAACAAAAAAGGTCCAAAAAAATAGCTAGAAAAAATATATATGTGTGTGAACAAAATGGATCTTTTCTTGAGTACATTCTTGTGGCCAAAATTTTATGCATCTAGCAAAGGGAATGCTATGCGCATGTTTTTTCATCTGTTTTAATAAAAGAAAATGTGAATCTAGTAATTCTACAATTCCAAAGAAAACGAAGACATCCATGGAAGTTTAAAATATAAATTCTTGAAAGCTAAAATGGGACAAAGCAGGACCCACGACCCATTTCATGGTAAAACAAAAAAAAAAAAAAAATCAGGACTTGGAATTGCCAAATTTTAGTAATTCTTCAGTTCCAAAGAAAATGAAGACGGCCATGGAAGTTTGAAATAGTAATTCTTGAAAAGATATAATGGAACAAAGCCGGACCCATGACCCATTTCATGGTAAAACAAAAAAAAAATCAGGACATAGAATTGGCAAATCAGAGATCCCACTAGAAGCTTATAACACAATAACACACTTAAAAACACCTGACAGGAGCAAGTTTCATCAGGAGATCATAATGATATAGGATAATAAACACATCAAGAAAATAATAACAGACAGCAGGATTAAAATGCTAGAATTCCCTAGAGAGACCAACAAGAGTACACAGCCTGCAGGATTATTACAAAGAGCTTTTTTTCCATTCAAATCTGAGTTCCATGTTAATCTAGGTCGTACAATCCTGAGGCAGAATAAAACAAGGCTTTGAAGTTATTTAGAAGCCCCTAAAATTACTAAGAAAATGAGAAATGGAAACATACCACATACTGCAGCTTATGTATCTCAGCATTTTGGTTTGCTGATCTAGCAGACAAATTTTCACTCTCTTTTGCCTGCTTCAGGAAAACAAATCTTAGTATCCTTTAACTGATTTAAATTTGAAGAATAGAAATGCATACACCAGAATGTACCCACCTTCCTATCCAGAACAGTAGAAAGAGACTGCACATCAGCCCGCAAAGAATGAATATCAGAAGAAGCTTCTTTGAAGTTACTTAGTTGGCTTTGCATAGAGCCCATTTCCTCAGGAAACGAAGAAACCAAAGCTTTGAATTCAGCAATGATATCTTTTCTTCCTAAAATAGAGAGAACTTATCAGGCTTCGAGCACAAAACTAGCAGGAAGCAGCATAAATTACAACTCACACAACAGCATCCAGCAGTAATGCACCTGGTTCTCTAGATGCCTCTTCCAGCTTAGTCTCAATCATGTTTCTTTCAATGATCTGTTTCTGTATCACTTTTCCTAAATCAGCAATTCTAGAATCCACAACTGCAGTAGATCTTCGACAAACATCAACTAAATCATTTTTCATACTTAGTTCTCTTTCTTTCCAGACAAGGTTATCCTTCTCAACCTGTAATTTCCAGGTAAGAAAATATTGTCAGCATCAGAAACTAATCCATGCAAAGAAAATTACAGACTCAGGCATAAATGAAACTACCGACCAGTTACAACCTGTAGTTTCTCAAATAAGGCACGATACTTGCGAACTTCTGACTTTGATTTCTCTAGTTGATCTCTCACCAAAAGGTAGGCTCGTGATGAAGAGATACTCTTCACATTCTTCAAGGAGTGCTGTAAAACAAAATATTTCCATTCCACTTCTATTAGTACATAAACAAAGCTGCATTTGATTATCTATTAAATTATTGAATAAGTAGAATCTGCATTTAAGACCCAACCTCCTCCCCCTCCCCCCCCCCCCCCCCAACCCACAAAAAAATATTATAATAATAAAACTATCCAACCTGCAAATTGGATAGCTTCCGTAATATTCGTAACCTTCCTTCATGAAGATCTTTTAGTTCTAGTAGTCGAGAAGAAGCCTGGTCCTGTGAAACTCGAATTAATTAACATGCCTATCTCTTCCAGTTCAAGAAATTCTCAACAACAAATCCATGAAAATAAAAGGCAACTACTCACTAAAAGCTCTTTGACTGCAGACTCCATTTCTTGCAGATCCTTTTGTTTATCCCTGACCTTATCACCAGCAACGTGCTTGCTTCCCAAGTTTAAGACAGGAAAGAATGCCCCTTTTGTTGCATCTCTCTCTGCTTTAAGACTTGCCAGTTTACAGTTGCTGTCTTCTAATTCTGCAACCGCAGTCTCCAATTCACCTGTGGAAAACAAGCAAAAACCCATTAAGAAAAAAAATGTCCTACATTAGTTTTGACAGCATATGCAAAATCATAAGACTACGTATGCATGACAGTGTATTTAAATGTGCTATGGTGTGCTAGCATATACAAATAGACAAGCCTATTAAAGAAGAAAAAAAGAGAAAGAACGAATACCATAGCGAGAAAGAACGAATACCATAGCTATGCACATATTTTAAATAGGATATGCTATATTGGCTTTGACTAGAGATGGAAGCTCTCAAATGATGGTTAAAAGGATTCAAAATGTTACCTTTTAGATGCTTAAGCTCTGCTTTATTTTTTGCATCTATGTCTCGATGGTTCTGCAATTCCCTTGCCAGTGATTTGTGCTTCAAATGAAGGTCACTTATCCCTAACCTCAAGTTCTTAAGTTCCTTCTCCAATTCATTAGATGTCGTTTGCCTGCATGCATCTACCAAAAGAGAAACATAATAGGAACTGAGAAAACTCTAAAGTAGCCCAAGACAACATAACACATACACCTGCGGCAATATACTCCTACCATCTTCTGGAAGCTGTTTCAAAACTGCTGCACATAATCCATCCTTCAGATACCAAAGGCCATTGACTGTAGCCACTATATTATGCAGAATGTTTTTCTTCTTTTCAAAGGCAGTTTCTCTATCCAATTCCATCTGATCAGGGCAATTATTTGCAGAGGAACTTTCAGTTGCACCTGTTTCCATTAGCCGGATAAGAAATGCATCCTCGAGAGAAGATGAGCCCCCATCTGAAACAAAATCTAAGAATCCCCTATTAGAAAATGCCCTTGCTTTAAGAAAAAAACTAGTGTTCCTAATCAATATAAAACCACCAGTTTATTAAATTTTGTTACTCTGAAAGAACACATGTATCAAATCTACCAACACTGGAGCCAACCGTTTCCTAGCTGCTCACTTTCCCCCCAAATCCTGTACACATATGTTGCTCAAACCCAACCACATACAATGATCATGCAAGCCTACACACATAGAGCCACAACCCACTCCCCAACCAACCTACCGACAGCAGCACACAAATTTGCCAAATGATTTAAAAAATTTAAACCAACTTCCAAGACCATTGGCATCTTGTGAATTTTTGACGCAATTATAGTAGTAAAATAATAATTTGAAAAGGAGAGACAAACTACTCAAGAAAGGTTCCTTACTGTAATCAACCAAACAAATAGAGAGGAGCAAATTAAGCACGCATACAAAGCCAAGTATGGCCTTGACAAAATTATATATATATATTAGTTAGCCATAAATTGCTATCACAAGAAAGCAAGTGTTACGAATGGATTGCAATGAATTCTTGCAATCAAAACATTTGGTGTTACCACTAAATTACTAAGGTGAAAAACTAAACAAGAGAAGTAATGCATTACAGGTTCCCAACCTTTTGTGATTGGTATATGTTTGACGCCTTGCCCATTGCTCCGCTCTCTTGTGCAGTTGGAACATGTTTCCAAGTCAGTCACCAGCTATTGTTAAAAACAGTCAACGTTCCCACAATCATAATAAGGTACTATATAAATAATGCAGAAAGATATCTTATGCTTTTGATTTTCTAAACTACTATATGAAAGTAAAGGTAATCTGAAGAACAAGAAAACCAAGCAATTACCGCTTCCCAAGACTTATTGACAGCTTTTAATGTGGAATTGTATGGTTGTTGTTTCTCCTTCAGTTGAGCAAACTTGCTTTCAAGCGCAGAATGCTCAACCTTCTGAGCCTCTAACTTTTGTTGAAGCTTTTGATTTTGGTATTGAAGAACGGCAGTATCAAGCTACATTATGAAAAGCAAATGTGAGTGCACAACCAACAAGCTACTCACTAGTGACATTACAGTTTGGCAACTTATAGATGTAGAAATTACTGACTGCAGTTCCATATAAAGCTTCCAAAAAGCCAAGTTACCCAGTATTGGAAAACCTAAAACAGAAGCTAAATCGTTACAGGCATCAAGCATCAAAGTCAGAGAATTACACATATAAATGATCCACAAGCAAAAAGAGAGAAAACTCATTGTCTGGAAATGTGTTGTTGGCCATAAAAATAGATCTTAGGATTATAAAAGGCAGCATCCTCATTGGACTTAGATATCCGTTCATTCAGTTACAATGATCTATGGGTAAATTGCAAGAGACAAATTGTAGACAAGGCAAACAACGCAAAAAATTCAATGAGATAAGAGAAAATTTTCGTAACCATTTACTATTAAAATTGAAATACTTAATAAAGATCATCAGCTTAAAAAGTCATAGGCTATATAAGAGTAGAGCATTCATGCAGATAAAACAATATTACCCCCCATGAAGACACCCCTGCAAAACTCACGTTCAATCATCATCATCTAATTTAACAAAACAAACACGTAATCATCCAAGTGATGCAGCCCATAACCCTACCTGAAAAGCTACATGACTAGCAATAATCATGCTTAATGAGTATATCAATTTTTTTTAACTGATAATTCGATAAACCAGATCAGCAAGATCATCAGATCACAATAACAAACAGAACCAGCATAAGATTCCTCAAAACCACAACAAAAGCAATCGAAATCCTGAAAAGTTCAAACCTTTTTGTCCTCAGACAAATGCGAGAACGGCTGCTTTTTAGCCATAGCAGCTGTTGGTGATGATATAGAGCTAAAGTGACGCCGTTTTCTGTCCGGCTCACCTGTACTCCCCATTAAAAACAAACAAAAGACAAAACCCTAAACACCCCTCCCAACAACTTCACTCACATTAGCCCACAAACGCAATTCCAATAAACCATAATTCGAAACAAATCAAACACTAACTTAACAATTGAATTTCTAGAAACCCTAATTCAAAACCACCAAAAAAAAGCTGTTTGGTTTTCTTTTTCACTACCAGAAAAAAAATACATAACACTAATCCTAATCAAAAAGTCTATAACTTACTGAAATTATGATTCCTTTCTCCTACTGAGAATTAAAACTTGAAAGAACAAAAAAGTTAGAGATTTTTTTTTCTTTTTTTCCCTCTTCGGTCTCAGCGAAATGAGAGAGAGAGTAGTTTGTTTGTCGTGAAAGTGATTGTTTAGCATAAAAAGAGAGCGTGAAATTCCGTGAATGTTAGAAGGGTAGTTTTGGGAATTAAATGAGCCCGATAACAATCTGCGGTCTATTAGGGTAACGACCAGGTGAGAGAAGTAAAGCGAATGCTGAGATTTGATTGGTGGTAGGTGGGAGAGAATTTTTAGGCTTGGAAATTTTGGGACTTCGCAGTGTTCGGCTTCTTTTCTTTGCTGCACTGAACAGCCGCTGATCGACTGTCTCTATTTTTTTCCCACGCTACTGAGACCGCCATGCAAGCTGGCTGTTCAGTTTTTTTCTTTCCTGTGTTAAATGGTGCAAAATTAATTTTTAACCAAAACTAATTGATTTCGAAGTTGCTTATTTTGGTTAATATTAAGATCAATAGAGAGCATGGCATGGATACAAACACCGGCTCGCATGCTATGAGAGTAATGATAGGTGGTCTTCCACATGCGCTGACAACCGTAGATAACAGTTCAGATAAATGAGTTGATTACGTTTTAAATGAACCGTGCGGTTACCAAATGGAGGATATACACTGCAGTCGACCCGGAAGAAAAAAGGGAAAACTAGTAAACTACTACTTCGATGCAAAATTAGACCTATTGTCGTTGTGAAATCTACGAGAGTTGGCTCAACTAATCCAGCTCGAGATTTGCTCTCTCGAGGTCGTCAGTTTCAAGTCGTCGAAGAGCTCATGCCACACGTCTCCTAGTTCTTACAAAGTCACTGCTAAACTCAATTGTTGATGGCCTTCATTCTACCAAATCAGGAGGATGGATCTAGTCAGTCTGATGCATGCAAACTATACACACAAACGAGAGCAACTTGCTAAATACAACAACAGCACAAGAATGAGGCACTAGGCTCATTCATCTTTCATTGCAAATTCATGTCTCTTCCTTTGACCAACTTCCACAAGCAAAGTTAGCAGAGCTTCACACACTTGAGAAGCATCCCCAACAGAAGGGTCGTCGTTCAGGGATGAATAGACCATCCAAGCATGATCCAATTTCCGTTTGGGTCGCACTACAGTGGATCCAGGGACTTCTGCATCACGGCAAGTGACAAGCCCATCGCTCTTCTCACCATACCTGATTTGTAGTAGTTGGGCACACGCAGCCATTGCAGCACCAAGGGGCACTACCACTGGGAGTTTTGTTGATTCACCTGAAGATAGAGGTGCCATCAAGGGAAACTCTGCATGAGCAACATGAGACAGTGTGGCTAGAACAGCAGGAGTAATGCCTGCTTCTGTATGAAAAGATACAACAGGAAGTTCTCTTGGCAATTGGTGCTTTGTCAAGAATTCCTTCCTCCTCTCATAAGTTAAGTCTTCTAAAGCTTGCATGTCACCCTACAAGATTTGTGGGTTACACAAGAATTAGCACAAGTCAATTAAATGATTTCTTAGAGATGAAAAACAAATTTGACCATGAAAACATAATTTATTTAGAAAAATTTCAAGAACAGGCTTATTTTAGAAATCAATGAAACCCAACTCCTGCTCCACAAACATATCATGCCATGCCCCCAACTAATTTGACTCGGCTAGATCAGTTCTGCAAGCAATATCTGCAGTGGTATGCTATATCAAGTCCCAGATAAGATCAAAGTCCTTCAACTTTCCATTCAAATCTTGTTTGGCCCTCTCTTGGCACTGATACCAGTTTTGATTGGAATAGATAGCTGTTTAACACATCAAAAAAGTCTTTATCAACAAGTTCATATCGGGTTTCGCTCTCTCTCATCCCCATTTACTAGTGCAATAACTGTATCAACATGTCTTCATAAAAAATTATTCCAGTAGGTACAACTAGATTTCCAGAATTGGCTTACAGATATCATCCCATGACCCTTTCTCAACTCAATCTATCTAAACATGGCACCCTATTAAATAACATTGTTTGCTTTCTATCAATTATACTGCTTAACAACCCATTAATTAACATCTTGTTTACATTTTAATGGCCACGACAAAAATGGAATAAATACCAATGTATTGAGTATTGCAATCAAGGGCTTCTTGGCAACTTCATTTAAATAGGGAAAAAAAGTTATATATATATATAAAATGTGATTCTATGTGTCCATGCAAGTGCAATTGTAGTAATATTGAAAGGACAAAAAAGGGAAAACAACCAATACCTTGATCACTTTACAGATTATAATCTCCATAAGTCTCCGTATATTTACATAATCTCCAAGCTGTCCTTCACGTAAAATATCTGAAGCTATCGGACTACCACCATATGGACTCTGCGCTAATGCTAATCCGGCAACCTTGTCTTTCAAATCTGACCAATATAACGACAAAGCAGCCGCTGCATCTACTCCCCCTTTGCTATGTCCAAGAAGCATGACGCGTTTCTGTGAACCCCAGTAGATTTCCTCAATGTATTCTTTTAACTCTCTGGCATTTTTCCCAACTGAAGCCTGGTTAGCCATTGTACAAGCTCAGTATAGAATATGAACAGCGTGATCATGCAATGAAGAAACACCCAACAACTACCTCACTATGAATCTTGGCGATGTGACATGTCAGACCCATCTTAGAGAAACTCGTTTTTGTAGAAACAAAATAAAGCGGTCCATGATTGCTGAAAAGACCTGACAAGTAAACCAGCAAAGTTGCACAAACCATCGATTCCAGGAAAAACTAAACAAAGAAGGCATAACAGAAATTCAAGCCATCCCCTCTGAATCTGGCATTTAATTTGTCTGGTCAGATTTTATATAAAAATTCAATAATAACCTAACCTTTGAAAAGATATACCCATATGAGCTCGTCTAAGAGTGTGACATTGCATGATAATGAAAATAGGCCATTGTAGCTGCCTTTCTATCCAATTGAGTGGTTTTTGGCATCACAATTTGACAGGCCATTTGTTGAAGTCAAGTTCCTGACAAACGCTTGCCTAGATGACTAAGTTATTATTATCTTGCCACATAGTTTGAGATTTCATCCTGAAAAGCTTGCCTACAAATGACTAAGCAATCTGTCGTGTTACCGTATAGTTTGTGACATTCAGGGCCTTTTGACACCCCAACACTGGACAAAAGTTAGCATGCCTGTTCAAGACCTTGACCTTCAGTCTACCTAAAAGGTGACTGGAACTTGTATCAATATAATCTCCTATGTTTCGAGAGGAATTCTGGAAGAAAAGCAAAAACCTTTAACACAGTCTTGCTGATATGAGAAGTACACTTGCACGCAATCATGTCATTGAGATTAAGTCTAGAACACTTTAAACATGCTAGATGCTCAGTGAGGATCACCCAATGACTAAATATTTTATTCACAGAGCTACACACTAACATTCTATATAATAATTGCTACCTGGAACCAATAAATAAACCACCGAATTTGGCAACTTGTGTAGACCCTGCCTGATAAAAATGGAAAGAACCGAATCACTAACTGCATGGATATGTTAGACATATTAACGATCCAAAGAAGCTCTATAAGTACCTGATGTTATCAAGAATTTCCATAAACCTTCCAGTTCCATCTTCAACTGGAGGCATACCTGAAGCACGTTGCAGCCACCCTATATCATCAGCAGATCCACGAACAGTCCTCCGTGCACGCTCAATAAGCCTGAAAGCAATCATCATGTTATTCAAAAGGACAGATAAAAACCTAATCATATGTTAAACCCATCTTCACACAACGTCAAGAGCATATAAAACAGATTGAGAACTTCAAATACTGTTCCCACATCTCGGAAAATATGAGAAGAAATGTAGAAAATGTTGCTTCGCTTTTTTCTAGTTGTTGACACGTAGGTACAAGTCAGAACTCTATGTTAATAAATGAGATAAACAATTTTCTGTCAGCTAGCAAACACAAAAAACCAGTGTCATTTAGGAACCTGCAAATGATAGCAAAGCATACTATCAAGAAACCAAAAATATCTCATTATCAACAAGAAACTTGTGCTTTTAATTGTAGCATGTGCCCCAACTCTATCCCACAGTGATGAAACAAAATTTATCACGTCCACTTTGAGTATGCATACGTGTTAAGAATGGCTAATAAATACTGTATTACCTCATCTATTTCTATGTATTTACTTTCTAGAATTACCCTTCTATGAATGCTTTTCAAAAGCAATCTTTAATGAACTGCAGAAAAGGAATATAAAAGAACTGACACATTCACTTTATATATATATATATATTGAAGGCCGACCAAGAAGAAATGATAATCATTTTTTGTGAGACAGAGGGAGTGACACACACTGATCGACTAGCTCACCATGCACCACATTAACATCCCATACATTTCGTAAACCATTTATCATGTAAGTTGCTTTATCTGGCCAAAATTATAATGTAAAAAAAAAAACACCCAATACCCTTGAAACATTGAAAGTCCACTTTGGTCACTATTATTTGATTGTACAAGTGCACCAGTATCTTGAGATGGTCCTTCAGAAGAGGTTCTTGCCCCTCCAGCCTGGATAGGAGGGGTATCAGTGGCAGGATGACTTCCACTTGAAGATGGGCAATCACTATCCAGAGAATCCCCATTTTGTGTGGAAGAAAACGTGGCCAACTCCTGCGCATGTGTAACAGAATCCCCAGAAGAAGGATATTCCACTGTGAAACATCAAAATAACTCTATTTAGCAACAAATCATGGCGCATTGCATGATGCAATGGTAAAAGTCTTAAGCTCACAAGCTTAAGGAAGCATGTTTGAATTTTCAGAACAGCCACTTCATGGAAAAATGCAAAAGAGTAAGGTCTCAGTATTTTCCCTCCCCAGACCCACTTTGGTGGGACCATAATTGAGAAATGGCCTCTTAATGGAGATAAGGTCTGAAAATTACATGCATAAACGGCAAAGAGCAGCAGTGCAAAGAAGCACTTTCTTAGAAAGGACATTAGGTGGTAATTCCAAAATCACACCCACAGTGATAAAAAAAAATGCAGATAATACTGACTTTTCCCCCTCGACCAAGTCTAATTTGTAAAATCATGCCATTTTCCCTAAGATGAGAAACATGAAATATAGAGAATCAGGCAAGTGTAACAACTAGAATCTCATTTCAAAGAAAAAAATGGCATTTTACCTTAATAAGTGAGACGCCTACGTAAGATATATAATTTTCCTTAAGTAAATAATGATACAAGAGGTACAGATTCCAAAGGCTTCAATAAATTGGCAATTGTGAACTCTTCTTCACTAATTTTACATTGCTAAAAAAAGTCAGTAATTCCCAACCAAGAAACATAATCGAAAACAATAACCAGTTCAAAGTAAGTAAGTAAAACAAAACGAGTAACAACATTTCGAGAGCAACAATACATGCATTAGATTGTGCATTGTTCATACACAAGTAACAGCATACTTCCCATATATAGAGAAACAATCTTCATCCTCACAACGCTCGCAAGTGCCAAATCTTACAACAGTGTGATGGGACCCATATAATAAAAACTCACACCACATATGTACACATTCATATTCATTCAGAATCAAGACACATGCGGGACTGTTTCTAACATTTATCCGAAATAACTATCTAATAAAAAGCCTTATTTATCGACAAATTATATACTAATAATAGAATCTTCATTTATCATATTCTTAATTCTTAATCAATTAAATGATAATGAGCGTAATTAAAACAAACAAGTAAAATAATTAAAAAAACATACCAGAATAATCAGAGAAACAGCGGGTAAACAATGAAGTAGATTGAGCTAGATAAAAAGCAGCTTCATTTAAAGATGGCACTGATGTAAATAACTGCGGAATTAGCCCGCCATTCTGTGACTGCAAGAAAGAAAACACACACACACACACACACACACACATATACACAAATTTAATAAAATACTCCACGTGATTTTTTAAAAAACAGAACAAAAAACAAAACAAAAAATACCAAGAAAGGCGTGGATGATTCTTCACGACTTCTACTAGGGTCTCCAGCTTCCTCCATCTAGATCTTTCAAAATTTAGCGTAAGTGACAGAAATAATTAGAGACAGAACGAAAAAATGAAAGCGGTGATTAAAATTGTGAAATTAGAAAGTTTGGTTGATTAATTAATTACTCACCAGGAGAATTTATTATAATTGAATTGAAGAAGTAATTTGGGATTGGAAGGAAGGTTCTGGTGTTTGTTTGATTTCTTCAAAGAAACGCAGAGAATCCGAAATCTAACGGAAAAGTAGAAGTGGGTGATAATATTGTAAATAGTGTTTGGTCGCGCCAGACCTATATTTATAGATCTGGGCCTGGATTAATTAAGAACCTTACTTGCTGTTTGCGCCATCGAGTAACTTTTGAATTATGAGAATGACAGTACTGTGGGTCTGGGCCCAAGGATGGCCCAACGTTGAAAGCAAAAAAATACGGTAGTGCTATAGGTTTTTTTTTTTTTTTTTTGGGCTTTTCTAGCGGTCAAAATATACATGACCGTACACGATCAAGAAGAAAACATTAATCACCAAGAAGACTACCTTGACAACAAAACAACAAACATTGCAAACTTTTTGAGTTACTCGTTAAACTTCCTTGCACAAAACACAACCGCTGACGTCTTTAGGGAAAAAAAAAAAAGGATTGGAAAAAGTCCTTAAAAAACCATTACAATTTTTTTATCTGCGATTACATGGACCAAAATTACCTAGCTACAGGAACTATCCATAATCTTCAGTATTATTCAGTCTTGGTATGAGGATGAAGATTGTTAACCCCTTTATTCAATCCAGTCTTGCTATAATGATGGTCTTGATTCTTCGTTAATCTGCTTTGCCTTATTGATCCACTCACTGTATATATCAATTGGCTCGGTCAATATTGTAGTAAGTCTAGGGTTACGAAGCCAGCTTGAAATATGGAGCATGCAATTTCGCAGATGTTCAGCTTCTTGTTGAAGTAGCATTCAAAAATTGCTTCATTTTGGCAGAATGGACAAAGAAAGACTGTGGCGAGCTTTGGCAATGGCATCTTGACGGGGACGGTTTAATCTTAACTTTCTACTTCCCTATGTGAATACAAGTGCAGAATTCTCTTCATGGATTAGAAATATCAACAAGTAAATCACGTAAGAAGATTAGTGAGCGAGCGAGAGTAGTTTTTTATTCAAGGCTGACAAGTAACTTGATAGCTTTGTTAGGTGCAACTTATATATTGTGTGCATTGCTACCGACTTTGCCATGCTATAATGCGAATCCTGATACAGGTCAGAATAGAATTGAGAATTTTTGAACAGGCCTCGGCTTGTTGGGCCTTGAATTAGCATTAACATCGACAAAACAACTAGAAGGGGTTGAAGAATCAACAGTGATTTTTCACTATTCATCCTCACAACTCACTTGGATGGTGGCATTTTTTTTATAAAAAAAATATATATATATATATATATATATATATATATATATTTAGGGGTTTATATTCGAATTTTACGTCTTGATTCATTTTAGCTTCTGAAATTTTAGAATGAAATCTTGGTCCCCTAGGCTGACGCTCAAGCACGCAGCTTGTATTGGGCCTGTGGAAGCAGGCACACATGCTTACACTGGGGCTGAAGAAGCCTGGGGCAAAGGCTTTTTTTTTTTTTTTTTTTGGTTTTTTCTTTTGTTTTTTCCACCAATTTATGTTTTCTTAAGTATTAAATAACTGAGTGTGAAAATTATGAAACACTAATTATTGTTTTTTCACACAAGCTGAAGATTATAAAATATGTACGATGTATTTTTAGGTTTTAGAATTAATATATATATCGGATTATATTATTCTTATTGTTTAAAATTAATCTCTTCAATTTATTGTTTTTATAAAAATTATCATCAAATTAATTTTTTATATAATTTTACTTATTAATAAAAATTATTTATTTTCCCTATGTTTGGATTTTTGAATAATTTTTTTCAGTTGTTTTTATTTTCTTATTCTTTATATAATCAAATTTTAAAAATAGATTTCACGTGTTTTATTTACTTATTCTTTATATAATCAAATGTTATCGAAATAAATTTTATAATATTTTTTATTGCATTCTATTAACTTCAATATATTCTTTACAACTTAAATTTTTTAAAAATATTTTTAGTTTATGCTACACACTCTCATCTAGTGAGTATAGTCATGATACATTAAAAAAAAATGTTAGAGTCATTGATTTTATTAGAAATTAACTATGTATCTACAACCATAACACCACCTATTGGCTATTGTTTTTAATATTTTAAAATTAATTTATTTCAAATAAAATAATTAAGATAATATTTTATAAGAACCACTTGATAATTCAAATATATTTTTTATACCAATATTATTCATTCTTGTGTGTGTGTGTGTGTCCGTGTGTCAAATGTACATATTTTCAAAAAAAAAAAAAATTCTTTTCATCAATAACAAACAAAGGAAAAAAAATCATTTGTTAATTTTTATATATTTTTTATATTAATTATTGCTTTATTTCTTTGATGCAAAGTTATAAAAAAAATATTAAGATGTTTTTAAAAAAAATTATATTAAATTTTATATTTAGATAATTATGGATTTTTATTTAAGAATAAATGCATAAAAAAAGAATTGATCGTATTTTTTTTAACTAAAAATTTTATTGAAGACATAAAAAAAATTAGAAAAAAAATTTTGATTAAAAGTTATAAAATTAAATGAAATTTTATATTTTATTTTTAATTTAACATATTTCAGTTGATTGAAAACACAATGCATGTTATTAAACTTAAATAAATATATTTAATCAAATCCGTAACATAGTATAGGAAGCCGAATTGTTACAAACTAATTGACCTGGAGTCCTTCCTTCCCATCAAAATGCTTTCACCTAATTTTGGGATCAATTTTTTTGCACCAAGAGTCCTAGCTAGACTGAGTCTGAGGTTGGATATTAAGTAGCATCAAGAAAAAAAAAAAAAACAAAAAAACAAATATTATCTTGTAACGTTTCCCTTGAATATCAATTAATTTTTTTTTTATCAATTATGATTGTGCAACCCAAATTATAGTTTATTTTTATTTATTAAACTAATTACATTGGCCTTGTTGTAATTAATCATTAGCTTTAATAGTATTGACAAATTTAGATACCACAAGTCTACAAGATAATTGAGAACTGTTATTTTCACTAAAAGACGATAAGAATAGATTACAATAAAACTGAAAGCAAAAAGAAAAAAAATACGAGTTTAATTAAAGATCCCAACTAACAATTTAAACAAAATAATCTAATTTATTTGTTAAAGGAATCCTTTTGATCAAAGAATACGTTATATATAAAAAAGTAAGAATAAAATAGGACACACACATATCAAATAATATTATTACTACATAGAGAGCTATTAATTTAATTATCTTCGACTGACCTTCAGTTTGGCCTTATGATTGTAGGATTTCAAGAAAATCAAACTCAAGTCGAAGGCAATCAACACAAAGTATAAGGTATTATAATGAATAGCAGATAGAAAGAAAGTTAAATATTAAAACTTCAGTCTTATAGAAATTTCTCAAATTTCATTTATTTCAAATATAGATAATGTGTCTAGCTGAAAACACTTTCTTGTAAAAATTAAAATCCAGATGCATTTGTAGCTGTAGAATTTGATCATAAGCTACGAAGAATGTCTCAAAAGCAATGCCCGTTCCCAATGCTAAGGCAAGTCCCGATCCGCCTATTGTTTCTTTTACTATTCTTTCACGTATTCATGTGTGGGGACTTTTGAGAAGAGGTCAAAAACCGATCAAAGTAGTAAGAACGAGTGTTATGATAGAATTCATGCAACTAACAAGAAGCCTGCTAGTTAAGTGTGAGTGAAGTTGCAAGAGGGTGAATGGTCAAAATTGGAGTCTTGGGATCTGTGTGGTATAACATAGGAGAGCTTTGAGAAAAAGCTTTGTTTAGCAAAAGATAGTCAAAAGTTGGAAACTCTTTACCATAATCATGACAAAAAGTTAGTATTTATAAAAGAATGAAAATAATCCTTAACGACTAGAATCGTCATACATCATCCTAATTTAGACAATAAGATTTGAGCTAAATAAGAAAAAGTAGATTAAAAAAATCATTCCTTTTGAAGTTAAATTGTTTAAACTTGTTAACGAAAGTTAAAAAAGTAACAATTTAATTTTTGTTTGGCAAAATTTGCTTAGAGTATACTAACTAATTCAATCTTCTTAATGGATTTTAACAACAAAACATAAATATCACTTTATTAGAATACTTATGTTCATTAATTTCATGTTGAACGAAACTCATTATTAATCTAGTTTATTTGTTATAGAACTCAAACTCATACCAAATATATATATATATATATATATATATATCATGAATTAATATTTAACACAGTACTTGGTTAATTTTTTGTATACGCTTCCATAACACAGATTATGGTATAATTATTGACGTTAGTATAGTCCATTAGACAATGAGATATAGGAATTCCTTGATTCTTTTCGGCTATATCATCACTACAAGTTCAGTGACACCTCTATAACAGACTAGAAAGTAAAACATTTCACGGCCAACATCATTCCACAGGCCCAGCTGAATAGCACGGTGGAGGTCACCATCGGTCTCATTGGAAGAAACAGAGAGAATGAAAGAACAGTGCCCTCTCAACAACTGACGGGTTAGCTATTTCGAGGGGCATTTGCTTGATTGTTGGAGAGCCCGATTAGTTGTAAGTTTAGCGTACTTGTCTAGTATCTCCTTGAGCGTGACTCTCTATCTTGTCCTCACGGTAGTGATCACGAGCATTGATTAATGATCTGTGACTAAATCTTCGATGCAGAAGTCAATACATACAATACAACAGTACATGATCAGAAAGGAAACCTTGATTGAGAACAAGACTAGAAAGATCTCAAACATTTGATTACTTGTTAAACTTCCTTACATAAACCTATCGCTGAGTTCTTTCAAAAAAAAATACTAATTAATGTATCTGCAATTGCATACGGAATGGTAAAACTTCCTTCTTTCTGAATATTCAGTCTTGATATAACAATTAAGATCACATTCGGTCTTGGTATAATGATCAAGGATGTTGACCTATTTATTCAATCCAGTCTTGCTATAAAGATGGTTATGTACGATTCTTGCTGAGCAGCTCGCGCTCATCCATCCACTCACTGTATATGTCAATTGGCTCGGTCAATATTGAAGTGAGTCTAGTTACGAAGCAAGTTTGACACATGGAGCATGTGATTTCACCAACTTTCAACTTCTTGTTGAAGTAGCACCCAACACTGGCGTCATGAAGGCAGAACGCACAACGAAAGACCGTAGCAAGCTTTGACACTGGCTTCTTTGCAAGAAGGTTTAATCTTGACTTTCTCCTACCCATTGTGCAAACAAGTACAAAACTCTCTTCTTGGATTAGAAATATCAGAAATTAAATCACGTGAGGATCAAAACAAAGAAGATAATTGAATGGGTGAGAGTAGTTTTTGGATTCATCATATAGTTCAATGTAGGCTGAAGAAATCAATGCTGGTGCACCAAGCTTTGTCTCAAGTTCGATATCATGTTCCGTGTAATAGTTGGGAAATTGTTGTAGTTTCTTTCTTCTATTTCCAATTCTTTTGAATTTGATTGTAAGAAAGTTAGCTGATTAAGGCTGACAAATATTTGGATGGCTATTACTTAAATTTTAGAGGAAACGACAGTCTTTACTTATATAATGGTATCAATATTTAAAGTTTTTTTATATTTAAAATAAATCAATTATGTAATTATATTTAAATTGAGTTCTCAATATATCGTGGTGATTTTTTTTTTTTTATCAAATCACCAAAAAAAATCATATAACTTATACATGATTAATTTTGTTTTAAAAATTTCAACTGAAGGGCTTTTTGGTTTTTTTTTTTTTTTTTTTTTTGGGGGGGGGGGGTGTTTTTGTTATGAGCAAGTCATATGATTTTTTCCTAATGGTTTACCAAGAAAAAAATTCACCAAAAAAACATATTAGAAACTCGCTTAAAATATATAGACATAATTAACTCATTTTAAAATTTAAAAACAGTTTGGATACTAGCTAAACTCATTATATAAAATAAAACTGAATTATTACCCTCTTAATTTTATATTGTTTGCCCAATTGTAATGCGAAACCTGATACAACGGACTACATAGATGGCGGTGGTCTCTTCACTCCAGCTTCCATCTTTAAAAAAAAAAAAAAAAAGCAATGATTTATCAGTTACCAATTTTTTTAATTTAAAATTAAAACAATTGAATATGCCTATGCATCCCAAAAATGTTTCAAATTAAATACAAATGGTTTATGTTTGTTAATATTTTTGATAAATTGTTTATATAATGATCTTTGCTGACTGCTAATCAAACAAAATAATGTTGACCCAAAAAAATAAAATAATGTGATTTATTTATTAAACCAATATCTCTTGACTAATAAATGTACGTAGTCTCTGAATTTTTATGATTTTATTATTTAGTTTCTTTTTTTAATTTTACAACATTATAAGTTAGTCCATCGACTAAAGTTAATTGTTAATTCTTTTTAAAGGTTTCGCACTCTTCTTTTTAAATATGATTTTATTTGTTTATTTTTTTATTTTAATTTTAATTTTTATGTAGTAGATTAGGTTGGAGTTTTTAAAGAAAGAAAGGACATTTTAGAAAAGGAAAAAAACAAAGTAAATTGGTACGGAGAAGAAAGAGAATCGCTAAGTTAGAACCAAATATAAAAACACAAGATTTCAATATTGGATTTTCTAAACTAAAGGGATTGAGTAATTTTTTGCTAAAAACACAGAGATTCAATAATAGTTTACTCTAATAAATTTGATCTTCTCGTCTTTCATAAAAAAAATATAATAATAATAAAAATAAAATTTACTTAATTGATTGCACCAGGATTATTGGATTGCAATTTGCGGTGTTACTCCATCCAATGGCAGAGCCATTCTATTAAGGCAAACGCAAATTGTAAACATGATCACCTTTCAATACATTCAAGGAAAAGGAAGAAAGTGCAGTCACGAAGCAAGAATAGATCCCTTACAATATTGAAATTGCAAGTATGAAGGCGTATTCTTGATGTATGGCGTATGGAAGGCTGTACAGGTCGAGGTTTGGATTTAAGACATGCCCGCAAAAAGTAAAAAAGTGAGAGAGAGAGAGGGACCAATATTGAAATGGGAAATTAGTCCAACATTATCCACTTTAGAAAAGATCTCCATCAGCATTGATATTTCCAAGTACAGATTGTTATGATAGATTGCAATAGAAAGACAGTGAAAAAGTTCAGTCCTATAGGAAATTTTCAGATTTCATTTCCTTTGAGTTACTACTTCAGAAACAGCATAGCAGGTCTAGCTTCATTATGGAAAATAAAAACCAAATGCATAAACGTAGCTGCAGGATTTAATTATAAGCTACGAAGAAGGATGCCTTCAAAAGTAATGCCTGGTCCAAAAGCTAAGGCAAGTCCCCATTCTTCCCCTCCATCTCTCTTCAACTCTTCCCTCATGTATTCCAAAACATAGACTATGGTATTACTGCTGACATTCCCGTAGTCCATTAGAGCCCTCCTGCTGCATCCTAGCTTCTCTGTTTTTAACTTGAGATTGTTCTCTAGCCGGTTAAGTATTGCTGGGCCACCAGGATGGACTGCCCAGAACAAATCATTGAACTCAGTTAGACCAGCCTTTGACATAAGCTTCTTGCAAAATTCCTCGATGTTATCTTCAATCTTCTGAGGAAGATCCCTCCCAAGCTTGAAGTTTATGCCCTCTTCAGAAAGGCGTCCGTCGATCACATTCTGTGTACCTGGCAAGAATTGTTGAACTGCATAATTCAGCTCTATGAAAGGAAACTCTTTACCTATTACAGGGTTGGCTCCGATAATCATAGCTGCAGCTCCATCGCCAAAGAGTGCAGCCCCCACAAGGTCATAAGGGCGTGCCTTGTTCGGAGGGCGAAAACCAAGAATCGTAGTCTCAGAAGTAGTTAACAAAACACGGCTTCCCGGATTGTTTTCGGCTATGTCCTTGGCAACTCTGAGTCCAGCGACACCTCCATAACAGCCTAGGAAGTAAAGCATCACACGGCCAATGTCATTCCTTAGTCCAAGCTGACTAGCAAGGTAGAGGTCGCCACCTGGTAAGCGTATCTCGCTGGAAGATACATAGACAATATGGGTGATATCTTTTACCGACCCACCCCATTCATTGATGCAAGAAATGCTTGCTTTCAGTGCCATCTCAACAACTGCCGGGTTTGCTATTTCGAGTCTTTCCTTGATTGTTGGAGAGCCCTCTGTTGCAAGCTCCGGGTATTTTTCTAGTATTTCCTTGGACATGACTGTGTATCTTGTCTTCACAGTAGTGGTTTTACCTAGTAAAAGAGAATGAAATTCAAAGTTAGCTAAAGCTGCCCTAAAATGAAATTAACGAGCATTAAAAGGAGCAATTTCACATACAAAGTCGCTCCAGTTTCTCCTTAATCGAAGCATCATCGCATTTGGTGTCACGCATATAGCCCTCCACCAAACATTCCTGAGGAATAACTTGGCTGGGGAAGGCCTTCCCTAGTGCCAGTATTGTTGCCTTGCCTGGAGTGGGTGCACGCCTAGAGAGAGTAGGATATTGCTTTGAAGCACCATGGCTATCAGCTGTAGACATCTTAAGAGGTTTAGGAAGAATATAGCTTGGTACTTGGAGAAGTTAATGGAGGAAGTATCACAAAGCTGGGGCATATAAATGAGAGCCAACCTTGTTCTAGGAGAAAGGTTGGTGTAAAGGAAGAGAAGCATGAAAAATTAAAAATGTCGACTCTAATAAAAATTTGGTAATTTTTCTGGTTCTTGTGGTTGGACGTATGAAGGCTTTTTTCTCTACCCTTTTCTTTAAGGGTTTCCTGAACCAATTCCAACTTACCTTCTTTTTCTGCCAAAAATAGAAAAAAATAATTTGGCAAAGCTCGTGGACTCATAAAATTGCAGGCTCACACCAGGCAACAGCTAGCATTTATTTACATTTTTTTAGTGCCTTGAGGACATGACACTAGCACTGCTACCAATCCTGGCAATTATTTTCACAGTAACAAATAGGTTGCTCAGCGTGAAACTAATAGAACCCAACCACTGCAGTTGCCAGCTGCTTATCTCCAGGAACCAAGATAGAATATAAGAGAATATAAGAGAACATAACTACTTATCGTCAACTATTATGGGAGAATTCCTACATTAGCAACATCAATTGAGTTTAAAATGCTTTTTCTTTTCTTTTTTTTTTCTTTTTTTCTAGCATGGTAGATGAGATGTGCAGAAGGTATGAATTAGAAAGGGAACCCACTAGTGAATAATAAGATTTTATTCCTTTCCATCTGACAATAGCAGTATCATGGGTGTAAACAGTGTTCCATATCCTGCATAACATGATAAGCGGTATAAGTATTCAAGAGGGGAGACCGCAGTCTAACAAATTTCACTTATTATAATCCTCGTCAGCAAATGAAAAAGTAACATGGTTTTGGAAATGTTTCTTGAAGTTCCACGAACTGTTTTGCCAAATTCTTGAGCAGATTAGAACCACAACTTGAGAAGCAATTAGTTTTGGACTAGATAAAGGATACATTGATGCAGAGATCTTTGTGATTAGGCTCATATAATTTTACACCAGCCAACGCCAGAAATTCACAAGGATCACTTCCACACTACATCAGCATTCAGGACAGTCCTGCGCAATCCAATAAATGAGTTAGTTTTCACTGCATCGAGCTTCATTTGAGAAAAAGAAAGCGGGCATATAACAAAGTTCAGACAGAATGGAACAACTCCAGGTTCAGCTGAAATACTTTGGGTTCCACTGGCTGAGCAGTGCACTCATGCTGGAGTTCCCACCATCAAACAAAATACTTCAAAAGTTCAGTTCTCTAGAAATTATTCACCTGGTGAAACTTGTTGAAACTTTGTGCAAGATCGCAGCACTACTGTTCAATTACTCAACACAACAATGGCTTGATTATATTAGACCTGAAGCGAGAAAGATATGGATAGTCAAAGTGTGTGTCCCGTTGAAATGTTCATATAGGCTGCTAATCCGAAAAATAAATTGAACCACCTCAAAGTAGACTTCAGAAAGGTTGAGCTATCTATTACTTGAACAGTGCCATCACACCCTGAGATTGCTGCCAGATCTGATTTCAGATATCTGTCAGCTGCCTCTCATTTGGCATCCTCTTAGATACAAATTTCGCTTCCTCTGATCTTCCCCCAGCCTCTAAGGCAGTTCTCAGACCTTCTAGGCAGTTCAACTGCTGATGACTGCCTTTCTCCACTAACTTGTAGTACAACCCAAATGCTTCTAAAGATCTTTTCATTTTACATAGACCTTCAATAACTGCGTTACATGCATCAATATCCACATTGTGACCCTTCTCCAAACAAAATGACAACATCTTGTGTGCATCTAGTAACTTACCATTCTGGTAAATGAAACCAATCAATTCTTCCATGTCAACCACATATCCATTATCATAAAGTAATTCAACAATCTGGAATGCTTTAATTCGCAGTCCACTGTCAAAGAGTAATCTTATGGTATGTGTTGAGAGACTCATATTTTGTCTAATTTTTCTGTCTATCATCAATACAACAAAGCTAGCTGATTCACGGGCAAAATCATTTTTCACAAGTCCTGAAAGTATAGAATGGAAAACAGAAGTTCTAGGAAGATAGGAACTTTTTAGCATCCTCTCCAGAGTCTTGTAGGCCAGAATAGGTTCATCTTTTTGCAAGAAACCGTTAATCAAAAGCTCGTACGTCTCAAAATCAGGCACATAATCTCTTCTCAACATAAAGAGCAGGAGCTCATACCCAGCCTCAAAAGTACCTTCCTTGCATTGCCCAATGATCAAGGTTTTGTAAGAAGGAGGATCTTGTGTTCCCTTTTTTATTAGCTGCCTGAACACTCTTTCAGCCTTGCGAGTCTTTCCATTTTTACATAAAAACTCAAACATTGGGTTGTAAGCTGCAACAAGAGGAGTACACCCATCATCACGTAACAAAATCTCCTCGTCAAATAGTTCATCGAACAATTGCTCTGCTCTCTCAAAATCCCCCCTATGACACAAACTCCTGATCAGAACACTATATGTAGCTGAATCTGGTTGGATTTTTAACTCCTTCATCATCTTAAACATATTCAAAGCCTCATCCAAATTCCCTGCATCACACTGTGCATTCATCAATGTGTTATATGTACAAGTATCTGGAACAAACCCTCTAACCCCTACAGCTTCCCCCAAAATCTCTTTGATCTTATCAAACTTCTGCACTTCGCAAAGACCCTTTATAAGTGTGTTATAGGTAATATCATTCGGTTTTAACCCTCTACTAACCATCTCTTCAAAAACAACCAGAGCCTCATCAATCTCTCGCTTCATACAATAACCTCTAACCAGAGTAGTATAAGTAACAACATCAGGACTCAAATCCTTTATTTTCTTAACCATCCCTTTAACCAAATTATGCGCAATCCTAACCTTCCCAGCCCTACACAACCCATCAACAAGCGAATTGTAAGTAACCACATCAGGATCACAATTAAACCTCGACATTTCCTTAAAAAACCTAAACCCTTCATCAACCATCGAATTCTTACAAAACCCTCTAATCAAAATATTAAAAGTATACGTGTCTGGTGTAACCCCGTAAGTCCCACGCATTTCATCAAACACACTATGTGCCATATTGGTCCTTCCTCTTTTAAGCAAAATTAACAAAAGACTATTAAATGTAACAACAGATGGTGACACACCGGTTGACTTCATCAAACTAAAAAGCTTTATAGCTTCATTGAACAACCCAGCATTACCATAATTCCTTAACAAACTATTAAAGAATTTATCTTCAATCTTAACACTCCCATTAGACCTTCTCGCAATAGAAAACAAGAAATTACGAGCAGTATTGAGATTTCCATTACGACCCAAGATTTCTAGCATCATAAAATACGATCGGCTATCATGAGTGAACCCATTTCTTGAAGCCCAGTTGAAAAATTCAAAAGCTTTTGAAGGGGAAGCAATAAAGCGAAGAACTTGAAAGAAAGTGGTTTTAGAAACTGAATGGAAAAGATAAGAAAGAGAAGATTCGAGTTCAGTTGACCAGGGTTTTGAGTTAATGAGTCTTGCCATTGATTTTGCTGTCTTGGATTTGTTTGAGGATTTTCTTGGCTTCTTAACATTATCAGCTTCCAGTTCTTCTCCATTGGAGGATGAGTAGTACCTGGAATAGTGTAAAAAGACAGATTCTTTTTTTAGTTAAGATTGAGAAAACATTAAACAAAAAAAGACGAGAATGTGGAACTTTTGAGTTACCTGAGAGCTAACTGAAGATGTACTTGTTCTTGAGAGATGAAGTTCCAGAATTGTCTTGCAAAGAGTGGCCGTGTCCGAGAATTGGCAATTGGGGTCATGGGGAATTATTCGTTTGTTGTTTGTTATGTACAAGGTGGTGATTTATAAATGGTGGAAGCAGGGAAGTCATTCCTTCGGCCTCTTTTTTTTTGGAAAAAAAATCTACTTTAATTCTAGATTTTGAAAATTCAATAGGGGCTAGTGGTAAGATCCAATCAATTCAATACAATCGTCTGTGAGAAGGTTTATGTCACGCAGGTGCTTGAAAAAAAAATGAAGATACCGCCTTTTCTTTTCCATCCTCACAAATAAAACTATAACTCTCGTAGATAATGATTTTTTTTTTTTTATGTTGCCGTTTAATTGATTCCAATTTAATCATAATGAATTAGTATTCAAAAACCATGACTAACATAGAAAAACTTATTTGATGGATTTATGGTTTGATAATTTTATATCTATAAGTTATTATTTGATAATCGCGAATAGAGTCTTGGAATGAGAATGAAAGTTTTATTTTCACGTCAGTAATTTGGTTGTTTAAAAGAAATGAAGTGGGAATGGGAATGAAGAATGAGAATGAAAATGAAAATTCAAACACAACTTCATTCCCACATAAAATGTGGGTATAAAAACAAAGAATGTGAATATTTTTTTTCAAAATAATAATATATTTTATTTATTTATTATCTATTAACTATTTTTACAACAACCATCATTACCATCACAATCACCACAACTATCACCATCAAAATCATCACAACCACCACCATCATCACCATAACAATCACCACCATCACAACCATTATCACCACTCGCCGCAATCATTACCGTTGTCACCACCATTGTCATAACCACAATCACCACCATCACATTTATTATTTTTACAACCATTATAGTTTACTAAAATTATTTTTTTAATCATTATTTTTATTTATATAAACAATCGGATATTAAAAAATTTAAATTGAATTTCGATTCGTCATTAGTATTCCAAATACAAGTATGAAAATAGAAATATCATTCCGATTCATGTATTCCCATTCTCATCACTCTATTCTTGATTACCAAACAGACACTTAAATATATTAAAAATGCTACAAGAACAATAAAAGCTCATTTTGATTACAAATTTGGTAAAAATTCAGATATCATCATGTCATATTCTATTAAACACTAAAAGATCTCGGAAGTTGTGAACTTCTCGACCATTTTACTCTTCTTTTGAATAGTGATTTCTTTTTCTTCTTTTCTTCTTCCTCTTTCTATTTTTTTTTTATTTTATTAGCCAAGGCCCTCTTTTGTTTTCTTTTTCTTTTTTTCCTTCTACTTTCTATAGCCAAGGCTCTCTTTTGGCTTTTAGTAATTCTTTTTCCATAATGGCATTTTCGTGATTTTCTTATAGTTCTTTCATTCATTTTCAAATTTTACACTTCATTTTTTTTTATCCTTTATGTCTTCAAAACATATTTTTAAATACTCATATTTTTAAAAATATTTTAAAATCTCATGTTTTTAATTTAGTCTATTTTTACCTCATTTTTTTCCAAAATATACTTTTTGTTCCTCGTACTTTAAAAAAAAAAATTTTACCTCTTATGTTTTTAAATTTTAGAACAAACACATGTATCGAATTAAAATTTTTTTTTCTTTTTGGCCAAGGCCCTCTTTTGTTTTTCCTTTTTTTTTTCTTCGCTTTATGTAGCCAAGGCCCTCTTTTGGCTTTTAATAAACTTTTTTTTTTCTACAATGGTATTATCGTGATTTCCTTATAGTTTTTTCTTTCAATCATTTTCAAATTTTACACTTCATTTTTTTTTCCTTTATGTTTTCAAAATATATTTTTAAATATTCATATTTTCAGAAATATTTTTTAAATCTCATGTTTTTAATTTAGCCTATTTTTACTTCACTTTTTTTTTCAAAATATACTTTTTGTTCCTCATATTTAAAAAAAAATGTATTTGGCCTCTTATGTTTTTAAATTTTAGAACATAAACATATATCGAATTAAAAAAAAATGTTTTTTTTAGCCAAGGCCCTCTTTTTTTTTCCTCTTTTTTTTCCTACAATAGTATTTTCGTGATTTCCTTATAGTTTTTTCTTTCATTCATTTTCAAATTTTACACTTCATTTTTTTTTGCTCTTTATGTTTTTAAAATATTTTTTTAAATCCTCATATTTTTAAAATCTCATGTTTTTTATTTAGTCTATTTTTACCTCACTTTTTTTTCAAAATATACTTTTTGTTCCTCGTATTTTTAAAAAATATTTTTGGCCTCTTATGTTTTTAAATTTTAGAATAAACACATATATCCAATTATATTTTTTTATTGATTAAAATTAATCTCTTAAATTTGTCGTTTGCTATAAAAAATTTCATCAAATTAATTTTTTTATGAACTTTTATTTGTTGATAAATATGATTTATTTTTTTAGCTTTATCGAAAACTAATTATGTATCTCGCATACATAATATCATTAGTCCCTTCGGTTTAAAAACTATTTTTTCATCCTTTTTTCTATTTCAATTTTTCTATTTTTTCTTTTAAAAAATAGAGAAAGACTAAAAAATATAGGAAAAAAAAGACTTTTTAAAAATAAAAAATAAATTATTTATGGCCAACACTAATAAAAATTTAATTCATTCATTTTTCAAAGTGAGATGAACTAATTTATTATTTAATTTTCAACTTAAGAATCTCTTTCATCATAAATTAAGAAGTAAGATTTATGAGAATCAATTTTTTATAGATTTCAAATTATTGATTTTAATATATTCCATTTAACTTAGATGGTTTTTTTTTAAAAAAATATATATTATATACTCTGAATTTACTAAGTATGATATATATATATATATATATATATATATAGAGAGAGAGAGAGAGAGAGAGAGAGAGAGAGAGAGAGAGAGAGAGAGTTTTATTGAAAATTAATTATGCATATGCGTACATAACATCATTAGTTTTTTTTATTCAAAAAATAATTTTTTTTCCTTTTTGATATATCAATGGTTCTATTTTTTGTTTTAGTAAATAGAGGAAGAATAAAAAATATATGAAGAAATATATATATATATATAATTAGTTTTGTTATAAATTAATTATGTATTTGCACACATAACCTCAATTATTTATTTTTTATTCTTTTTTATGTTCTAAAATCAATTTATATTAGTAATGAAAAAATAAAATTTTTATCCATATTACACCATATAAATTATTAATCTTACATATATGATTATCTGATCACATCGTAGCATGGGTATCCAACTCGTTCCTTTCTTGTTTGGGTTACCTGGCTGGATTCTCCTTGATGCTGCTTTTTGGAGGAGACTTCGTCGGCTATAGTTTAACATCTGCAGTCTTTCTTTCGGGCTTGGTGGCTGGAATCTTGAGCCTTGATAAATGAAAAGTCATCATGGGTTGTTTTGTTATACCTTTCTGTTTTGGTTTGTACTGGTGTTTTACCTGCTTATTGCTATGGGATCTGATTTAAAACTACATATATTTATTTAGATTTTGTGTTATTTTTATTGTATATATTACGATATTTTTTCATCATATTATTTTAATTTAATTTATATTTTATACGGATGAATAAATAATTTAATGCATGTCTTTTGTTTTAAGTTTAAAATTATTTTTATAATCAAGATACTAAAATTATCATTTATTGATGTTGCAAAGAAATTTTTTTTTGATATTTTATTTAACATAAGTTTTATTTTTTTCAATATACATATGCACGTACTCAATTTGTTTGTTTGATATTTAGTAATATCGTTTTAGTTCCTAGAATGATTATTCAATTTGACTGAATTTTTATTATAGTTAGTGATAACTAGAGGACTAACTCAATCTAAATTTGATCAAAGAAAGAATCGAGGTTCGTTAAAAATTAGATTATTTTTATTCTATAGTTTGTTGATCTCATTTCATAATCTAATTTTATTACTTAGGCGTATCAATATACTTTATTAGACTATTCACAAATGATGATGTTTGATATTACATTTATATCTACAAAATACGGTTAAAAATAGAAAGTCTTGTTTTTAGGATATTCAAATTTTACCCTCTTTTTGTCATTATCTATCACCAAAACTAATTTCTTAGAAAATAAAATCGGTTATGCTACTTTTTTCTTTTTTCAGTTCGAGAAAAAAATTATGTTTTTAACTATTATTCACCAATAAAGTTTTTATATTTCAAGAAACATTGAGCGAGTTAAAGTTTTAAAAACTTTAGTTTTTGCATACTTCTTTTTTAATTTTTTTATTAATTTTGAATCGGAAAGTAAGATTTTAATGAAATTAGAATTTTTTATTAATTTTGAATCAGAAAGTAAGATTTTAATGAAATTAACTTTTGTTAAAATAAATTACTCCATACTAATTTTAAAAAAAAGGCATAATCTAATATCAATAAACGTGGAGTATCATGAAAGGTTTTTGAATGGTGATAATAAGATTTTAAAAAAATTATGGTATTTGTGATAGAAGTAGTATTATGATGGTGTTTATAGCAGTGATTGTGACAATTTTAGTGATAGTAGTAATAATTGTAGAATGATAATTGTTATGGCAATGACGAAGTTGACAATAACTATAAAGCAATAATTGTAATAATTGTTACGTTAGTAATAATATGGAGACAACGGCAATAATTAGTGATAGTGATTGTTATTGTGATGATAATAATGTTAGAGCGACAACGATGATGATGGTGAAAAAAAGTATAAAATGATAGTTGCATAGACAGCCAAATGATGATGACAAGTGGTATTGGTAGCGATGAGGAGGTAATTGTTGCTACAGTTGTGGTGATTTTGAAGAGTTACCATGGAATGTTGATAAAATAATGGTTACCTTAGCAATAAAAGGATAATATTTGTTGGAGTACTTAAGTTACAATGTCAGAGAATGTTATAAGTTGGTATATTATTATAGTGTCATAAAGTTACAAGCTAGTAACTGTTTTTATTTATTGCATCGCAATAATTTATATTATTGTATCATAATTTAAACAATTATCTTGTAATTATGTTTTTTTTTCTAATAATATTTTATAAATACGATTCCAAAGGTATATTGTTAATTTTGAAAAAAGAAATAAAATTATCTACTTTTTATTAAATAAATGATTACAAACCGTTAAATAAATGAATCATAAAAAATAATATACTATCTCTGCATAGCCTAGTTAATTGCTTCTTAAGGGTGATAATTACAAACAATTAAGTATAACCTCAATAAAAAAAAGTTTATTGTTACCTAAAAAAGAATAAATATTGTTTAAGTTGCTAAGAAATTATTTTTAAGTAATTATAAACTAATAAGTATTTACACTTGCTGTACTGCAAATACTATTTATTTTTTAACTTGTTAGGAAATTATTTTTAAGTTATTATTTTGTAAATTTGAAGGTATTGTAATTATAGTGCTTCGAAGTAACAATAGCAAATCTATCTTTTTTTTTAAAGTTAAAATATTTACCTCCACATGAACACTATTTAGGGGTTGGCTAAAAAAATATTTTTTGTCGACTTATTTTTTGGTGTTTATTTTACGTTGGAAAATGAAAAAAAAAAAAAAAAAACATTAATCGTGCAAAATATTATCTGCAAAACAAACCGACCCTCAAGCGTCTTTCGTCATCGGCTTTTCTAGCTACGGGCTTATGGTAATGAACAAGCTAGCCCGAGGAGGGTGGGCCTATTCCATTAAACCGTAAGTAGGCTGAATTGGGGATAAAAGTTCCACAATAAATGTTTTAGTTTTACCAAAGCTTGGCCCATTCCTTTGAATTGTTAGAGTCCAGTCCAGATTGATAGCAGCCATCTTGCTTTACGACGGACAGTCCAGAAGCGTTGACTTCAAAACATCGGAAGGTGAAAATTCATTCTCACCAAAACGAGCAATTTATTTAGATCGTAAGGCTGGCATCCTGCTAAAAATAGCACAACTATCCTATTAATCTAGATCCATCAGCATGAAACCGTGGTACTTCTTTTGTCGAGAATATAATAATTTTGAGTAAATTATAACTTATTCTCTATTGTCTGATAAAAGTAATTATTTAATCTTCATAATTTAAAAAAAAATTGCATTTAATCCCTATATATTTTTATTAATTTATAATTTATTTGTTTTGTTAATTTTATTTTATTTTCAGATTTTTTTTAAATATTTCATGAAAATTATAATAAAGAAAAAGAATTACATAATTAGAAAATTTTGATCACGAAAATAGCATTTTTAAAACAAAAAACTATTTAATATGCAGTTCAATTAATAAATTGTGATAAACTACAGAAACCAAGTTATAATTAACTTTTTTACGTAAATTCTAGAAAATACTACTGGCATTAGACGCGTTGGCTTCTGGAGTCTTCCATAGATCAACTTGCCTCTCTTTTTGTAGTTGCCACAGCATCTATCATGTCCCAAACAGAGATTAATCCAGTTTCAAACGCAGTAAATTTAGTGGATCTCCCTCTCCCTCTCCCTCTCCCTCTCGGGGCTAGGTGAAGGCGCTGTTCTCGTCTCTGTTTCTCTTTTCAATTGTTTTTTTTTTTAAAAAAAATAATGTAGTAAAGTTGAGGTGTTTGTCTGAATTTTCAGGAATTCTGATTGGCCATTGCCCACCCAACCAACAAACAATGACTCATATCCTTTGCTGATGATCAGTTTTGTGTTTCTATTATCTATATTTTTCTACTTTACTTGTCTTTGTAATAATTGGGATTTTGAGTAATTTAAAGCTTATTATGTTTGTCTCAAATTTCTGTTATTGTAAATTATGCCCCCTATGGTTTTTGTGATGAAGTTTGTTTGCCTTTAACTGAAGCAAACGCGGTAACCAAAGAGAAAGAGACCGTGAAAGGGCTCAAGCTAGGGCTGGCCATAACGCAAAGCATCCCAAAGACGAGGGACTGACCCCTGAACAACGCCGTGAAAGGTACCTTTTCCTTTTTCCTGTCCTCGTAATTATTTTTTTTCAAAATTTTGTTCTTAAATTCTTTGTTCTTGATTCGGATGTGCAGAGACGCGAGGGCCTTGCAGGAAAAGGCAGCGAGAAAGGCTGCACAGGCAGCGGCCGGAGGTAATAATGCTGGAGGTGGAGGAGGTAAAAGCGTTAAGAAGTGACAGGGAGGTGTAAAGATTAGTGTAGTTAGGAATGTTTGTACAAGATCAGATCAGGTCTTGGTTTCTGGTTTTCTGGACTCATGTTTCTGTCATTTTGGAGGCATTAATGTTGGTTTCTTAAGGATCTTTGATTTATGTCTGATTTGGCATGAAATTCCTATTTCCAATCGTAGCTTTGTGCAATTTTAGTGTTTTCTGTTGTCATTAATCATTCACATGAAAGATGACCACTAAAGTTTGTGTGATGGACATCAAGAAAATGAAGAGTTTTTTAATTAGGTTTAGGAAGCCTATGGGGTCCCAATATATAGAGTCGTGTACTCGACTACCAAATTAATATATGAATTGAGCAAATTAATATATGAATCGAGCTGAAGATCACCGAACATTACATCGAGAGTGGCCGATGATTCTTTGGCACGGACATCTACGTAAAGAAAAATCATTCAACCAGCAATGGTTGTGTATCCGGAGGATGGGTTATCAATGAGATTGTAATCTTGATGCTTTTATGTCAACTTTTTTTTTCTTTTCTTTTTTTCTTCAAACCACACCAATAACAAAATGAAGGGGTAAAAAAAATTATATAATTGGAAAATGCTACCATACTCTTTTTACACGCTTGCTCAAATGTATTCATTCATGTCCAATTTTTAACTATCTCAAATATTTAAGTAAAGTTTTATTTAAAAAAAATTAAATTTGTTAATTTTATATTATTTAAAAAATTAAAATATTTTTTTTTGGGCATAAAGAACTATGTAATGGATAATTATTTATTTGTTCTAAAAATAGAATATGTAATGGATAATTATTTATTTGTTCTAAAAATAGAACATTCGATGTTAGCATTCAAAGAAGAAGACAAAAAGATAAATCTTAACTCTTGGTTTTTACTTAATGGTTTTTCACATAATTTTGAAAGTTAAATAAATAAAAAAATGAGTATTTTAATCTTTTAAATATTATAAAACTAGTTGTAATTTAAAAACCTTCTAAAAAAATGTAATATGAGTTATTTTTGTTTGGATGTTAGAAATAGTAAAAAAAAAAAATTGAAAAAAATTGATGGTAGAAACTTTTATTAAGCAATGTTTTAAAAAGACTGTTAAAGAAAGTGTTGTTAGCATTCTAAAAAAAAATAATCTTTATTTTTTTTCCTTTGTTTTGTTGTTTTTTTTTTTTTTTTTTGGGGGCCGTTTGATCTTTCTTTTTGGTTCTTGGCCGTTGGATTTGTTTTTTATTAGATTGAATTATTATAATCTCTACAACCAATGGCTAATTGTCATGTTTTCAATTTTATCTCTAAAAATTTCTACGCATCAAGAAAGGCTGTTGACAGTGGGTTTTGGTGGCTGAGTTTTAGTGTGGAAGAGGGCAGTGGGTGTTGTTGGCAATGAGTTTGGTGTGGGAAGTTCAGATGTGGCTGTTAGAGTTAAGAAGCTGGTGATTTGTGGGAAAGTTGGCTGTGGCTGGAGTTTTGCGGATGATGATCGGGGACGGCTAGAAAGAGAAACGATGATGGCAGGGAGCTGGAGAAGAGTGGACAACGTCGGTGTTGTTTTTGGCATTAACTAAAAAATAATAAGGTAAATACTCCATTAGCTATTTTTTAGAACTTTTTAGAAATTATACGGTCAATATTAAAAAGTTTTAACGAGTCCAGTCCAGATGAAATCATGAAACACTGTTAATGGGCTAAAAAATTATAGTTTGTCCGTAAATCAAATACAGAAACAAAGCCACTGTAGTCTGCACTATGCAAACTCAACTGAAAACTTAAACGACGATCATCTTTCTATCTTCCGTCAAAAACCTTCCGTCCAAAAATGAAAAACCACATTCTAGAAGAGCTACAAAAAGCGCGAGAGCTTGCAGTGCATCTTGCTAGAGAGATTGATTTCAAGAACCAAAAGTTGTTAGAAATGGAGAGAAAAAACACAACCCCACTTCTCAAACGCTAAATAGGTTGAGGATTGAGAATTATAAACTGAAACAATAGGCCGAAAAAGGTTTGTTTTCACTAATTTTTATTAATCACTCACCAACAGCATTTAATTTTTATTTTCATGCTTAATCCGTTTATTTTAACGTATTTTGCTAGGCATGAAGCAGTTTACCGCACGTAATTTGGCACTGCAGCATAATTTGGAGTCTTAGAGAGATGAGTTTGAACAGAAAATTAAGGGATTGGAGATGAAAGTGGCTCAAAATGATTGATAGCAGAAAGTTTTTCTCCAAAAAAAAAAAAAAAGACATGGTAACCGTTTTTTGATGTACTTATTTGCAAATTAGGGTTGACTTCGGATTCGTATATTATATGAAAATATAAACAATGTGAACTGTGGTATTGCAGTTGAAAGTTGGAAGCTTTGAGGCTGACGAGTTCAAAGAAGAATTCGAAGAAAAAAGAAGATGAGTTGCAATGTATGGCGATTCTTAATCAAACTTTGATTCTTAAAGAGCGAATTACAAGGTGCTCGGAAAGAATTAATAGATGTAAGAATTTTAGAACTTCCGTTTTCCCATTATGTGGTTAACCAGCAATGGAAATTATTGGGTTTTAGTTATATGTAATGATTATAGCTTTGTTTATCAGGGCAACTTACGTTGTCCATGGTAATTCTTATAGATATTGAAATGATGAGTGGGTGGTGATTTTGCTTTTGAAATAGAGGGTTTGCAAGACGTTCTAGATAGCCAAAGTATTGGGATCAAAAGAAGGGGAGGGTTTGATACAAAACTTTTTGAAGATGCCTGCTTGCAGAGGTTTGCTGGAGATTATGAGTTGCAGTATAGGTGCGCAAAAATCACATGCATTGGCCAACTAGTGAAAGTCTGTTTATAGAAAATCATTTATAATTGATGTTGTGTATATATGATATTGTTTTGGAATCAGCTATAATTAATTTTACGGATGCCCTTTTTTGTTTCAAAATGATGTTCTTAAAATTTTGTAATGCTTTAGGATTAGTTTGAATCTAACTAATAGTAAAATGGTTGTGTAGAATCAAATGAAATGAGCACTGATATGACTTGAGAGAGTTTTGAATTCAACCTTGCTTAATCTTTTTCATATTTTATTTATACAAAGAGCATGAAGTGATTTATAACTTATATATATTGAGATTACCGCAGAAATAAAATTGTTTCTTTGAATAAAAAAAGTATTTTAGCTTCTTTTGGGATGTAAATGTTTTCTTTCCGTCCTGTAAACTCTTCATTCATGATCCTCTTTTTGCTTTGACATTGCATCTATAATATTGATCAAGCTTAATTTCAGCATATATATATATTTTTTAACAAGAATTAATTAAAAAATATGCAGACCTGCAACATTGTGCAGACAACAAACTAGTAATAACTATGGTTGGAAATGAATTTGAGTTGGTTTTAGAAAAACCTGAATTGATAAATGACAGTGATCGCTTTCTTAATTTTGCGATTTTGCAATTTGATTGTAGCGCACAAAAGTTTCAGGTTCCCGAAAAACATTTCGGCTGGCCAAATCCACAAAAGAGAGGATTGTTGTCAATTTAAAGCTGAGAGAAAGGACAGAAGAGGGTGAGTTTTACATAAAATCTCTTTTTTATTTATATAAATATAACGAAGAGTTTCCGTGATAGATCACGAGTTCAAGAAGCTTGTGTAATCTGATAACCGGAGCTAACTTGAGCTAGATAGAAGAAACAAAACTGAACAGTGTCAAATTACACTAAAAACATGTGTTTTGTAAGCTTCCCCAACTCATTTACTTACAACATATGACCCAGCTGTAAAAAAGTTTTCCTATTCACAGGAAAGGCTAAATCACACAAACATGATGATTTCCACTCTGTTCTTTGAGCTACAAGTAAGCGTCAATGGTATCCGAGAACAGAGCACAAGTCTCAAGATGATCGTCGATAATAATACCTGCAAAAGATATCAGTTGGTATAAAATTGCAAACACGCAAAAAAAGCGAGAGGGAATCAAATCTGTGATTTTATGTAGGGAGGGGACATACACATAGATCTTTATTCCAAAAAAAGAAGCATATTTCCGTAGAAGACGTTCAACAGTATACCACTGTGAGCGATCTGTTCCATCTTGATAACCAATACGAGGCATGTGGATTGAGGCTATATGCAAAATTCAGGAGATCGCATCAGATAATTCAAATATACGAAGGAAACAAGCACGAGTAAAAACAAGTTTAGTTCAGCTTTGTTTTAGTTCACAGCAGCCAGAGGCAGTCCCTGAACGTGAACAATCTGAGAATTCTGAAATCTGAATCACCTTTAATGGTAATAAAGAAGTTTCTTATGAAATAAGAGACAAAATGCAACACAAACAATATTTATCGTAGCATTCACGGACAAATATAATCTCTTTCCCAATGGACTGCCTCTCTCATCGTGTTGATTGTGCTCACTACTGCTCATGTCCATCCTGTTTGTGCTTGCCTATATAGTAGTTGGATGACTTCAATAACTTCCAAACAAGAAAACCAAAAACATCTCTAAGCATTGACTCTTCATAGCAAGCAAGCAAACCAACTACTCCAATTTTCATTTGCCATCATGATGAAATACAAGTAGCATCAATACCCAATCAAAGTAAACGTTAGAAAAATTATACCCAAATTTTGTGCTGCAGCAAAAGATGCCTTGGACAGGCAAGCCTCCAAGTCAGGAATAGAGATCTCACTACGAGCCACTTTGCGCCTAGGATTATAAGATTGTACAACAGCCAAAGCAACCCACCGTGGAGTATCACCTTCCATGTTCTGCCCATCAGTGTTCTCTGTGTAACAACAAAGGGGCTAAAAGATGACAAATTGATTCGAAGAACTATACATCAATAAGAAAAAGAAGTAGGGGACACGGGGTTTATTCTATAGGAACCATTAGCATCAGCATGTCCAATAAATTATTAAAACTTTCTAAAGGGAAAACAGGTTACACCAAATAGTGATCTCATTAACCTAGCTAAAGTTTTGCTCATGATCATTCATCAAAACATTAATGAAAAAATCATAGGGAGCTACACAATTAAGCTCAAGTCATAGGTTCAAACATGAAGTTGTAGAAATTATACATTTGAAGCAATCTTTCGCGCATCGCGAAGAAGCAAGATAGCAAGGAACTTTGAGGCCACCAGGCTAAACTCTTTGGTTAACAACTATATATGTGCCATCTCAGCCAACAGCTAACCAGTCCCATGATTAACAAATATTTAAAAATTTCAAACACTCCACTCGCAGCTAGAAGCAAAATTAATTAAATTTAATCACCATAAGCACATTTTGAAAACAGAAGGATTGGTCTGCAAGGAGCAAAAATATTGGTCACAATTAACATCAAAACCAAGGAACATGAAATGAGGTTGAAAGTGTGGTGGTAATGGGGATGGCAGAATGAGAAAAAAATGAACAGGATAAAAGCTATGCATGATGTCGTGAATATGTTCAGTGATCCTGTCACGTTATATCTCCTATTGTTTCTGCACATTTTTTGCACCATCATTAATCATTGGGAAAAGCCAAGACACAAAAATGCAGGAAGAAAGAACATGAAAGCTGACCGTTAATTTTTACAAGATGGACATCACCAAGATGAAGGTCCCTAAATTCGGAGGCACATTGATATGCGTCAGGGATACTTGAAGACAGTTTGGCCAGTGCATCGAACATTCCTCCATGGCCCCAATTTCCAGAGTCATCTACACAACTGCCAAATTAATACCAGGATCAGGCTGAGGAAAGCCTGATGATTACCTAGCAATATTCACACCCTTGGAACTAGTGCATTATTTTCCCATGGAGTAGAGGGATGAGCTCAACTTAGAACATACTAAAACAGAATGGTAAAAGCCGTAACCATCTATAAGATGATGTACTAACTGCAGACCGAATTAAATTCCCCAAAAATACAAATGACCCATTTTCAAATTCTATCCAAGGGAGTGCAAGCTGATTCTTTGGCTAGGATATGTCCACATAAAAAACTACTCTTCCATTGCCAATGTGCCATTTGTAATTGCAACAACTATGTTCTGCTTCGAAACGATAAATTCTAATGTTAAGATTGCTACAAGAATGTCCAGAAAGGAGATCACTTTCATGGTAAAACCTAAGATGTTACTGATAATGATTGGAAAAATTAAATGCTTGTAGTTCTCGAAGTTTCAGATACCAAATTCAGATTAGGAAACCAAAGCAAGCAATTTGAAGAGTTTCAGAACAAAAGTAGGAAACAAAAGAAGTAAACAGGAGGGATTTTAGGCACATGTCTCAGAAGAATTACCTGAATATGACACTGGGCTCAGCTGAGCAGAACTTTTCTGGATGAGTACAATCCCCAACAACAAAATGAACAAAACCTGAGTCTGACAATGCATCCCCATTTACGGGGTAGATAGGATCTCGAACAGATAATGAATGGTATCCAAGGGCCTCCCACTTGGACAACTTTTTCTCTTCTGCCTTTTTCTTTGCAGCCTCAAGCTTAAGATGCTTATCATCAGGTAAATTCCTTCTATTTCCCAAATCCAAAACCTGATTTTCATTTGATTGTGATGCTTCCTTGAATTTTTCAACCCATGATAGATATGATGCTTCGTCAAGACCAGGATCATACTTTGTAAGAGCAGAATCTCCTCCACTAACAAAATCGAGTTCCTTTTCTTGACCAATAGGATTAACCTCAAACTTCCTATCATCCTTATCCAATATCTGGTCAGCACGCAGTGCAATTACTTTCTGTGCCAAAGCATTCAACTCCGAGGCATTTAATTCATCTGATTTTTCATTGTTCATCTCTGAAGGATCAAACCTATGTAACCCAAATATGATAGATCGCAAATCACCAGTTTCAATTCCTCCCGTTTCTTTTCCATCCTCTTCCGTGACATCATCTCCTACAACATCATGGCTAAGCTGCAATTTCCTCTTTGCTCTCCGCATGATAACCTACAATCACACTTCTAAAATTCAAAATTGTAATACAAAAGACTTTATTAAACATTAAAGGTTGATATATAAAACCTCACCTTGCTTTATTAAACATTTAAGGTTGATATATAAAACCTCACCTCTTCCACGGTATGCCTTGTAACTAAGTTTATTGACAAGACATGATTCATTTGACCAATCCTGTGTGCTCGCTGCAAAGCCTGTTTGTCAACCTGAGGATTCCAATCTTGCTCATAGAATATAACCTGTGAATAAATGAAAGTTTATGATGTATGGAACACCTTATACAACTCCAGGCATTTGTTTGAGAAATAATGGAATCTACTTGGACAACCCATTACGCTCTTTTTAAGTTCTATCATACTTCTTAAATTTTTTAGATGGAAATAAATATCACCATAACCAGTCCATTCCATTTAAGTCGTTTTAATTTGAAGCAGATACCACAAGTACTGTAATTTCACCTTCACTTTTTTCATAATCTTAATAGACCACTGAATTTATTAGTTATAGAACTTTAAGAGTCAGTATAAAATTTTCCCATTGAAGAAGCATCTACACAGAAAACAAAACTTATGGTTTCAACATAAAGTACAAAAGAAATACAGTTATTAACAGAAATTGACAAATTTGTAACATAAACTAATATAAAAAGGTAAATCATGTCAGGAAAAGTATGTGAGTAAAACAGAACAAAGGTCATTCTCTCTTCGCCTCAGCAAATTGCATTTATAAATTTTCCTTGCCAAGGTCGGTAAAGACAAATGTCTATACATCTTTAAGTCTTGTAAGTTGTATTTGTTTACTCAGGCATTTGCTGCGAAGCAAGCGAAAGTGAAAATCATGAGCCACTAACATCAAATTAATACATCAGAAATATGAGAATGGCTGGTGCACAACTGAATGTGTATCCAATATAAGGGACATAGCATATTCTTCTCACAAAACGCTGAACTGACTCCATAGGAAAAAAATAATAATAATAAAATAAAGAAAGAAAAATAAAACCCACCAAAAAGGAAATGCATGTTCTCATGCAAGATGAATCAATGCGAAATTCCCTCTTTAAACACTAAGAAAAACCTCTAAGTAGATTGCTGGCAAGCCCAGCAATTATAAAAATTGGCATCGTAATCATAACTTCGTTACACAGATCATCAGCTAACCCACCATATCTGCAGCCAACAAAGATAAAAAGTTCTTGCTGGCAAGAGAAGATGAAAATAAACCCTTCAGCAGGTGACACCTAAAGCTCCAAAACAAAATTTTCTTTCCTGGTTATCTGATATCTCAGGATTCAACAATCAGTCAAAATTGAAGCAAGTTGTTTGCACTATAGTTCAAGCAAATTATGCTTTCTTTTTCCTTTTATTTTGTATAAGATCCTTTTTTTTAACCTCTCAACTTGAGGAGAAGGTTAATGAGTTCATGCACCAAGAAGTAATTTCTGAAAAAATTAAGAGAAAACCCACCGTATCTGCAGCCACAAGATTCAAGCCAACTCCTCCAGCTCTAGTAGATATCATAAAAACAAAAGAACTATTTTGATCAGATTCAGAACCAGACCTCCCTAACTGCCCACTAAAACTTCTTATTGCAGCAAAACGCTCCTCAGCTCGAACTGAACCATCAAGACGCTCATAGGAATATTTGCGCAGCTCTAGAAAATCCTATACATGCCAATTATGTCATTAATAATTGTTCAAAATATACTGACATACGTAAACAAGCAAAGGCAGTGACTTCAAATTTCAAACATTTACCTGTAAAATGTCAAGTGTGTGTGTCATCTGAGCAAAGAGAAGCACACGATGTCCAGAATAATGTAGCTTCTCAAGTAGTTGGTCCAAAATCATTAGTTTCCCACTGGCCTGAACATGAAGTCATAAGAGATACGGGAATGATAACAGATTTCAGTTAGCGAGGTCAAAGATCCAGTAAAAAGTTCTTCCTCTAACAGACCAGATATTTAAGCAAGCAAACTTTCCAACTCCTGTGTCTTTCTTGGCTTTTTGAATTATAGCAGTGCACAATCAGCACTCATTATTGTTTCATATTCAACAGAGTTATTAGATAAAAAGTCTACCATAAATTGAAGTCACAAAGTAATCAGGGAAGTAAGGACAAAGGTAGATTTCAATTAGTGAAATCAGAGATCCATCACAGAGGTTTGCCGCTTTCAAAGCAGAAAATTAAAGCAAGCAAAGTTTTTCTATTCCGCTTTCTTTGCTTTGCTTTTGAAGTTATGGAAATGCATAGCTTATTCCATTGACATTTCATATGCCAAAAAGTTATTAGACGACAATGCGGCAGAAAATAGTCATTGAACAGACAGAGACAACAGAGCTAATAGACAGATTTCGACTAGTGAAATCAGAGATGCAGCACAGAGGCCTGCCACTTTTAGACCATAAATTCAAGCAATCCTTTTTTTGCTTCAGATTTTGGCAACAAGCAACTTGTTTCAAGCTCAGAAATAATTACTGTTCGATACATCCCAAGGCTGCCATTAAATAAAATCATATATAAACAGAGCACCAGAAATAATAGGCAGTTTCAATTAAGGAAATCAAAGATGCAGCACTAAAGATCTGCTTGTTTCAGGCCACAACATTTAAGGGGGAAAAAATCCGTTCTTTGTTTCTTTGATTTTAGAGTCATGGCAACCACAAGTCATTTCAAACTCGGCACTCATAACCGTTTCATATGCCACATAATGATACTAGCCTACCTGAGAATGAAATCATAGAGTAAAAAGGGAAGGGCATGGACAGTGGGCAGATTTCAATTAATGGAATCGGAGGTTTAGGTCCGAGGTTCACACAGAACCAGAAGGAATTGATGAAATCAGAGATGAAGCACAGGACTTGCCTCTTTTGGAGCAGAAAGTTTAGGACTCCAAACTCAGATATTGTTAACATTACACCCACTGCAAAAATATTAACAACAAGGCTACCAGAAGCTGAAGTCATAAAATCAAGGGGACAGCAGGGACAATGGGTAGGTTTCAATTAGTGAGATCAGAGATGCAGCACAAAAGGACTGCCTCTTTCAAAGCAGAAAATTAAAGCAATTCTTTGTTTGCTATAGAGTTCTGAGAAAAAAAAATAGTGAAATAAGAGATACAGCACAAAAGACTGCCTCTTTCATATTTAAACACTTTGTTTAAATTAGTGAGATCAGAGATGCAGCACAAAAGGACTGCCTCTTTCAAAGCAGAAAATTAAAGCAATTCTTTGTTTGCTATAGAGTTCTGGGAAAAAAAAAGTGAAATCAGAGATACAGCACAAAAGCCTGCCTCTTTCATATTTAAACACTTTGTTTGCTTTTAAAGTTAGGGCATCCTTAGTGAGACCAGAGATATACCATAAAGGACTGCCTCTTATAGACCAAAAAAACAAACAAATTGTTCAAAATCAGCATTCATTACTGTTTGATATATCATCACACAATTATGAGACGACAAGATTACATGAAGTGAAGTTATCAAATACAAAGAGACATCAGGAGAAAAGGAGTTTTTCACTATCAAAATCTGATATGAAGTATAAAGTTTGCTTCTTCTATACCAGAAAAATTATGTGAACACAGCTTTTCTGTTCCCTGTTTGTTTCTTTGCTTTCCATAACTTTGAAACCAAAATCATTTCAGACCAGTGTTTTTTTTTTTTTTTTCGGAGATGAAAACAGGGTCCATTACCATTTCCTACACTAAAAAGTTATTAGATGTCGAGGTTACCTGAACTAGGTGTTCGCCCTCTTCATATGGCTCAGGCTCAATACCAGGGAAGAGGTAAGGGTGGCTGCATGCTTTTCTTAGTTGTATTACCTGGACCAAAGAGAATTAACGGCTGAAAATAACAGAATATTCAAATCGGAAAAAACATCATTCTATTTCAATTAACTACAGAAAAAAGGCAGTTCGACATGGCAAGCTAGCTACAACGATCAAGTCAAAGATTGAGAAGCTAGCATACCATATTCTGCAGAGGTTGATGACTGGAAGCTGAAGAAGACAATGCAAGAAGTTTCGAAAGCTCCTTCCTCAATATCGAGGTACAAACTTTCTTTTGCAGGCTCACCAGTGGAGCCATCCTATCAAGATAAATAGAAACTTTAGTATTTTTTGCAGATGCTTGGTCTTCATAATGTAAGATACTTACACAGTAATCTCAGTCAATGGTGGCAGCACTAGGTTTCCACACTCTATAAGCCTAGATTTTGTTCTTCGAAGCATGAAGGCTTTCATTATACTTTTTAAAGTCTTGAATTGCTGCTTCACCTTTGTTGCATCGTGATCTGTTCAAAAGAAAGTGGTTTAAAATTCTTGCAAATATGGAAAATCTCAGCTTTTGCTGCATTCAAGGGAATCAACCCAAGATCCACAGCAGAAGCAGAAAAAAATAATTAAATAATAATTTTAACACTTGTAAACTTCTAAGGAATTAAAAAATAACTCAGAAACATGCGTGTCAATTTCCATTATTTTCAGAATTGAAGACCGATCCCAGATATAGAATTAGCTGTAAGGTTTCACCATAAACTATGGACAGTTCCTTAAAAGAACATTGCAAATGTAACTTTCAGGGACACAGAGGAAAGGTCCCATGGCAAGTCCAGATGTTATCTCACTTTGTTTCAAAACTCAAACAGGACAAGTTGTTTCTCTTTTGAAAACCATTAACTTGGGGGTTAGATGTATCAGTAAGTAGAGAACCTTAGCATATCGGGGTCAATGTTCTATTTAGATGAATAATGCTACATTAGTATTAACCTTTTGATAATGAACTGACTTATGTGTCACATACTCTACGCCTTGCAAGAAAAACTTTCAATCCATGAGCTCCCTTTGGTCATAGTTTGGAAAAAATTAGTAAAAAAAAAAATCAAATTCACTACAATAAGAAGAGATATTATGATACATCGAGGGCCCATCATATCATGTGATCTCCTAAAAAGAATACGAATGTGAAGAACAAAATTGAGAATATAAAAAATGACAAGAATACAAAGTCTGGTTTTAGGAGAAAGTTGACATGTAATACACCTTAGACCAAGTACAGGATAAATGACCTGATGAAGCATCACCAGCTTTCCTGAATGTGGAAAGGAACTGATCCAGGGTTCCAAACACAGAAGGCATGCAAAAATGCATCAGAGCCCAAAGCTCAGTGAGATTATTCTGGATGGGGGTGCCAGTCATCAATAACCGTCTTGGCATGAGGAACCGGTCTTTGAGAACATTATAAAGAACCTGTCCTTTTTAATTTTTTAAACAAAAAAGGAAACCCTTAAGTCTAACTCGATAAGCATACAAAGAGAGAGAAAAGAAATTTATAATATAAACATGCTTTTTGCCTTATTACATCTTGATAGCATAAATAGTTTGGAACTATCAGCACTATAGGAATTTATGTTCACATATCCGAGAGACATTGTGTGATAGCTTGAACATACGCTGTTAGGATTTTTAAGTCTTTGAGCTTCATCAATTATAGCATAGTGCCATGGAATTTGTGACAAAAATTCTTGATCCATTAATGCTATATCATATGTTGTCAATAGCACATCAAAAGGCAATGATGATACCTGTAAACAGCCAATTTATGAATTTAGATAGTAAAGAACTTCAAACTAGAACCCAAACACGAAACTTATATGGAACTGTGTAAACTAATAAATTAGATAATCATTTCAATCAGTAAAGGTGCATTACAAGATTCCAAACTCACATCAGATGATGAAGGATTCTCTTTCACATGCTCATATATTGTCTTGCGCAAATTGCGCCGGTGTTCTTTGTCACCAACATACCTAAGGGCTTTCAAATTGGGGGTGAATTTGGCTATCTCTGACACCCATCCATCTGTCACGCTTAAAGGGCACAACACCACTGCATATGATTGGATAACAAGTAAAATTGAGAATCAAAATCACTACCAGAAATAGGTACCTAAAAGTTTTCAAAATCAAATGAAAGGCTTTCTTAACTCACAATATGGTCCAGGTGACTTTTGATGAACTTTCAAATAACTTACGAAAGAGATGGCTTGCAAAGTCTTCCCTAGTCCCATCTGCCAGCAACTATCTCCAGTTCAAAACATAAAGAACAGAATCATACTGCCATTACTATTATCATGCTCACCTATTCTACTTGAATAAATAAATAAGGCAAATGAAGAAAATAGAAAAATAAGGACTTCTTTAATCATTGCGTCGATGATGAGAATGACACAGCTCCATCAGAGTTTCAGCTGTAAATTCAATTACAGCACAAACTCAACAAGATGATGGTATGCTATGAGTAAATTCAGCTATAAGAAATTTAACAATCAATTATTGCTTGTTGCAAAATTCTAAGAACAAATTATAAAGTCCCCCTAAGATCCAGAAAATTCTAGCATCTAGGCAATTATAAACTTTCAAAAACTTTTTTTTAAAAAAAAAAAACATGGTCATTGAATATCTACAGGAGATTTATGCGAAGCTTTAGTTAACAATTGAAAGAAACGAGAGCTTTATAATTTTGCAGGTCCCTGTGATTTACCTAAAGGGTCAGGCCATACTCAAATGACAAAAATGATGATAATAAAAAATAATCTCTATAATTTTCAGAAGATTAACAGTAAATCTCAAGTATCAAAATAAATTTATGACAATTCAGGTTCCTTCAATGAAACTGCTTAAAAACCATTCAAGTCCTCAAGCTATGTACCTCATCTCCTGCAAATACAATACCAATTCAACAGTCACCCTAATGCGCATAAGAAATAGAACAGCATATAATAATTAAAGTGAAACCCTAGATTCCTTTCAAATTCGCAAAATTGAATAGCGATATCGAATCAGAAGCACAACTGGAAAACCCTAATTTATAGTATTCTGGCAATTTTCACTTATATGTTCTCAAATTCGAAAATAGAAGTGATAAAATAAAACCTTACCGAGGATTACATTAACACCGAGGCGATATCTCTGTATAAGCCACGAGATGCCTTCAACTTGGTGAGATTTTAACGTCGCCGTGACGCCAATTTCTCCGGCATTAAACAGCGGAGTGCCGTCGCCTTCACCTTCTCCGTCTCCCATTCCGCCTCGTGATTCGGGTTCGAGGATGATTGCGGCTGCCGCCGTGAGCCTCTGCTCGTAATTCATTCCTCTCGCTCCCTTTCAAAGTAGCCGTTGTGTATTGAAGACAAGCTTGAAGTGGACGCGAGGGAAATTAATAAAAGCGGCTTCGGTTACGCAATGTCGGTTCTAGCCTTATGGGGTTTCGCTAGGTGGCGTTAAGTTGGTGACGTTATTCTTGGGATTTTATAATCCACGCAGCTTATCTATGGATCGTGGGTCTGCGTACGTGTCAAGCTATAGCTAATTGCGATTGCTTTGAAATTTCTATATTTCTTTGTTATGCGAATTTTTTTTTTTTTTTAAGGATAATGAAATATAAAAAATAAAGGTATAATCCGAAGGCGGCAATTTTTTAATGATAGCCGAGTTCTTATTATTTTTTCAAATCCGCTATTTTGTCCATTCAAGTTATTTGATACTTTTACAAATAATTATAAATTAATTTAGTTTACTATGAAAATGTGTTGCTCTCTTTCATAATTTATTCTCTTTTTAATAGAGAAAATTTTGGAGTCGAATTTATTTGGTAGGGTGCTAGATACTTTTGTTGGCGCTTATATGAATAATGAAATAGATAATTTGGTCTAAGGTCAATGACGCTCGTACTTCATTCTTTTACACTTAATATTTTTTTCTTAATTAATAATGCTATTTCACGACAAGAAATAAGAAATAATAAATTATCATAAGAAAATTGTAAATTTTTAGATTGGTGGAACTTAGTAGTAAAATTATTTTTGTTATTCTTTCACGTGAAGTTTCTTAATTCCTTGTGTTGTTCTTAGCGCATACAAAAGAATGTAATTAAATAATAAAAATCACATAATAAATAAATAAATCTATCATAAATTAAGATGGACAAAAAATTAAAACTTTTTACGTTGATTATTATTAAAAAAAAGTAAGAATTAAAATCATGTTACTATAGTATTTTGGTATAGAAATGATTGAAACATCAAAATAATTTTGCTAAAATCTTAAAGTGACTGTCTCGAGGCACCATCAAGTTATTTTTTGAGACCAAATGTCTCATTCACAAAAAAAATATAGTGCAACAAATTGAATATATGTCACATGTCGTTTTGAGAATACAATAAGCTTGACCACATTTAAGACTTGAAACCCAACAAAATTCAGTACCATGCTTACCCATGTTTGTAATGCAAATAATATGACTTTTTAGTGGAAGAATAAAGAAAAAAAAATGAAAGAACTATTTTTTTCTTTTCAAGCGATGTATATCAAACTCCTTACTTCTTGCAACTAAAAAAACAAAAACTATATATGTAGGCAAAAATAGTTGTTTTTTACTTTTTTTTAACCATTATAGAAAATAGTCATTTCGAAATGTTTATAACCGTTATGAAAAATAGCCCTTTTTCATCTTTTTTACTATCATGATTGTTATGAAGACCGTGGTCTGTAATTATCATGAATAAATGATTAAATAATTTTTTTTCTTTTTAAAAATATAATTTAAAATTTTCATATTTTTATAGAAACATTATAACAAAATTTCACTTATTTTTATAAAACATTAGTCATATAATCGAGTAAGAAAATAAATATATTACATAATAAGATTACCAATGGCTTGAACTCTTGCTTGGTATTTCAATATAAATATTGCTTTTAAACTAACAATGAGCATTATCCCGAACTAAATTTTTTATTAAAAAATAAATATTTTATCACGTGTATTATATTCAAGTACTCTATAATGAGCAAACTCAGCATATTATGATCTTATACTTAATCTCGGCTTCTATAAGCGTTCATTTTCTTATAAGGGTTGTTCCTTACAAGCCTCGCTTCACCGCTCGTATAGGTAAATCTAACAATGATGTTTTTATAACTCGCATCATATTTGCTAAGAGATCCGAGTCTCATTAAGAGCCTTTTTATATAAAAACTCAATCTTTAATTCGTTACATGATGCATGCGCTGTACTATAGGAATGAACATACAAGTATCATAACTCAAATTAATTGTGTATGAAATAAAGTCATTCTATGCTCGTTTTTCTCCTTAAACCTATTTCTTGAGATGTCCAATTTCTAGATAAAGTATCTATACATGTGATTTTATTTATCTACGGGCTTAGTCTCATCTCCCTCGTTGTATCGTCATATTCTTTGATTCTAAATAAAAATTTAATCTCACAATATTCAACACATATACCCAAATGATTAGGTAATGAGCACTTAATCAATTTATTAGTGTCAAGCCAAGTTGTAGGAATTTTTTTTTTACCTTTTCTTTTCACTATAAATAGTTTAGTGTCCATATGTTTCTTCATTGATACGGGGTTTTAGCTAATTTAAATTACGCATAAATATATGAGCCAATGGCAAATATACTATTATTTATTTTTACATCATCAACATCACCGTGCTAAAACACGATAGCATCATTGTATTTTTTAATACAATTGAAAACATTGAACTGAGTGCATATATTCTTCAATCTTTAATTTTTTCAATCAAATTTGATTTTATTGTATTTCATCTATACAATTAGAATGTCAATATGTCACTAGATATTTCAAAATTTCAAATTATCTCCTGTATTGGTAGTGTCATCAAAACACCATTGTACCTTGATTATGTAATAAAATTATAACTAATTCTATCAATTTTCTCAACAAAATAGTTACTAAATATATTCATAAACATAATTATACTTTCTTTACAATAGGAATGTTTTACAAATATATTCACAAGCATCACATTAAAATTTACATGGTAAAAATATAAATATCATTAAAAGAGAATTATGATAATTCACAATGAAATACAAAATATTACTTTCTCAATCAATTTTTTTTATGTAACAGCATTTTTTTATATAGCCCTACTATATAATTGTAATGGTGTTTTTTATATGCCTCTACAATTCACATATATATTTTTTTCTCGCTACCATTACAGAGTGATAGTATGCGTCGTTCTATCATTTAATCATTAACATTCACATTTTATTTTTCGTGCCCTAACAATCAAGAAGATATATTTGAATCATTTCCAAAATAAGTTATCATTAAAATAAAATAATATAACAAAATTTTATTTTCACGTGAAAAAGAAATACATGAAAACCCTTTGCTAAATCATGCACCTAGCCAATTTATTTATATTTGCATCAGCAATAAAATTTACACAAATAAATAAAAAATGTGATTAATATTACAAATATTAACTTTCAACAATATCACTATTTTTTTAAACATTAATATTTGATAAGTCATCATAAGTTATATAAGACATTACATATTAATATCTGTGTCATGCAAATTATCTCATGAAATATTTTAGCAAAAAAAAAAAAAAAAATCATTATCTTAGTATCTCATTGGCCACTTGGTAGAGATCGTTTTTAAAGAGCAAAACAATCACACGAATAGATGGCTGACACAAAAAAAAAAAAAAAAAGTTTGTTGTCTTCAGTGCTCAACAAAATATACCAACTATCATTCACATGTATATTATCACATATAAAGAACAAACAATTCAGTCGGAGCAGCAGCAATATGTAGCCCGAATATAAAAGCAAAATAAGACAATAAAAGAAAATTTTCACATGAATAATTAACATCTACAAATTAATTTCCAACAAATTAAATTTGTCAGACTTATTGACGTTGACAATCAACAAAATATATATTTTTAAAATACTTGTTTTATGCTCAATAAAGACAAAATTATCAAATGCCAATTATTTCATGATAATCAAAAACCAAACAATAAGTATGTATTGACATTGACATTATAAAAAAAATATAATACCAAATTTTCATCTCAAAATTCTTTTCAGGATTTTAACCACAAAATCACAAACACCATGGCATCTCAAATTGTTATTCTTACCACATAAAAAAGAAATATAATTAAATAAAAAATCACATAATAAATAAATAAATCCATCGTAAATTAAGACGGATAAAAAATTTGAATTTTTTACCTTCATTATTAGGAAAATTAGGAATTAAAATTATGTTGTCATAGTTTCATGGTATTGAGATAATTGAATTATTTAATACTTTCATTTTTTAGTTAGATGGATCTATTACACATAATTAATTATTCAATAATAAAAATCAAATCCATAAATAACAAAATTACCTAAGCTTCCTTGAAGCTAACCATCATTAAATATTTTTTTTTACTTTCAAAATTAATTTTGATTCTCAAAAACAAATGTTTTTAAGTATTTCAATTAATAGTCAGTACTTTGACTATTATACATAATGGAGAAGCATAAAATTTAAACAAGAATTAATAGTTTGAGATTCAAATAACTTAAATTGATAATATGTAATTTATTTTGCTAGGGATAATTATGCCATGCCACGTATAGCCCAATTGCTTATTCCATCTAGATAAATGCACTTCATACAGACAATAGACAATAAAAATAAAAACCTTCTGTCTTTAGATTTTTGCTTCCCCGTAGCTAATTAACATCTGAAAAGTTTTGCATGCTAATTTGAGCACTACAAAGAATTCCTTTCTTTTTTTTTTTTAACGAGGTCAACGTAAATGGCAATACAAGACCAGTTTTACCAAATGCGAAGCAGAATTCCAAAAGGTGAACACTACCATAGCCACACAACATTCCATTTTGCAAAGACTGACAAACTTCCAAGCTTCGGACGGAATTACGCATGAGAGCACGCATCGTATTCTTTCCAAGTCTTTCTTTGTAGATGCAAGTACTTTGAAAATTAATAAAGCAAATATGACCATATATATATATATATATGATTCGATATATTTTTATATAATCGATTAAGTTTTTAATTTATTTTTATATTTTTAATTATGTGTATCACGTTTGTGTACAACATCTATTTTTTTAATATGTTATCCTAAAGAAAAAAGGTAATTATGCAGAACTATAAAACATAAATTCACTATACCTATAAATCTAAAACTTCATACTTGTGACGTAGTTTTGAAAAAACTTAAAGTTTTTTACATAATTTTTTTTTAAAAAAAACATAATTTAATTTATGTTTAGACATTCGAGTCGATACTGAAAAAATATATATAATACATGAAAAATGATTTTTCTTTCGTTATCTCTTTCTTGGTGATGAATATCCTTTAATTTTCTTTATTTCTTGTCTTTTTTGTTCATTAAGAAATAGAAAGAGGATAGATTCCTCATTTTATAACCTTAACATAAGTCTACTATCAAAAACTTGATTGTATATATTATTAATCACATGTATCATAATTAATTAGATATGGATGTCATCATTAGTAATATCTATTGTAATCAATACATTTATTTTAATTATTTAGATGTACTATAAATATACATTTGTCTAATCAATACATGTATCGTAATTAATATCATGCGTTTTAATTAATTAGATGCACTTTAAATATTATGCATTATATGGATCACGATTAATTTTATATTATAGATATATATCTTACGTGGATCATAATTAATTTTATATTTCTATCAATTTTTCATATTCAAATAGACATAATTACAATTTTCATTCTAGAACCATCGTTCAGCTATATAAAAATATGATTTTGATTTTTTTGAAAAAAAGTTAAAACTTTTAGTTTTAAAAATTTTAATGGTTGAGTAATTTTGAAGCTTTTTATTTCTAAAGACATTTGAATAATTTTTTTTTAAAAATTGTATTATATTCTTATACAACTCAAGAGTAATTTTGAAATGAAAAGTATAATTTTGTCAATTTGAGTGAAAAAAACTTGATTGAAGGATACATTAGAGATTTGGATACTATACAAGACCTAATAGACATAATAAAAAAAGTATTAGTTGTACATTTTCTTAATATGGTCTCTCTATTTTTTATTAATGTATCAATTTTTTTTTATTTTAGATATTTTTTAATACGATCATTCCATTAGGGTTTCGGTCAATTTTTTTCGATAACAAGTGACAAGTGAACTACCGCATTAGATAATAATGACAATTGTAAAAAAAAAATTAATTTCAAAAAAATAAGATTTCCCATTTTTATAGTTTCATTTTATTATTATTATTATTTATTTTTCAGATAATAGTAACACCTAATTCAATGCTTTAAATTTTTTTTACAATTTCTAATTTAATTCCTACGTATAATAAAATTTTGATATATGAGTTCTTATACATTCAGGAAACAATCAATTAAATGCTTTTGTTTCGAAAATACTCTTTTGATCACTATGGAAATACTCTCTAGACGCGTATTTATAGAACAAAGGCACTTATTGACCTTTTTGGAGTATGAGAATTTAAATCGGACTAGAACTAAAAGTTTGATAAACTATAGATACCAGAATTGAGATTATCTTATTATTCTCCAGTGCTCCACCAGGGGACAGAAAGTCTCCCGCGCTGAGGGATTTACGGGCTAGACGAGCCCGTCCATACACATAACTTCCTGATGAAAAATTGAAGGGCTGACTCGAGCCAGCCCAATCGTGAAATGATCGGGCTCGGGCTTGGCCATTGACGCTCTCGGTCAAATATATGTAATTTTAACTATTTCTTAATAGTTTTGATTTATGGTTTTATTTGCTAGTATTAAACATTTAAGATCCTAGTTTCTTTTCAACCTTTAATATTTCTTTTGCATTGTAAAAACAGAGCATCAGTATCAATTTATCATCCATCATAAAAACCAAAAGGAATCGTATCTCGTAATTCTCGAAGTTTAGTTTTATCCCTCCTTCAAAGAAAATGGAAAGATACGAAGGTTAACAAATGAATCTACCAATAAAAAGCCTAATTTCCTACGATTTGCATCCAAAACACGAAACATTCCAAATCGAGAATCCACTAATATCTAATCAATCACGAGTATAACATTTTCAAATTGAGAAACATGGTTGAATAATTTTCAAATCAAAGTTCGATTGGAAGCCCATGCACATAAATGTTCTAAATTCATGCTTCTAAATCGATAGTGTGCAACAAGGGTTCGAGTTGAAGATGTGCTCATCAGATTCCACAATAGACGGCTAAAGCGGAGTATGCCCCTTTCTTTGTCATTATCGGGGCAGTATCATGCCAACAATACCGAAGAGTATCAAACTCCTAATCATTGTCATTGTCAGTGCCTTAATCAAGGACATTCATCTTGCCACAAAATATGCTCAAACCACCTGGAAATTACTAAAGCTGCCATTCTCATAGAATTTTTTACTTCCCCCACCAACCCTTTACGGATCTAATCTAATGGCAAACTCAATCTACAATGACTCAGGGATCATCCTCTCTATCAATTGATTAACAGCTTTGAGTTTTAACGTTTCAGAAAGAGAAAAAAAATTGCGGTGACGAACTATTCGACAAGGACATGTGGTGTTGGAATATTTTTTAATAAAACATCCGTTTAATTAGATTTATAGGTTTTTTAAAACTGTTTTGATAATAGTTTCATAACTGCCAATTCATTTGAAAAAAAATTAAAAGAAACTTTTTTTTAATTATGTTATGTATGTGTGTGTCAGGTTTTTGACAAATTGCATGTGCAGGAAATACTCTACAAAGGAGAGAAAAATGTACAGAACAATCTAATAAAATATTTGTTTTGTTTTTTATACTCCCACTTAAACAAAAAAAGTCATATAATTTTTCAGTTATATTTTTGTGTAAGAGTAGTATTAATTTTATTTAGAGCTTCAAGTTTTATAAATAGTGTAAATTTGTTAAGACACGATAAGGTAACCGAATTTATTATATCTCCGAGATGACATGTAATATATTTTTTATTCATTGTGTCGGATAAATTTTGCGGATGAGACGTATCGTCTCAAGAAAATAACTTGATTGTACCTCGAGTTAGTCACTTTAAAATTATGATAAAACTATTTTGATGGTTCGATTATCTTTATACCAAGACACATGATGACTTAATTTTTAATCTCGAATTTTTTGATAATCAAGACAAAAAGTTTTAATTTTTTTTGTTCATTTAATTATGTTCCTTTTATGTGCTGCCAACAATACTACTAGAAAACGTGGTAAATTTCATTATTGCCCTATAGGCTGATCAATACTCAACTTCCAACATTATATTTAAAATTTTCTCTATGCATGCTTCTAGTTTTTTAAAAGTTCAATTTTGCTCAGACGCTTAATTAGCTTACTTTAAATTTTTTGAGTTTTTTTTAAAAGTGATTTTATGAGAGACTATAACATTTTATGGGGATTGGAGAGAAAAAGTTAAGATAGAATAGAAAGAAGAAGAAGAGATTTTCATTAGTTATTTAGTAGTTAGAGAAAAAATTGAAACTTGTAAAAACTATAGGGGACATTGGGAAATTTAAAACTACAGGAGTAGAAATGAAATATTTGTGAAACTATTAGAACAAAAATATAATTTTAACCAAAATGTGCTCCAGCTAGCCTCGAGTCATTCTCCAAAGGTTCATTACTAAAAGGTTCCCTAAATATTGATCGGAGTGCATGTTCCATGATTTTTCTCCCTTGTCCTCGATTCCTTTCATTTTATTCTCTAGCACAGCTTGTGTCACGACCCATAATAACTTGCTGTCCATAGCCAGGCACTTTGGAATGCTAAAGACTTCAGAACAACTTGAGTTTGTGACCCGTACGAGTTTATTCATTTTTATTTCCCTTGATAGACCCTCCAAGCTCAATAAAATAGAACAAGGGGAAATAAAAAAATGAAGTATAAGATAGAGGGGCAAGAATCTCCTGCCATTACGGCTTTTATAGTTAGATAGATACTCTTAACATAAGTTTTAAAAACAAAAAGAAATATAAACGAGACAATATGTCTGCCATTCAGTGTCCAAATTTCTTAATGTCCTCCATTATAGACCCAACAGACATACCCCACCATGCACATATATATTGGTAGATCGACACCATGCAACTACATGACTGGCAAATCTGTAATTATAACAAATAATCAAGCTAATTACTCACTCTAATTAAAAAAAATCGTATATATATACATATATATTCGAACCCCATGACAACTTCCTTGTCATACCTTCAAAAAATAATCTCACTCACTTCCAAAAATCCTTAGCTCAAAGAATTAATAATGCAAGCAAAACCATACAATACAATTCCAACAAATTTCCCTCCAGCGATTAAACTTCCTCAATTTCATCGGATTCCATCGCCGGCTAAGATCAAAGGACCCAGAGTCATATCCATTTCTACCCCAGATGCCAATGACCATGTCTCAAGCCGCACAACCCTAAACAATGTAGATGATTCTGTGGCTGCCTTTTGGGACTACCAATTTTTATTTGTTTCACAAAGATCAGAAACAACAGAGGCAGTAACGCTTCAAGTCATCGATGGAGCAATCCCGCCCGATTTCCCATCTGGCACGTATTATCTCACCGGTCCGGGGCTATTCACCGATGATCATGGTTCCACGGTGCACCCTCTGGACGGTCATGGATACCTTAGGGCATTTAGTATTGATGGAGTCAATCAAGAGGTCAAGTTCATGGCTAGGTACGTAAAAACCGAGGCTCAAGTTGAGGAGCATGATCCAGAGACTGACACATGGCGGTTTACACATCGTGGTCCGTTTTCTGTGTTAAAAGGAGGCCAAAAACTTGGCAATACGAAGGTAATGAAAAATGTGGCAAATACTAGTGTATTGAAGTGGGGTGGTAGGCTATTATGTTTGTGGGAGGGTGGGGATCCTTATGAGATAGAATCAGGGACGTTGGATACAATCGGAAGGTTTGGTATGATCAACCGATGTGATTTATTGATGGACAGTGGAAGCAATGGTGGTGATATGTGGGATATAGCCGCTGGATTATTGAAGCCAATCTTATATGGTACGTGTATTGTTTTCGGTAGCTTTTTGGGTTTTTACTTTTGGGAAGTTGATTTCTCGGGAACTCGATCAGATATTGAATATGCTCATACATGAAATCAAAAGTATTAGAATTCCGATCAAAGAAAATAATCAACATTTATACACTAAATTAGTTACTAGAAGGTGTTTCCATCAATATTATTCTTTTATGCAAAACAAGAAATGGTAAAATAATCACATTCATCAGGAAATAGAATAGTAAACAACTGATAGGAAAAAATAAAAATAATTTTCACCGGTTTAGCATCATGTATCAGAGGTCCTAATTAATTGTTTGTTGTACTGCTAATTAGAAAAAGAAATTCATTTCTATAAACATCGCATTATAAAAAAAACTAAAAAAAACCGGACATGACACTGTTCATTTATTGTAACAGTGTCTTTTTTTTTAACTTACGTCTGGCCTCCGCCTCCTTTATTTTACCAAATAAGGGGCTGGGCTGCTACTTCACCGTAGCATTTCCATTTTTTCTATTCTTTTTTTTAAAGGGTTTGGCTGCTACTTCACTGTAAAATTCTTCTTCTTCTTCTTCTTCTTCTTCTTCTTTTTTTTTTTTTTTTTTTTTTTTTTTTTTTCATTCAGTTGTTATATGGTTTTAGATCACAATTGTTCTCCTTCTATATAAATAATTTATTTTTATATTTTTTATCATAAAATTAGATATGAAAATATAAAAAAATATTGTTATTTTTTTTTTGTTTTACGTACATTTTGACAGTAATAAAATATATATGATATTTTTTAAAATTTTAATTTGAATATATATATCTGATTATATTATTTTTATTATTTAAAATTTATTTCTTCAATTATTTGTTTCTTATTAAAATTCTCATCGAGTTAATTTTTAAATTTTATATAATTTTATTTGTTAATAAATTTAATTTTTTATATATGATTTTTGAAATAAAATTTTAGAACATGATTGTTTTAGTTTTTAAAATATATTATTATAATTTATAGGATTGATTATTTTTATGATTTTTTAATGAAAATGACATTGTTACATATATAAATTTTGATGAGAGAGAGAGAGCTCAAAGTGTGTTTTAGATAATTTGACTTAATTTTTTTAAAAAATAACAATTAAAAAAATAATTTAGCTTTTTTTAAAAAATTTTAATAATTAGTTAAAAAATTCTCGGATTATATATATATATATATATATATAATCAAAATCTATCAAAACTATTTTTATAATATTTTTTATTTAAATCTATTTATTTTGATATATTTTATGCAATTTAAGTAGGATTTTATAGTTTCAAAATGTTTTGGTAAAAAACGGTGCCCATTTTTAATAGCAAATTGAGCTAATTGGATGGAAATTAAAATATTATTGCATGGTGGATCTGATAAAACAGCATGGATGGGAGCGTACAAGTTAACCCTATCGTGATCAATTAATGCAATAAGTCAACTAACTTTAGTCGCAGTTATCAATGCCCCGGCCGGACGTGATTAATTAATACAGCAAGAAATAGTAACCCTATCGTGGATGTTGCGATTTAATAATCATCTATTCTCTGATTCTTACATTCCAAATGAATGCAACAAATCTTTGCCACTTTAGTCACACTTATCAATGCCCCGAACGTGCAAAGAAACAGCATAAAAATCGGAAATGTATAAATATACTGAATTTCGTGTCCTTTTGAGTTTTGAATTTTAAAATTAGCATTTATAGAAATTATTTTCTTGATATATAAGATTGATGCAAGAATAGATTCTTAAAATCGTTTGAAGAACAGACTTAATTAATTTTTTTAAGTCTTAACTATTAATATGATTTTTGAGATACTCTTGACTGTATTAAAAAAAAAAACAGTATTAGAAAACTTAATTATAATATTTTATTTTTTTGCTGACTAGATTTTTTTTTTTTAACTACTTGCACAGGAATGTTTAAAATGCCACCGAAGAGGTTGTTATCCCATTATAAGGTCGATGTTAAAAGTAACAGACTGATCACTGCTTCATGCAATGCCGAGGACATGCTGCTGCCCCGCAGTAATTTTACATTTTATGGTAAATAACGTATAAAAGGGCGCTGTAATATTATGGTTAACATTTTTTAAATAAAAAAAATCTCATCTTGCAATTGTTGATTAATAGTTTGTCTTTCTATTTGTCATTTTCAGAACATGATGCAGATTTCAAGTTGTTGCAGAGACAAGAATTCGGCATTCCTGATCATTTGATGATTCATGATTGGGCATTTACAGATACTCATTATATATTATTCGCCAACCGCATTAAGCTTGATGTCATCGGTAATTATCTGTATACATACAAACAACTTTTATATTATCCTCGCCAGATTTCTTTTTCTGAACATTCTTTTATTTATTAGAAATTTCATATATTAGGTATTAAATTACATAATGTAATGGGAACAGCACTAATCTCACTCTTAACCCCTCACATCTGTAAACTACCAAGAATCTTTAATTCTAGAATGATTGGAATAACATGGAGCGTGAAACTTTGGAATATGGCCGTTTGAGAACATAATGGATTCGGCCTTCTTATAATCATTTAGAATTCGACTATACTGAAAGAAAATGAAGAAGAAAAGCCCAATTGTAGTGTGCTTTCATGAAGAATTGCTATGGCATAAGTGACAAGGTCACGAGAACAGTATTAAATTAGAATTTTTTTTAGGCAGAGACGATTGATTATTCAACAACCATGGATATTGCAGGATCAATGACTGCTGTTTGTGGACTGTCTCCAATGATATCAGCTTTGACAGTAAATCCTAGCAAGTCCACCTCTCCCATATATTTGCTTCCTCGCTTTCCTGACAGTTCTTCTGGCCATCGAGACTGGAGAGTGCCTGTGGAAGCACCTTCAAAAATGTGGCTACTACATGTTGGTAATGCTTACGAGGCTAAAGATGTCGATGGAAATTTGCAAATCCAAATACATGCTTGCATTTGCTCCTACCAATGGTTCAATTTCCAAAAATTGTTTGGTGGGTAGTTTTTGAGCACTTATCACTTAAAATTGTCTCAAAAGCAAAGAAAAATCAGTGTGGCTTTTAGAAGTGTTATTTTAAAGCATTTTGGTGTTTTAAGTAAGAATCTAGATGGCTTTGACAGAAATTGTGTTATCTTTGGAATTGGACAGGATATGATTGGCAAAAAGCTAAGCTAGACCCTTCTATCATGAACGTAAAAGAAGGTGGAGATGGGTTACTGCCCCATCTTGTTCAGGCACTCTCTCTCTCTCTCTCTCTCTCTCTCTCACACACACACAGCAAATTTGTAAGGGATTGAGATGTTTTAGTTTCATCCATGAAGGAAACAGAACAAAATGCAGAGCCAAGATGATTTTTTGAAAATACCTTCAAATGAAGAAACATAGTGAAAATTGTGAAATTCTAATTCTCGTGAGCTCTTCCCACGAACCCAACGTGGGCTCTCCTTGACCTAAGATATTGATTGTTTTATATAATGCAGGTTTCTATAAACTTAAATGCTGATGGGACCTGTCAAAGATGTAATGTGGAACCCTTGAATCAATGGAGCAAGGCAGCAGATTTTCCTATCATAAATCCTGAGTTTTCTGGTAACAAAAACAGATATATTTATGTAGCAGGTTCTTCGGGCTCCCGCCAAACATTGTCGCATTTCCCTTTCGATATGGTGGTGAAGCTGGATTTGTTAGACAATTCTGTCCATACGTGGACAGTTGGTGCTAGGAGATTTGTCGGCGAACCTATATTTGTTCCACAAGGTAGCGAAGAAGACGACGGATATCTTCTAGTAGTGGAGGTGAGACATGAATCTGTACTCGAAGAGTCTTTATCCTATCTTCTGTAGCATCACTGAGAAAAAATAAAGAATCACGCTACATTCATAGTATAAGATTTCTAATGCAGCTTTGGTGCACATTTTTGCTGTTTCACAGTATGCAGTTGCAATACAAAGGTGCTATCTTGTAATTTTGAATCCTAAGAGGATAGGGGAAGCCGATGCAGTTGTAGCAAGACTGGAGGTCCCCAAGCATCTAAATTTTCCACTTGGTTTTCATGGTTTTTGGGCCAGTGATATTTAATCCAATCCGTTAAAAATTATATTTTCTGAGATCATCATTTTAATATGTATTCGTTCTTGGGATTTCTGACAGATTCCTAGTCAGGTAAATGTTATCTTTGTAGATGCAATCAATCTTAAATCGTTGAAGATGTCAATACATCCATTTGTAATTTTGGTTTTTTAGAATTTCAATGCCTGTGCTCCATAGAATGGGAACCTGTTTACGGAGATGATAATGCTTGTTAGTGGGCAATGCTACCTAGACCTCCAGTAGGGATGGCAATGGGGCTGATCTCCCCCCGCCCCACACGTCTCTTAAAAAAAAAGAAAACCTCATTCTCGCCCCGTGTTTCGTTTGAGACGAAATTTTGCTTACCATCTTTATCTCAAACGGGACAGGACGAGGTCCCATCAGATTACCTTTTTCAAAGGTAAAATGACAGAGCGGGCCGCTCAAAAAAAAAAAACTTATCTTCACCCTGTGGCTCATTCGGAATAAAATTTCACATCTCATACCCGCTCCAAATGGGGCAGGGCGAGGCTACGTCGACACGGGTTGGATTGCCGTCCCTATCCTCCACACACGAATTTCTCTACAGCACTTAGTGCTTTCTGTATATATTTTTTTTAATGGTGAATTGTCTAACAGCTTCTCCATCAAATAAAAGAAAGAGGTGTTCAACTTCAACTTCTAACTTGAACAAAAAAAAACCATGAATCACTAACTTTTTGATTTGATTGGGTCTAAAATAATTTAAGATAAAACAGCTGATGGTAAGCATTCATTGATTGATAAAAATTTATCTCAACCTCTAACAAGTATTTGGTTGAAAGTTGAAACAACAAAATTAATAATTTTTGCTCAATGTATTTAGTTGCAAGTACATCAATTAATCTGAATTACTAACGTTTCCCAATAATTATCAAAAATTGAAAAAAAAAAAAACTAAACTAAAACCATTCTCTACTGTTGGTCTATCGTTCTAACAACTGTAACTTGTGAGTAGAAATACTATGGATACACACTCACGCTGACTGTTCCTTCTACTTTCTGCTTTGGTTGTTGTCTCTTGGCCCTTCGTTTCTTAGTCGTTTACTTATCTTCTATTCTCTACCGTTTGATTGCTCTTCTACTTTTTCACTGCTCATGTCCTTCTTTCTCATATTTTATTTCTTTAATCCATTTAGTTGCTTCTGTCTTTTGACTGCTATGTTCTCAACGATAATTTGTGCTTTCTTTCTCTTTGGGGCTGTTCTAGGAATTTCCTCTCCTTCTCTGTCGAAGCATTTATTGTCTCCGCCCCCACATTGCTTCTTTTTTCTTCTTTTACAGCGATTTCTTCCTCCTCTAGACAGCATCGGTGCGCCATGGGTCCCAAATCATGATTTTTTTTTTTGTGAATCAGTTGCTGCGTTGCAATTCTCGCCATCATCTCTCTTTTTTCGCTTTTTAGTTGTTTTAAATTAGTTGGTTCTCTGTCTTTGCCCTCTCTTCTGGTTTCTTTTCGTTGTTGTCTACTTTGTTCGGAACTAGATGACTTTTCTTTGTTTTGTGACTGGCCGACTGGTCAAATCCTGCCTGTAGGTGGTGCCTCCTACCTGGGGCCTATGGGTATCAATGGGTGCTGACAATTTGTTTTCTCATTAGGCCATCATTAGGCCATTGTTAGGAATTGGTTCAGTTCCTCTTCTTTCAACCTTTTGTGGTGTGTGTCCCATTGGTTTGGTTAGGTGTTAATCAGGTGAGCATTTTCTTTCTTGGCTAGCATGTCCTTCTTCTTCTTCTCCTTCTTATTTCTTTATATTGATGCTCTGTGCATACCAAATCCGTGTGATTTTTTTTAGTGTTAGATAACGACGATGACTAATGGAAAGCTACTCAATCTCCCCAAGGTCCTTCTCCTCTCTTCTAAGTCAACCAATGAACACTCTAATTTCGATTTTCCATTCTTTTATTATACTTCTATTTTAGTCGATCTATTCTTATTTATCTTTATTGCTTAAAAAAAAAACTAAAACAAAACAAAAAATTACTGTAGTCATTGGTGTTCTGATTTACTTGGTCTCCTCCTTACGAAGGTTTTTGAAGTCACAGGAGATCAACCATCTCACTTTTGCCTACTTCGTTATCTTCAACCTCGACGTCCTCTATTCCCTTGATTGCCTAAGATATTGTTATCCAGCCTAATTATTTTTTAACACTTGTATTACATTTACAATTTGGAAGATAAGTTGGATTGTTTTCGAATTGTATTTTACTGCAAACATAGGATTTTTTTTTCAATGTCAGTCATTTAGATTTAGAATGTTGATAAAATTAATGAATGGATTGATGCTTTGTATTGATTAAAGAAACGTGTTCCTTTTTTTTGTGTTATAGGTCGATAAGGATGCGGGTGTTGCTTGGGTTTTATCTTTGCCAGCTAATCTTATAGATAACGTTGAATTGAACAATGATATAAACTTGATTGCCAAGGAGGTTTGTTGAATTTTATTAGATTTGATTACTATAATCCCCGTAATGCTTAATTATAATGAGCTTTTGGATTGTTGCATGACAATTCTGGGTTCTATGGTTCCCTGTCTTTTTAATTTCCTTCGGATAATAATGGGGTATGAATATGATAGAGTTGAACTGTCCTATAGTTTTTTATTTTTTTTAAATAATGCTTACATTGAGCAGTTCATTATGTTTCTGCAGAAAAACTTATGGCATCAGTTTGTCTATAAACTTTTGTTCCTTGATATAACATATGATGTTTGATTTGCCTATAGATTTTGATTCGCAATTACAGCCATTTGGCAAGCACTTACTGTGCCCTATCCATATTGAAGATTGTTGGCTATAATTTGTCAAATATCGACTCCAGATTGATATCCATGTCAATAAGGAACCTTTAGCAACCTGATGAGTTTTCTGCCTATCTATATTGGGGCAGAGATAGATCTTCAATTCGTACACTGTGGTGGTTCATCATGAAAAAATTTAGGATGTTCATGAATCTGCTTAATGTGATATTACCTATAAACTAAAGTAAAATAATTTTTTACTATAATAATGAACAGTATTAATCATCGCACATTGTTACAGTTTTTTTTAATTTTAATTTTTACGTTTTTTTTCCACCGCCAGAGGGTTCTTTCCTTTCTTTTTTTCCCCGTTTACTGTTCGTGTGAACAGTAAACGACACCCTCCCTTCTTTTTTTATTCCATCTGTACAAATAATGCCTAAGAAACCATTTTCCACCATTAAATCTCTGGTTGTTAAATCTCATTCTCTGTATGTGCATTCTCTGATTGTGGTGGATGGATTCTTCAAAATCAATATGTCATGGGCCCTTTTTTTATTTTTTATTTTTTCCCTAAACATTGAATTGTTTTTTTTTTTTTTTAATTTTCGTTTCTTAATAATAGTGGATGTTAAAATTTTAAAGGAACCAACAATTAATTAGGTGTTAAAATTTTAAAAAAACTAAGAATTTACTTCCTTTATTATTTATTTTTAAAATTTAAAATATCTAATTTTTCTTTTGGTGTGGCCATTTTTTTGTTTCCGTTTCTGAAAAGTGAACGATTTTTTTTTTTTCATTTTCGTTTGTTGGGTATTAAAATTTTAAAGGAACCAACAATTAATTGGGCGCTAAAATTTTAAAAGAACCAACAATTTATTTCTTTTATTATTTATTTTTAAAGTTTAAAATATCTAATTTGAAAAAATAATTATGTCTATAAGCACATGCATATTATATAAAATATTACTATCACATTACATAATTTATTAATTAAAAATTACATAAGATGTATTTCTCAAAAAAGAAAAAAAAGGTACATATATTATAATAAAGAATTTTATTGCTCATAGTTTGTCATTTATTACTATTTTCATTAATTTTTTATTTTTTAAAATTCTCATTCAATTAATTTAAAATTATATTTACTCATAGTTATGATTTATTTTAATATTATTCATCCAATTAACAAAAATTAAATTCATATTTTTTCAACATGAAATAAAACAATAAATTTGTTCAATTCTATGTAAGCTTTTAATAATTGCTATTTTTGTTTTTCGACACAATCTTATAAAATACTAAACCTTTTTTAAAAAAAATTATTTAATTTTCTTTTCAGTAAATAATCCATAGATTAACAAGAATAAATCCTTTATGTAAAGAAAAAAATATGAAAAATAAAAATAAAAAATAGTTAAATATAAAATTTTGATTAAAAAATTATAATTAGTTTTTTTACTTTTGATTTCATATTTTTTTATTGATTCACACCATAAAACAGATTATTAAACTGAAATAATTTTTCTAAATGATTTTGTATATTTTATCTAATCCGTAGCGTAACGTCGGTAAAAAATCTAGTAATATACCTATAATTAATTGATGTATCGGCAGCCATTTGTTTTATGTCAAAGGATTGGAGTGGCATTGGCAAGGAGAAAACCAAGGAATACGTCTTAAAATGTAGGTATATTTTTTCTGGGTGAACTTCTCCTCCATTATCCATTTTTCTACAACGCATTTTTCAATGAGTTGATAATTCTTGTGATATGTTTCATGTTTACTTACAAGCAATGCTCCTCTTTTCAGCCATATGACGGTGGCTTTGGGATGATTTCTGGTTCAGAATTGTATATAATTGGTAGATTTTCTAAAAAATTATAAATCTAAAGGGGTAATTGATGTTTTGCTACTTTATTCTTACCGTTAGTTTCAGCTATACACAAAACTTTGTTTTAACTGATGGCATTTTTCTTCTTTCTTTGCTTTTCACATCTATTTTTTGATCCAACATCTGCTTTTCACTTTCCAGTGCCATTTAGCAATGATCTTATTGTTTTATTATCATCATTTTTTTTACATTATTATTGAAAAATTTGTATAAAACGAGCTTCATTTTACATGAAATTTTGAACTAGTTTCTTTCAATGCTATTTACCAATGATATTTATCCCAGTAGACATATGGTGGGACTTACTGTCCAGTTGCTTCTCTTCATCTAATGGGATCTATTGAAGACAATGTCCTATAAAAAAATGCAGCATCTTCCATGATTGATATTTCATTGTTGTTGGAATGTTGCTCATAGGTTTACTTCCTTCATCTGATATCTGGAGTCATTTCAAAGCATTAACAATGGAACTTGAACGTGCGGCTTTTAGAATTTAAACAAGTAAATAGTGGACCGACATTATTGTTAAGGACCTAGAGAAAGTTGCAAAAAAAATAGTCTTTGCGTTTACTTTAGAGGATTGTTTGCTTAAAAAACCCATTATTGCAAACATGATTTGCAAACATTTGGACAAAGAAATCATGTTTGCTTAAAAGATGGCCCCGTTACAGTTCCTCCTTTCGCTGCTCTACAAAAAATGCAAACCCATTTGATTGCTGAGAGAACTCCTAAATCAATTTTTGTTTACTTCAGAGGATTGTCTTATGATGTAGGAAATGATCCAAAAGGTGGCTACTATGCAAGATAATTCTCACATAGTTCTCATTTGTTAAAGAAAGTGATTAGATGTTTAATTATTTCAACTCTTTTCCATAGAATGTGAAGCCTTAACATAAATGAAACATGTACGGTATGGATTATGGTTATGAAACTTTAATCATAAACCTTTCATATTTTCCAATTAGATTAAAAAAAGCCGAATACAATATACTTCCTCATTCAAATGCCAGATTTCATGTTTTAGTAACGATCCTTTATGTGATAAAGGCTTGAGTGGGAGTCATTGATCAATTTGTTCTGTATGTTTACAGAGGTGCACAAGCAACAATCTTAGAGAACTTCAAGGAAAATCTGCCTTTTTGTTCTGACATAATGTTGTCAATGGATCTATCCTAAATTATCAATGTTACGATCATTTTTAGTAATGGACAAATCTTCTATTGTCTTTAAATAAAAAAAGACCAATTGGTTATCAATGGATTTGTAAATCATAAAAACCGTCCTCAATTTTAAGTGTTTCAATCCTTTTTATTTACTGCGCAAACTTTCATATGTTTTTTTTAAAAATATATATAGCCTTTCCACAAACTACATCACATAACATTAATTCCAACAGCAAAATAAGTAGGTGCTAATTAGTTTTTGGCCTGATCAATCAATTGATTTTACATTTATTTGTAAATACTATTTTATTTTATAACCTCATTTGTTACTAAACACCTATCTGACTGTATAAAATATGTAAAGAAAAGAGGGTTACAAACCAGTATTACTATGAAATTTGGCACTACGCAAACCAATGACGCCCCAGCCCAATTATAAAAGTGAGATAATCCCATCAAATTAAAATAAACAGAAACAGGCTACAAGCCCATTCATAATAATTAATCAGAGTTCAAAAGCCCATCCCAAGCACCTCTCCCTCCCCATTTCTCCTTCTTTCCAAAATTCCAAATTCACCAAAAACCCTCCAATTTCAAAACTGAAAACCCTAAAAAATTAATTTCACAGAAAGAGAAAGCCTCAACAATGTCAGGCTTCTCTTCCTCCTCTTCCGCCTCTTCCTCTACACAATCCTCCCCTTTCTCAACGCTTTCCTCCCCATCCCCATTCGTATCGACCACCCCAACCACCGGATTCTCATTCGGATCTTCCTCTGTCACTACCTCCTCCACAAACCCTAACTCCGCTCCTTCCACCACCAACCCCTCCTTCGTCTTCCCTTCCTCCTCCGCTCCTACTTCTTCCCTATTCTCGTTCCCGACTGCCTCATCCTCCACGAGTACAACTCAGTTCCCGTTTGGTTCTCTCTCTACCGCCTCCATTTCCCCTAATCCCTTCTTTGGCTCCGGTTCTTCGTCTACATCAAACACAACTTCCTCTCTATTTGGCACAAAAACTTCATCATCAACATCCGCCCCTTCGCCTTCGCCTTCGTCTGTGTTTGGAACAGGTACAGGCTCAGCCTTGTTCGGAACTAGTGCATCCTCACCCTTGTTTGGCTCAACTTCCTCTTCAGCAACTTCCTCTTCGCCTCTGTTTGGCACAATTTCACCCTCGCCATTGTTTAGCTCAACTTCCTCCACAACTACTTCTGCTTCGCCTCTGTTTGGCGCAAGTTCATCCTCTACCTTGTTTGGATCAACTTCTTCTACAACCACTGCTTCCGCTTCGCCTCTGTTTGGAACGGGTACCTCTTCTACTCCTTCCTTGTTTGGTACACCTTCATCGGCATCAAGTTCAGGTTCCTCCTTGTTTGGCAATTCTCTGTCTACTACAAGTTCGGCGCCCTCTCTGTTTGGATCATCACCGTCTACTGCTTCAACCACCAGCACCACTACTAATTTGTTTGGTCCTTCATCTTCTTTCTCTAATGCGAGCTCTGCTCCAAGTTTCTCTACTGGATTTTCTATTCCAAAAACCACTCCAGCTTCAGCACCGCCTACTACTGCTGCTGCTATCGCGTCCACGTCAGCTCCTTCAACGCCAGCTTCCTCTTCGTTTGGGACGCAGTCATCGGCGCCTTCGCAACCTTCCTTATTTGGCAATGCAGCCTCTTCTTCTTCGGCGAAATCCACAACTGTATCGCCGTTGTTTTCTACGGTTACTACTACTACTGCTGCTACACCAGCTAGTGGTGCTACTGCAGTTACTTCTACTAGTACTAGTAGTGCAACTTCGGGGCTGAGTTTGCCTGCATTTAGTGCGACTTCGGGAACTACAGCTGGGACAGGTGCTGCTGCTGTTTCTACTGGCTCTACGGGGTTTCCTTTTACGGGTTTTCCATCTGCTACAACTAGTATAGCGGCTTCTTCGGGGACTACTACTAGTTCTTTTACTGGATTTTCATTGTCCAGCATATCACCTGCACCTGGTTCAAAATCAGTAGCTCAACCGGCTAGTACTTCTGCACCTCTACTCAGTGAGTGTGTTAATTTTGTTTGTCCTTGCCATTTTTCTTTATTGTTGTTATCTGGTAGAAAGTAGATGGTAATTGTGTTACTGAAATTGAATTGATATGTACGTGCTTTTTTGCTTGCTCATGCATTCGTGTTAGATGAGTTGTACTTATGCTGAATTGCAAAATGGAGCAGACGATATTCCTGTCAAATTCAATTGCTAAAGCAAAAATTGAATGACATTTTTTCAATTTCATGCAAGAAAAACGAACATCAAAACAACACTTGACCTTTAGAAAACTTTCCCTTTCCCATCTTATCTTCAGGTGCATCTTCATTCTTGGGTGTTCTAAACGTTCTGGATTTATTCCCCCCACCTAGTTAACCATATCTTCCTTGTTGAACTCCAATCAGTGAAGTAGTGGTTATTCATGATTAAGTTCTCACGCAATTCATTCTGCAGGTGTCCCTGCTTCAACTGCTGCACCTACAACAACTTCCAGCTCCAGCACTACTACTGCTCAGACATCATCTCTTGTTGTGGCTCCCAGTAGTGGGTCTGTATGCTTAGTATTTCTGTTATCTTTGTCTCTGAGAATTTTAGCTAGATACTTTATTTCCACATTTTGATTAATATATTACATTCTGTTTCCAAAGTTTTGCAACTGGTTTCCTTTTTAACTCTATAATTAAGTATATTGAAACAAAATGAAGTTTCTCTAAGGTAGAGAACATGTTTTGATTAATTGATTTTTCCTCTCATGTTTCCCCTTATCCTACAGGACAAGTTCAAGTGTTACTGCCTTAACTGCTGCACCAAAATTACCATCTGAGGTTACAGGGAAGACTGTTGAGGAGGTAAATTCACATTTCATCTATTTTTTCCACTGCACCATTGTATTTTCGGTGATATAAAGGTTTGTTTTAAATGTCTACTTCTGTGCACATGTACTGGAGAGTTATTATCCTGTTTTTTTGATGAAAGGAAAAGAAAGATATCAACAGGAATATTTATGCCTCTAGGATACTCTGTTGCTACATTTGGATCATCTCCCCCCTCCCCCTCTACACACCCACACAAAACATTGTTATCTTAATACTGTTGCTGGACCTATTTACATTTTTGGTTTCTGTTTGTCTGTTCATTCTTTCTAAGCATGGTTGTAATTTATTTTCTTCGAAGATCATCAAGGAGTGGAATGCTGAGCTGCAAGAGCGTACTGGGAAATTCCGGAAGCAAGCTACTGCAATAGCTGAGTGGGATAAAAGGATCTTGCAAAATCGTGACGTTCTTCTTAGGCTTGAGGTAAATGTTTTTATAATTTCCTGGCAAAAGAAATCCTATTTTTCAGTGGGATAACATAATTTTAGTATCATCACATGCCTCATGGATGTTATTAAGGAACAAAGTTTGTATTGATAAAAGAATGACTATTATCGTTTTGTACTTTTGAATTAACTGTTTTAAACTGAGTGATGTTTCTGATTTAAGAAAATGACCTCATGCTTCACGAATTTCAACCATTTGTGTTCATCTAAGGCCTCGCGTAACCTATGTATGGTTTTTTGTTCAGATTGAAGTGGCAAAAGTGGTTGAGACCCAAGCTAATTTGGAGCGACAGTTGGAGTTAATTGAGACTCATCAACAGGAGGTATTTTAGGCTTTTTTAGTTCTTCATTGCAATTTTTTTTTCATGTCACTACACTCCTTCTGCTTTATCGTTTGATAATTATATTTTTTAGCCTTCTGGTTTGTGTATGAATATTTTGTATGGTTTTGCAATATGAGGGAAAATTCCCCCTTGGGTTATGATAAAATTTGGGTACGAGGGACTTGCCATAGTTGCTGCTGATGAGCAAACACCACATTGATTATTTCTTCTTATATGATGGTAGATTTGCCATATTTGGCCATCTTTTTCATCAAACATTTGGCAGTAGATAAATCTCTTCACCATACCTTTTCACTTTGTTGTTGATGTCTTTTGTGTGGGTTTTTGTTGGTGGCCAATAACTACTATGAAAATCTGGCTAATTGTTCGGTCCTTTGAAAGACATTAGCATGCTGTACATGAAATCCAAAAATTATTTACTGAGCCAGCAGCTATAATCCTCTGAATCACTATCAATACCATATGAAAACAGTCTGTTGGGGTGTCTCTTGGCCTTTGTTTAAATTGTTAAATGGTATAATCAAGCATTTATAGGAGACATAACATATGGTGTTTGACTAACTGCAAGTCTAGCATCTTTGATCAATTACAACATAAATTATGCTCTTTTTACATTTTGTGCACGGCCGTTGATATTGATGACCAGTCAAATTGTATTAGAACTATTTGAGCCATATTTAATGATATTTGAAGGAAAATAGTGCTCCTTGCTGTTAGTTGATATACGTGTTCTCCATTGCCATCCCTAGTCAGATTCAGTTTCAGTCAACAGCACCTCTTCTCATCAAAACCCTTCACATATATGCTAAATTCAACTTTGTTCTTTTATACTGGACTTTAATATGATATATCCCCCTGTTCATTAATTTATCTGGAGCCAAAGAGACTTGTCAACCAGTCGTTTATGCCCATTATGTATGATCACTACCTCTCTTTGAACCAAGCCCTTTTGATGAGATCCATACTGGAACCTTAAGTTCATCAACAATAACTTTGGAAAAGATTGAAGATTTTGGTCTGTTTATAAATGCTGGAAGATTCCTTTTATTGTGGAAATTTGGGCCTTGCATAAATGTGTGCTTAGTCTTTGTAGTTTGGTCCTTATGTCAGTTTCTTTGTCTGACCCTGCTAGATGCGTTTCTAACTAGAGCTTGCAAAAGCATAAATCCATACATGATCTTTTTCTGAACGGTTCCATTTACTTCATTTCTCTTATGTTGTTAGGTTGACAAGGCTTTGCAAAGCATGGAACAAGAAGCTGAGCGTATTTACAAGGATGAGCGTGAATTGCTTCTGGATGACGAAGCTGCGTCGACTAGAGATGCTATGTGAGAACTTGGTCTTTGCTTACCTTTGCATTCGCATTGTTTGCATTTTGTAGGCCTGATCTACTCTTCGTATTCTGACTTGTTCACTAATTGTTGATTAACCCCACTTAATAATTCATTAAATATCAATAAAATGTGAAATAAGTTGGATGTAACAAAGTTAAAGTCACCCTTACCTTTTCTTGAATGATAGCCGAATTTTATAAAAGTTTTATTTAGGTCACAGGGATGTGCTTTAAGAACTTACTTTTTCGGTTTATTATGTGAGTACTGTAGTTGTATTCTCCCACCTTGACCTACATCTGTTTGTTATTTTTTTCTTTGGGTTTAATTTCAGGTATGAGCAGGCTGAATTTACAGAGAGGGAATTGGAACAGATGACAGAACAGATAAAATCAGTAATTCAGACCCTCAATGCCAACCAGGTAATAGCCTTCTTTTTTATAGTTTGCTTGTCAATAAACTTTTTGAAATAATCTCTAATAGATGATGCTTCCCTTATGATTTCATCAGGGTGGTGAACTTGATGCAATAGATGGTATGACTCCATTGGACATGGTTGTCAAAATTCTCAACAATCAACTAAGTTCTTTAATGTGGATTGATGAGAAGGTAAATATCTTTTATCCTGATCCTTTTTTAACCTAAAAGACTGATGTTTATCTATTTGAGTTTCAAAATTAATTGTCTCCATGAAGATTTTCATTACCGCTGGCCTTGTAAGCCACTCCTCTGTGTTACTCCTCCTTTTATCTCCTATATTCCTTCAAAGGAGAAATAAAACAAAAGGAACCCTACATCCAAATTTTTTGGTAGGCATCTTTTGTCAAATCTTGTCTCAGGATTCATGGCTATTCTGCTTTACAGATAATATTTGCACAAATTAATTTGGTCCAAACTTTGAACCACAACAGAAGCACTTCTTTATGCTATTACCGTAATCCCTTCAGTGATCTGGGGAATGAAAGAAGGAATAAAAAATGGGCTTTTGATTTATTTTACTTTTCAGTGGAAGATCACTGATGTACTTGAATCTTAAACAGGCTGAAGAGTTTTCTTCACGTATTCAAAAGCTTGCTAACCAAGGTTCTGCTGCTGATCGACAATTGTTGGGTTTAAAATTTTGAGTCTTGAGCATGGATGTGTATTGCCCTGTCTTCTCAAAGTCTGTGTCTGCCTAGTTGAGTTCATTGTGGATGAAAAGCCTTTGTCATCCTTTTCTTTTCTTGCTTTATAAAGTAAATGCACATTTGTGGTGCATTGCATACAAATGTAATTCCTTGATGAGATTATATATCCTGTGATGTTAAATTCGCCAGTCATTGTAGCCATCTTTGATTCACTGTTGTTTGAATCCAACAGCTTCAGAAAGAATCTTGACTTGCATGCTGTCTTGAAGTTGCATATATAGTGTGGGGAAAAATTGTTTTAGTTGGGAGATGATACTAACTGAACAGATTTTGAAGGAAGAACTCCTGCTGTTTGTTAGTTTTTTGCTCCAGATCCTTTCTCCCTAATGTGTGAACTCACCATGATGGACGGATGTGATTTGGTTTGTGTATGCATGGGTGATTGTAGCATCTTTCCAGTGCTTATGTTTTGAGGAGAAGTAATGGAAAAGAGAGTAATAGAAATGAAATTAAGCTCATCTTCTTTGTTCGGATCCTAAAATTAGAAACAGAAAAGAAGGTAAACGTCTAAATTTTCATTTTGGTCCATAAAAAATTGAGAGGGGAGGTATGGATAAAAAAAAAAAAAAAATTGAAGCAAAATTTTCTAATATTTATTTCGAGAAGCACCCTTAGTCAAACATCAATTTATGATGCCTCAGCCTCCTTGAATCAAACAAAGGAAATTTAATTTGACTTCTTTTCTTTTTCTCTTATCTAATTTCTCTTGCATCTTTTGACTGCTATATACAATCTTAGTTGGATGGCAAGAGAGAGAGATTAGAGATTTGAACCTGGATGGATTGAGATTATTTATAAAACCATCAATGAATGGAAACAAAGGCTCCAAACAGGGATGATTATTTTTCAAATCATCAAATAACTGGTGTCATTTTGTTCTTACATTCGTATTCCTTTTCCCGTATTTTTTAGCCATGACCAATAGATTTTCCTTTTGACTAATTCATGTAGGCCTATAATTTGGTGTATATATTAGATACGACAAGGCAAGTTATACTTTGGACGTATTAAGGCAAAGTTGTTCAAAAGGAAAATTTTTATCGTAAGGTAAAAGAGGAACGACTTTATCCAATAATAAAGACAAGATCATTATTTTTTATCTCTCATTAATTTTTTAATTTAGTTGATTGAAGTTTGACCAAGTTGATGTATATTTTATTAAAATGATTTTTACTAGTAGGGCCTTAATTGCACTTTTTTAATATTTACAGACTAAATTGCATATACCAAAAAACAAGTGAACGAAAATTCTTTGTAACTAAATGGGTCAAACCTTCCATGAGCTTTAATGTATTTGAAAATAAATATATGTACTTTTGATTTTGAGTTTGATCTCTTTTGATTTTTTTTTTTAAAATTTAGTCTATCTTTTAGTTTATATATATATATATATATATATATATATATATATATATATATATATATATAACGGTTACATAAATAGTCTCACGATAAAAATCATTCGTTAAGATTTATCTGAAGTTTTTTTTTTAAATTTAAGATCATTCTCAATTATTTTTTTATACATTTTTAATGTTCATTAAAAAAAATACTTCCTTACTTTGAAAATTTTGAGATTTTTTCAAAAAATAAATTGAATTTTTTTAACGTGTTTGCAAAACATCAACTCAAAATACTAAAAATTGATTTTTTTTAGAGGATAAAATGATAGCCGAAAATTGTAGGATGGACTAAATCTCATATAAATAAATAAATAAATAAAATTCAGAAGAGTTCAAATAAGAAATTAGAAGTTTAAAAACTGATTTTGGAATGAACTAAAGTTCAAAAAAGTTTGGCCCATTTAGCCTTTTTTTTTAGGACTAAATGTCATGAAAATGCATGATAATAATTAAAATAAATTGTTTAAAACATTTTGAACCAAAATGAATTTTGGCAAAATCTTCATTATACTTTTGTTCTGTTTTTTTATTTTTATTTTTATTTTTTTGTATAGAAGAGGGAGGCAAAAGCTAAGATTTCAAAAAATAGATACCAACAGCATCACTAGATAAAATATCTCTAATGTCAAGAGGAGATTGATTCCAAATTCAAAAGAAAGTATTATTAGAAGAATCAATATGTACGAGAAAATCAACCACCAATTGCCTTCGCTCTAGAAATAACTACTAGCATCATCACTAGAGAGAATGTCTCTCCTCTTATTCTTCCAATGTACCAAACAATGGACAAAAAAAATTCGTACTTATCCAAAGAAATATCATAAATTGTTTACAAATCCAATTCAGTCCAATTCCATTTGTCATGTACAACGTAACAAAGAAAGCCTAATATTAACCAAAACCATGCCTTTTAAGTAACCGATGCTTTAGTCAGTGGGCAACTTCCATTGGCATGTCTATGATTAAATTGATAGGACAACAGCTTCTAGTTCTAATGTTAATTAATTAGTCAGATATATATAGTCATTTCCAAGAAAAACTAAGCTCTTGATACAAGTACAGCACCCTTTTTTTCTTTTTTTTCATGGTTGTGTCAATGTAAACCATATTCTTGGTACTTAGCAAGTCATAGCTTTGTTTTTATCAACATATATAGCCCCTTTGGAAAGCAATTTGAGTTAATGTCAGAGACGATCGATAATGGATTCTCCATGCACGAGAGGCAATGAAGCTTCATGTTAAATGCAAACAAGCACCACTTTATCAAGATAATTCTCCAAGACATAGTGATGATGGGAAGCTTGTAAGTGTTCTTTTCTTTCTCTTCGATTTTTCAAGAAAGAGTAAAGGAAAAGGGGGAAACGAAAGGAATTTTAGGCATTTGACATGTAAATGCTACGATTTATGTCATGCATGTAGTTCTATTTGACTCATTTTCTTGTTAATGTATTCTTTTTTTCATAATTACCATTAAAAAAAATTTTAGATTCCGACAAGATAGTAGTTTGTCGGTTTAATTCCTTCATTCATTTTGGTTTGATTGTTAATTTGTGGAGACTAATGTGGTAGGAGGCTCGCAGTATAAGGCGTTATATAGATCCAACACGACGGAGCTCTTGAAAGGTTTACAGAATATTTGACCGGATGTATAAGCTCGTTAGACATTTTTTCTTATAATTTAGTTTTCCATACTATAAATAAGGGCAACATCACTAGCATTCATAGCCGTCATTTGACAAAAGCTAATAAAAAATCCTAGTACGACCACGGAGTAGGTACCTTTGCTAAACCACATAAAATTTTTATATTGTATAATTGTACTTATCTTTCTATTATATTTTTTTTGCTTGATTGGTTTACTAATAGTTTGCATGGGACAATATGATGTATGTGTGTTTGAGTTGATTAAGGCAACCGAACTTAGATTGAATGTTGTTATTTTTCGAGCTGAAAATTGATGAGAGTTGCCACCCTTCATTCGATAAGTATGAAATATTGATCTTGATCTTGTTTTACTTTCTCTTTTTATTCCCGACATATTTACTAAATGTTGTTGTCGATGTGCATCCAATATTTAGTTCCATTACCATGAATCTAGCTAAGGAAGGGGATGTAGTCGCTTCGATTATATTCTCTCACTAAATAGCAATGGATCGGCGAATGAATTGCAACTATTGTCGAGTTATAAATCTTAATTGTGGAACACCGATAGATTAGTGGTAGATCTTCGGTGAGGACCCTTAACCGTCATTATATTTGGTGATAAAATATTCGTAGGTATTTTAGAGATGGCTTAGCGAGGGAATTGCAAGAGAAATCGATGATAGACTCTTGATTTTGTCATTGCTTTTTGGGTTCATGGTTTCCATAGCTAATTGCATATTTTCCTCGCAAATTAGCAATGAAATTTTCGTCCCTAATATTAAAAAAATGAGTGAAATTTGGTAATTCAAATTCTTCCGGATCAAAGATAGATTAGTGAGAGAATCTTATATCCGTTGGTGATTATTGACGGAATGGCGATCGAATCATGTCCCGTCACTAATTCTAAATCCCTAAATCATAGTTTTTCTTTCTTCTTCTCACATTTTGTTCTTCCTCTCCCTCTTCTCCTCCATCCGTTGCTTCCATCCCCATCGAAACCACACAAAACCTTGCTCCTCCACTCCGCAACAACTCTCACCCACTCAAAACTTTTTGCTTCCTATAAAGCCTCAAATTTCCTCCTTCTTTTCTCGTCTCTTCTCCTTGTCCGAAGGTATGTTCTCTCTCTCTTTTGTTTCCTAAAAAATTGTCATTTTTCATAAGTTTTAGGTTAATTCTTATTAATTGGTTGAATTTTAATTTTATTTATATTTAATTATTAATTAGTTAGATTAATTTGTTAATTAATTGGTATTTAAATTAATTAGGTTAATTTGTTAATTAGGGTTAAATTAATTAGGTTTCAATTAAGGTTAATTTGAATTAGAGTTAAATTGAGTTAAGGTTAAATTGACTAGGTTAAATTATTAATTAATTGATATTTAAATTAAGTGGGTTAATTTTTTAATTAGGGTTAAATTAATTATGTTTCAATTAGGGCTAATTTACTTAGGTTAATTTGAATTAGAATTACTTAATTGCTTTCCTAGATTTCCTTATATACATATTTGTGTCCTTCTATTACTTGCCATCTCAACTTTAGCGATTATTGATTGATCATTCTTTTTCTTGTGTTGACATGTGGTCCGGAGCTCTTTGGAGAACTCTTGCAACGTTTTCCACATAACATACACATATTATTTGAAATTGCAAAGGTAAGAAATGCTATATTATAATATGTGCAAGTCGGCTAAGTTTATTAAATTGTTTGTTTATTTCACTAATACGTAACCCCATATCTTAAGGTTGTAGCCATAATTGAGAAGAATAATAAGGTCATAATGAACTTTAAGAAGGTATTAGAAGTTATGTTTTCCACATTGAGGTAGTGCTTATAGTCCGCACATGAACAAACATATTTAGTTCATGGATTTGCATATTCGATCAATTGATCCATACATTGTAACTTATATGGATGAGTATGTGATGCTTCTAAAGACAAAAGGCAACTTTTCAAAGCTAAAAAAGTTGGTGCATGATTTGCTTAGTTTTAATATTAAAAGGCCACAAGTTTTTGTGGCTTTATTTGTCTTGTGGAAAAAGAAAGATGAGAGAGGAGAAATTTCTTATGCTAATAAGGTTAGTTATATCTTTTGTAGCAATGAGAATCTTTTATCCATCCGTGTAATCTCACGGATCCTTTGATTGATTCTTTTTTGCAATCGAGCATTAGGATTGATGAAAGGTACGGTTACATTATGAAGGTACACGGATAATTTACCCCGATAGAATGTATCTTGTTTTTTATGAAAATAATTTGTAATATATTTTCGGTAGAATTGTTATTCATCCGTTGTATTTGTTAAACTCCTTTAAGTGTTATTCTAGAGAATTTACCTTGATAAAATGTATCTTGTTTTTTATGAAAATAATTTGTAATATATTTTCGGTAGAATTGTTAATCCTTTGTTGTATTTGTTAAACTCCTTTAAGTGTTATTTTAGAGTTATGTCTCGTGGATTGGACAATTCTAATCGCGGTGACATTGACCGTGGCTCGATAACGACAATGTTCGTGGTTGTGACATTGATACTAGTAGTATTCATGACCGTACCATTAATAGTGGCGTCGTATATGGCCGTGACACTACTAGTGTTGGTGTCCGGGACCTTGGACTTGATAGTGACGCCGACACGTCCGCATCCCTACTCGAAGATGATGTAAGAGATGATGATGAAGACTGAATTTATTTATTTTTTTCAATATTTTCGTACAATTTAATACATTTATATATTTATTTGATTTCAATTTATATTATTTTAATTTTATTAAATAATATATCATATTTTAATAAAATATTATTTTTAGTTGTTTGCTACTATCATTAACATTAAATAGCTATTATATTTTTTTAAAAAAAATTCCCTCTTTTACCGATGGATCAACAATCAATGGCAAAATTAAACATATTTGAGACGAAAAAATATACAGTCGCTATCTAGCGATAGATTTACGAAGAATTTTAACGATGACAATTCGTCGCTAGTTAACAACGAAAATAAGGAAAGTAGTGACTCGTTTTATGAAAGACATCAAACTTGAAAGGCGACTATTTACTTTGATTTAGTAACGAAAATTTTACGCGAGTAGTGATGGATTTATCATTGCTATTGAGCTAGCGATGACCATTTTTGCTACCGAAAGTATATTGTCATAAATCTTGTTGCTAAGATAAATAGCAATGGATTTTCATGATTTAGCAACGAAATATCCGTTGTTATTTTTCGTTTTCTTGTAGTGTAAGCAAATAATTTCGATTTTGAGTCTTTATATATACATAAAACTTTTTAAACAATTGTGAATATCTTATATGCTTGATCGAACAATTAGAGATTAGTCCGAGCTTTTAACCTTAAGATATCCTTGGGATTAAAAAAAAAAAAAACTAAGGAAAGGGCTTCCGCTGCTGTGGTAAGGTTTTGTTTTCTTGTCATCATCATCATTTTTAGCAATAGAATTTTGCATTGATGGTATTTAAAATTCCTTGGTGCAGCATAGCAAAGAAAGGCCATCGCTACATATCTTAAGCACAACAGATTGGACGATAAAGGTACTAGACTATCCACATTCTTGCAAAGTTGTGTTCCAGGCTTCATTCACATTAATATGGTTTTGCTTTTGTGGGTTGCAATTGTTTGAACGGTTACATCAATTGTTATGCTTGAGAACCCTCTCTTTGATCTTCTTGGATGGTACGTAAGAATTATTGTGTAAGCTCTGCATATTATGACTAGAAAAGAAATAATGTGTCCTGGAACGACATTTATCGGCCGCACTTCAATATGACAGTCCAAATTATCAAGGCTAACTTGCATTTATGGCATTGCAAATTTTGTTGCGATTTTAAAATCCTCTCGTGTATCTGTTGCATTTGAAGATTGAAACTTTCTATGTTGCTAGCTTACATTATAAATTTATACGTCGCAAAACCTACATCAGAATTTCCACGTGGCAATTTACTAGAGATCCCTAGCCAATGGATGGCTTAATATGGGCATTAACAATTTTTTGTCTGTACCAATAAATTATTTGTCAAGTGATAAACTAATTGATTGTATATAAATTATATAAATTTTTTGTTAATATCTAATGTTTGAATATAATTGTTATTAACAGTTAAATTTTATTTTTTTTCGGAAAAAAATTAATCATATTTTTAATATATATAATATGGAGATACTAAAAGAAAAAAACTGATCGCTTGTCGGTTTATCTCTATTTGTTTGCTAGCCTGTGAAAACCAGCCAAAAAGATCTGACACGTGTCTACTTTACAAGATGGGAGGTTGCTCGCTGTGTGGCCTGACGGTCGGTGAAGATACAGATGTAGTCCACTCTTTCTTGCTCCTGCTAGACTGTACTAGCTAACTATCATGTTGTTTGACATGAATAACCCTTATATGCCTTCCTTTATGTTTTTTTTTAAAAAAAATTGAAGGAAATGTGGGGATTTTACCGACTCTGATTTCTATACTTTTATATTTAAAGCATGATAAATGATGTTTCAAGAAAAAATTGAGATTAAAAGCGTTATTAGCCATTAAACATGGTATTAGTGTGGTATCCGTATTGATTTCAACAAATCTTCAATCTCGATTTTCTCGTAATGTGCAATCTTATGTTTTTTTTTTCCTTTGTAAAATAGCATACAATTTTCAAACAGTGAAAAATAAAAGGTTTTGATCCAATAATTGCAGATAAATCGTCAGCTAGCATACACAATTAAGCTTGGAGAGCCATTCTCTTGCAAATGAAGCGAACTTCATGGATTGGGCCTTCGAGCAAACACTACAGTTTCGCAAAATAGTTTTAGAAAATAGGTTCCTTGCTCTGTATGCATTAAAGAGTCTCCTTGAAAGTCAAAAGAAAGTTGTACAAAGAACCTTGACCTCTTTTACACTGATAGCCCACATGCATAAAAATTGGATTGGAGGAGAACTGCTTTTGGTCTGGGATTCTATTGGCAGGCTACAGAAGCACACATATTGTGGGTGTGATTAAAGAAGACCCACCTGCTCCTAACAGTCACACATTAACCTCTATAAATATTGGCTTCTTTTGATGCTTCCTTCTCACTTGAGCCACGTTGATTAGCAATGTTTACACCAAAGAAGCAACAATTTGCTAGGATAATTATCAACGATGTTATGAAGAATCAGAAGCTTGTAAGTGCATGTATATCCTTTCAATTTTCAGCTTTAAATTCTCAGTGTGGCATTCTTCCAGTGTTTGTTCCTTGCATCTGTTTTTAATTTGTTCAAGTATTGAACAAAATCTGAAACATTTTCCTTTCCTGTTGTGTTATTTACAGTCAGTTCCAGAGAAGTTTGAGAGAAAACATAGAATCGGTTTCTCAAAATCAGTGCTTCTTAAGGTTCCATGTGGTGAAGCATGGAAAGTTGCATTGACAAAGCTTAATGGTCAGGTTTTCTTTCAAGATGGCTGGGAGAAGTTCTCAGATTATTACTCTATAGAGTATGGTCATTTTATAATTTTTGAGTACGAGGGAAACTACCAATTCTCTGTGTTCATAATTGATAAGAGTGCAACAGAAATAAATTATCCATTCAGCAACCAAGAAGGAAACTTTGGGTCTGTTGGAAGTGATTCAGCTGAAGAAGAAACTGAAGACGATGACAGCTCTTTTCAGCTTATGGAAGGAGTTTCTCCAGACTCGAAAGAAACATCAAGCTCAAGTCTTGATTTTCATCCTCGCAAGCCGGCAGGAACCGATTCAGCTAAAGCTGCTAATGGAACTCGGTTTAGCGGGATGAACAGAGAGGGAATCAAGGGAAAGGCAAAATTAGGCTCTTCTTCTAAAGGTGCCCAAATATATTGCATGTTTTTTCTTCACTCTTTTTTGCTTTCTTTCGTAAAAACAAGGATATAATTTTATATTTCTTTGCGTGCTGTTTCATATTTTTGTCGATTATTCTGAACAGAATATGAAGGTTTTCTTCCAAGAAACCAACCTTCGGCAGCAGATGGAAATGCTGAAGCTCTAGACCGAAATGGTGTTCCTAATGATATTCCTTGTTTCACTATCCAAATGCTAGACTCTCATCTCCCTCCGCGGTCTACATTGGTGAGGACCAAAACACTTTTACTTGAAATTATTCAATATTTTCTCACTTGTTTCTTTCTTTTTTGCGTTTAAATTTTATATGCAGAGTGTGCCTTCATGGTTTGCCATAAAATATTTGAAGGAAGAAGAAGGGGATATCACTCTTTCAGTTTTGAATGAGGGAAGTTGGCGGGCTAAGTACCGTGTTTGCAAGGCTTCGAGGGGATCAAGAGTAAGGTTGAAAGAAGGCTGGGGCAGATTTGCCCTGAAGAATGGCTTGGAAGTCGGTGATATTTGTTCCTTTTATTTGCTCAAACGTGATAAGGTAGTGTTTCAAGTTTCAATTTCCCGACCTGATAAAAAATGATTCGAAGCTATTTGTACCTGGCAAGGTGGCATTATGTTTGTTTCAGCTTGGATTTTCCACATATTTAACAAGAACTTGATCAGTTCCACTTTATCTACTTAAACTATGTTTAATTATCTTAGGTTCTCTTTTAGGGTATTTGGGTCTGCTGTTTTCATTCCAGTGCACTCTTTTAAGTTATTTCTTTGTTGTATGCTGTGGTTTCCTTGTCGCCCCAGACCAGATGCAACTTTCAAATGTATATATATTCTAAAATCCAAAAAAATATATTATATATTATAACCTGCAGCTTGTGTGAAAAAAAAAGATTTGTTTTTTATAATTTTTACACCAATTAAATAAAAATAAATTACTGGAAAAGAGCAAAAGAAAAAAATTTATTATTTTTTTTTCCGGAAGCCAGAAAGCACTACAAGCTGACCCATATTTTTGCCAAAAGCCCGTTACTGATCAATTTTTTGACATTAAGAAGCAAAATAAAATATATGTGATAAGGTTGTAGATACTTGGTAGAATGGACAGATGAATGAACTTTTTTTCAGCTGTTCACATAGTGATAGCTAAGTTGACGTATGAAGAAATGCGAATATAGCTTTAATAGGCTTTGTTGTGTTTATCCAGTGTATGTTGCTTAATAGACTAGAGGACCGTGTTTGTCTTATGAGTTATAGAAGATGTACAGTAGTTGTTTTTGTGGCCACTTGACCCATGTGATGGGCAGCATACTCTTTTCCATTTTTGACTGTCTTGGATTGCTGGCCTTGCTTCTCTAAGCCCTAGTTAGGTCGCTCCTTATGCGTCTGGGTCTTTTCTTTTACAGTGGTTGTTGGATCTGACTTGTGCAAAGACTGAGGGTGTACCTATCTTTCTCACAAAGGTAGTTTGGTATTGCTCTTATCATTTAACAATGGTGATTCTCTTAGGAGAATATCCTTTTTTGGTGTAAGAAACGTTTTTTAATAACGGAAATTATTTTATAATTAATATAAGATATTCTGTCATTATTGTAGAATACTTTGTTATTATTATTATGAAATAATCTATATTAAATGTAATATTTATACATATGGATATTTCCATATTTCATATGTTGGTTCAATATAGGAAATAGTTGATCTATGTCTGTATGAATTTTCTATCTTTCTCTATAATAAAATATATAGCAGATTTCTCATTTCTCTTCGTGGCATCAGAGCCTCGTTTATAATTTTTTCTTCCAGTCATGACAACTGATTTTGCAAATAGCAATCAAAGTGTTTTGGTGTTCATTGCAAATATTTCTAATATTGCAATTGATACTAAATCCCCATTCTATTTACATCTTTCAAAACCATCCAGGTCTAATTTTTGTTGCACAATTCTTAAGTGAGTGAAGAGCATTATTTTTCCTGGAGGAGTACTTTTTTAATGCTCTTCAATACAAAAACAAAATGGGTTTTGTGGATGGTTCGTTAGCCAAACTCAATGTTAATTTTGGATATTTTCAATCATGGATCCAATGCAATGCAATCGTCAAATCATGGCTCATTAATTCAATCTCTAAACAATTACAACCATGAGCAACACATGCTAGCACTGCTAGCGAAATATGGAATGACTTTGAAAAAAGATTCACCTAAGGAATTGCACCTAGGATGTATGAACTGAAACGTTCAATTGCATTATTGCAGCAAGAAAGAACAGCTATATCTACATACTATGAAAAACTCAAGAGTATTTAAAGTAAGTTGCAAAATCTTAGACCTATCCCAATTTGCACTTGTGGAGCCACAAGAAAATTGGAGCAATACAGGAGAAAGAAAAGGCATTTGATTTTTTAATGGGTTTAGATGATACATATAATACTGTTCGATCTCAGATTTTAAGCATATAGCTTTTACCTGGGCTTGGGAAGGAATATGTTGTAACTGCCCAAGATGAAAAACAATGTCACATTGTGACTGCGCGTGTTCTGTTGTTGAAGCCACCACGTTGCTGGCTAAGACACCCTCCTCCTATAACCAACATGACCAACACCAAGGAGGTAGACAGCTACACTATGATAATTGTAATAAAGATAATGATACTAGGGAGACTTGCTATGCCTTGATAGGTTACCCAGCTGGATAAAGGAAACCAAAAGGCACTCTACCACAGAATCGTATGTATGCTGCACATTCATAATTTCCTTCACAATTCAGTACTAGTGCAGCGTCCATAATAGATTCAGCCCATGGAATTGCATAAACGACGCCACCAGTAATAACAAGGCACTTCAGGCCTTCGGCCTAAATGGTCATAACAATAACTTCTGGTCATACGCTCCAAGTCCATCTCGTTGAATCTTCAACTTGTGTACCGACCTATGTGAATTATTCAGCCTTAAATTCACTATCCCATTTCGCTATTGTTGAGTTTCAACAACTTGTAAATTTTTTAGACTACCAATCAGACGCCACCACTAGTCCATATGTCAATGTGGTCTCAGAAAATTCTTCTAGTAAGACAAAATTATGGATAATTGATACAGGAGCCACGAATCACATGGCATGTAATTTTGATTCTTTGACTTATGTCTCCCTAAATCTATCCATTCCACCCATCCAAATTTCTAATGGAGATTATATTCCAATTCGATCTTTAGGCTGAGTAAAACTTAGCCATAATCTGATGCTTGAGAATGTTTTGGGAGTACCAAATTTTTGTTTTAATTTACTCTCTATTAATAAATTAACTAAAAATCTAAATTGTGTACTAATATTTGGACCTCAAATTTATGTCATACAGGACTTATCCTTAAGAAAGCTGATCAAAGTGGGTAGAATGTGAAATAGATTGTATTATTTGGAACCAACGGAGGAAGGAAAGGCGAGTTATGGCAAAGCGATCTATTGAGGCGAGTTGTGTCATCGATGTTTGGGATACATACCTATAAATTATGTGTTGTTAGTTCTAAATTTATCTATTGTAGTTGATCTTTCCAAGAATTTTTTTTTATGATGCATGTTGTAGGGCCAATTCACACTAATAATGAGATAATACTTTTGATTTAGTACATTGTAATATTTGGGGATCTATCATATACCATCTCATTTTGGATTATAATATTTTCTTACTATTGTTGATGATCGTAATCGAGCCACATGAATTTTTCTAATGAGTTTTTCTCGGGTGGCTTAACATGCTTAGTGGCGCAAAGCAATGACAAAAGAAATTTCTACCTTAGAAGCCAATCACATTTGGACATCGGTTCACTTACCACCTAAAAATGAACCATTAATTCTAAATGGGTTTATAACATTAAATTTAACTCGGATAGCTCTATGGAAAGATATAAAAATCTTCTTATAACGAAAGGTACATTCGGATTGAGGGTATTGATTTTCATGAAACATTCGTACCCATTGTCAAACTAGTCACTATTTGGTATTTTCTTGCCATTGCTTTCATACGCAATTAGGAACTCTACCAATTGGATGTCAATAATGCCTTCTTATATGGTGATCTCGAAGAGGAAGTTTATATGAAAATCCCTTAGGGTTTTACAAAAAAAGGGAGCAACGGAATTGTCATCTTCAAAAATCACTTTGACTTCGATAGGTATCTCAAAGCCGATATCAAAAGTTCACTCGGTCTTTATCGGCTATGGGGTTTCTTTAATCTTTTTTTGATCATTTCTTATTTGCCTTTTCCTAACAAGGTTCATTTGTGGTAGTTCTTATTTATGTAGATGATGTGATCATTACGAGTACCGACGCGGCTAAAATCTTTTGGCTTAAACAATATTTGGATACTCAATTTTATATTAAGGACCTTAAAAAGCTCAAGTATTTTTTAGGTTTTGAGGTTGCATGCTCACCGACTGGCATTGCTCTCTATCAACGCGAGTATGTATTTGATATTTTAGTCGAATGTGGCTTGACTAGTGCAAACCCTCCTCTTCACCCATGGATCGACAGTATAAACTTGATCTTGATTCGATCCTCATTGTAATGATTCTAGCTAGTATCTTTTTCTTATCGGCTACTCGCTTTATCTCACCATCACTTGTCCCGATATTAGGTATGTAGTTCATGTTTAGAGTCAATTCATGCACGTGACCATGTCAACCACATTTTGATGCTCGCTATTAAGGTTTTCACTATCTTAAGGTGCTATTTGATAGGGCATCTTGTTTCTTTATGATAATTTTTTTAATCTTAAGGAGATACTATGATGTAGATTGGGTTATTTGTTCGGTTACTCGTTGGTCTATCACTAGCTATATAGTATTTCTAGGATCCTTTCCAATTTCTTAGCGATCCAAGAAACAATCCATTATCTCTCATTCGATGATCGAAGTTGAGTATAGAGTTATGGAGACTACCGTTAGTGAGATTGTTTGGCTTCGCTACTACTTTCCGATTTGAGCATTCCTCATCCTAGTCCAGTTTCTCTCTTTTGTGGCAATCAAGTTGCTTTTTATATTGTCGCCAATCTCGTTTTTCATGAACGCATCAAGCATATCAAAATTGATTATCATTTCATTTGGCAACACATCCAATCCAAGCTATTACTACCGCGACTAAGTTCTACTTAGTGCCAATTGATTGATATCTTTACCAAAGTTCTTGGACATGATCGCTTTCACACCTTACTACATAAGTTGGGCATTTCTAATTTGCATGCTCCAACTAGAAAGGTGTTAATAATATAATTTATTTTATAATTAATACAAGATATTATGTCATTATTGTAGAATATTTTTTTGTTATTATAAAATAATATATATTAAATGTAGTATTTATACATATATTTCTATATTTTATAGGTTCAATATAGGAAATAGTTGAACTATACCAAGTATAAATTTCCTATCTTTATATACCTATATAAATTTTCTATATTTCTCTATAATAAAATAAACAATGGATTTCTCACTTCTCTTCATTCTTAGCACATGAGATGATGTTTTTCTTTTAATGCTTGTTCCAAGCACTCGCTTTCCGGGAGCGATCATAACCTAGAGGTGCATGGTGATGCAAGACCGGGTTCCATCACTCTACTTTCCGAGTAGCGATCGAACCCAAAGGTGTATGGTGATGCGGGAGTGGGTTCCATCACTCTGCTTTCCAGTAATGATCGGAACCCGGAGGTGCATAGTGAATAGTGTTATAGGAGAGGGGTGAATTTTGTTTATGTGAGTCTTTCATATATAAAGTCCGACGTAGTTGTGCTTGTAGTAAAAGAGTCCTATTTATAATACTCAATGAGTAACTACCGTATATGTATAGTAGTTACTTTATAGGCTTACGTTTTAGAAGATATATATATATATATACGGATCCACTAAAGGTGATAAAAAGATTAGAGGATCACATCCAAACCCATCAAAAGTGATAGAAGATTTTCACCTTAGCTCAATTTTTTTTTAATTTCTCTCTCCTGTTTATGTTTATCTCTCTTTATGAAGTAACTTACATTAGTTACTCCTTGAGTATTATAAAATTTTTCTCATTTCTCTTACTACACGAGAGACACATAATATGTGTATTTTTTTCGGATATACCAATATGCATTAAAAGAAACAAAGTCCGGGTGTATTAGGTAATATATATTTTAGTGCTTGTAATCTCTTGTTTTGTAACTTAGCTTTCAAACAATGACTTCTTGTCTTTGAATTTAACAGTCACAATTGTCAACCCAAAAAAGGAAACATAATAAAAAATAAATAAAATAAAAACACACTTTAAAAAAAAAAAAGATTGTACTTCAAATGATTTTTCATGATCTATCTTTCCTGCAAAGTTGCAACTTCTTGACAGATTTCTTTTTTCTTAAGATTGGTTAGGCATACATGTGGCAATTAAATGGCATGATTTCACCATCATGGCCACAAACACCATTCCTGCAACACTTTGGAACTATGCATATGTATAGTACTTAGCCAGCATGCTCTTTTTCTATGCATTGTTCATGAAGGTTCTCTCTTTACCTGTCAAATTCTGCTACAAAGCTAGAAACAGACATTGCGTTACTTTATTTTGGAAAGTGCACAAACAAGTTTCAAAAACAAATGCATTAACGGAAAGATACTCTGAAACTAGGAGATATGATTCTGGAGGAATCATTCAATGAGTCTGCAATCTACAAGCAAACTGGTTTAGTTGGTAAAAGCCAGCATGATCAATCAAGTACAATTACGTTTGTATTCAATTTTTCTGTTTTGTGCAGCGGGTACAAACAAGCTTTGCATCATCCTGTTCATGAATGAAAGGAAATAATTACTGTACGTTATCACCGTTTTCATCCCCAGTTATTATGATTGTGGGTTAAGCATTTGTTTCCTTCAGCTTTTCTTTTGAAGTTCGCTGATCTACTCATTATGAAACTGGAGTGGAATTCTCTTCTCAAAGTTGGTTTCTAATTCTGCCTTGTTGAATGTTGAGTTCAATGTTGTTGAAAAGGCTTATAACTTTTTGTCCCTCAATTTTATTTTAGTTTATAAAGTAGATGCAGATTGTGGTGCATACAAATTTAATTCCACGATATGAGAGTTGATGTCCTGATACTTTTGGTCTGTTCACCCCTGGAACTGTACTGTCAGATTCTTTGTTCAGAACCTGCACCACTGTAAATAAAAAAATTATAAACAACCACTATTTTCCCGCAAGGTTGCCACTTCTTAAATTAAAAGCACACTTCTTATTACGTTTCTTTTCTCCCAAGATTATAGCAATCAAATAGCAAGATTTTTTTAGAATCATGGTCATAGGGTCCACACCTGCAAGGCTGCAACTATCATGCTTATCTTCTCTACAGTATTCCGAAAAAAATAGTACTCTCTTTTATCTGTAAACAGAAATTGTACCACTTGGCTACTAAGAGGATGCTTAACTGCAACAATGAAAAACTTTGAAGTTTCAAGCCAAAAGATCCAACCTTTCTATAAGAAAATGTCTAATTTCCTTCATATGACAAGTAAGCCTCCTCTGTTTTATGATTATAATTCTAATGAGAGATGCCGACTCAGATTGTTCTATGGGGATTGTTTTAGAGTAGAATCGACAACCTACAACCAAGCAAAGGACCATCATGTTGTCTGCTACCACATGAACTAATGGGACCGAAGCAGTGGCAATAAGCTTCAAGTGAAGAGGCATATTAAGCTAACGGATTATTTCATTTTGGCCTGCAAGTAATTATTACTTCAGTTACACAACTTTGTTGATCACTAAATTAATTAGATGATAGAAGTGCCTGGATCCCTTACTGTTCTCTTTCTAAGAAAACTACAAGCAATATTAGCTGACCCTTAAGGTCATGAACTTGTTTTCAGCTCCACTTCTATGGACAGAAGGTTCTGTAAGTTTCAACTCCCAACTCATCTGAAATTCTAAGAAAATGAAATCCAGTGATCACGTTATAACAGGAAAGGTTACTTTAAGCATTAACCATAACATAAGCAAGGTATGTAAGACAGTGGATCAGGCACTTAATGGGCTTGGCTGTCTTTTGTCTTTCATTGTTTGCTTTTTATATAAGTTAGCTCTTAGTCTACTGTGATCACCTAATTGGTCTGATTTTATGTGTTTCTTATGAATTTTTTATCTTGCACTTGGTAATTTCACCGAACCAAATCATCAAGTGTAGAAAAATAAGCTGTTATAGGACCAATAGAAAGAAACTTGGCAGGTAACTCAAAAGTCAAAACACATATTTTTTGGAAAAATAAACTGATATTCGCATGACTTGAACTCTATTGATGAAGGAATGTAAAACACACATTTCCCTTAATAACTAGACTCCTAAATTTGTAGGTACACCCGCCCTAACTTATAAGCACCACTTCCTGCTTTCCTAATCAGTAACATCCTGCGACCACTTAAGACTTGGTTTCTGCCCTGTTGGGTTAAAAGTGATTGAGAAGGCTTGATCAGATCATTTCTTCCTAGTTTTATTTTGTTTTGTAAAGAAGATGCAGATTTATGGTGCATACAAATGGTATTCCATTATGAGATTTGACGTCCTGATACTTTTGGTCCGTTCAGCATTGGAACTGTACTGGGTGATCATTGTGACCATCTGTTTGATTTGCTTTTGCTTGAACACAATAGCTTCAGAAGCATCTTTATTAGCTTGCCAGAATTTAAGATCCTATCCCTCCATTTTTGTGCAGAATCTCTATTTTGATTGCAAGAGAGAGATTTGAACTTCAAGAAAATGAGATTATTTATAGAACAAAAATGTTTCATTTATTAATATAAACAGATGAGGGTTTAGTCCATAGTTTAGAGCGATCATCATCAACTAACAGTTTAAGAGCTCTTCATAATGAATTTGTTGGAAAGCACTAGGCAGTTAAGCTCCCAGAGTCCTTGCCACAACTACAACCAAGAGGATCACAATGGATAGAAGTAGCGACGATCTAACTTTGTCATCCACCTTATCTCTGGTTTCTTCTCTGGGTTTTTCCTTCTCAATTGGTTGAAAAACCTCATTCATTAATAGTGTGAATTTATCAGTGAGTTCATTAACTTTGGCTTTAGTGATGTCCATAATCCACCTCAAAACGCGACTAGCGATGTCTGGTTCTCCCTCACAGCTCTCTTTCCTACAATCTTCAGCTGCACAAATTAGTTCAAATTATGTTGTAAGTTCAGAGAAGATTGAAGGCAATTTAATTATCAAGTATTAAGCAAATGTGAGCTTGGACAACTAGCATTTGACTGTGCAAACAAGTTCCTGCTAAACTATAAGGTTTCCGCTCCCTCCACAAGACAGTGTAAGTAATCTTTTTCCAACCCCAGTGACATTAATACAATTTTAATGCGTGAAAGATGACTGATGATAGGAATTGTTGCACTTAAAGAACCAAAAGCCACATTTCTGTTAACCAAAAAGCTTCCTAAGGGACAAAATGATGAGCCAGTTTGAGCAATATAGAAATTGAAGCACGTTCTTTTATGAAATGCCTATCCAATACATGAGCACCTAATATGTCATGACAGGAGTTCAAAAATACAAACCTGGGCAGCAAGACTCTTGCAGCTTCCTCACAGCCTCATTGTTCTTAACAGCATCCCAGACAGCCTTATCGGATGCTAGTGAAATAACCAGCCTCTACATTCATATATGTTAGAGTCCATAAGTGACACACTCATAAAATTAAGGTAATACAAATAGAAATTAAAGTCTTCAGATCTATCATAGTTACAGAAATATGCCACTACAACAATATCATAATTGCCTAGAGAGCCAAAACAAGAAGAGGCACCTTAATAGATGGATCACTTTGCAGCAAAGTAAAAGCATCACGAACTCTTCCATAACCATGAGACAGCAATGTTCTAACACCACAACAGTCCAACAACATCTGTTGCAACTGATTAAGCTCTACCCCAGACGAAGAAACCTCACTCATAAAACTGTCAAGATACCAATTTATCAGAATAATTCATGCAAAATTTGCAGAGAAAACTAAAAGGAAATATCACTCACTTTTGAAGGGAAGCTATGGCCCTTTCGACTTCTAACCGTGATGGCACAGGTCCTAAAACAACATTATATGGAGACAGCCCGTTAATCCATCTATCATGATCTTTGCCATGTACTACAGACTCTAAAATTCTTGTACAAGTTCCACTTTGACAATAACAAGAAGCAGCAGTACAAGATTGTCCAAGAGATGCAACAGTTTCACTAACTGATACAGGGAAGTTGACACTAGAAGTAGAAGGCATGGAAGGGATGAAAGAAGCGGAAGGTTTGAATTGAATCACAGGAATTAAGTCCATGTCCATGGCTCCTCCTCCCATGTTTTCTTGTTATCTGCTAACTCTTTAGACCATAAAGGAGTGTGAGATAGGAAGATAGAAGAAAAGGTCATTCTAGAGAAGATTTTTTTGGCAGTATATCTCAACTAGAAAACGAACGGCCAATTTTATACTTGCACGTTGCTTCAATTCTAACCAATTAACAAACCATCTGCTTAGTTTAGATTACTTCAGAAATTCAGATGAGAAAGGTTTCAAACTGTAGGATTAAACAGATAAATTAGGATGGTTTATACCAAAAATTTAGCTAGGTGGAAATAAATCACTAATTTTATGTGCTGTTAATTATTAATTAATCTTTATTGATTTTTTTTTCTTTTTTAACTTTCAAGATTTTATTTAGATGGACTTTCTAACTTTTTTATCTGTAATTATATATATCATTGTCTATTTGTAGCACTATATTTCCAAAACATCTCAAGCCCAAAATTTGCCCATACTTTATTCCGGGCTGACAACGGTCATGGGGTCCGGGTCTGTTTTGGACAGAATTGGGTTTGGGATCTGTGTGGACTTTTGCTCATTTACAATTTACTAGAGGCAATGAAATGCAAAAAATTGATGATGTATTATGTATATACAAAAATAATGATGATTTTATTTAACCAGCAAAATCAGCCTCTTAATTCCCATCCTCCATGTAATTAGATAAAATTCAAGAATTTTTTTTATCAGTTTAAACGGAGTATATATCGGATTAAATGCTCGTCTTATTTTATTTCTCAAAGTGAAAATAACATCTATGTTTATTTCTATTAAAAAAATATATATATTCATGGTACATACAAATCTCAAATAATAGCAATAAAAAAAAAAAATTGTAGCAATTTCAAAATTAAGATTTAATCAATTTTTTCATATCAATAAATTTGCAGAATTATGTGTCTGCGTTACGATTTTTCTCACGAAGGGTTGAAATAAAACTGCTGCACAAATCATTAACAGTATGCAGTAAGTGTAAGGATTTAACACGGGTGAGCTTGACTTCTTGATTTTCTTAATAGTTGATAGCGCAAAAGCAATGGTAGAGATTCGTAGCCCAATATGTTTGACCAATATTAAAATTTATAACTGGAGCATATGTAATTACTTCTCTCCTTTATATGATTAAACAACAAGCAAACTATAGATAATTAACTGATCAGAATTATTTCATAATAACAAGAAGAAATATACATAATAATAACACAATCCTGATGTGAAATAAATAATTCTCTATAGCTAATAATAACAAAAGATGCAAACTATAGAGAATTATTTCATAGCATCCCTCGTTCATTAATTAGTCCTTAATTTACTTCTTTTATGCTGATCATCTTTTCCATGTACCTCCATCGTATCCTAGTTTGCTACATTTTTCACTTTTGTAATAACAAGAAGAAATCAGTACCAATTGACACAGTCATGCAGTTACGCACTTCCACCTTTAAATTATAGTGAAACCAATCGATTATAAGAGCATCTCCAATTATGCTCTCTATTTTTAGCTAGTATTTTTAATATAAATAGAAAACATCATTAATTATATAGATCGAATATTAATGTCCTCTCCAATGCTATTTTTCATTTTTAACTTTTTATTACGAGAAGATCCATAAAACCCAAAAAAAAACCATTGGTAAAGAGGCTAAGTGGCATAGAAAATAATAATTTTCATTAATGAAATATAAGATAAAGAGTCATTTGGATAGTCAAAGACATTATGTATCTTAATTTTAAAGATAGAGATTGTGATAAAAAGAGCATTGCAAATTAAGTTTGGATCAAATCTCTTTATTATAAAGAAAAATTTTAATATAAAGAGAGCATTGGAGATTCCCTAATTCAGCTTAACCAAAACTACTTCAAAAGTTGGTTTTTTTTTTTTTTTGAAGAAATAAACTCTTTCAAAAGTTCGGTTAAGAAAGATTTATTAGGAAAAAAAATCACAACCTAATTTAGAAATTTAGAATATTTTAAATAAAAAAATTTATAATTTGTATTTTTCAATTGATTTCACATGTCAAAACTAAATTCAAATTTATCGTCTCTCCAAAGTAAACTATTCACTAAACTAGAAAATTATAAAACATTTAATTTATAGTTTTGAATCCTTATGGCGAAAGAGGTAGCGAACTTTTTTAGACGTCACGTCAAACTCTCCTTTAGGTTATTTGGGGAATTATGTAATTTTAGATATTCTTAATTTTTATATCTAGTATCTTAGAATTTTTATGGAATAATAAAATAATTGCATTGAAACATGGGCCTATAATAAGACTGAAAACAACTGAAGTATTGAGCCTAACTAAATTAAGCCCAGCTAGAGCCACTAGACCCAACACTGAAATATTATCGGCCCAACGTGACCCAAAATCAGATAAAACCTGACGGCTAGGATTAACTTTCTGATACATAAATTAAAACTAGGGCATCCCGCTTCACAATAACAAGCCTTCGAGACAAGAGAGGGAGTCGTCTTGGATATCCAAGACAACAGCAATGGGTAAGCAAGCATTCATCTCCTTCCAAAAACACTCTTAGAGATTCTGCTTCATATCGGCCCCTTTTTTCATGTTTCAATCTTTTAACGATTTCTGCTTGGTTTCTGGGATGTGCTTTTTTTTTTTTGTGTTAGAAATAAGCATGATTTGATGATTTTTTAGCATGCAACTTGATGAACTGGATCTTGTTTATATTATTGAACTTAATTACTGGTAGTTTTTTAAATTATCTGTTGATGAACTGGATCTTGTTTATATTATTGAACTTAATTACTGGTAGGTTTTTAAATTATCTGTTAAATTATGTTGGAAGCTGAAAGTTTTGTGCTGGATTAGTGTATTAGTCCCTGATTTTTTGGTGCACTTGATGTATGAAATGGGCCCACCAAGTGGCGTTTCTTTCTTGGTTTTTTGGTGCTGGCATTGTTTGGAGGCTACTAGATAAGGTATAGAAACATGTTGTAATTTGTGATTTTTGAATTTTGGGACAATGAGTGTGGTGATGTTTAGGGGCTTATAAGTATGTTTCGGAGCTATGGAGGAAGAAGCAGTCGGATGTTATGAGGTTTTTGCAGAGGGTGAGGTGCTGGGAATACCGTCAACATCCATCCATTGTGCGTGTCACTCATCCTACTCGTCCTGATAAGGCACGTCGCCTGGGATACAAGGCAAAGCAGGTAAAGTTTTTCTTCAGGTAGTGCAATCAATGTAATTTGGTATTTTTGCTGATGATTGAGTGGCAATTATGTTATATGGTTCTCTTCTACATGGTGATGATAAAGACACTGATTTTCAGGGGTATGTAGTCTATCGTATCCGTGTGAGACGTGGTGGGAGGAAGAGGCCTGTTCCTAAGGGCATTGTTTATGGCAAGCCTACAAACCAGGGTGTTACCCAGCTCAAGTTCCAGCGTAGCAAGAGGTCAGTTGCTGAGGAGCGTGCAGGAAGGAAATTAGGTGGTCTCAAGGTTCTCAACTCATACTGGATTAATGAGGTTTGTAATTTAAGTTCATTTTGCTTGTTCCTTGAACTTTCTGTGATGTGTTAAGAGGCAATAGTTTTACAATACGAGTTATAATTTATAATGGCCCGATGAGGATCCTATTTTTATGTAATCATGTTTGATGGTCAATTGAAACCGAGAATGCTCCAAACTATACATACTTGGCAAGTGATATAAGACAGTCATACCATGCTAAACTTATGTTGGCTCTCTCTAAGACTTCTTTTTCGTATCTTTTAGGCACCATACATGTGTTGGCTGTCTGTAAGACTTCCTTTTCATCCTTTTCGTGTCTTTTAGGCACTATACATTTTTGATTGCAGTCTATATCTAATTCAACCTTGAACTCTCAGGATTCCACACCCCCACACACATACACGCACGCACGTATTGTAACGTGTGTTGACCCTATTTCCACTTTAAGCTTGTGTGGATCCCCTCTGGATGCAAGTACATATGACTCAATTTTTGCAATAATAATTACTTGGGAACTGAGCTATGGTCATACCATGATAAACTTGTGTTGGCTATTGCAAAGACAAACACACTTTTCATCTCTCTTAGGCTCTATGCATGTTAGCTTGCAGTCTTTTGCTAATTTAACCTTCTCTTTCAGGATTCCACTTACAAATATTTTGAGGTTATCCTGGTGGATGCTGCTCACAATGCCATTCGCAATGATCCAAGGATCAACTGGATCTGCAAGCCTGTCCACAAACACAGAGAGCTTCGTGGTCTCACATCTGCTGGAAAGAAGTACAGGGGTCTCCGAGGAAGGGGACACTTGCACCACAAGGCAAGGCCTTCCAGGAGGGCGACATGGAAGAGGAACCAAACTCTTTCCCTCCGCCGGTATCGGTGATTGCTGTATCATCTATGTGCTTTTGTTTCTGTGGTCTTGGTGTTTTCTTCCAAACTTTGCCGTTAAGAGATTATGATAGTTTATTACTGTTTGTTTAATACAAGGATTTGCTGCATTGGATTATGTAGCCTTATTTTGGGACAAGTTTATTCACCTGTGAGACTGCATATCATTGACTTTGTTGCAGTAGCTTTTTGTTGTTGGATGATTGGATCAGCCTCTTTGAAGAATCTTGTTTATTTAGGTTAAGTGCCCTGGATTTGTTTTTTCTTCTTTTGGGATCAATTTTATAACACTGAATTCTTTGACTTAAATGCTACTAAACCCACAGATGAAAAGAACCTTTCATTATGGTTAAAGGATTGACACTCTAATTCGTAACTTTTCCAGATACCAGGTGGCTGTAAGATGATGTACTTTATGTATATAGCTAGTAGGGTTTAACAGTGCCTCCCTGTGGTTTTCCACTTTCTTTCTCACGAGTTTCGGGCTTTAGGCGTTTGTTTCCAATCAATTTCTATGCATTAGGATGATTTCACCAATATCATCAAACTTCATGTGGAGCACTAATTTGCGATGAAGCACACAATGAAGAGGCAGGGTTTTCCTTTTCTTTGGACAAATATCACATTCTTTACTTCATTTGCTATCTCGTCCATGATGTCTGCAATTGTTGCCAGATCTTCGTTAATGTCTGAACTTGATTTTTTAAATATATTCGTTGTTGTGGTGGTTTCAGAGAGTCAATGTATTAGGCTATTCGCCCAATGCGCCTCATTTTGCTATTATTGTTGTGTTGTGTAACTTATGCTTCCCTCCAATTTGAGCTCAACTAGCATTAGTAACTGCTATTACTTTTAATTGAAAAAAATAAGAGTATCCTATTTCGATTGAAAAACAAAGGATTAAAAAGTAAGGGGATCCTACCTTTTTTGGATTTTTTTTCTTTTGATTTCACGTGTTAAGGTTATTTTGCCAGTTTTAATCCGTCCAAAATAGACTAGCCATGCTAGATTATGACATATTATAAAAAAATTGACTTCTTAATTTTAAACCGCGATGGCTAAAATGGGAGTGCACTTCGTTAACCATGATGGTTAAGTTTTATATGGGCAATTCCCTTAGAAATTCATTTATTTCATTAGAGTTTAAAATTTTTCTTGTTTATATATAAATAGGATCTTAGAATTTTTATGGCACAATAAAATAATTACATTCTAACTTGGGCCTACATTATGACTAACGGCAACTGAAGTATTAATTAACAAAAAAACTAAAAGATAATTGAAGTTTACTATTTACTGTTTGGAGTACTGTTCACCAAGACCCAAGTTACTGTGGACACAGGCTCAATTTTCCAATTCCTTCTACCGTTGTTGCTTTTTATTGCCGCCTTGGCTTGGTTTCTTTGTATGTATTGGTTTTAAATTGTTTCTCTCCAGCATCACATGCGAGATAGTATTTTGGCTGGGTTTAATGCCCACACTATGTTGCATTAATTTCTTTTCAGGCATGGGTGTCCTACACTTTTACTTATTTGCCCATATTTTGCTTTTTCCTCTACCCCTCGCTGCCTTTATTTTCGTCTTTTCCTTTTTTTTTTTTTTTAACCATTGCATTTAATGCGCCTGGTTTGGATTTGATGGTTTTTCCTTTTCCATTACATTTTTCTTCCTTCCCGGTCTCTCATGTTTTGGGTGGAGGGGCCTAGGAATGATTTTATTGTGCCAGCTTGGATTTCGATTACTCTCTTCGTTCTGTGTTGCGCCTCTATCTTGGCTTGGTTGGTCTCGGCTCTAGCTCTGTTTTCTTGGCCGATCTTTTGTGTTGGGTTTTATGGACTTTTGGGTTCTTGGCTGTCGATTCTTTCTCTACGAAGCTGCTACTGTTTTGCCTTCTTCTTGGCATCGGCGTTTCATGTGCGTTTTGCGTGTCGTTTGTTTGTTTCGTTGCATTGGGATGTAACTAGCTGGTTCTTATTTTTTCCATTCCTATGTCCTGTTTGTTTCTCTTATGGCAATTGTGCCACTTTTGTTTTCGACGGCTGTTTTATTTTGACCACCGTCCCCTTTCATTGTGATATTTCCCACTTGCTGTCTCTCCACCGTGTAATGCTTTATTTTACGTTAAATGCTTTTGCAAAATTGCATCGGCCTGCAGCGAAGCGCGGGTTATAATCTAAGTAGCTTCTAAATAAACTAAGCGCAGTTGGATCCCCTGGACCCAACCCAGAAAATATTATCAGCCCAACGTGACCCAAATCAGATAAAATCCGACGGTTAGGATTAACTTCCCGATACATAAGTAAAAACTAGGGCATCCCGCCTCAGAACTGTAAGCCTTCTAAGAGAAGAGAGGGAGCCAGCCGTCTTCGACATCCAGTGACACAATAATGGGTAAGCAAGCGTTCATCTCCTTCCAAAAGTAATTTTAGATTCTGGTTTACACTGACCCATTTTCATGTTTTCAACCTTTAACGGTCTCTTTCAGTTTTGTGATGGTTTTATTTCTTTATTTTAGCCAGAAAATGAGCTTGTATTTGATTATCTGTCATCATGCAATTTGACGAACTTGCCCTTGTTGTTTATATATATATATAAAAGAATTTGATATTTTTGGTATTATCGAAGTTAATGACCGGTTGGGGTTTAAATTGTTCGATAAATCATGTCGAAATCAAAATGGTTTATGCTGGATTAGTGCTTTAATCACTGGTTTTTTTTTTTTTTTTTTGATATGATTGGGCTCATTCAGCTAGGTTCGTTTCTTTGGTTTTTCAATGTTGGCATAAGTTGGAGACCACTAGATTAAGATTATGAACGTTGGTTTGGTTGTAATTTTTTATTTTTGACATGTGGGACTTGCGTTAAAATGACGATTGTTGTGATGTTTAGGGGCTTATAAGTATGTTTCGGAGCTATGGAAGAAGAAGCAGTCAGATGTTATGAGGTTTTTGCAGAGGGTGAGGTGTTGGGAATATCGTTAACATCCTTCAATTGTGCGTGTCACTCATCCTACTCGTCCTGATAAGGCTCGCCGACTGGAGTACAAGGCAAAGCAGGTAAATTTTTTTTGTAGGTATTATAATCAATGTAGTTTGGCATTTGTTGCTGATCATTGAGTGACAGTTATGTTATCTGGTTCGCTTCTACTTGTTGATGATATAGATACTTATTTTCAGGGGTATGTGGTCTATCGTATCCGCGTGAGATGTGGTGGAAGGAAGAGGCCTGTTCCCAAGGGTATTGTTTATGGAAAACCAACAAACCAGGGTGTTACCCAGCTCAAGTTCCAGCGTAGCAAGAGGTCCGTTGCGGAGGAGCGCACAGGATGGAAGTTGGGTGGTCTTAAAGTTCTCAACTCATACTGGATTAATGAGGTTTGAATTATAAGTTCATTTTTTTGCTCTTTCAGCTTTATATTATGTGCTAACAGGCTATAGTTTTACAATATGATTTGTAATGGCTTGATGAGTATCTTATTTTTATGCAAGCATGTTTGATGGTCAATCGAACTGAGAATGTTCGAAAGGATATCTACTTGGCAAGTGAGATAAGAGCGTCGTACCATGAACAGTTGTGTTGGCTATTGCTAAGACTTGCTCCTTATACTCTATACAGGTTAGCTTGCTGTCTGTTGCTAATTTAACCTTCACTTTTCAGGATTCCACTTACAAATATTTTGAGGTTATCCTGGTGGATGCTGCTCACAATGCCATTCGCAATGATCCAAGGATCAACTGGATCTGCAAGCCTGTCCACAAACACAGAGAGCTTCGTGCTCTCACATCTGCTGGAAAGAAGTACAGGGGTCTTCGAGGAAGGGGACACTTGCACCACAAGGCACGGCCTTCCAGGAGGGCAACATGGAAGAGGAACCAAACTCTTTCCCTCTGCTGGTATCGGTGATTGCAGTGACCTCTATTTTGTGCTTTTGTTTCTCTGCAGTCTGCGTGCTTTCTTCCCAACTTTTCCATTAACAGGTTCTGATGGTTTATTTCTATTTGATTAGTATGTGGATTTGCTGCCTTGGATTTTGTAGCCTAATTTTGATACAAGTTTATTTGTTGGCAAGACTGAATATCCTGTCTCTGTTGCAGCTTTTTTTGCACATTTTGAACAACTACTCCTGTCTTAATATTGTATTGGAGTAAGAATGTCTTTTTTCTTCTTTTTTAAGTTAATTTGTTGCAAGTTACCATGAAAAGATTTGCTTCATCTTTAATTCAGTTGTGATCAAGCGATCTGCAAGAAATATGAATGTACGGGATCTTTTTCTGGATTTTAATTCCACGTAGTTTATCCAATTTGACATTATAAGAGAGGCCTACCTTTTCTTTGCACAAATATCATTTTCCTTTATTTGCAATGTCATTCGTAATGCGGTCTGCTGTAATGGCCTGGTCTTGTTGATGTCTAACTTCATTGTGGAAATGCAATCATCGTTCTGTTGGATTTAGCGGTAGATAAGAGCTCTTCTTATATCAGTATTTTTCATATGGGCTTGTTTGGCTGTTTGCTATTTGTGTTGATGCGCCGACTGCACTGAGTTCAAAATAGTGTTAGTGAAAAAGTTGATAATTGGTTAATGTAATTTAAAAAAAAAATTGCATTTTTATTTACAAAATGATAAATTGTTTGCTTTCAAAGCAAAACATAAATTAAGCAACCAGTAATTTTAGATTGAAAATAGATGGCTTTTATAATATGGAAAAATATTTTAAATCATGGTATATAAAACTCATGACATTTGTAAAAAATAATTATAATTAAAGAATTGAATAATTAATAGAATATCCTTCAGAAAGTATCATATTATTCAAATAACTCAGTAAAACTAAGGACTGCTAATATTATTGTTGCAGAGCCCTAATTGATAATAGCAAATATGTTTTTGGTGGGTGATTTTGAATGATTCGCTAATCAGAATTATTAAATTCATTAAATTATTCTGCAATCCCAATTCCCTCAATATAGGAACCCAGATGCCAACAGACTGTTTCATTGCATTTATTCTTGATTCTTAAAATTTACAACATCATCATGAATAATATATTTTACTTAAAAACCATGTGGCATGCACGTTTTATTAAAATTTTTAAAATTTTTATTTTTAATTTTTGCATTTTGATCAAAAAATTACCCATGATTGAAGACTTAAATATTATTTAAAAATATAATAAATACAATTACAAACATAGGTTCAGATTGAAAACTCAAACAATTATATAAAAAAAATTGATTTATTTATTCTTAAAAAATCTAAAGAAAAAGAAAAATGAAAATACGAACAAAATAGAAAAAAGGTAGTAATCATTATTTATTGTAATTGTTTTGCTTTCACATCACACTTTTTTTTTTTAAATCTAAATAGACTTCATCGCACCTCGAAACCAAAATTCAAATTTTTTTCAAAAATAACTATGATCATGCTTAAGAACATAGAGTATATATACTTATTTCATCAACAAAAGAATTTGTTTGCTTTTTGTTTTTTTTCCAGTTAAACCGATAAAAGCTTTCATAAATTCAAAACAAAAACAGTGTACAGAATATTATGATTTTCTTTTATAAAAATCCACCAATATATTAAAAAGAAAAGAGCCAGTAAGAAAGTGACTAAAGTAAAGTTTAGAATACAATAAAATAGACAAACTATCATAATGTTATGAACAAAGAGCAAAGCTAGACCAAAAAAAAAAAAAAAAAGAAGATGAACTACCTGTTCAAAAGCCCAAATGAAATGACAGAATATTATGATATTCAGGCAAGGAGCCTGCTGCTTCTGGGTTCAAAGGAGAAAGGGCAAATCTTCCCTTTTGGTTGACCATCTTAGTACTCTCATAAATTCAAGCATAGCATTATTCCGAGAGACCTGTCTTGCTTCCTCATGTACAGGCCTATATATTCCCAGTCCGGAGCTTAATTTCTGTCCCAAGCTGCAGATTTAGGCTAATTAATTAACAGACCTATAGATTTGATTTCATTCATGAGCTCTGAGCAGCCACATTCAATTCCTGCATATTTAAGTTAATATATGAGCTTTAATCCAGCTTAGGGATTCTTTAACAGCAATGGCTTCCGTAGCCTTAGGATTAGCCACTTATGAGATAAAGAACCCAGCTTTTGCGGCGACCTGAAGAGTCTCAGATAACGCCACCAATACCCCGGGCCACCTCTTGTATCCTTAGACCATGCAGCTAGCATCTATGTTGCAAGCTCTCTAGAAAACCCAGCTCAGGAACCTACCAATTATCAACGTGAGTCACTACAGAAGATTGAGCAAGAAAAGGACAACGTAAAGACTCCAGAGCAGCTATATTTTTTTGGTTAAAAAAAAAATAAAAAAGAAAAAGAAGGGTTTAACACAAAGTTTTCTTGGAAGGCCATACATCTTAATACTACTCTCGCTCAAACACGTTTAACTTTAAAGTTATGATTGTATCTAGCGAATTAGTTGTGATATGATCGACTCCATAGCAGATATACACATACTCAATTTGTTGTGCGTTGCTAAATCTGCAGTCAAGTTTTGGTTGTTGTCTCACTTTAAACACAATCATTTCTTTGCTTCCAAATTCTCCAAAGCGAAAGAGCTGCCTTTTAAATATGAGCTGCTCCCCGTCATTCACTTTCTCAAATTTCTAAAACTAAATTCTGTAGCCACCACTCATAATAAATGAACCTCCAAGACCTGCAGAATTCAGTTGCAATGCAGAATCAAACTATATATGCACACTGTTGTAGCTAACGGACATGAAGTAATTAAAAACGTGTTTTTCTGAAGAATCAACACAAAATGGACAAGCATCTTCCACTAGGAGCTTGCTCTTACTCAAACTCTTCCTTACTGCGATAGCTCCAGTAGTAAAGCATCTACACAGAAAATGGTTTATTTTCGCAGTCCACACTCTCTCAACCCAACCATGCACCCCACTATATATATATATATGAACCGAATCTGATCGATAGACCATTAATTTGGACCCTGAAATCTCCTAGCAACAGAGAATAACCTGATTTGACAACATAACCTCCCCTCTCAGTACGTCTCTCTATTAAGAACCTCTTTATAATATTAACATTCCATCTTCTAGAATTATTGAGCATTAATTAAATCACCCACTCGATAAACTCGATCGTGAAGAGTATATTTTTCATTATAAGTAAAGGCAAAATGCTTAATTAATTGGGATGGGTGTGTTAAGCATGTTGAATGTCTGTAAACACTATCAGCTTCTTACAAATTATATCCCATGATAGTACTTTTCACAAGAAAATTATAAGTCATTAGCTAGATTGGTGGAACTCATGATCATTTGATGGTTCGCATTTTTTCTTGTAATATGTTCTTGTCATTTTTTCTTATGAAAGCATCAACTCGTATATATATGACCCTGGTACTACCAAAGGTTTATTTACCAATTCAATTAATTGTTTTAATGTCCAAATGAAAAACATAATTATGCTTGAAGGTCTTGTTTGGATGGTAAGCAATTTTGTTTTTACAATATCATCATGGATTTGGATTCAAATGAGATCATTAAAAAAAATATATATATATTCATGATTGTATAAGTTTGAATATAAATCATGACTTACTTAAAAATTTAATAAAACAATAACTGATTTCAGTGAGCCAAAAGCCTAAAAAAATTAAAGGGCAGTTATGCCATGCAATAAAAGATGCAACGAAAAAGAAAAAGGAAAGAAACCAACCACGATCACTAAAGCCAAAGAAAATCACGACTTGGTCCATGTCAATCCTTGCCAACTGAAAACAATTGGAGGTTTGAGCCTTCTTCTCTGCTATTTCATAATTTCATTTGAAAAAAAAAAAAAAAAAAAAAAAAACCTCAGTTCTAAAAGCCATTGAAGATATTGTACCCTTCCTCATTTTTATTCTCCACGTTACCTTCAAACAAACCCTTCCAAATTCGAGGTTCATATCTTCCTCTCTCTTTCTCTCTTACATTGTTAGATACAAATTATATCCATGCAATAATTGCGTGAATATTGCTGTTCAAATATATATATATATATATATATATATATATATATAGTGCGGACGTAATTTATTTATTTATTTTTTTGGATGATCAGATGGATCAAGATGATCATCGTGCACAGTATTCTCGTCGATACGTGCCATTAAATGAAGAGCAAGAAGCTCCTGTAGAAGATATTAAACCTGGAGAACTCAATCAGCCAATTAATGTCTCTCAGGTGCTGTACATTTTCTTTCTTGTAAACACATTGCGATTTAATGTTATTCATCCTGAAATATCAATCTCAATCTTGACCTTTCTTGAATGGTATCAACAATTTGATGGTTGGTGTTACATATGTGGGATCTCGTAGGTCCATGAACCCCATCAATGGTTGATATTATTTGAGAAGCTCTTTTGCACATATATTCGAGATAACAGATCATTAGTCCACATAATAATTAATGTTTTGGTGATTGAAACGAGGGACAAGTAGGCTTTCTAAATTCATGGCATGACATACCGTGAACACATTGTCGTATATAATTTGTGTATATAATTTTCTGAAGAATCTTATTATATTATTAGAATTTTGTGAGAATTAAATGCATGTTGTTTGATATTAAAGCAAAAATCAATTAATTGTCTGCATTTGTGATGTACAAGCAGAATTTGTGGTTTCTCTCAGTTGGAGTATTTTTATTTATCTGCTTATTTTTGGGCTTTTTTTTCGGGTACAGAGGAAGTGCATTGAATGTGGACAAGCTCTACCGGAAAGGTATGAGCCTCCTGCTGATGAAGATTGGACAACTGGGATTTTTGGCTGCCTTGGAGATACTGATAGTTGTGAGTTTGGTTTCATTTTCGCTCTCATTGTAATTCGGTCCTACTGTGGATAAATATTGAAAGATTTTCTAAATTTATGCTTGTCGAAATGGTATACATATATGTATATCTTCTTTTCTTTTCTTTTTCATAATTTTTAGAAAGTAAGGAATCATTTCATGTATTGTAGGTTGGACAGGATTATTTTGTCCATGTGTGTTGTTTGGTCGGAATGTTGAAATGAGAGAAGATATTCCTTGGCCCAGTGCATGTGTTGGCCATGCAGTGTGCGTAGAGGGTGGAATTGCACTTGCAGCAGCTACTGCATTCTGCAATGGTATTGATCCTAACACCTCAGTTCTCATTTGTGAGGGCCTCTTATTTGCATGGTGGGTTTGTGGCATCTACACTGGCCTCTTTCGTGAATCACTGCAGAAGAAATATCATCTCAAGGTGATTGATGTTTTGTAGACTTGAGATTTTCCGTTTTTATATTTCATGCCTTGCACAAACATCTCTGCATAATTCATAGTCTGGTGTTACGTTGTCTTACCTTTTTCTGCTTAAAAAATTGATTAATATCTGAAATTTAATGGTCTCTATTGCTGACTCAATTTTGAAAATGTTGGCAGAATTCTCCATGTGACCCATGCATGGTGCACTGTTGCCTGCATTGGTGTGCCTTGTGTCAGGAGCACAGGGAGATGAGGAACCATCTGTCTGAACCTGCTGACATGCAGATGACTGTTGTTAACCCTCCTCCCCTTCAGGAGATGAAATCCGGTGAGGGTCAGAACTCTGCAGCATCTGCACCGGCTTCTCCATCTGCACAATCTTCTGGAAACGGCGAACATACTGGTTTAGAGATACAGCCTGTGTAGGATCATTGTACATCATACACAGATTTGACGAGAGATGAATTCTTTTTATATAGTTATCATTACGTTATTTCACATGAATCTTTTTTGTGCGGTCTTCGAAGTGGAACAATTTCAGGGCCCTCCAAGTGGAGCAATTCATTCTGGAATTGGTGGCTGCTAGCATGGATAAGTAGGAAATTTTGTCAGTTGAGAGATGATGGTGACCAGACCGAAGCAGCAAGGGTTTGCTCAATCGATTGAACCACACTTCATAACTCAAGCCATTTGGTTACTTTGCTAGTTTATTCTTTGTGACTTGACTCCTGTGAAGCTTTGTAATATATAAATGATGATTAATCAATATTTTATCAATGAATTTCTATTGTATCGCAGACTCTTCAATTGCAGTGCAAAACTTGAACCAGAGGCCCCTCTCACTCTCCTCCCAAATTCGACTGGAAAGGAACTTTAATTTCAATGCAAGAGATCTGTGACAACAGCTAATTAAAGCTCCAACCACATGCAGTGCTTGAACGAAATTTATTGGATAAAATTGGCATCAATAAGCTTAAAAACCATTTACAACTAACAACGTTATAAACGGGCTAATAAAGGTTATTTAGCTGCTATTCTCAATCCCAGGAGACCTCTATCATCTGCCTTTCCGTATCTTTTCTTAGGCTTTCAAAAACAAAAGTCAAAAAGGGAAAAAGCCCTTTGTGTGGTAACTATGTAAATGCTTCTCGCTGTTTTGTTGGAAGGTCTAGGTCAGGTTCGGATTCACTAAGAGGAGAGAAATAGCGATCCACCATGTCTTCAGTCACTTGTTCCAAGATTGGAGGATTCCACTGCATATTTCAAAATGCATAATATTACTTAATGCCAACACACCTTTTATTTTTATTTAAACAAATGGTGCTAAGGCCTAGGATTGCTATATTACCACTAATGATCTCAATGATCCATGATATTACCGATCTAGTACTGTAATACACTCTTAGAGCTACATTCTGCACTACCATATTGGGCAGTTTAATTCAGACCGTCAAATTCCATCCTAGTACATATTATAAATAGTGAACTTTCCATCCATACCTTTGGTGCCAAGTCCTTGTCCACCATTCTTGCCCGAACCCCCTGCAGGGATTTAAAAACACGTGGTAATGACTAAAGATTATGGGAATATTATTCAATTGAAAGAGAAATTAAGTTTTATACCTCACAAAAATCACCAGAGATTTGCTTGGATATTCCCTGTAGGCTCATTCGATATTCACGGACCAAGCACTGATCAAGTGTCTGAAATCTACCCACTTGTATCTGAACCAGTTAATGTTAGTAGCTTAGGTCGTAATGAAATGATTTTAGAAGAGAAAGCCAGCCAGATGACAGAAGTTTAGGTGACTCACAGATCTCAAGGCAACCTTCAAGCTCAATGGTGATGCTTCTTTAAGTCTCCTTAGTGTAGAATTGCACCATGGATCATTTGTTTCAGCAGCTTCCCTTTCCTGAGAGAAATGGTTGTCTAAAGTCATAATAACAATTTTGCAAGAAAAAAAGAAAATTAGAATTTGATAGACTTTATTTTTTTCCCCTCTCCCCAGGGATGATTTTTTTTTTTTTTTTTTTTTTGGTGTGTGGAGATCTGGGGAATCTGTTCAGCTGCAGCATTTTCATGGACCGCACTTGCTTGCTAATGACTTTTCCAAGACAACAGTTGACAGGACCATCACTGTTGAGACCTTCACAAGTAGTTAAAAGAAGGGAAAATGGTGGCAAATCTCCAACCCAAAAAGGATTTAGATCAGTTTATAACTATAAGTATAGGAGTTCGAATTTTCTCTATGATCAAAAGGACACGAGTTAGAACCTAGGCATCAATTTGGAAAATCTCCAAGAAACAACATGGAACACTTGGAATTCTATGTCCCCTTGAACAAGAACTTCCAATGAGTCAAGTCCCGGTGTAAGGTTGGCAAAACAATCTTTTCTTTCACTTTATTTACCCACCCTTTGCACATCACATTTGTCTACTTAATCCTGTGTCTCCAAATTCTTTCTCCCGTAAAAACAATTTCAAAGGACCCATAACTGGATATGGTTTATTCTCTTTGTCAATGATGAAAAAGAATTACAAATAGTAAAACTTCCAATTGTTCTCAAGATATGATCTGCAGAAAAAGATTTTATTTTGTGAAAATTTGATTGGATTTATTGTTCTGGGTCAGGGAAAACATGTGACTATCAGAATACAATCTTACCAGAGCATCAAAGATTTCTTCAACTGTGTCATGGCTGAAACATCTACCAACCAGTTCAATCCTAGACAAATAATATAAAATAAGGTCAACTTAATAGATTATCATGTTGTTAAACATGAGTAGCTTTTTTCTTTTTCTTTTTTTTGGTTTTGCATTAGAAAAGTAGGACATTTTGTGGTGTATGCTACAAAAGGTGTACATTATTCTACAATAAAACAAGTGTATGATACAAAATGAAAATGAAAGAAAATATATTACCTATGAAGTACACTCATTTTATCCAGAGAGACAAGGTCATTATATTGTTCTAAAGAACTTTCAATGACAGAAGGATCATCAGTGACCAATTCCCCAAGATGATGTTCAACTAAATGAAGTTTCTACAGGATCAAAAGGGATGATGTAGGATAATGTTATACAATCAGGACAGACAAATAAATCAAGAAAAAACAATAAAGGGGTTTGGCGATTTTAACTTCACTATGCGTGTAGTGTGTAGCTAGGCCACAAGCAATCATTTCTGCTCCATTAAGGGTCTCTCCGGTTAAAGCCAAGTACTCGCCTGCAAACAAGAATACACCTTACGTCATACTCATACTAAAAGTATATTTAGTTGCTTATCAGTTACCAACCCCATTAACATAAGTCGCTCATTCACCACACTTTTATTACTTTGTAGACACTGGATGATGTGCACATGGCATCATCTTCTGACACCATTTAAAACTTCTGGCTAGCTGCCTGATACTCTACATAAAGATTAAAAAAAATGTTTGTATGGAAACCTAAGAACTATGATTTCGAGAAAAATGAACTGTATTTCAGAACCAACTCCAAGGACGGGGTCCAACTTGCTGACTGATGTGAGTTGAGTAACCAGGCACTCATTAAAAGAACGCTGCCCAACTGAATCAACAGAGTTAGCAAGGGAAAAGGAGGCCCTTTTTACTTATATGAGAAGTTTAAAAAGAAGTGGGAAATTTCTTGCAGAAACCTGCACTTTTCAGCTTCATTTCATTCCTTTAAAGAAAATATGAATTTTGCTTTCATACCTTAATTTGCTGGGAAACAAAATCGTAAGAGAAAATAAAAGAGGCTACGAACTAAGGTAATTTCATATAAGCCCATAAGAAAGGGCATTTTCCTATAAGAACAGCAAAGAAATGTAATCACAAGAAGTAGTGAAATCTAAAATAAAACTTCAGGTAACAGTATCAATAATACTACCCAAGAAAGAAAAGGAGCTGTGAGAGTACCTAAGTGACCAGGTAGATGTGAAAGGAAGAAGGACGCTCCAGCATCAGGGTGGAATCCGATCAGAGTTTCAGGGGTTGCAAAAACCTACATAAAGTTGCATTATTCATATTGCCATGCACCATTAATGCAAATAGATATACTAGACAAGTCACTGGTTTCTGCACTGTTTCCACGTGCACATAACTTGAAATAGGAAAGGAAGCATCACTAATATGCACTTATTGAATGTGATGACTGCCAGAGTATTCTAATTGGAGTATGAGCATCTCAATGTTCGCTCTTCAATAGCACCCCAAGCAAGCAAAAGTCTGAAATGCATGATATGCGGAAAAAATAAGAGTTTATAAATATTGTACAATTCCAGCATTCAAGCAGGTAAAACTCAACGGAAACAAGCTTTATAAATGAGATTTCCTTTTCAATACAAGATTTTAGGGTTTCACACGGGCAACTCAAAACATATGTTAGCACCTTATCCATAAAACAAGTAGCAAATAACAATCTGCATGGCCATAGAACCCATTGGAGACACTGAAAACTCTTTCTCTCACTCTTTCTCTCCTTTTTTCTTTTGTTTTTTTTTTAGAAATGACACTGAAAACTCTAAACGAGCTAAATTGCCAATTTTCATGATTATTGGTCTAATAAAAACTCCATAGTGCATGTATATTCATGAGCATAACACAAGGATACACAATTAGCTGTAAACAAATTTGAATTCCAGCAAGGAAATAAGTATACAGTGTTATTACAGGAACAACACTTGTTTTCCATTACATACAGTTTTATTAGTCGCAAGTCGAAATGTTCCGGGGATTGAAACTCCAGTCCCACCACCCATAGTAATGCCATTCAAAATAGCCACCTGCAAGGAAATTATCACTCCACCAGTGTAATTATACTGATCACCTATAAGGAAATCAAAAGCCAGTAATCTATACAAGCTGTTAACAATTTAAGTCGCAAATACTTACATGTGGCTTCAAATATGTACCTAAGAGGTATATAAATGTGTATAAAGTCCCAAAAAATTTCCTACACTCTTCCCATTTTCCTGCATTGATTGAAAAAAATATTAAACAGCTGCGTAAGCTAGATCACAATAATATTTTCAACAAGCATGAAACTCTGATATCTTACCCTGGTTTATTAGGTGATAGAGATTAATAATATCTCCACCAGCAGAAAATGCCCTGCCACTGCCCTTCACAAATTCAAAACAAACACCCCACGTATCCCTTAGCACAGATCAAAATATAAACAACCACAACAACTCATACCATCAAGAAAGAAGGGGAAAAAAAAACATTACCTTTAATGACACAAACCCAATATTTGAATCATTCTCCCAAGCTTTATACAATTTTAACAATCTAGCACCCTAAAAGACACAAATTTAAACAAACACGATTAGAAAGTACCAATTTTGAATCAAACCCAGTTCAAAAGAACACTCACCACATTAGTATTGAGAGCATTAAGAGCGGAAGGTCTATTAAGAATGGCAGTTTTTGAATTAGCTTTGTCTTCAACAAGTACCTACCCCAAAAGAACCCGAGTCTTAAACTTGGCAAAAAAACACAAAGAAAAGGGTTCCTATTTTTAAATGAAAAAGAATAAGAAAAATAAGAAAGAGAGACTAACTTGGTTTTCGAGATCATCTTCATTTGGAAGAGAAGAAGAAGAAAAGGTTCTGCTGTGTTGTTGGAGATATGTGAGAGAGCTATGAGAAGGCTTGGATTTATTATTGTTGCTGCAGCTTCTCATTAATAGAGCTGCTGCTGCTGATTTCAAGCCCCGCATTGTTGCTTTGATTCCTTTCTTTTCAATTCTTGTTTTTATTTCTATCAGAACTGCCACTCTTTGCTGCAATTTCAGTTGTTTTGTGTCCCTTGAAATGGGAAGAAAAGAGGAAATAGAGGATGAAAAAAAATGAAAAAAGTGGCTCTGCTTAATTAGGATAAAAAATTTGGATTTTTTTTTATATATTCAATTAATTTTATATTTTCAAAAATAGTTGACTGGAACTTACAGTGTGTCTTTTAGAAACTTCTACACATTTAATCTGTTTTTAAAATCATCCATAAACTAGTCCTTCCATTAATTTCGTATTCTTTTCTACTTATTTTTTTCTTTTTTTAAAAAAAAGGAAGAAAAGGTAAATAATATAAGAAAATTGCAGGATAAGAGTAGCCATTTTTAGAATAAGAAACTATTAATTTAAGAATGTTCAACACTGACTACTTAATTATTTTTTATATCATAAGAATTAATTATTAGTTTTGATAAATTACGAAAACTAAGTTATAATTACTTTTATTTCAAAAGAAAGGTATATTCTCCAAACTCATTGGAAATAATTTTGTTTGTTCTTTTCACTTGTTTTGATTTTCCCCTTTGTATATATAGAGGATCCCTTTTAATGGGTGTCTAATTTTATATTTTTATCGAAGAAATGGATACCATTTTCCAAATTAAGAAAAAATTGGATACCAATTTGATCAATTTTCTAAGTAGTCCAATTATATATAACTATTTATCCCAGCGAAACAACTTTAGTCATTACAGTATTTGAGATTTTCAATAGATGGAAAAGGGTGAGGTGGAGATTTTACCATTAAATAAATAAAGGAATTATTTATGCTTTTAATTCATATAAGATTTATGCATAACAAAATGTATATTATTCCCTCCTTGATATCTATCATTATTATTTTTTTATAAAGATCTCTCATTATTTAGGACGAATGAAATTTTATTTTGGATGACTGGACATGTTTAAATCGGTAGTCACCCATATGCCTGTGTCATTAATCTTTAAAATTCATCAATGAAATTCCATTTCGTTTTTTCAGAATTCAGTGAGGAAGAGAATTCCAATTTACTTCTTAATTTTTTCATAATTTAAGAATGTCAATCTGTTGGTTCTAGGCAATAGTATTATTCTCCCCGAAGGAGGGAAAAAAATGACTATATAGCAAAGCAAAAATGCGGAGTACAAAAAAAATTTGGAAACGAAAGTGATGACAAGTTGAGCCCAAGAAACATGGCGAATACACGTAAATAAGCGAAGGGGCAAGCTCCACTTGGTTTCGTGGTGACATGTTCCTTTTTCAACTGCAAATTACTAAAAGCTAGCACCAATCTCATCATCACGGTTATCTATATCCTCGATTTTCGTCAGTCTCGATCCAGCTTCCTCATCCCAATCCCTTTTTCCTATATATAAGAACACCATCTCCTTCTTTCCTTATCACCATTTTTTTCTCTGTAATTGTATACTTTCTATCTTTTTCTCTCTACTGAGCCACTCTTTTCAACAATGGCTGGAAACCCACTCAAAGTTTTGGTCACTGGTGCTGCTGGTACTGTGTCTTTTTTTTTTTTTTTTTACACTCTTTGCATATCATTTTCTTTATTCTGGTATCCTTGACTTCTAAGGAAACGTAGACAGTTTTGAATTTCAATACTAGGGTTTTGTTTTCCCTTTTAACGTGCTGTTCCAAAACAAATGGAGAAAGACAACCCATAAAACCATTTGGAAAGATAGCTAGGTTGTTGTTTTCTTCAGAATGTGGAGATCCTAATTTATACCTTTTGCTTTCTTAATAGGCTTTGTTTTGGTATCTTTTGTGCCTTGTTCTGGAGGTGTTTGTGTAAATTCTTTCTTTCTTTGATCATACTATATCTTTAAGCATATTTTGCAGATAGGATTGCAATATTTTCATTTTAACAGGAAAAATCTGCTGTTTTTGCCTGTTCTAGAGAGATGGATCATGCTGTATTGCTTCAAAAAATTCTTGTTGTTTCATTCATTGTTGCTCTTTTTTGGAAGATAATTAGATATATGTGCAATCTCCTTGATGTAGAAAAAGAACCTGTGAGAGTTCTTGTAACTGGTGCTGCAGGCAAGGCTCAAATATTGCATATTTCATTTGGATTTTCTTTTATTCACTAGTTTTTTTTGTTATTTTTTGTCATTAGTTAAATCTTTTTGCGATCTGTTATTACAATTTTTAACTGATTTCTCTGGATATTCAGTTTTTTTTTTTTAGGCCAAGATGGCTGTAAAATCCACGGATCATCTTTGGAATATTCTTACTTCTTTTCCTGCATAGTTAGAGCATACAAGTAATTCTTGTTTAAATTGCCTGTGTGAATCTTTCTGTGTTAGAAATTCGTCTTTATTTATTTATTTTTATTGTGAAAAAAATCAGACTAACTATTCCAAACCTCACTAGTTTCAAAATATTCTTCATCTCCCAGGGCAAATAGGCTACGCTATTGTTCCAATGATTGCTAGGGGTGTCATGCTAGGCCCTGATCAGCCTGTAATTCTTCACCTGCTTGATATTGAACCTGCAGCTGAGGCCTTAAATGGGGTGAAAATGGAATTGGTTGATGCTGCCTTTCCTCTGCTCAAAGGTATCATAGTTCAATAATTCTGGTGCAAGTTAAGGTGTATTTTATAATTGTCTTTTTGAGGTTTGTTAAATTTTATGTTGTATCTTGCTCAATAGGAGTTATAGCTACTACGGATCCTATTGAGGCTTGCATGGGTGTCAACATTGCTGTCATGGTCGGTGGCTTTCCCCGGAAAGAAGGTATGGAGAGGAAGGATGTGATGTCTAAAAATGTGTCAATCTACAAGGCTCAGGCTTCGGCCTTAGAGAAGCATGCTGCTGAAGATTGCAAGGTGGGAAGGAAGCCTTTGGATAGCCCTCTAGGCTGTGGAATTTTTTTGGTTCAATTCTAAGTTATGTTGCTAGGAGTTAGAGATGGTATTGACCTTACGGAGAAATAATATTACACAGGGATGTCTGGGTCTGACTCTCTTGGGCTGCAAATTTCATTACCTTTTTTTTTTTTTTTTTTTTTTTTTTTTTTTTTTTTTTTGCAGGTGCTAGTAATCGCTAACCCGGCTAATACCAACGCACTCATCCTAAAAGAATTCGCACCGTCAATCCCAGAGAAAAACATCACATGTCTTACGCGACTTGATCATAACAGAGCATTAGGCCAAATCTCTGAGAGGCTAGATGTACAAGTTAGTGATGTGAAGAATGTCATCATCTGGGGCAACCATTCTTCAACTCAGTATCCAGATGTCAACCACGCAACTGTAAAAACCAGCAGTGGAGAGAAGCCTGTCAGAGAACTTGTTTCTGATGATCAATGGTAAACAAACTCAGAAGTTTTTAACCTCTTTGATAATCTCATCCCATTTCCATATGATCCAAATACTATCATCAGATCATTGTATTGGTTAGATAAACTACACTAACAAGTCTCCATTTCTACTGTCATAGGTTAAATACTGAGTTCATCACCACCGTGCAGCAGCGTGGTGCAGCCATTATCAAAGCTCGAAAATTATCAAGTGCATTGTCTGCTGCAAGCTCTGCTTGTGATCACATACGCGACTGGGTTCTTGGGACACCAAAGGTTGGTTCTTTTTACCTAAAATATTACTTAATCTTAGAAAATTTATAGTAAATTCATGTTTTGATTGATGTTTTTTGGGAAAATATAATAGTAGAGTGGTCACTTTTTGCTAATTTTTGTTGTTTTTCTTTGAATCTTGCTTTCAGGGAACATGGGTTTCCATGGGGGTATATTCTGACGGATCTTATGGGATTCAACCTGGCCTTATATACTCTTTCCCTGTTACCTGCGAGAAGGGCAAATGGTCCATTGTGCAGGGTAATTACTCTGTAATTTCTACTTTTTTTACTTTATCCTATTAGTTTCATGCCTAGTATGTATCTATTCTGTCAACATTTTCTGTAAAATTATGTAAATTATAAGTTACAAACAGGAAATTGAATTTTTGGAGAGGACAACTAAATAAAATGACCCCATAAATATTTCACTAGAGACTGAGTCCTCTGTTCATAACAATGTCAGGAATCAAGATTGACGAGTTGTCGAGGGCAAAGATGGATGCAACAGCAAAAGAGCTTATGGAGGAGAAATCTTTGGCCTATTCGTGTCTCAATTGATCATTTATACTAGGAGAATAATAAAGGGCATCACTCTCAACATACCTGTGAAGAATAAAAAGAGTGCCAGTTTCCAATGTAATTTTATATAATGAATGATAAATTAGTGGCTCTTATTCTATTAGTTGTCGTTCTATTCTCCTACATACTTGATTCAGCATCTAAATTCATCCTTGCATAAGAAATTTGTTCTTGTTTATAATATTTAGGCTACACAGTGCGATGAGTAGCGGATTATTTTTTGAATCTTCTTCAATATTATAGTATATTAATAGTTGGTTTTTTCACGTTGCAATAAGATAATTTAAATGTATTTATTTTAGTTTAATAGCTTATATTATGTTATCGTCTATTAAAACATATTAAATTAAGGATAAAAAAAATAAAATTTCATCTAATTTCATAATTTTTAATCAAATTTTATATTTTATCAATTCTTTTTTTATGTTTTATCATTAAAAAAAATCGTTCAATTTTAAATAAAAACCTGTAAAAAAATTCATAAGATTGCAAAAATAAATAAATAAAGTAACAATCAATATAAAATTTGTATAAAAATTAACAAAGGAATCTTTTTTAATCATTTAAAATTATTTACATTTGATTTATTTACAAAAAAAATCAATAGTATTATTAGTATAAAAAGATGTATTTAAATTATTAAGTGATTTAATTGTTTCATTTGAAATAAATTAATTTTAAAATATTAAAATAATTAATAACAAATAGTTAGTGTAATATGTGGAGATGCATAATTAATTTTAAATAAAACCAATGATCTAACATATATATATATATATATAATGACTATATTCAGTTAGTTAGAGTGTGTAGTATAAATAAAAAATATTTAAAAATAAAAATAAATTATGAGGAATATATTAAAGTTAATAGAGTGAAATAAAAACAAATAAAAATTTTATTTCAAATTTTTTTAATTACATCAAGAATAAGCAAAAAAAAAAAATGAATTCTATTACTTAATTAATTATTTATTTAAAAAAACATATTAAAAATCAAGAGAAAAATAAATCATATTTATTAACAAATAAAATTACATAAAAAGAATTATTTGTTGATAATTTTCATAAAAAATAACAAATTGAAGAAATTAATTTTAAACAATAAGAATAATATAATCCTATATATATGTTTATTTTTAAATTTAAAAACCTAAACAGTCAAAAATATCTTTTAAAAACATGAGTAAGTAAAAATATATTTTAAAAAAATGAAGAACTAAAATGAAATAAGGTAAAAATATGAGGTGTCAAAATATCTTTAAAAAACATGAGAGATAAAAAAAATATTGAAACAATAAAGGATCAAAATGAAATAAAGTGAAATTTATAATTGAATGTCCAAAAACTATAAAAAAAATTACAAAAATATCATTGTCGAAAGCTACCAAAAATGCCAGCCATTAACAGCAACTGTTCATTTGCCCTCAAATCTTTTAGGTTTTCTTTAAATTACACTGTTATGGAAAGAAGGCCACGATAATCTATCGCAAAGAAGGGAAATAAATTGCAGACTCGATAGCTTCAGTTGCTCGAATATTTTTAGTCAATTGTGATCTTCAAATTGGGTTTGGTAAAGGAGTAATAACAAGTGTCAAATGTGGAGGCGTACTGCAAGGATAAATATGCAAGTGTCAATAACCATAATTGATATATAAGAGGGTTTGTTTGTTAAGCAAGTGATTTCAAACTCCAATACTTATATATGCAAAAAACTTTCTGATTACTTGTCTCTGTCTTGTATGTTCGGTAGAATAATAAAGGATCATTCTGAACCTTTGGACTTAGATACCTTGAAGGATAAAAAATAAGCATAATTGGTAACCCTGCAACTTTCCAGGTGTTTCTGCGAAAGAGCATATGAATTCATGTACACGATTAGTGGTGCAGTTTTAAGAATTTTAACTATTAGTGGATCTGTGATCCAATGCTATAAGCTTTCTCTAGTGACCTCTTTCTAGCATTTTATTTTGCTTTCTGTTTGGCTCAATGTTTGATCATTTGATCTGCAACAAAGACAAAGGATGCATTCAGGATTCTGGTCACTGGGGCTCAGGATTCTTCTCAGTACTGGGGCTACTGGTAATCTCTGTTTCCTATATGAATTGCAGTTTCTTAAATGGTCAGGTTGATCGCTGAGAAAAAACGTAGGGAGCAAGAATGAAAATTATTATTATTTATTTAATTCCTGATTTTAATCCATTATTAACCTAGATTCAAAACTTTAGGGTCTCTGATCATTGAAATTTCAGAAATTATAGATACAAAATCATAACATTTTCAATAACCAAACATACCCTTAACAAGAATCCAAGGAATCCTGAAGAAATTTAAATTCCATTTTTTTTCTCAAAATTCTTTGAATCGATAATTATTGAAGGGATAGGAAACTCAGTTGAGCTTTGGAGTTATCAATTTTCTTGGACAGCGCAAGTAGGCTAATGCTCTTGTTCCAATGATTGCAAGTGGTTTGATTTTAGGCCCAGATCAGCCTGTAATTCTGCACTTGCTTGGTCGATCTGCTGTGAGTCCTTGAAAGAGGTGGAAATGGAACTGATTGATGCTGCCTTTCCGCTTCTCCAAGGTGCAACTCTTACTTTAATGCCTTCAAAGATTTGGCATGAGTATATTCCATTTGTGGTTCCATAGGTATTCTTGCTACAACGGATGTCAATGAAGCTTGTAAAGGTGTCATCATTGCTGTTATGGTAGGTGGTTTTCCCTGGAAGGAAGGAATGGAAAGGAGAGATGTAGTGCATAGAAATGTACCCCATCTTCAAGGTTCAAGTTTCTGCTTTAGAGCAACATGCTGCTCCTGATTGCAAAGTTAACTATTCCATGAATTGCCTTCAATCAATTTGTTTTTCTATATTTATGTTTATAACTTTCATAAAGGCACAGATCTCATTTTTATCGAAAGGTGATGTCTTTTACTGCCTTCTATTTTCAGATTCTAGTGGTTGCCAATCCTGCAAACATTAATGCACTCATCTTGAAAGAATTTGCCCCTTCAATGCCAGATAAGAATATCACGTGTCTTACAAGACTAGACCTAATAGAGCCATAAGTCACATATCCGAGAGGCTAAGAGTTAACGTTAGCAACGTGAATAAAGTAATCATATGGGGAAATCATTCTTCAACCCAATATCCAGATGCCAATTATGCCACTGTCAGCACCAACAGTGGAGAGAAGTCTGTCAGAGAACTTGTTGCTGGTGATCATTGCCAGGCCTAAATTCCTAGCCAGTCCTGTTCTCATTTCGCGTTGTCACTGGATGTCTAAGCTTTGTTGGAATACATGTTTTGAAATCATCCAATACATGCAATCTACTTGATTATATATATATTCTCAAGAATAGCTCAAATTAGCCTAGATCTTCTGAATTATAATATACTATCAGGGTAATTTGGTTGCATAACTCAGGCTATCGAATGTGATAACTTTTTTCCCTCCTTGTCATAATTAAACATCAATATGCTCATCTTTCGATATATCAATGATATGGCATAAGCAAGCACAGCTTAATTATTATGTACCCAGTCAGGCTACTTCAGCCTCCCAATGAAATATATATACAGATGCCATATTCGGCTAGGAGTACAATGCCAATAGAAAGTTCCCAACTTGCCAAAAGTAAATGAACGAATAAATGCTTCTCTTTGTTACGAAGGACACCCACGGTGAATCAATAAACTTTTTAGGTGATAAAAGTAAATTTATTTTCCTAACGAAGGTTGTGAAAATAAAATAGTTTATGTAAAAGCCGGCCCAAGATACTTAATCTGTGTTAACCGATTGAGCCTATGGGCGTCCTTGGTCTAAAATCTTTTTTGCTCTGGAAGCAAAATAGCCCAATATAGTCTCTTATAAATCTTCAAAACCGCGTGTCATTTTCTCCTACGCACAGACTTGCACTGATGGCCGGTCCTCTCTCTGCTCGAGCATAATCAAACCCTAAACTAGGGCTTTTACATATTCGCTTATAACCCAATAAAAATGGATGAAGGAATGCAGCAGTTCCAAAAAGCTTAATCGAGCTTGAAAACGATGCAGAGCATCTTCTATTAGCTCGAAATCAGGTAAACTTCAAAACCCAAAGAAATTCTCTTTGCAAATTATTCTTTTCAAATTCACTTTGTTTTATTTTATTAGGTGGTTGAAAATGATAAGGAGAGGAATGGAAATAGGGAAGCATTGACAGCATTAAGGAAGAGGGCTAAGACTACTAAAACAAGCATAAAGTCTCCATTTGAGTGGATAATGAAGGATACTGGAAGGTCAGGATCAAGGGCTGCTCCTTTGGTGAAAGAAATTTGTGGGATTTGTGGTAATCATGACGAGAAGGAGAAAACTTGGATGATGTTTCCAGGAAGTGATGTTTTTGCTTGCATTCCATTTCATGCTGCTCACACTATCTTGGAGAAAGGTTACTTTCTACTTGTTCTTTTTTCTTTTGGTTGTTTTAATTAGGAATTATTGGGTTTTGATTTTCGAACTATTACGTATTTATGATGGGTTTTAATTTCATGATTTGTCAATGTGGTAGAATTTTTTATTGTGTTGGTTTAGTAAGTGCAGTGTGTTTTGGAAGCTGATATGCTGTTGTTTTGGACCTCGGTGAAACCTCTTTTTATCATGTTTGTGGTTGGCTTAGTGTTTCTGGTTTGTGCGCTTGTATGAAAAATGAAAAGTGTATGAATGATGTAGTGGGTTTTCATTGTGTTATGATTCTGTGTTTCTGCTGAGAACATGAGGAATTTTAGGAATATATTTTTATATTGTATATAGAAGAAACTTGGGAGATTATGAATGTCTTATGCAGTCAATTTTCAATGAGGATTGATATGATTTGTCCAATGGGGCCAAAAAAAAAAAAAGGACTTTTTCTGTTCCTGGAGTTAGTAGATTGAGAGTGAGTTTATGCATTGCGCCAATGCTTCCAGCTTGGCTATAGAACTTAGAACCCGAGTTCAACAAGGAACTAGTGCTTAATGAGAAAGGTGTATATGTAGACATTTGATCTGATACTATACAATTCTATTTCTTCTTGCAAAATACATATAACGTACTTGGATGTGTATAATTTGTGAAGGTGTCATTAGTATTTGATGCTCCAAATAATGTGGATGGCTTATCTTCAAGAGATTAAATGTCTATATTCAGCGGTAGGATTTTTGTTTATTTATTTATTTGAGAGAGAGAGTATGCAAATTATTGCAAGTCTCCATAAACTATCACTGTGATTTTTTTGTGCTTCATGGAGAAATTTCATTGAAAACATATAATGGTTAGCCTCAAGGCATGAAACTTTGCATGTGCTAAATGTCAAATGACATTTAAAAGCTACCTTTGATTGTTGAAGATTTGAAACTATGATTTTTCGGACATGGTTGGTCATCGATAAAGACTTTTACTCTACTAATTTTTTTCTTTAGCAAACATCAATGACAATTCCTTGAATCTTGTGTTTGCTGTGATGCAGATCAAGAACTGCTTGAATATGAAGCAAAAAAACTGCAAAGCTATGTTAAGGACATGTCCCTTCTAATTTCAGAAAAAGGTGTGCTTGCTGACAGGATTAGCCCAGGTGTGCTTAGGTCCTTAGTAACCTTAACAGACAAACCGAAGTAAGTTATGCATTGGAAAATTAGTCTTCCTGTTCAACAATGGCTTTCGCAAACGTTGTGCATTATCTCCCTGGTTTACTTTTTTGTGTTCTGTTTCAACTCAGATAAGGATTTCTGCCACTATTTGGAGTGTTTGTATTTAGCTGATGTTAAATGGTATGCTGGCTTCTAGAATTGCTTTCTTCTGGCAATTGTATCTTGCTGGGCCACGAATAGCAGCATTCATCTTAATATTGGATTAGACCATGATGGTCCAGCTGTGAATATGCATTTGTATATGTCATCTTTTTTTTTCTACTTTATTTCTGGTAATCAAGTAAATTTTGGACATATTATATGTTTCAACATATGGCCTCCCAGAAGTAATGCATGGTCTATTGTTGTTGATACATGTTTAAAGCTTAAGTGCGTGCATCCACCTTTTGGTTTTACAATGTTGGAGAAATAAAAATGGGTTAGCTTTTTTTGCTATGGATGCTTTCCTGATGCTGGGTTTTATTTTATTTGATTTTTTTCCTCTCAAAGCTTAGCATGCAGAAGTGCAAATATTATATCATGATAGTTAAGGAAGAGCTCTTTTTCTTGCTTGGTCACTCAAGACAATAGTTAATAGTTCTGATAATGAACACAGATAGCATTTATGTTGATCTACACTTAATCGTTGTGAAGATGCTCACAGGTAGCATTGTTATTAATCTATATAGGCTCCTATAAGATAGATAACGGGACCATGTTCTGGTGTTTATTTTTCTGGAGTTGCTTGTATGTCCAATTGCTAGGGTCGTTGCCTGGTTCAGTGACAAGAATTGGTGAGGTTTAAATCTTGAGAGCAGCCAATTTTACAGAAATTCTGCAGAATAAAACACTCCCTTAATTCTCCCTCTGAAGGGACTGTCTTGTTTGTTAATTGCTTGTCTTGCTGTTATCTTCTGTAGTATCTCACTTGAATTTGTGACCACAAATCATAAGCTTATGGCTTCTTCCATTCATTCTTCCCGTATTTACTTTCTCTACACAAATTGGATAGCAGAAAAGAAAGGTGTCAGGTTTGGGGACCATCAGACTTTTTATCCTCTCACTAAAAAAAGAGCGGAAGTTTCCTGGGGACTGCTCAAACAGTTGAAGGTACCTTGTTAGAAATTTGTTTCTTCCTTTCATGTGGGCCATTTACCCTTAGTTTTCACATGGTTTCCATAGCTGTCTGAAAATTGTTACCCTTTTTTTCCTCTCTTCTATCGGACCTTTTTTTTTTTTTCCTTTTCATGTAGTACACGCATGACCTTGACTTATGAGGAATGAAGTACTATACAAATCCTGTGCCAATCTCTTTCTTTCTGCATTTTGTATGGTGAGCCTGTAGATGGTGAAGCCTTGCTCTATCCCTAGGGCATTTTAGATGCTTAAGTACTGGATTTGTGATTGTATTAATCTATGTATCTTCCCTTGGTGATTCTGAAACTTAGAGAATTGATTCTACCTATTTATCTTAATTAGTCATCTATTTTGAAACTTAATGGCTACGTTTTGGTTTTGGAGATAAATGTTTTGTAATCAAATAGCACGATTGCCCTGTGCAGTGATAAAAATCTTAAAACTTCCAATGACAAAGATGTAGTCAACTACTGAGAGTAGTTGTTACATCTGTTCCTTGTAATTTTAAGTCGAATTTTCCCTCCAATGATTCCGTTTTGGTTTGGATTAATTTTATATTGGTTATCTTTTTTCGGGACAGTTAACTCGGTATGATTTTTACATTACTTAATAAAATCACGTGTTCATGTTTCTGTTCTTTTCCATGTATTTACACATACGTTGTTTAGAAACTATGTTGATGTTAATATCTTTTTTATTTTTTTAGGTAATGATATCTGCGTGAATTTCTCCTCTCAAGACTCTGGCCAGAAGAAGCATCTCAGTGAAATAGTAGTACTGTTAAACAAACAACTACGACCAACCATTAACCTAACGAATATAGCAACCTTGTCTATCTTGATAGTGTTTTACATGTGTCATAACTCATTTGTTGATTTTTATTTTTATGCAAAATTCTAAAAAAAAAACTCAAAAAATTGCATGGATTATAGTTTCTTGATTTTTCCCTAGTTTTTAGATATTTTTAAATATTCTTGGTTTAGGACATAACGTGGACTTTCTAATTAGGCGTGGTTCTTTTATTATTTTTGTTACTATGGTAATAAAAGAGTTAAAAAATGAGAAAAAATAATAATAATATAAAAAGAAAAGAAATCAGAAAAAAGAGAGACAGAAAAGGTGAAATTGATTAATTGATATGCAATTGACCTAACTAAAAGAAAGAGAGTTGAAATTTAAGGTTAATTAGGGCATAATTGAATGAAATTAAAAAAGAAGAGCTAAAATTAAGAAAAAGAAGAGAATTTGCAAATGCAAGGGCATAATTGGAAGAAATTAGAAAAGAAACGAGGACTAAATGCCAAGAGGTGACAAAATTAAAAGATGAAAAAAAATACAGAAGTGCACGTCGGAGCCCGCATCTATCTTCTTCTCCCAATTAGTGAAATGACAACAGAAGTTGGTGCGAATGCTGTCCCTTCTCCTCTCTCTCTCTCTCACGCTTGGACTCATGGAGAAAACAACACACGTTCATCCTCCTGGTAAAAACAAGTCTTGTTATGTTAAGAGGATGGAGAAAAAAATTTTGAAATAAGGGGTTGAAATGAAAAGAAAAGGGAAGAAACCAAGGGATAAAATAAAAGAAACAAAGCAAAAAACTCTCAGCCTATATAAAGAAGCTCTTGGTTGCAAGTTGAGGGGTGTTCGGTTCTGGAAGAAGGAAAGAATTAGAGAAAGATTAGCTCAGTTTTTGGGCAAAAAAAAAAACACACGCAGAGTACCTTGGAAATCTAGTTTTTCATTTCGGGGTTACCACTTTGCACAAAATTTTCTCCTCAATCCTTTCACCATTACTGCCATTTTCAGTTCCAATTCTTAGAAGGTTTGTCTCTTTACATATTCATTTCATTAGCAAGTTAATTTTATGCCACAATGGTTGTTTTTGCGTTAACTTTTTGTTATTTAGTTTTCAAGAATTTTCAGACTTAATTTTTAGTGTTTTTAGTTTCTATCTTAGCCTTTTTCTTCTGTATTTTTTTAATATGTTCAACATCTACATGGTCCTGATCTATGTTTTATATTTCAAAATTTTAGGAGATTATTTGGAATTTTATATAGATTTATTTTCATTACCGTCACATACTCCTCTTTTTTTTTTTTTTTTTGGGGTGGGGGGAGGGGTGGGGTGGTGTTGGCAGGTTCGGTTTTTCTTTTTTTTAGCTTAGATTTTGGTTTTATTTTTAGCTGGAACTTTTATAAGTTCAACATCTATATGTTCTTAATTTATGTTTTAAATTTTAGAATTTTATGAGGTTGTTTGGTATTTTATCTGGATTTATTTTCATTACTGTCACATGTTGCATTTTTTAGGGAAGTTGTTTCGATTTTTTTTCATTAATTTAACCTAAATTTTGGTTTTATTTTTAGCTGTAATTTTTATGTGATCAACATATATTTGTCCCTGGTTTATTTTTTAAATTTTAGAATTTTTGGATTTCGTTTAATATTTATTTGTAATTGTTTTATTTTTCTGTCATAATTGTAATTTCGTCTAGAAGACTATTATGTTTAATTAATTATTTTGGGTTAGTTCTAATAATAATATTGGCATAAAGTTCATATGTGTTGTGTGTGTATATGTGTGTGCGCGTGCATGCGCTTTTGAGTTTTCTGTAAAATTTACAATAATTTTTGGATTCATTTAATACTTATTAGAGATGTTTATAGCATAATTAATTGTAGAATTTAATTTTATATGATCTGTCGCGGGATTGACAAGCCTCCTAAATATTATGGACTGATAATAATCACACTTAAGGTTTGGTTTTCAATGATGACGCATAATAACATCCTTTTTATGTTTTAAATAGTTGTTAATTAAGAAATATTATGTCGAGCCAATGAGTTTCTTAGTATTAGAGATTGATAATGGTCTTGACAATTTTCACCTGAAAACAAAAAAATTTAATTAACAAGAATGTATATGGGTCAGTTTCTCTCTGCATCCTAAATTAACACTCTTAGCTAATAGATTGTTTCTTGACACACTAATCATGTTAAGACATAATTAGATCCAATGTTAAATTAGAAAGACTTTTAATATTGAAGTCCGATGTCAATTTAATACGATTTTACAATAAAAAAAAATTTTAAAATCAATTTTGAGCACGATGATAAACAAAATTGAAAATAGACTCAGAAAATATTTTGACAAATCTTATCTCTTAAGAGATTTTTTTAGAGTTATACTAAACTCAGTGTTTTTTTTTTTTTTGAAAAAGATGTTTTATAATGATTGTTATCTTTTTAGAAGTATAATCAATTCTTTATTTAAGTCTTTAAATCCAGTGACTTTTTAAAATTTTTAAATTTTTTTTAATATTAGATGATGATTTTAAAATCTTTTTAATTCTTTTTACTTATCTAAAATTTTAAAAGTTTCATAAATATCATATAGCGATGACATGGATGAGCAGTGAACTGCCCTTCCTCGTTGGAAGGACGCGTTTTATGAAAGGTTGGCACTGCCGGTCATATTTACTCATAATTAATTGAAGCATTTGTGAAGTGGCCAAACCTAATACCCATAGACAACAAAAGCAAGAAGATTCATGGTAGTTGTATATATGCTTTTTTTTCTTTTTTGATCGGCAGGAAGATGTTCTGTTGCCTTTAATTGGAAATTTGGATACCCTTGTACAGTAGGTAAGCGCAATTACCATATCAAAAGTAAACACATGGTTGTGCATTGATCTCATAGATGGTGCTCGGACTTAACTTTCAAAGAATATAACTGTGGCTCCTGGTAAGCCCTTTTCCTCCCTTACCCATGCTGAGACAGAGTTGTTCGATTGGAAGTTCTGTTCTTCATATATGATGGTGGTTACAGTAATGTAATTGAACTGATGTCTT